CTGATGAAGAATATGAAGAGATACAAGAAACAATCGTCAATCTTGGTATTCAAATAAGAATAAGGGATTTAGTCATCATGAACATAGAAAAGTATCTTCGTCAGCAAGTAGTGCCGTCGTTCTGGTTGAAATTTGGAAAATCCGATGTAGACGTTAAAGGATTTCAATTATTTAAAACTGCTATTAATGATATATATGAATCAGTAACGAACTTTACAGCAATGTTACGTAAACTAAGTTTATTAAATAACAGTTGTTGTGATAACCTTCCAATTTTTGGTGAAAAAGATGTAATATTGGGTTATAAGCAAATTCTTCGTTCAACCTTGCTTGCACAAATACCACTAGATTTTCAGTATATCATATATTTCTTTTATAAAATATCATTTAATGTGTTTGATAATGAATATGAAAATTCTGATATGGGTGATGATGTGATGTGTTCTGGTTGTTGGAATGATTATACAGATTGCAATTGTGCTTATATTGTAAAAGTATTTCATGACACAAACCGTAAACTCATGGAGCTTCAATTATTAGAAAGATTAGCTGGTCAAGTTTTGACCAATTTTATTCAAATGAGAATTGAAAGTCATATTCAGAAATTATGCACAGGAACATTTGATGTATCACATATAGAATTTTTAGAAAATTGGCTAGAGACAACAGTGATGTCATGGCTAATTAGAATATACTGTGGTGGATCATCAAAACCACCCGCTGACAATAAAAATATTCAAATTGCTATATCAAAGTTTAAACAAAAGTTAAGTTATTACTTATATCACACTTATACAAAGCTAAGAATAGATCAGCTTTTTAATATTATTATTGAGTACCCTGACTCACAACCAGCTGTTGATGACATTAAGCTTTGTTTAAATAAAACAGATTTGAGGCCTACTCTTTGCAAGAAATTAAAGTCGGCTCTGGAAACAAGGTTGTTACACCCAGGTGTCAACACCTCTGAAATTTTGACTGCATATGTGTCAACAATTAGGACCTTAAGACATCTTGACCCCACTGGGGTAATTTTAGAAACTGTTACAAAACCAGTTCGAAATTATTTAAGAAATAGAGAGGATACAGTTAGAAGTGTTGTTAGTAGTTTAACTGAGGATGGGGCTGGAAGTGAATTAGCTGAAGAATTAGCAAAATTTACTGGCGGAGATGATGAAATTGATAAAGAAGACCAATGGGATGAATGGAACCCTGATCCTGTAGATGCAGATCCAAATGTAAATTCCAGTGACCGAAAAGCAAGTGATATTATTTCTATGCTAGTTAATGTTTATGGCAGTAAAGAATTATTTGTTAATGAATACAGAACATTGCTTGCTGATAGATTGTTAGCACAAAGTGTTATTAACACTGAAAAGGAAATAAGGTATTTAGAACTATTAAAATTAAGATTTGGAGAGTCACAACTACATTTCTGTGAAGTTATGTTGAAAGATGTATCTGATTCTAAAAGAATAAATGCTCTAATACATCAAGATGACAATATGGAAAATTCTAATGACAAAATTATGTGCAACGGAATGATTCTATCAGCTCAGTTTTGGCCACCTTTTAAAGATGAAAGCTTAGAATTACCAGATACAATAAAAAAACTTTTAGGAACCTTTACAAAATCTTTTGAAGCATTAAAAGGGAATAGAACTTTGAGCTGGATACCTCATTTAGGAAATGTAAATATTGAAATAGAAATTGGGGAGAAAAAATTAGATTTGACAGTGTCACCATTTAACGCAACCTTAATTTTGCATTTTCAAGATAAACCTGAATGGTCCTTAGAAGAACTCCACCAAGTAATGAAAGTACCTGTTACTATTTTAAGGAGAAAAATTACATACTGGCAATCAATGGGCCTTGTTACTGAGAAAAGTACAGATTATTATGTTTTAGTAGATGGAAGTGATGCAAACAAATCTAATGTTGCTAATAGTCAAGTACAAGAAATGATTTGTGAAGATGATGAAACAGAGAGTGTTATGGCATCGGCACATGATCAAAGAGAGGGAGAGCTACAAGTTTTCTGGTCCTACATTGTTGGTATGTTAACAAATTTGGATTCATTACCTTTAGATCGGATACATCAAATGTTAAAAATGTTTGCTTCACAAGCTCCTGGCACAGAATGCAGCCTACAAGAGCTTAGACAGTTTTTGGATACTAAAGTAAGAACTCATCAACTAGTTTTACAAGGCGGTATGTATAGGTTACCGAAAACTTAAAAAAAAAACAATTAAAGTTTAACAAAACTTTATTTTCATTTTAATATAAAAGAATTTGGTTACATTACATAATGTCTGTGGGTTAATAATATCTGTAATCTTATTGTTAACAAGTGAAATTTTTAAGCCATTACAAATGAGACAATCAAGTGTAATATCATATAGTGAAATAGCCTGCAAAAAATAAATAAATAATAACACCACCACATTTATAGTTACAATATTAAATTTAATACTTAGTGATCTCAATACATAACCTTCTCAGTCTTAACACCTACAAAATACTGTTCAAAGAAATTTGAAATGAGAAAATAGAATTTATAAACAGAATTATGTTAATGATACTGAATGAAAATACTACAGATGGGAATGCATCAATCTTTATGTATGGTTTAGAAGTAAATGCAAGAGCAGTGTACATTATACTGATCCATAAAGTTTTGGTTTTAAATAAAATTTAATTTTGATTAAAAATAATAATAATCTTATGGAATGTACATTTAAATAAATGTGAAGGGGGCCTTTATTGGATTGTTACATTTTAACATAACACATAAAAAACATCAGTTATTATTGTGTTTGTAGACAATTGTTATTGTATACTAATTGTATTGGTTTTTCAGTTCAATTATTAACTTTCTAAAGTTCGTATACTAATCAAGCATCTGTAAATTTTAACATATTAATAAAAATGGAAAACAAAGAACACTTTCTAAATGTTATTTCCAGACATATAGCACCATACTTTACCTTTGTTATAAAATTAAGGTCAAATGTGATGATGCTGTGCTGATCTTTAATTTTCATAATACTTTACTGTTGTCATTATGACATATCCTACAAATTTAATTATGCAAAATGGGAATCTCATTATGTAAAACCTAATGATTTATTTATTAAATACTTGATTAATGTATTTAGGCCCTTTTAAAATTAAGAAGTAAATTGCATTAATTCCGCAGCTTGGCTAAAAGCTAGCATATAATAAGTTTCAACCAGTTTTTTGGATGAACAAAATGAACACCTGTTTTTATAGCTATTTAACCAAAATAAAACATAACAGTACAATCTCAAGTAAAAGAAAAATAAATAGAGTTATAGAGTAAAACACCTAAAACAGTTAAAGCTCTACATCTTTTTTTACATATGTACAGACAATATCAGTGCCATGGTATATTTATGTAACAGACAATTTTCTGTCACAAGCTTAATATAACATTTGGATCTAATTCAAGAAATGGTGGAATGAAATATAATTCACTTTATTCAAGCTTGTGTGAATGGTATTAGTAGTAATAAAAATTAATAAGGTTGTTTAACTAAAATTGTTGATATGGAAAAAAGTTTGCAAATTTCAATTGTAATTACTTACATAATATTTAAGTTGTAAATTTTGTTTCATGCAACAAACATGTCTAATTAAATTATACTTTTTTAACATGAGGTTATTAAGTTAACATTATACATGAGAAGGATGTTAAGCCTGTATATACTGTTGTAAGTCACATTTATTTATGTTGAGTAATTTCTATGTTATAAATAGCTTTCTTTTTGCAAAACATCCAGGCCTTATACTTTAACTTTTAAAAACTTATATCCTACATTGCATTTAAATGCAATTGTATTTAAATAGCTTACATAATAAATAATTAAGTACAATCATTTTTAAGTCCAATATAGGCTAAAAATCTCTTTAAGGACGAATCTGTGTTATATTTTGGATTTATGGTCAGTAAAAAAAATATATTTGCACATTCACATTTCAGTGCACATTTCAGCACATTTTTAAATTTTCCTTTAATTTTACCATCCTTTCTTTTATTTTATTTATTCTTTGTTGCAACTTTAAAACAAAAGGACTACACTGGGCGTACTTAATGCTTTTTGGCATTCTATCCCAGTCAACCCATGTGGTGAGAAATAGAAATTCTATAAATCAAGGGTTTTTTTGTTCATGACAATCTTATTAATACATGTAATATGAGCAAATTATAATCTTGATTATAATTGTTTGATTTCCGTCATAACTGACTTCCTTATTTTCCAATCAGAATTTTCTCTTTTTCGTGGTAGCATCAGGATCGGCAAATAGACAATTGAAACAATGACATACTGAAGCGAAATAATTCGTTACAAACTGAGGGCTTTTGTAATCAAAACTCAAACTAATCTGTGCAGGTTACATAAAATCTGACTCAATTTCCTGTTAACTGATAAACTGGTTTACTACTTTAAACATGAATATTGATCTGTTTATACATCTCTTGTTTTATGTAGCTTCATATCTTTTGGCAATTTTTTATTATTTAAAGATTTTAACATGAGATATTAATATGAGAATCATATTAATTTATTTTGTCAATTTATGTTCTAAATTTATTAATAGCCACTATGTGATGACTGATATGTTGAGTAGAAATTTGTTAACATTTTATGGTTGCAACAAGTAGATTTTGTTCATATGTGCTATAGCAATGGATAGAGCGCGTCTAGTTATTAGTCTTTTTTTTTATTAAGTGCCTCGCTTCCATCAGTTTTTGTTCTGTCAAGTGGTATATGTACAGTTGTATTCGAGAATTTACCGCCTCGCAAAATGTTCGACGCGTGCGTCGTGGCGAACTCGCCGCATGCGTCGTGACGAACTCGCCGCATGCGTCGTGACAAGCTCAACGTGTGCATCGTGACAAGCCCGACGTGTGCGTCGCGTCGAGAACTCGTCGCGTGCGTCGTGACAAGCTAGCCGCTGGCGTAGTGACGAGTTCAACGCGCGCGTCGCGGCGTCGGCACGTCAGGCGGCGCGGTGTGCGGCGCACTCTGCATCGGCTGGGGCCGCTTGAAGGGCCCGAGCCGTTTCGCGGGCCGCGGCGAGACCGTGTGCGGCGCCCCTGTCGCCCACGAGTTGGCGCCGTGGTCCAGAAGTGCCGCGGCAAGACGGCCGCTGCCCTGGTCTGAATACACAATTGTTATGTTAGCAGTAGCGGATTTAGGTTTGATGGCGCCTTAGGCCCAAGACAATGCACCATTGTCTTTTTCGTTCGTTACAAATATATGTATTACATTATACCTATTTCAGAACACATTTTTACACGTTTTCTAGTGTCTCAGTTAAACAAATTTTTAATTTGTAAATAAATACATATTATAAATATATAAACACACAGGTACTTGAAAAAACACAAACGTTGTCACACAATATTTTCCAGTAGTGGGGATTGAACCCACACCCTCTAGCGCAAGAGGCAGGGTCACTTCCCACTAGGCCAATCGGGTCGTCTAATTTCGTAAATAGATAATTTATGCTAGCATTAAAAAAAAAGTTTTATAAATCTTTTTCTTGCATATTTCAAATTTTAGTACTTGCCTGATTAATTATGTTTAGATTCTAAGAGCGCAAGAAAATAAACCATAAAATTTGGTCTTGCAGTTTACAGGAAACTAATTTTAGTTGTCTTAAAAATTTTGGCGACCTTCAAAATTATCCCCACAAGGCCCCGGGCCACGTGAAAATTATATTTGTAAAAACGTCCACTAAACAACACAGTACAATATTATCCTAATGTTAGGGCAATAAATAAATAAAAAAATATTTTAGGACACATTTTATACACAACATACTACTACGGGACTAAATCCCAAACTAAGCAACGCTTGTACTATGGGAACTAGATAACTGATAAACATACTTTTCTTCTGTAAATAAATACATATTATGCATATATAAACACCCGTAGACTAGAAAAAATATTATGTTCATCACGCAATACTTTTCCAGGAGTGGGGATCGAACCCGCGCCCTCTGGCGCAGGAGGCGGGTGCACCATGCGCTGCGCCGTTCGGGTCGTCATATATAAAAAAAAAAAAAGAAACCGACCGGGCCGTCGGTCGTCGGGCGGCGGCACCGGGTCGCGCACGCGCTGCACGAAGTGCTCGAAGGTCGCCGGCTGCGTGTGGTGCGCGACCAGCGCGTCGAGGCCGCGCGCGCGCTCCGAGCACGCGTGCTGGTAGAGCGGCATCGTGGCGCGCACCGCCCGCCCGCCGCAGAACGCCGCGCCGCGCACCAGCGCCGCGCCGCAGCTGCCGCGCACCACGCACTCCTCCCACAGCGGCCCGAACACCGCCACCTGCCGCGCGCCACGCGTTGCGCTTTGGTTATCCAAGTTGAACCACTTTGTGCACGCCCGACTCGGCCAGTAATGCTCGGTTCCTATATTCAGCGAACGGCCGTTAGTTAAATAGCTTCGTAACTCTCATGACGACTTGTAGATTATAGGAACGCTAGTAACTCACGTTCCGTAGGTAATGCAACTCCTCTTGAGGAAAACGCCTCGTATTGTTAACCGGGCGTACACGCCGTTAGTCGTTATGAAAGTTACGAAGCTATGTAACTAACGGCTGATCGTCGAATATAGGAACCGGGCATAAGCCGGTGAATGCGTGACGGGAGCGTTACGAATAGTGTGATGTTACGCGAACGGTGATTACTCGATTATTACGCATTTTCATTTCGTTCTTGAACAATTTTACGAATTAACATTTTGTTCAATACATTAACTTATTGTACGTTTAAAGTGAATAAAATTGTTAATTCATACAGATAATTTTTACTTCAGTCATTTGGACTAAGACACACAAGGAAAAATCTTGGGGTACGTGTTCCAAAAAGAACAGCCGTTTGTATATCAAATTATTTCTGTGTGCGGATCGAAAGCACGAAACGGCGCGATAGTTCCGAAAGCGAGATGATACCTTAAAGTATTGCATAATCCGGTTGTTTTAGCGATATTTACGTCAATTTTTATTTTAATTTTTAAATGTGATTTAATAAAAAGGAATACGTAAAAAAGAAACATTTGAAATATAACAGTTGAAAGGCCAAAAATGCTGCGGAAGTTGGCTATGTAAAATTAAGTAAAGTTTTTGACCAATAGGAACTCTGGTGACTTACATCTGGTTTCCTGGATACCGTGCAGCGCAGCAACCCACCAGGGAGCGGATACAGCACTATGAGCACGTCACAAAACTGGGTGGGCAGCGTGTCACGTTTGTATGGCCGCCAGTGCTCGCTCCATACCACGTGCACTTCGTCGTTCCCCAAATGTCGGGTCTATAACAAGGCGGACGTTAATTATTTTATAACATACAGTGTTTATTGTTACATGTTCAAGCTCTCACTTCGAATCATTATAATTCGTTTTAGACTTGCCAGAACTAAATTCAAAATAAACTTTAACAGAAAAAGGCCACAAAAAAGTTGATGTTACACTTTCCGATGGATTTTGGATAATTTACATATACACATAAATGAAACATACATAAAAACGCATATATCGTACAACGTTATAACCTAACAGCCATCACATTTACAACTAGTTATTGATTCAAGATTGCAAGTCACTATTGACATGCAAAAAAATTCATCATCCAACAATATCCAAGGCAAGGCTGTCGAAGCCGGGCTAACAGTAAATTACACACTCACAAAAAAGTAACCAAAAATGTTACGTTAAACCACAGCCACGATGTATAACTGTGCCGAGCTCGTAGAATCTCAGTGACATGACAAGCCTGTCGTGCGTACCTTGTTGAGAATGGCGTCGGGGGTGTCGGCCGGCATGCGCGTGGCCACGTGGAACAGCGCCTCGAGGGTGAGCGTGGCTATGTAGGGTGCTGAGACGCCCCCCCCTCCGCCGCCGCGCAGCCCGCCCGCAAAGCCCACGTGCGACTCCAACTCCACCTGGCGGTGGCGGCACGGTTCTTTCACCTTTTTTGTATACACTTGCACCGAGTCGCAGCTTTTACGATTATTAAATGCTCAATATGCAAAAAGAAGATGGTCGTGTAATGTCTCGACCGCATTAAAAATTCTAAAAAGTATCACAATAAAAAATGTATTTTTTTAACCTAACCAGTAATTTTCGTCTTCAAAACACTAGAAAACCCATCTTGTAAGCACTATTGACCCTAACTCTCATCATCATCATTTCAGCCTGTTTGAGTCCACTGCTGAACATAGGCCTCCCCCATAGACTGCCACGAAGTACGATCCTGAGCCACCTGCATCCATCGACTTCCCGCAAATTTGCACAGGTCGTCACTCCATCTAGGGGGTCGTCCCACACTGCGATGGCCAGTACGAGGCTGCCACTCGAGAATCTTTCTTCCCCAACGGTTATCGGTTCTACGAGCTATATGGCCGGCCACTTCAGCTTGCTAATTCTCTGAGCTATGTCGGTTACCTTTGTTCTACTGCGGATGTCTTCGTTACGAACTCTATCACGCAGAGAAATACCGAGCATAGCCCGCTCCATAGCTCGCTGAACGGCTTCCTCATACGGCCAGCAGTGAAGGACCACTCGGTTCCGTAGGTCATCACTGGCAACACACATTGATTGAAGACTTTAGTCTTCAAAGATTGAGGTATATTTGACGAGAAGATTTGCCGTAGTTTCCCGAACGCTGCCCATCCGAGTTGGATTCGCCGATTGACCTCTGCGTCGAAGTTGGACTTACCTAGCCGGACTAACTGTCCTAGGTAAATGTACTCGTCAACAACTTCGTGCTCCGTGCTCCCAACAACAACCGGTATAGGCGTGACATGGACATTACACATGATCTTCGTCTTTTCCATGTTCATCTTAAGGCCCACCCGTTGGGAGACACTGTTGAGGTCATTGAGCATAGTACCAAGGTCCTCCAGGGATTCTGCCAAGTTGACTATATCGTCGGCAAATCGGAGGTGGGTGATGTATTCGCCATTGATGTTAATACCTCGTCCTTTCCAGTCCAGAAGCTTGAAAAAATCTTCCAACGCAGCGTTGAAGAGTTTCGGGGATATGACATCACCCTGTCTTACACCCTTCTGCAGTTGGATAGGTTTTGTACTACTGGACTGTATTTGGATGGACATCGTAGCCTTGTTATACAAACACCTCAGTACCTCGATATACCGACAGTCAATTTGGCACCGCTGAAGAGCCTGGAGTACCGCCCAAATTTCGACAGAATCTAAGTCTTTCTCATAGCCCACATACGCTAGGCACAAAGGCAGATTATACTCTTCGGTCTTCTGTATAATCTGCCGCAAGGTGTGTATTTGGTCTATGGTACTGAAGCCTTTTCGGAATCCGGCTTGTTCGGGAGGCTGGAAGTCGTCGAGTCTGGAAGCGAGACGATTCAAGATGACTCTTGAGAACAGCACATAGACGTGGCTCAGAAGGGATATCGGTCTATAGTTCTTCAAGAGAGCGTTATCGCCTTTCTTGAAAAACAGCACCACCACACTTCTGCTCCACGCCTCTGGTGTAGCACCACCCCGAAGGACGGAATCTGAAGGACTACAAGTACCGGTTCTCCACCCGCTTTCAGAAGCTCTGCTGTAATTCCGTCCTCTCCTGATGCTTTGCCATTCTTAAGGTGGTCAAGAGCCATTCTAATCTCGCTCAGACTGACGTCCGGTATATTTTCGGAACCCTAACTCTATTTATCCGGAATACCCTAACGCTATTATGTCCCAGATTAATCGTACGGCATATCTTATTACAAAATATGACAGGATTAGTATGTGCAATGGTCATGAACGCTGACGGCAAGCCTAAAACCCTGAACAAAAGCCCCCAATAACTCGGAAATAATCGCAAAATTGATGGGGCAATATCGAAAGTTGCAATTGCAATGGTAAAAATACCCCACAGGGGCGTGTTTTTTAAGAGTTTATCGGTTAATAGATAAAATTTAGAAACATTAAAATTTGCAGAAAAAAGTACGAAAAGCTTTTCGCCGCTGTGGTAATCGAACCCACGTCTTCGGGACTCGCGCCCTGACGCTTTAGCCACTAAGGTTTATAAGGCTAAGACCCATCTAAGATTGGTTGTTGGAAGCATTCTTGAGACACAAGATGTGAAACAAATGATGTACATACCTCCCACGCGAGGGCAGCGAGGAACGCTTCGTACGCAGGGCTGCCGCAGCGATTCGAGAGGATTTCGTTTCGCGTCTCCTGTCCCTTGCCGACGTATATGACAGCCACTTTGTGCGTTTCGCGGCACCTGTAACGCATAAAGAGAAGTGACGTACAGACCGTAAAGTACATAGCGGTGCGGTACTTGCGCAATGCTGTGTGTTTTGGCGGACTTTAATAAGTTTTTTGTTCTTAATGAAAGATATGATATAAAACTTTGTTATTTTTAATTTTCTGAGTTGATCGATAAAAAGAATTCTTCTTCAGAATTTCAAGGCAAGAGTAACAAAATTTGTATTTAGAATGTTGTCAACCGACTTCAGAAAGGTTCAACTACATTTTTTTTTTAATGTATATATGTTCTCCCATTGCTCAATTACTGTTGATGGATATTGAATTTTGTTTTGTTTGAAAGGGTATTTGTTTGAAGAGCCGTGATAGCTCAGTGTCCAGGCGCTCGCCTTTAATTCAATATACTCGAGCAACCTGAGTTCGATCCCCGGTGCCGGCACAAATGAAGTTTTTAACTTTAAGTGCTGACTTATCACGTGCTCCGCGGTGAAGGAAAACATCGTGAGGAAACCTGCATATTTTCGAAATAATAACAAAAAAAAAATATTTCGAAAGTATGTGAAGTCCGCCAATCCGCAGTGGGGCCGCGTGGTGGACTATGCCCTGATACCCTCTGTATAGAGGAGGCCTTTGCCCAGCAGTGGGACATGTATTGGCTGTTACTTTACTTTACTTTGAAAGGGTATACCGTCGAAGGGGTCTCATATTAATTTCATTGGAATTGTTCCTTCAACCCCGACATACATCAGGGAACTGCTCAAAATCAAATTGAAGTCCGTTTCGTTTTTATTAAATAAAAACGATTTACTTGGTTAAACGAAGCTAATTTACGGGTTTCATCGCGTTCCGATTTGATTTTTAATTCACAAGGTTTCGAACACTTTGCAGCGTTCGTGGCGTAAAAGTTACATTTACCCGTGTGTATTAGTCGCGTAAAGGCAAGTAAATGATATACATCATGAGGTGGGTTAGTAGGCGAGATGACGTCACCTCAGAGCGTCTAGATTGCGCAGTTCCCGCAGCAAGCGATCCGAGCGCCGCAGGAGTTGAACGTGCGCGCGCCTAGATGGCGCCAGCGCGCCCGTCTGCGCGAGAAACTGGCGGCACAGGTCGAAGGGCCCCGCCGCACTCGAGTAGCCAGTTGCACAAGTCTCCGACGCGTCAGACTCGTCGTCGCTGTAACATCGTCGCCACTGGAGATTGAGACATTGATCAAGGTTGCCAAACAATGTGGTCAGAAGAAAGGCTCTCGAGTTAGTAAGCTGGAGTGGCGATGGGAAGAAAGGCTCTCGAGTGGCAGTTTTGTGCTGGTTATCGTAGTGTCGGACGACCCTCACTATCTAGTGATGGAGTGACGACCTGTGCAAGTGTGCAGGAAGTCGATGGATGCAGATGGTTTAAGATCGTGTTCGGTGACGGTCCGTGCGGGAGATCTATGTTCAGCGGTGGACTCAAACAGGCTGAAAGGATGATGATGGGTTTCGATAGTGGTCTTTGGCTTAAATGGTTTGCGCTTTAGTTTTATATAATAATGTTCGTCGCGGAGACCTTTATAGGGAGTTTATAGGCATACAGGACGATTCTATAGACGACGATATTTACAGAGCATATGCAGATTTTTTTTTAAATCTGAATCTGGTACGTACTTGTGACCTCATTTTTTTTTCTAAATTATATTTAATTTTTTCAAACATTATGGACACCCTATTAAAAATTTATTTGCCTTATGGTCTCAATACAATAACCTATTCACGAGCACTAAAACTGTTCGCTGAACGCATAATTACTATAGCGCTTATCAATAAGTACTTATAGGGTATTCCTAACGGTATAACTATAAACAAACAATGTTTGAATTGATAATTTTCTGGTCATTTCTTGTCAAAATAAAAATAAAAATATTTTTTATTAATTATGGAATGCTCAATTAACATCATGTCAAAGTATATACTTCGTCTAAAAATCGTCCCTGTATAAATTCTGTTGTATGTACCACTTCAAAGGATTTTATGTTAAGGGATAAGCATTATACAACACCACATACAACTAAACATTGTGATAGGCTCATCATTGCTTTCCAATAAACCGACTGAAAGGAAGCATAGAACGTCTAGATAAAACCGTCGCAAGATTTTACACCGCTGCAACGACTTGAAGCTGACGCTCTAGCCACTGAGCTGCACGGTCGTCGTGCACGCCACGCAATAAACTCGTCACTATAAGCAATGCTCTGCGACAAACCTGTCGCGCCGCTCGAGGTAGAGGCGCTCGGCGTTCCGGTGGGCGACGAGCGCCGCGACAAGCTCGTCCTCCGCGCCAGGCGGAAGCGGCGAAGCGCCCGCGCCGTCCAGCCGCCGCCCGCACGTCACTTCCGGCGACGTGTGCCCGATGTACGCCAGCACCTGCGTACGGAGAGGACTTATTAAAGTAGCAGTCTATAAATGTCCCACTGCTGGGCAAAGGCCTTCTCAGTACAGAGGGCATTAGGCGATTTATTACAAAAGAACTCGATATTATATTCTAGTTAATCACTACTATTTCAATGATGTATGTTTGAAACATTTTTTTTTAAAACATTTCGGATATTACCAATTAAAATTGCCACTACCTATACAATTACACTAGTTATTATTACAAAAGATTAGAGATAATTATATTATTAATATAATATATTTATTTGTTACTCATAATAATTTTTAACACCGGACAAAGAAACTCATGATAATCTAAAGGTAGTTACAAGTAATATAAAACAGACAACAGCAAAGTGGTATCTAATATGTGTTCCCAGTGGCCTGAGGTGACACTTTTGAACTAATCTTACAATTATTTTTTATTGTATTTTTACTATTGTACTACTATAAAATCCTATGTAAACATTAAAAAGACTTTGTAATTTCTATATATTAATATATCACTTACATGGTCTAGCTGATGTTTATCAGGTGGCGAATTCTTGTAATCAGGTAGTAGATCTGGGGGTAGCGGTGGTGGCAAGGAAGACAGGGTATCATCCCTTGGGCTATCAATGCTAGAAAGAATTGATTCGACAATTGAAATCGAAAACTTACTAAGGATTTATATTTAAGTAAGTATCAATCATTATGGCTTTTTCATCAGGGTTAGTGGAACGAGTTCGCGGTCACGCATTGTCTCACATTGTGGAAGGACCTCCTATAGATCCAAATCTAGTACACAAATACACCGATTGGACGTCAGTTTAGCCGTTTTATTTATTTCGTTAATAATCACCGAATTGTTAATAATTAACATACATTAGAACTTAGCTCTTGTAGAACTTTTGTAAAAAAAATCTCACGAATAACACGATAAGTATTTTTACTTACGTATCCGGAATTGTTAGTGGTTGAATTTCCTCTGAAGATGCGATAAAGGGATCGTAATACAATGCCGAGGCGTCCCAGCAAGCTTTGCCGGCAATGTCGCGTAGAAGAATTCTTACTTGGCGGTCAGATGTCATTAAGCCTGAAAATGTAACGAATATAATTTCCTGAACACAATATTATTATTTACAGTAGTAGTGAAATTCGTTTATTAAAATTTATGAATTAAATGTGGACGTTGAAAAATGAATATATCGCGAAGATGAACACCAGACAACGTCGATATCTTCTGTACGGAGGTTTGTCTTTGTCCTGCAGTGAGACTTATAAGCAAAGACTGTTAATTTAGCATATGCTAAAAATTGGTCGAGTGGGAAATCATCTGACCTGGGGTGGTGGCTGGTGCCTCCCTTGTTCAGATAAGACCAGACTATTTCTGGTCCAAACGGTCAAAAATATCCAACACTTGTCCTATGGACTTTGGATATTGCTTTACTATGCTGGAAATCGGTCGGGTTGGCGGTCTACCGACCTTTGGTGCCGTTCTTTGTACAGAGGATTGCGACCGGACGTGGTGCCACCCTGATTCAGATAAGTTTGCGTCCAGAAATAGAATCAGTATTGGGTGTTTCTTTATTATGCCGGCAATCGGTGGAGGTTGCGGTCTATCATTCAGGTAGTGATCCTTCGTACAGAGGAGGCTTGCACGTGGTACATGCAGGTTGAAATTGCAACTGACTAGTGTTGTGCCACCCTTGGTTAGGTAAGGTCGTGTCCGTGATATTACAAGTATTGGATGTTGCGTTATTACTCCGGAAATTGCGGTCTACCGACAAGGGTTGCGTCCAGAAGTGTTACACGTAGTCACACGTTCCATTCTAACTGGCACTGACCGGGCGTGGTGCCGCCGGCGGGCATGTCCAGCGCGGGCAGCTCGACGAGCGACGCGAGCGTGGCGTCGCTGAAGCGCATCAGCTGCACGTGGCGCGCCTCCAGCACCGCTGGGCCCAGCTCGGCGCTCAGCGGCGGGCTGCTGTCGTGCTGCTCGCAAACGCTCGAGGACAGCTGGCAGCCGCCCCACAGCGGCCACTGCCCGAGGAACAGCACAAGCTGCGTGCAGATCTACACACACAAACAGCATTTTTAATTAGCCGCCTTCAAAAAAGATGGAGGTTTTTAACCGACTTCAAAAAAGAAGGAGGTTTCTTATATTCGACCGAATACACTTTTATTTCTTTTTCATGTGTGTTCGCGGATAACTTCGTCATTTGTGAACCGATTTCGATGATTCTTTTTTTTGTTGTAAAGGAGATATCCCAAGGGTGATACCATGATAAGGAAACCCGGATCTGATCTGTCCCGGAGAAATCGAGGGTAATCCTCAAATGTTATAGGTGTTGACAATGTTTTTAGTTTCCTGTTTGAAGTTTGTTTTTTTTTGTTCAAAATTATTATTTATGTGAACAGTTGTCAACGGAAAGGTGTAACACCACGACCGAATTGTTGAACCGATTGACGTATTGGGTAGTGAAAGTAACCCGTACGCGCGTCTGGGTTCGATGCTTACTTCACAAAATAATTTCGAGCGGTGAGCGTTATTTTATTCCGGTGTTTCGGTGTTGATATAGCTATAATATGTATTTATTTACAAAAGAAAAGTATGTTTATGTATGCTTATCGGTTACCTAGTACCCATGGTATAAGATTAGCTTAGTTTGGGACTAGATAGCGTCGGGTAACATGTGTCCAAAAAAGTGAGCTATCGCGAGACGCCTGGTAGACGTGAAACAACGAAATTATTTTGTGAAGATAATATCCACGAAAGGATAGTTTATGCAAGGAAATAAATACGGCATAGTCAAAAAAAATTCAGATTTAATAAAAAAGTATAATTATCTTTTTCTTATTCTTAAAAGAAATTATATCACATAAAACAATATATTCATTTAATATCAAAATTGAAAAATGTTTTCTTTGTCACTTGCGCATCGCAATGTGTCACCACCGCCAACAATGGTCTGACCCCCGATTAAATGTTTCACATCAAAACTTCTGCACAGAAGTAATCCGAAAAATGGAAAGCTCACTGGTGCTTATCTCTATAGTGCAAACTTACCGTCTGTGCCCATATCTTAACGTCGATGGTGGAGGCGGGCGATGTCTTGGGTCCCAAATTGTCCAGTTGAATATTAGGGTCGAAGTCTTCATCGACCGGCAGGGTTAGGCCTTCGATGTCGGAGCCGTTGGTGCCTTTCATGACAGCGTATAGAACCTGGAAAGATATTATCTATTGTAAATAGAACGATTTCATACATTTACATATATTAATAACATTAACGCCGGGTTTTTGAAACACTGATCATCGTAGTCTTGTCATTTGAGTTGCCAAAAGGATGGTTAAATAAGCAATACATTTTTCGCATACGGTAACGCTTGCGATATTAAATAAAATTTATTAAGTATTATTTTTGAGTGTTTATTGAGTATTATTTTTGAGTGGACATTGATTTAGTTTCAGTTAATAAAATAATTGTTTATAATGCATAAATTGTACAAAAACTAATTAATTTCATTACGGCTTCTTTGGGATGTCAACCAAATCTCTTTACCTCTAATTCACCTCTCTTATTTATAATTTTTAAAATACTAACATCCGACCTGACAAAGGGACAATCCTTTTAATTCGATTTATCAGTAGTATATTTTTTAATTAATTAATAAGCCCATTTTACTATAAATCATCAATCATACCATATTTAATATCGAACAAACTCTAACGCACAGTTTGATTACATCCAAACACGTTAATTGTGGAAAGAACAATTAACGTTTAGCTAGTGAAAAGGAAATCTCGAATTGCGAAACCGCAAAAAGCGAGAAACATTGTGATCTCCAAATAAAACCTGAATAAATTAAATGGGCCTAAATCGAAACGCTACGAGTTAGCACTAGACGATTTTTGTGGGACACCTCTCGACTCTTTCATTAGCACCCTGTTACGTACAGAGAATGGTTTTGTCACAGACCCACCGAGGGAGTTTAAAACGCCGTCGCGCCTCCGTTATGGCACATTCGGCAGCTGAACTCTGCGGACGCGGTCCATTCTTGTGTAAAAACAAATTTTCACCGCAAAAAACAAAATGCAGAAATTCGTGAGTACAACAAACAGATATAGCAATATAAATTTATCTCCGTTGCGTTTTTATTTAAACTAAAGTAACTAAACTTATTAAATTTACATTTATTAACCTGTGCGAAATTGAATAATCACCAAATAATATTTTATTAATGTGTAAATAAGAATTAATGATATAAATTACAGTAAAATTCAGTCTACGTCTGTATCTTTCGTTTAAACAAACTGTCAATAGATCATGAATTCTTCATGAGAATTTTTTAAATGAGTATTTTTTTAACGAAAACTTTATTCTATTTGTTTTTTTCGTCAATAGCGGCAAACAGAAGCTTTTAATGCTCTGCTTGAATAATTAAATTCGAAACAGAGTTATGGAAGTTACGACGTTCCGACCAAAAAACACTTGGAGAAATAATCATTATGGTCGTCAGCCCGTATCAGTCCACTGCTGGGCAAAACATCCTGAGAGAAATGATATACAGAGATAAATATGGTCGATTTGCAGGTGCTGTGCGCCCTTGCTCTTGTTGCCGTAGCTGCGGCGGCGCCCCAAGAACAACCCCACCAGAACCCTGTCTACATCCTGAAGCAGGATTCAGACGTCAGCCCCGATGGCTACACCTTTGAGTAAGTACAATTACCGTCAGCTATTTTTTACCCGACTGCATAGAGAGAGGCGCAGTTTGACTCCGTAGCGCAGTTGAGAAGATATTGGCTTCGGCGTTGGGGGTCGTGGGTTCGATCCCCGCACGGAATAACAACTATCGGTGGGTCACACAAATAGTGTGACCCACCGATAGTTGTTTCGCATCTGGGTGTATGACCGCGTGAAATTTATGTTTGTAAAACGTCCTTACAACCCAGGATAATGTTATCCTAGAGGGCAATATTTTAAAAAAGAAAAAAAATTATGTAAGATAGTGGCAAGCGACCTGGCGATTCACCTAATATTAAGTGTTAGTCGTCGAGCATGGAAATTTGCAACACGTTTTAATAAAGTGGGGTCCGGTTGCCTCACTTATCAGACGAAACGCAGAAGTATAATAACACTACTTCTTCACTCCATTTTCTCTTTCTTCACTTTCTTTTGACAATTTTCGACAAATGAGGTGTCATTAATGCGTCTTAGTTGTAACAATGGATATATTATTTCAATATGGTTTTCGCGAAAAATAATAGAGGATTAGGTAGTATATTTAATGCCGTTTTTTTGTTATGTTTGCTTACACTTGTTTAAATTTCTTTCGAAGTTAAGTCCTTTAGTCCGTTCATAATAATAGTCGTATTGCAAAATCAAATTGTTACCAGCAACTCAATAAATCATTTAAAATCGATGAATCTATTAGTGTTATCCGTCTATTATAAACCTATGTAAAATTTTTAAAGATCACAATTATATTGCATTAAACAATTCAACTCCTGCTAAACTGTGAACAGAAGTGTTCAACATTTGGATCATTAATAAAATTTTAACGCTTGTACAAATCGTGTTAATACAAAGAAGCTCTTCATATTTAAATGTCGTATATTTAGCTGATCTTTAGTCGTCCCCTAGTTTCCAGACCAGCGACGGCACGGCGCGCCAGGAGCAGGGCACCTTGAAGCAGATCAGCGAAGACCACAAGGCCCTGGAAGTGAAGGGGAGCTACCAGTACGTGGCACCGGACGGAGTCGTGTACGCAGTCACGTTCACCGCCGACGAGCACGGCTTCCAGCCCCAAGAGCACGTGGTGCAGCAAGACCAAGGCCAACAGCAACAACAATAGGAGCATAGCACAAGTATCGATTGACTAATACGCCGAAGCAAAGCCGACATGAAGCCTCGACACCGACTAAGGTGAACTGACAGGGTTAAGAAGATAATCAAAACATCCATTACCCACCAGCTGTTTATACTTTCTAATCGACCTGTCATCGGTTGCAAGGAGTTACAGATGATCTGAAGATATTCCTGTTCATTGTCGAGGTTTATGAGCAAAAGCAATATTTTGGATAGTATTTAGGAGACTTTTGGATACCTCAGAAGTCTCCTAAATACTATCAAAGTCTATATTGTAAACGCTCTCTAAGATAACTTAATATTGCACGCGTTTCAGTAATTCGATACAGTCATGTTATAATAATCAAATATGCACTTCCAGGGAGTGCTTAGCGTCAAAGCTACATCATTCTCTGCTATTTATCGCACGATTTTTACATTTTGTATACCAAATTTGTTTTATAATAAATTCTTATGCCGTTAACTACGTATTTTTATTACTGCACTAACAGAAATATATTGACATAATCTTAAAAACGATTTGCATCAACCGCCACTACACAATATATACATATACAATTTGCGATAAAACGAGGAGCGCACGGAACTATGATTCATTAAATTTGACATGAAAACATATTTGTGTGTGGCCATTAACGTCAAAAAACATATTACAATCTATTTTATTTCTTTTGTAGGTTAATTTATGATAATAAATAAAAGGACAATAAGATTTTTTTCCAAAAGATCAAGATGCAAAATGTAAATATTTTTTCACAGAAATACCGACGTCGGATAATAATTGATAGATACTGGTTCAATTTATACAAAAATTAAAAAAAAATGATATTGTAGAGAGGATGGTGATAAATTTGAAAGATATTTACTCATCTCATATTTCATTTCGTTTAGCGCTAATGCAATGTGTTATCGCCAAAACGAATTTGCGCATTCTTCGAGGTCATTGGTGTCACATTGGACTTTCGAAACTCCTATGACCGTGGCGATAGTTTTATTTTAAGAGGTGACAAAAAATTCTGTTCACCTGATGGCGAGTTTTGGCATTCCATATCCGTTCGATAATTCCCCGGACGGACCAGCCTGTTCGTGCAACAACGTAGGCGTCGCCCCACCACGGTTAGTTGCGTGTCCTACTACGGTGTACCTTGAAAATGGTCAAGAGCAGCGTCTGCCCCCCCTCTTCCTCCTTCATTAGGTGTGTCGGACCGCAACGCACCGCGAACTCTGCGAGACACAGCAGAAGGGACCCCGCTAGCGGCTTCACCGAGTCGCGGGCGCTACTGCTAGATATTTGCGCGAGGCAAGCGCATATCCATTTGATGATTTTCTCTAGTTGCCAAAAAACAAAACAATTAAACACGAACATACAAACAAAAAACACAAGAGTATAGAAATACATATAACATCAGGTACAAGTACATTATAACAATCAAGTATCAAGAACAGTATAGTTCGGCGCACTCAAGTATCAAGTACATGTTCATGAGCGGCGGTTATAGCTTAAAATCGGATGAACCGCCAGAAAAAAAATCAGTGAACATTCTACGTTAATGACGTAGACTGTTGACTAGTTTACTTATAAATCGTATTTTTTAAATGAACGTCCTATCATATATATTTTATTATAAGATTATTATTCCAACTTTACCGGCTAGTCCCGGATACAACTCCACGATGCGGTCGGTGTAGTCGGCCAAAACTAATATGGCATCGCTTACGACTTTTGCGATGGTTTTGTTTTTCATCTGAAATAAAATTGTCCGTTGAAAAAATAGTATCTTTAAAGCGCAGAATGTTTATGTCATCACGCATCACCTTATAAAGAATACAATATTTCATACAATGCTTAAAAGATAAATGTGTTTAATTTCAGTGAACTTGACGAATAAGCGTTCAATTAGGTTGTTAAGTAGTTATCGTTATTTTTTTAAAATATATTTACATTTACATTTAACATAACATACGTTAACATGTAACGCATCAAATGAAACATTTTTATTTGTCGCATCAAATGTTTTTAAGATTCCGTACCCAAAATGGGTAAAATGGGACTCTATTTTTCTGTTCTTAAATGACGGAGTTCTGAGGTTACAAACTTAAAAAAATACAATCGAATTGGGAACCTGATTTTTTGAAGTCAAAGCAGAAAAAAGTAAAAACAGCCTACTGCTTAGTAAAGGCCTCATTCGTATAGTATAGAGGGTATCAGGGTACAGTCTGCCATGCAAATTAGCAATATCGTCGAAATATTATTCAATTTTGTTTTTATTTATAAACTATGCAGGTTTCCTTACGATGTTTTTCCTTCACCGCAGAGCTCGTGAAATAATTTTTTTTATCCGTAAAATATTTTCATTTAACAATATTAGCGTAAAAACAAGAAATCAAAGAAAACCGTGCTCGGTGCACGTAACATGCAGTGATATTTTAATAAAGGCGGTCATCCAGTGGACGATATTCGACCGTAATTAATTATACATGGTAGTGTGTGTAATGGTTTTTTAATTGATTTCATGTATTTTTTTATGCATAATTTTAAAAAATATAAGCGTTCTGCACTCTTTCTCTATATAAACTATAAATGTGAGAAATTTCATACTCCTTCGTTCGCGCATTTTGTAAAGAGGGGTACAAAGTTTTTGCTTCACGTGTTAATATAAAGATATCGCGTGACCATACTGGGCGGCGTTGAAAAATTGTTCCGCTTTGTATTAAACTAGTTGGTGTCCACAACTTCATCTACGCAGGTTTAGTACTTCGTTTCGTAGCTTAATTTCATCTCCACGGTCTTATCTAGCTTTTATCAAAATTCGTTCTGCGGTTTTGTTGTGTTAGCGTAACAAACAGTCAAGAGTTACTTTGACAGACCCTTGTATCTTTATAAATTTGTTTTGTTTTCGTTTTAAAAAAACATTGCCCTTACTTTAGGATAACATTATCCTGTGTTGTAAGGACGTTTTACAAATGCGAAACAACTATCTGTGGGTCACACAAATAGTTGTCCCGTGTGGGGATCGAACCCACGACCAGCGACGCCGAAGCCAATACCTTGGCAACTGCGCCACGGAGTCGTCGAAATATAGCGTAAATTATAGCCTATGTGCTATTCTGATATATAATATTATAATAAAGTTTCATTAAAATCCATTTAGTAGTTTCTGCGTGAAAGAGTAAAAAACATCCATTCATACAAATTTTTGCATTTATAAAATTAAGTCAGGATAATTAACGATGACATATATAAGTGTATGTAACAGATGTTATATAACTTATGATACGGAAAGTGATAACAGTTGTATAGAGTTGCAATCTAACTGCAACACTATACACTGCTATCACTTGTGCGTCAGTTCCGTGTCATATCCACTTCGTATTTGTATATAAATTTCAATTGTTTCTATATGTATTTAGTTGTGAAATAAATAAATATGGGGTTGGCGTATCTTTATAGATAAAACCCCCATAAAAATAAAGATAATAAAAAAAAAAAAAAAAAATATCACTGGGCACCATGAGCATCTGCAGCAGGCAGGTGACGTAGGCGGGGAGGCGGGCGCACGGCTGGCGCACGGCCAGCACGTGGGCCACGTGGGCGGCGAGCGCGCACGCGCCCGCGCACCGCGCCGCCGCCGCCCCCTCGCGCCGGCACACGCGCACCACTATGTTCAGCACGTGCTCCTGCGCGGGTTGTGATACGTTCACTCCACGCATTCGAGCCCATTCGGCGCGAGGTCGACGCCCGGTTTCTTAAATACTTAACATCGTAGATGTTAACTATACAGCTGTGGTAGGGCCTCGCAGCAGCTTCGGATGTTGCACGAACGGGCAGGCTCGCCCACGTAAGTACTACGACGAAGTGAAAGTATAACAAATACTTTCGCGTTTCGTTTGGTGAGTGAGGAAGCCGGAGCCCAATTTTCAAAAGGTTGGTCAAAGTATCTGTAACCCTCGGGTGTAGCGGATGTCCACGGGCGGCGGTATTCACTTAACATCAGGTGAACCACCCGCTCGCTTGGCAACTTTTAAAACTCGTTGAATTGATAATTAAGATCATTCTGATCAATTCAGAGAGTTTAACCATCCTTTTGGCAACTAAAATGAAATTTGAAAAGCCATTTGACAGCTGATTAGTTGACATCTACGGTTTCTGAAAGACTGATGTTTCAGAAACCGGGCGCGAGAATTGCATGACACCGTGCCGTGTCATGTGTCGCGGGTTCGATTCCAACACGAGAAAACTGTTTGTGTGATTTGTACGATCGTTTCGGATCTGGGCGTTTGTCCTCGTCAAATGTATGCATGTAAAACGACTTTACGATGTTACGAAGGGAAACCTTCGAAAAATAATCGACCCCCTCACTACCGTCAAACCTTCTTGGGAACAAACACACAGTTCCGGAACATCTGGGTACTTCGTTATCATCTCTTATACGTACAAATACTTGCTCCGGAGGAATCGAACCCATAAAACGTGAAAGAAGCTACCCAACAGCTTCTGCTGATGCAGGAATGGTCCCTGTCTATTCGTCGTCATAACGAAGTACCATGAAGTACAAAAGACCGCACTGAGGTGAAAGTTATACTTTCGCATTACGTCTGGTAAATAAGGTTATCGGGGGGCCAATTTTTAAAGTTTGGGAACGCATTTGCAACCACTAGTGTGTAGATATCTCTTTGGTCTTCTTCACTACATAGTATCAAATAAAAGTCACCCCGCTGTCTGTCTGTCCCTATGTATGTTTAGATCTTTAAAAGTACGCATCGGATCTTGATGCGTTTTTTTTTAAATAGAGTGATTAAAGAGGAAGGTTTATATGTATAATACATTGCACCTGTGCGAAGCCGGAGCGGGTCGCTAGTTGCATATAAAATATACCTAGGGCTAGGCCCGAGTGCACTGGATAATTTACCTTGAGGTCTGGACAGGACACGGTGTTGTACTGGTGAGGGTACGGCTGGAGCATCGGCGCGTTCATCAAGTCATCGGGGAGTGCTAAAAGGGAACCAAGGAATGTCACAGCCGCCGTGCGTGGACACTGCAATAGTAAGTTTTGTGAATAACTGATAATATAAATAGTAATAATGTAAAGCGAAAAGGCATTATGTATTTACAAAGCCAGTAGAACCGTGTGTTTTAACTTCTTAAAATGTGTTAGAATAAAATTGTAATAAACCAAACTCCAAATAACAATTTCGTGAAAATGGAAAGCTATTAGCGTTTTTTGTACTAAGCTATTTTAATATTATAAAGAAGTAAAATTGGTTAGATATATGTAATGTCATCTATACTTATAACATTTACGAACTTAATCAATAATTAATAGAATAAATTGCAAATAAGAATACTGCATCTACAAACAATAAATTGTCTTACATCTATGCTACTATTATAAAGCTAAAGAGTTCGCTTGATTGTTTGTTAGAACGCGCTAATCACTGGAACTACTAGAATCATTTGAAAAAATCTTTTTGAATTTGATAGCTCAATTCTTGAGGAAGATCATAGGGTATATAAAAACACACTACAACCCCCCAATTCTTGAGGAAGGTTATATGGTTGATTTAAAAACACGCTACCACCTAAGGGGGCGGAAACGTTTCGAAAAAACGAACAGCTAGTTAAAATAAAAGAAACATATTTACGGTGTTCGGGCCATGAAACATTGTTGCACGAATGGGCAGGTTCGCCCGGGTAAGTACCACGACCTCACAGAAGACCGGCGTAAAATAGAAGTGTTACACTTCTGCGTTTCGTCAGGTGAGTGAGGTAGCCGGGGCCCACTTTATTTATAGGTGGCAACGCATTTGCTACCTACGAGTGTTGCAAATGTTAATTGGTGGCGGTTATCACTTAACATCAGGTGAACCGCCAGCTCGTATGCCACTTTCTTACTTAAAAAGAAAAAAAAGACCATTTTATTAATAAACTACTAGTATTATGATATTGATATTAAATAGGTAACTAATTACATTAAAAAAGACACATCAAGTGTCACCACTCACCGACGGTCCCATATCAGACGAGTTGAGAACGACTGTTGAAGCGTGGACAAAGTCCAAAAGGAGCAGCGAGTAGCCGTCGAGGGCCAGGGAAATGTATCGTGGGGCCGCATGCTCCACTAAAACGTCCACCACGGAGCGATCCTCGCCAGTAAGGCCTGCGAGAAGGAAATTTTATTAATATTCACGCTAACAGTCACTTGTCTGTGTGTTTGGTGAGTAACCAGTTTATATTTTAGTATAAATTTTGTATAGCGTTGTGTTGACGCGATCGATATGCGACAGATCTTATTCCGCCAATATTGGATATGCCAGTAATCAAAGAACTTAACGTAGTCGAGTTGAACAGCCGAGAGAGAACTACTGGCTTATAGACAGAATAATAGTCGTTGACTAGTCGAAATGTATTCCTACATTCATCTTCTTTACTTAATCATCATCATGATAATTTTTTATATTTACGTGAATACCATAAATAAGACTATTTTTATGGAATTAAAACCGTTAAAATAGTTTCATTTAGTAACATAATGATTTTTATGTTAGATCAATTGGGCGAATTGGATTGATTTAGATGTTTAATCAATTGGGCTACGAATTAAAATATAAACTTTTACTTGCAATAAGCCCCATGCGGGGTTTGGGAAACTGAAATGTTGAAAGGCCGACATAAAAAAGGGCAACCCCCTTTTTAAGTTGGCCTTTCCTAACACCCTGAAAGACTGACATAAAACGGGGGTTGAAAAGATTGACATAAAAAGGGGGTTGAAAAGATTGACATAAAAAGGGGGTTGAAAAGATTGACATAAAAAGGGGGGATGAAAAGTATGGCATAAAAGGGGGTGTTTAATAGACTAACCGTGATGCAGAGCGCGCTGGTAGAGGTGCAGATGGGCGAGGTGCAAGCGGTTGTTGCAGGAGGAAGGCGCGCCCGGACCCTGCGCCTGAGTTGACTCGCACAGCAGCCTCAGCGCTAGCAGCTTGCCAGCCCTGGTCAGAAGAGAGGGAAATATGCCAGCAGTTTTGGTGCCCTCTGGGCACTACAATTGAATTCAAAATATCTTTATTCAAATAGACGTTTGCCCGTTTCTATGAGACGTCAAATTGTACATAAAAAATTTATACAAAAAGTAAACAGGTCGTTCATGGGGCAAGGTGTATGTATAATAAAATCCCACAGTCGATATTAAGTCTGCCACTTGATGAATTTAAACGAAAAATTAAAAGTAAACTTATGGCTAAAGCCTATTATTCTATTGCTGAATATCTTGACGACGCCAATGTGTGGGGTTAATACTGTTGATACTCACGTAGGCTAAAACAAGACTATTGTACATGTACTATTATATTGTAAACTGATTTTTTTTTAAAAAGAGCAACTGTTGAGTTTCTTGCCGGTTTCTTCTCAACAGAAACTGCTTTCCGAACCGGTGGTAACTTACGAACGTGTTCATTTCTTGTAAAATTTTGACGTTTCATAAGAACGCGCAAGCGTCTATGTGAATAAAGATATTTTTTATTTATTTATAAAAGTTCGTAAGTAAGTTACCACCGGGATGAAACGGCAGTTTCTGTTGAGAGGAGACTGGCAAGAATACTTATGTTAATGAATAATAAATACTTATGTTTACCCGTGGAACTCAGCACGGTGTAAACACGGTAACAAATACACAAAGTAAAATTATCATTAACAATTAACATCTGTAAATGATAGCTTTAATGTAACTCGTGGCACCTCAAGTTTTGGAGAACATTTGTATGGGATGACGGCGTATGCAAAGCTTTTTTGCTTGTATGAAGTGCACGCGTCTGTGCCCACTATAGCCAGAAAGAGTAGAGTCGTGAAATGATCAATCAGTACTAGCAGTTTAGAGGCATCCATCGGAAAAGAGCCTAATCAGAATTCTAATCATCACAAGCAAAACTGATTCCACCGTGTCATCACTTTAAATTATCGATGCTAAAGACTTACAAATAAGATAGCATTGAAATAAGAAATTGGCATTTCGAACTGCCTATTATTTGGCCACAAACCATAAAATGCATTCATCAAACCTGTGGGAGGGCGGTAATGCTTCGGCTTCGAGGCACCATCCCGCCACCAAGTTGAAGGGCACGTGGATCTCCGTATTTCCATTTAATGTCTGGTTCGCGCTTATCTGCAACAAACAATATTTTTCTTAAATGCATCGAATGTATCACCAATAATCTGCACTATAGTGCCTAAAATAAATGTAGTGGATGACAGACCAATGTAATAATAAGCATTTATTTACGTATTTGAAAAATCAAACAGTTTGTACACCCGTAAATAAGAATTTAAAAATGTATACTATTAATGAGTTATACGAAGTTAAGTCTATTACTTTTTGTGGTGTAATTATTTTTTACAAAATAACTATTCTACTGGTGCCCTGTATAGTATCCAAACAAATGACCGGTGCAGCTTTTTCTTAAAGTTTTATGGTTGTGGTGATCTTTTATAAATATAAATCAATATTTAAAAAAAATAATACAACGTAAAAAATATTCACAGAAAGTTAGATCAAGTAGAAAAGGATCAAAACAGATCTGTTCACACTTTACCTTCACGCGGGCAATATGTTGTTTTTTTGTGATTATCTTATCTCCTTTTATTGAATATATAAATAAAATCAGTTCCTTACAACACATTACTGGTGTACATTATTATTATTCAATAAAATGCTTTTGGATAAATAACACACAAATTCGTGTATTGTTAGCGCTGACTATTTTAACGACAATAAAATACCAAAAATGCAGGATTTAAAACTATCAAATATTCCATTAAAATTGTTTAAAACAGTTTTTAAACCATATAATATGATAAAGATTCTTAAATATAATTTACCGAATACTCAACGCATCGATCACATATTATATACAGACGTCATAAAAAAAGTTGTCCTACCGCCAAAACGTGAACGTGAACAATTAATATGTAAACAAAGTAAGGTCACCTTTCTTCTGATTCTCCTCAGGAGCCTCCTTTTTCCTGCTTTTCTTTCGCATTGGCACTCCTTGAATAGTTTCGAATTGGACAACAGCTCGCACACTTTGAGCAACACCATACACGGGAAGAAGTGTTATTAGGTAATGACAAAATTTCCGAACGGGGAGACATGCACGCATGAAAACAAAGGCACATGATACGGACGATTTAGATAGAGGCGGTGTTTTGTTTCGACATCTGTGATCTGCCAAACGCTCTCCGATAGGGAATGATGGACGACGCGAGCATTTCGCATTTGCGATAAAAAATTAACACATGCCAATCGATGTGGTTTCGTCGCGTACGCTGAGGTAACGGTGTTAGTTGTGTTTACGTATTTATCGCGGGCGAACGAACCGATTTATCGTGCAACTTCATTTAGTACACTAGTGTAAAATATGACCGCTATGTAAATGATTTCTTTCCTTTGGATCAAAGAAAATTCAATTGTTAGTCGAGGCAAATATTAAAATTTATGATCGTTGTCTTGATATCATTTCTAACGTAATAGTGTATTAATGTCAAGTAGTGCATAAGCCTTCGGGTAACGGGTACTGGTGTTTACGTATTTATTACGGGCAAGCGAACCGATTTATCGTGTAATTTCATTTAGTACTTTACGAGTACTATGCTTTAGCATTGTAAAATATAACCGCTATGTAAATGATTTGATGAAGCAAAGAAATGTCTAGTAGTGACTAGAAATTCTTAGTAGTGTAGTCGATGAGATCTAATTTTACAAGTATACTGTGTATAAATATTTTTCTTATTTATTTTCATATAAACTTAGTTTTGTTTATTTGCTCAGGTTAATTTAAAAAAATCTATTTCGGCAAATTTAATCGGTCTTATTCAATTTAGTTGTCTTATTCATTTCAGTCAAAACCAGTTTAGTTGTGTTACACGTATAAATAAAATTTAAGCATGTCATTCTCTTGTTATCATTATATTATTTGTTTGGAGATAAATTGTTTGGGATTTGTAAAAGTTCTTTGGTTTTGTCTCTATTGTCTGTTAAAACGTACTTTTTACCTATAATTAAGGTACCACTCATCACTTTTTTGCAAACCTTGTTTATTTATTCAGTTACGGCATGTACTTTGTTGGTGATAAATAAATTAATAAATAAATAAATAAAAATAAAATCTTCGTAGCATTACTTTTGTTTATTTATTACCTTATTTTTGTTATTACATTACATCCAAGTTTTTATAATATATCTCCGAAGTTTAGTTAAGCAATAAAGCCCTGAATAACTGTTTGAACGATAACTTTAAGATAATTTAATAAATAAAAAACCCAAAATTTATTTATGCTAAATAAAAGTGAACAGTTGTTGGGATTTTCGCGCCATCAGGAGTATGACCGCTTATCTCGGTTGGTTAGAGCGTCTGGGTGCGTTACAAAGAAGAGACAGGTTCGAATCCCGCAGCGCCGAAAAATGTTTCGTCAATTTATCTATTAAACTATTTAATATATCTATTAAACATTTAAATTGCATCTTGAGGTTACTGTTTATTAAAATTTATCCACTTAAATGCGCCTCAGTGAAGCAATTTATACGCGGAAAGACACGTTGCCATTCTTATAAAAATGTTTTTTTTTTATGTGAAAAGTTGCCAAACGAGCAAACGGTTCACCTGATGTTAAGTGAATACCACCGTCCATGGACATCTGCTACACTCGAGGGTTCCGGATGTGATGATAACCTTTTGGAAATTGGGCTCCGGCCACCTCACTCACCAGACGAAACGCGAGTATTATAGGTCTTCTGTGAGGTCGTGGTACTGACCCGGACGAGCCTGCCCAATCGTGCCACAGCAGAAGCTGAGCTACCACCAGCCAGTTGCTTTGGACGAAACTGATAATAATAATTGTTAAATAAACTCAACTAGTCTAGAAGGTCCAAAGCAACAGGAGTGACAGACGCCCATGCTAGTATTATGCATAAAGTTGCATAAACGTATGTAGAAGATATGTGTAGAATCAGCAGCAGATATGATGATATAGAGATAACTTATGTTGACCGATGGGAAATAAAAGTTTTCGAGTGGCGACCATGAACCGGAAGACGTAGCGTTATATTTGTATTTTGCGTGGAAGGGGTTGGGTCCCAAGTTCCCACGATCACTGCGGCCTAGAAGATCTATTATAGTCTTCCCTTTGAAAACCAAAGGGGCAACCCTTACTGTAGCATACTGTAACATATCCTATGTTACAAGGATTTACATACATAAACTTCACGCGGGAAAACACTCAAATTCGATAGAATTAGAATCTGTGGCTCATACAAGTAGTTGCCAGTTGGTGTGGGAATGAAACACGCGGCCCTTAGCGCACAAGTCAACTACGCCACGGGGTCCATCAAGGCGTAACGTTACAGGGCCTCTTAATAAGTGGACCGACGACATCGTAAGAGTCGGCAGGCATCTAATACATGTGAATGACAAAGTGACGTCAATTGTAGACGTCTTCAGACTAATTATGATAAGTAAAATGTGCAGAAAGAATGGACGAAAAAAGTTTTTCGCCGCTGCGGGAATCGAACCCACGTCTTTCGTATTCGCGCCAAGATCTTTTATCCACAAGCTAAATTAAAGTATTTATTAATTAAAATATTATTAGTAAGCTGTATTTTCTTAACAGGGTGCAACCGACCTTGAGCAGCGTCGAGTTCAGGTGTATGAGGTAGTTGAAGAAGTGCGCGTGCGCGTGCGGGTCGCGCAGCTGGTTGGGGTCGCCGAGCGAGGCGAGCATCCGCCGCCAGAGCACAGCGGCGACTGCGGGCAGCCAGCCGCGCGCCTCCCCCCCCCCCCCTGTAGTCTCGGGCTCATTGAATAGGGCTGAGGTGTCCCCTGCCTGTTGTAAAAGGCGACTAAAAGGGGACACGGACTGGCAGCAGTACGAAGTGTCCTCGAGCTGTTGCAAGATGGTCAGGGAATCGGGGAAGGTTTATCCTGTTCCAGGGCGTGCTCTCATGCGCGTGTAGACTGATGAAGCGATTGACTTATTGAACTGGAGTATAAGGGTCTAAAATATGCAACCTGTGTTCTCTCATTGGTATTAATCAATTATTGGAATTTAAAATTAAAAGAATCCTTAATAATTTTTTTATTTTGAGGAGTTTAGCAAAAGTTATAAGTTTAAAAAAAGAAAACTAACCAACGTTACCACCGTCAGAAGCTAAGTCAATTTGCAGAGGCGAGTCTTTTATAGAGCTACTTTCAACCCCGCTAGATGGCGCCGGCGATGGGGAACGAGAACCTGAGATTAGGAAGAAAATCTTAATATAAAACAACAAAGCAACTTAAAAATGAAGAATAAATTTGAACTACAGTCAAATTACCGCTATTAGAATCCCTTTCTTCTTGTTGCGAAGATTGTCTTAAAGAGTCCAATGAGTACCATCTCCTCGGCTTGTTGATGACTGGTTCTTTGGTTTCTTCCACTGAGAAAAGATATAAATTTTTGTGAATAAGGCAAAGATTATCAATCTTTATTAACATTAGGTGAACCGCCGGCACGCTTGCCACCTTATCAAATAAAAAGATATATGCACCCCCTAAACCGGTTGGTCATGGGAAGAATACCCAGGGGAGATTTGTTGTTTGTACAAGGTCCATTTAGTTGTGTGTTTTACCAGCAACCACGTGCAACTGCGTGTGTCTGTCTAGATGGGGGTCGCTGCGGCAGCGCTGCAGTTGACGTCCGCGCACAGTTTCCTTGCGTGAGTGCGCCTCGTTGCCGGGTCGCGGTGATTTGCCTGTCGGGATGGAATTTGCTTGTATAATACTTTATTGGATGCACATTTATTCTACACACTAGACTACGTAGAATAAGAAAATATTTTTTGGAACAATGTATAAGATTCTACAACGAAATCCCAGAAAACGTTCAAAGATTATAATTGAATATTTGTGTGTTAAAGATTATCATAATTTTAGTGATTTTTAAATGATAAGACATCGCTGCAGGTTCAACGTTGCAACGTTTCAAATGGAATATACATTGTGTTGCATACATATTTCATTGCCAAATAATGGTATTAAAAATAATCCTGCCGAATTTCATTCGCTAGTTCTACTCAGGTCAGTTGGCTTTTCTTTTCCGAACCGGTAGCAGTATTTTGAATATCAAAAAATTTTGTTAAATTGCTAACAGACTACAGTTAAAAATTGTTCTCGCACTTTTTTGGTACTGATTTTTTCATTACAGTCAGCATAGATGCGATGACCACTGCGTTAAGAGAGCGGACGGCAATACGTTTGCGCGGGAGCAATAGAGACAGGCAATGACGGGTCAACGAACGAAATTCTTCTTGCTCCTAAGCTCTTGACGGCTTCGGTGCCAGGTGTCGTGCGTTCGATTCCCATGCGAGACAACTATTCTTGTGACCCACAGATTGTCGGATCTGAGCGATTGTCCACGAGAAATTTATTCATGTAAAACGTCCTTACATCACAGGACAATGTTGTCCACCAGTAAGGGTGCAATGATTTCGAAGGGAAGATCACAATATATGTTCTAGGTCGCGGTGTTCGTTGAGACTTACTACTCAACCCCTGCAACGCAAAATAAAAATACAACGCTACGTCTTCCGGTTCATGGTAGCCACTCGAAAACTTTTATCGCCCATCGGTCATCATCAGTAATCTCTATATCATCATATACATACTCACAGGGGACGTAACGCTAGTAACTCACTTTCCGTAGGTAATGCAACGGCTCGTAAGCTCGTTTTGTTTATATAGGAACCGGGCGCCTTTTATCTACAAATCGTTATGAAAGTTACGAAGCTATGTAAATAACGGCCGTTCGTTGAATATAGGAATCGGGCATATATCATCACACACATACTCAGAGGTGACCTATCTGATCGTAGATAATCCAAGTCGAAGTGGTCGTTGGGACTTACTGTCCAACCCCGTCCACACGAAACACAAATACGCGTACCTGGCGTCCGCGAGTCCGGTGCCATGAGGGCGGGGCGGGCGCGGGGCGCTGGGCGGGGGAGGGGGGCGGGCGCGGGCGTCGGCCTCCTGCCCCCGCGGCCGCGCGCCTCCCCCCCCCCCCCGCCGGCGCCCACGCTCTCCGACAGCTCCAGCGAGTACACGTGGCGCGCCAGCACTCGCGTCAGCGTCTCCATCGTTTTCTGAAACAACAAAACGGTTTTCTGTTTGTAGCAAAACAAAATTGCGTTCGTCCGCATAGTTTTCCTAAATAATAGAGATTTATTTTGTTTAAGATAACGATTGTGACGCAATGCTCATGCAAATACAAATGTTCTTAAGTAGAGCTTTAACTAATCATAAAGAAAATTTTTATTTATCAAAAAAGAACATTACATGGTTCACACGCTAAACATATAGAATATACTGAAAACTCTAAATGTGTAGATAAATTTTCAAAGATAGTTTTCGCTGCTGCCAGGATTTGAACTAGCGCCTTCCGGGTTACGCGTCCAGAGCGGTCCATATCCTCACCGTGCGAAAATCTCGACCACTTATCTACTTTATTTTTCTTGCATTTTTAGAAAAACTTGGCACCATCTAATGCGCTTCGTTTAAAGCAAACATATTTCACACAAATGACATATTGGAAAAATAGAGATGTGGCTTTTGCCATTCAAATTAAATTTTTATTTTCATTGCTAGTCTCTGCATTTTACACATTTAAAAATAAAACTTATATACTGGTTTAAAGACAATGGTAATTAAGGACACATTGCCACGATATGCGCTTAAACAGTTTTGCGAAAAATATTATTTCATGTCAAATGTTGGCGATGTTACATTTTAAGCAAGCACCATTATTTACAAATTAAAATATTCTTTAAGTTTTTCTTGAGAAACCTCTTCAAATCGATTGTTTGTCATTTGAATATGCCATTTATATAAAAACATACACATAACAACATATAAATACATACTCGTATTATATTCGTAGTATAACCATTATGAATTAATAAATTTTCTTACCGCCCATTCCTTAATGAGGTCTTCCCAGTGGGTCAGTCGTGTCAATAGCTCCATGAAACTTTGCCAAAGCTCTGGTTTCACTGCTACATTTAAGTTGGCTTTGATCCACGTCACAATTAATGTCTGAAATAGTGCTGGTGCTAAAAATCCTCCTGTGGACAACATTACACATAAAAGAATACATTAATGATATTGAGAAAACACAGAATTTATGAAATATTAATTCTTCTTTATCTCATCAATAAAGGTGATATATATTTTACACTTATTCATAATATTTTATAAATAGTGAGGATTCTCTACTCACCTAATGTTTCTTGCTTTCTTTTGGGAACCACCTTAGTCAACACCAATGATGTGATTTGGAGAAGTACTAACAGAAGTTGCTCCCTGTTTAAAAATGAATAATAATATAAATATAATATATTACTACCATAGTCATAATTGTCATCAACCATACACATTAGGAAGTAAAAACGAAGGCTTCTTTTTATTCTATTTCAGCTGGCAGTTCACCTGATGTTAAGTGATAATCGCCGCCCACGTACATCTACACCTAGATGCATTGCCAACCTATTAAAATTTGGGTCCTTGTTACAGCACTCACCATAACAAACGTGAAAGTATAATACTTCCACTTCACGCCGGTTGGTCTTCTGTGAGGCCGTGGTACTTCCCTAGACGAGCCTGCCCATATCTTGTTTTTTAGTTTAATTTTTGTGTTTTAACCAACTGCTGACTACTTAGTATACTTTTTTTTGGTTTGTATTAATGCAATCTGTTTTTATGAACATGAAACATTAGGTTAAGTGTTTATAGATTGTCGGGCAGTTGGTTCAGTAATGTGTGCCCATTGTTTAACATATTCACTATATATCTCTAGGGGACTTTCTTTTTGGTCTCTTAAATGTTGAGTTCCTTCTCATTAAGTTTGAAACCAGAGAATTTGGATAAGAGTCCAAACTGTTCTTGTATGATTTCATTGAATATTTAATCTCTTCTTGTACTGTTCTAAATTCTAGATTGTGGTGTAGTTGTTGGTTTAATATGAACCAAGAAGCATTAGTTGTTATTCTCAGCATTTTGGATTGGAATCTTTGAAGTATTTTGTTATTTGAGTTGTGATTAATGCCCCAAAACTGTATAGAAGCAATTTATTTTCCAATGATAGCTATGATTTTTTTGTCCAGTAGCCAGTTTGCCTTAGTTGGATTCCCAGTGCTTTTTGTTTTGTGAAGATATGAGGAGTATACTAAGTGAGGAAAGTAAGTAATCATTCATTAAATTCAAACTGGCTATGTCGGGCCACATAAAAATTGACGTCATTTTAGATTTGAAAAAATATTGAACCCTAACCATGTATTTGCGTCCATGGCGACGTGCATGACCATGTAGCGGTAAATGTTCAGGACTCGTTTGCATGTGTCCGTCTGCTCCTGTAACAGCTGCTGCTGTTGATTGGTACCGCCAGGTGGAGCCACAGGTGACGGCGATGCCAGGAACACGTTTGCCGCTTGCGTCATGAACACTTGCAATATGTTCTGTGGAGCAGCAATGTAGATATGATTAATTAATTTTGAGTGAACTTAAATATAGTTACAAAAAAAATTAATTAATCTCATCCATCATTCAAAGAACGTGATATTTTATATCAATTATGTGTTATTTTTATGTGTTTTGTTAGTTATCACGATGGGCCTCAGCATAACTATAATATCAAAAAAACATAATTAGCAAAAAGTTTAAAAATTAGACATGACATTAACATTAACAGATACATCAATACCTATATATTTGTATACAACATATATATATATATATATATATATATATATATGGATAAATATTATATATTTGTGACTAAGCAGTTACTCTGCATCAGCAAATTATGGATTGCTGAAGGAGTTAATAAGTTGGAAATTAAGGGATATTCCTATACATACATAGTTGACCTCAAATAAGGTAGTCCTCTGAGATGTATGGACACTCATACAAATATAACAACATACTAGATGAACGGAACCCTTCGTGCGCAAGTCCGACTTGCACTTGGCCGGTTTGTTCAGTTTAAACATTGCCCTTACTGTAGGATAACATGATCCTGTGTTGCAAGCAAGGGCGTTTTACATACATACATAAATTTCACGTGGACATACGTCCAGATGCGAAACAACTTTCTGCAGCTAGTAGTCACCTGCATCCCGGCCCGCACCAGCACGTCGCGGTTGACCGCACCCAAGTAGGAGTCGTTGCGAAGGCGACGCGGCGGCGCTGCCGGCTCCCCACTCGCCAGCTGCTGCTCGTACGTGTTCTCTATCAGGAATGGCGGGATTTCGGATACCTGAAAAATGGGAATTTAATCATCTTTATACAATATTATTGCTAACTATGGATAAACGTGTTTTTATTTTATTTTATACATCAACTTACAACTATCATAACAGGCTATATCTAATGTGATAGTGAAGTTCAAATACAGTTTAACAGATAACATATAACTATAACTAAAACTGAACACTGAGAACATGGAACGTAGCCAAGGTGAACACGTAAAAAAAAGGGATGGTGCTTATGATGGATTTTATTGGGATAGGGGATTTCATTTTAAACTTTCTTTGAGCCTTTACGTCTGTGACGGATGATTTATATAGTGTGTGATTGTAGACACTTTCTTTGGTAACTAAACAGTCCAGTTCTGGACCGATACAATCTCGTTCAATGTGAGTAAATGTAACGTGGAGAAGAAGGGCAAGGTGGATGAGGATCATGCCATTCACTTCTCTTGTGCATATGAGTATAGATACATATTATATAATTCTTTATATAGTAAAGACTTATATAATATTCGTTATATCTAATATATAAAATTGTGGTGTCACGGTGTTTGTAATTGAACTCCTCTGAAACGGTTCAACCGATTTTCGTGAAATTTTGTGTGCATATCGGCCAGGGTGAGTAATCGGACAACATCTATTTATATGAATATTTCATCCCCTAAATGTTAAGGGTGGTCCAACCCAAAAATTTTTTTCTACCTTCCTACAAATAACTTATATGGCAAAACAACATTTGCCGGGTTAGCTAGTTTTCTATATATGTATACCTAAATATAAAACGACTTCTTCTTGTTCTTTCTTTCTTTGTGGTTTCTCTTTAAATAATTCTGCCAATGTCAAGTCAGTCATGAAATGACTTCTTTATATAATGATTCCTAGTTTTGTGAATGTTGCATATAAAATTTTATTATTTTAATTATTTATTCTTTATTGCAATTACCTTAAGCAAGTATTACAAAGGGCGAACTTAATGCCTTTTGGCATTCTTGCCCAGTCAACCCAGGGTGTGGTGAGAAATCGTTGTAGGTGCAATAATTATATTAATTATTTATATGTATTGAAAATATACAATATAATAAATAATTAAACACATACATATATAAATAAATACATGAACACATACATATATAAATAAATTATACATAAATAGTTTCAAATGTCCGTAAACAAAGTTGCATTTATCCATACCTTTTTTTAAATATAAATCCTAAGTGAATGTGTACATTTACAGTAAAAATATCAATCAACCTTTCAATCTTTCACTACCTTATTTCTAACACATTATATGACGCAATTCAAACACTATTATGTTAAATACACAACATTATCGCGTGCCTATTTCTAAACAGGAGTTCTTGAATGGGTGAGTTTACTAACATTCATTTGTATCCAGTCCTTGTAAAGTCCGATGACTCGCCTGACTGCTGCCGCATGCGAAAAAGGCAGTAGGAATGCCTGACGCAGAACCTCGATGGTGAAGTCGACGTGCTCCCGCGACGAACAGCAGAGTACGTCGCGGACAACTTGCTCGGAATTCAATTCTTCGAAAATACCCGAACCTTGAGGCATAATTTTATTTGGTTACCGAATATACTTTTTATTCTAATCAGTTTTAATTTGGCTGCAGCTTTTGCTGTTGCACAAATGGGCAGGTAGAAATGGAGGAGTAAGGAAGCACGCAAGACCATCGGTGAACTGATGAAGTAAAAGTATTTGTAATTTTGCATTATAATATATCTGGTAAATGTAAATGAGGAACTTGATGTCCATAGGCGGCGGTAATCAATTATTGCTTTATTTTTTTTATGAAAAAAAAAATGAAGAAATAATTGACTACAAGGGGCAATTGGGCAGGATGCTCACCTGATGGTAAGTGATCACTGCCACCAAATGAACATCTGAAACACCAGAGGGCTTGCAAATGTGTTGCCGGTCTTTTAGGAAATAATATGCTCTCCACTTGAAGGTTCCCAGGTCATAACAGTTTGAACACTAGGTGAAACACCTCCTCGTTATTCATCTGCTTCTATAAATGTACCTGATTCCAGACTTGGATGGGGTGTATTAGAGGCGGAGTCATGCGAGGATGCTCTGCTAGAGTCAGATGGCTGCCCCACTGTAAAGGAAGTTTCCTCCTCGTGATGCAACGACGTTGCAGGAGTAGGGGTGCCGGAGTGGGGCAGATGTGAGCCAGTGCTGGTCATTGACGACGGTTGCCCACCATCACTGCCTTGGCGCTTCACGAAGTTCGCGTAGGTAGCCACCCATTTTATGAGCGTCACACGGCATATCACATAATCATCTTCTAGAATATTATGCTGCACTGGCAATTCTGAAATATTAAAAAATATTGTACTGAGAAAAAAAATATCTTTAGATTTGTCCTTTTTTTATTTAATAATCTTGCTTATATGAATATTGATATTTTCAAATCATTAATTAAAAACTTAAAATTAGAAATGGATCTCTCCATTTCATGCCATAATGTGAAATTTCTTTTTTTACTGTTAAGCCTAAAAATATTTTGTTAATACTTACCAAGATTGGGTTTATACAGTGAATTTTTATAATTGAACTGGGGGCAAATTATTGGGAGATAGTATATTTTGAATTTCTCTAGTAAAAATGCAAAGTTTCTCATTGCTTTGGCATGTGACCTCTCTCTCCAGTGTATTTTAGTTACAGATGTTGCCATACCATCTAATAGTATTTCAAAAAAATATCTAGTTTCATTATCAACGGCCCTCTCATTAGCACTTGGTGGGAGAAGAGGCTGTATTTCAACACTCTGAACGGGATTGAGAGCATTGGTGTCATGAAATATAGAGGCAGATACATTGGCCAATCTTCCCATTATACCAGTAGGAGTTTGTTCCACAACAACTTTCTTTACATTGTCTGAAGACGAGTTGAAATTTGGATGTTGCATGATATCTTCCATTTTAAAGTCACCTGTCTCACTTGAAATGTTTGTTACTACATCATAAGGTTTTGATTTGAATGGAGATCCAATAGGTTGAGTAGGTGATTCAGGCATACCAGGTACTAGACCAGCAAACATTCTATGCACTTCATGTGGGGCATTATCTCCAAGTGCTTGGTACCACAAAAGGAAATATCTGAAAGTTTTTAAATCTGAGTTTTAACACGATTTTTGCTATAGTCTTAATTAAGTGCATTTTTTTTAATGAATATTGCATAAACTGCTAAAGCAATAATTAAAAAATATGTTTAATAAACTTACCTTATTGCCTCTGCCCTTAATTTCTGCGAATTTCCACCATGAAGGAGTTTTGAAAATATCCTTGAAAGAGAGTGCAACTGCCATCTTTTTCCGAGAAGCTCTGGTAGGAGGCATAAAACTTTTTCCAATAGTGATAATGCTCCTTCTAATTCTTCTCTACCAGCTTTATGCACTAAAACACACAATCTAAATAAGAAGTTTGACTCAGGTAATCTTTGAACGCAAAACTTCAATATTTTATTATTTTCTTATTATGTAATAAGCTGAAATAAAAAGCATTAAACCCATTTTTCCAAGCTATTTCATAATTGTTTTTCCTTCTTAAATTAAAATGACTTGCTCATTAGAAGCTGTTGATAATGTCATGTAAATTAAAGTGTTAAATCTTTATGTATGAATTACTGGTTCACCAAATGTAGTCAAAATAAATGATAAATCAAGGTGAATACATAAAATATTATTTATTAAATGGAAAATCAATATTAATAAAATGTTTATTCAGTAATGAAACTGATTAAAATAAGCCAAAATTAAATATGCTTCATTTTCACAGAAATAAATACCAAGTGTTGTTAGAATGTTAACTATATATATTTGAGTAATTCTCAATACCACAACTCACCGAGATGGAACGGAAGTTCTGTTTCGCCAAAACAAAAAGAAGCCGATTATTTATTGCAAAATGTACAATTGTTGGGATGGTAACAGAAACTTAAATTAAATTTTAAATCTAGTACAATATTCAAATATGTTGTTTAACTGATTAATTAATTTTTTAATCATAATGTGTGTTATATAAGGTAACTTTTGATATAATAAAAGTGTATTGCTGTCATCTTCTAATTAGAAGAATATTTTTCTCTATAAAAATTTATGAAACTACTTTACTCACAAATATTCATATTTTTACGATAAGAAAGAAATGCAATTATTACCTCTTTGTCGAAGATTGTTTTCAGCTAGAATGAAGTTATCATATAATATAAAATATACATGGCTAAAGTTGGCTTCAAAGTAAGTTTTGGATTCATCAGCATCAAAATGTTCTGAAAATAATTTTAGTTTACTTATATATTGTTAAACAATTATAAAAGTAGGTGAGGATAATGCAAGAATTATGATTCTTCAAACACAATTATATTCTAAATATTTTTGTTTGAAACTACTTTGTGTACTAAAACAAGTACAGCAACGAACACCAACTACAGTTATTCACATCTAATTAGCATGTTTAGAATGAAACGTCAAATGTGGTTTAAAAACTACAACTTGCAATTAACTTTAAACAAATTTTTGGCTTTTGTAAAATTGTTAGATAAGACTGTTATTCATTTACCTAAAACAATTTTGAGGTGCTTCAATCGGGTTGTCGAATCCTTCTTGGAGTCCTGTATTTTAACTGTGGATTTTTTGACATCTTGATGTGATTTTTTGGTAAACATATCGCGGTCAGTATTACAAATCTACACTGTAGAATTTTCTCATTCTTGGTAATATTATTACCATATCTTTACATTGTTTTTTTTGGATTTTACACTATACATATCTCTCATCTGTGCTTTGAGTTTTCACTCACACAAAAGTCATAATTCCTAAGTTGACGTAAGCCGTATTAACTTTTTATGGGTTTGTCAAAAGACAGATGTGTACTGCCTCTGCGTATAAAGCTATACATATTTAATTTAGTAAAAAAAAAGAATATTCTTACTAAATAGGTCAAAATAAATTTTATAAAAAAATGTTACATCAAAATATTAAGTAGAGAAATTTTAAAGAATTGATCCATTTTTCTATGTAAAACAAATAAGGCAATGAGATCATTGAAAAAGCGATACTTAATTTTTTGCTATTCTTTGTTTTTTTTTTAGAGCGGTTGATACTATTTACGGTGATAGTGATACGGATATAGATTTTACGGTGGTAGGGCCACGCAGCAGCCTCGGCTGTTGCATGAATGGGCAGGCTCGTCCGGGTAAGTACCACGACCTCACCGAAGACCGACATAAAGTGGAAGTATAATACTTTCGGGTTTCGTCTGGTGAGTGAGGTGACCGGAGCCCAAGTTTCAAAAGGTTGTCAACGCATCTGGAACCCTCGGGTGTACCAGATGCCCATGGGCGGCGGTATTCACTTAACATCACGTGAACCGTCAGCTCGCTTGGCAACTTCTCACATAACATTTTTTACTGCTTAAGTGTTCCAAATCTTCCATAACTTGATAAGTTTATTGTTGAAAGTAAATAAATTTTATGATGCACAATTTATATAACAAAGGACATGTAAATGCGCTGCAAAATTACAAATTGCACGCTTCATAACGCGGAGTGATTAAGATTGTGCTCTACTCTAGACACGTTAAAGTCAAGCACTTTTTTGCCCTTAAACTGCTTTTACCACAATTAATTGGCACTTATATGATAATAGGAGTAGATGTATTTCAAGAAATCATTTTAAACAATTCATATTCTGTAAAAAAAAATAATTTTAATTTGCTATTTAAAAATTACTGTTTAAAAATATTTTACGTGGATGTCCGGATTTTTTACGCGGTGGTCATCGTGACCGCGTAAAACTCAAGAAAAAACGGGAGTATCGAAACTGTTCAAATCTTCAGAATAACATCAATTAGTTACCTATTTAATATCAATAGTATAATACTAGTAGTTTATCAATAAAACTATTGCATCATCTTCTTACAATCGCCAAAGGCTTTGTTTCCAACCTGAATTGAATCCCAAAAAACTTTACAAAGTCAAAAAGATTTTATACATAACTAAACCTATTTTAAACTTATTTCATATGAATTCAGCTAAATACAACATATTGCTTAGTCTACATTGGGTCTCATTTGTTATCCTTAATCTACACTATATTAAGTAATGTCTTATTAATAAACGTCAAATCAAACTTAATCATCTATTCCATATCTTTGGATAGGTTTGCCTCTAAGTTTTACTTTACTTAAATTTCTCACTGACATTACTGTATAGGTCAGGGACATGGCTGCCTGCCTCCTGCACACATAGTGATTACTGAAAACGTAGTGATTACATTCTCTTTGCCTGCACATTGGGAATCTCCGGAGTAGCCTGACAAGAGGTGTCCACAATCTCTTTTCGCGTGGTCACTCTATCAATAATTGTGATTTAAGTAATTGCATATCGGCACTTACAACACCCTCCCTCATTTCAACCGAAATTTGAGGCGGTCTATTTGGGAACACTAGCGAAGATCGGGTCTGTCTAGACTGTCTGCTATCACTGGTATACAGATGAGCCTGTATTTTTACTTACGTCGCTCAACATTCTAGCCATTAATTGGTAAATATGCTTATGTACCTCGATTACATTGATAGATTTAACTTTATAATTCGTTGTACCACTTCTCTCTGTAACCGTTCATGCGGACCACTTATCCGCGCTATGATATTCTCTAAGCCAAACATTATCACCTGGAATAAACTACCTAACCGCACCTCTGTTAGCCGACTCCATTCGCCTTTGTCGCGCACCTTCTCTATTGTCTGGTTTTAGGCAGTCTAAACGCATACGCAAGCTGCGCCCTATCAGCATTTTGGCCAGGTTCTCTGCTGTTATGTAATGTTGTGTATTTCGATAAGCTAATAAGAATCGGTGTGTAATTTTCGACTTTAAAGCCTTTTTCATATTTCTTTCTTTTACATATTTTCACCGCGTTTTCAGAGTCTTCATTGGAGGCGGGTTGGCATGGAGCAGAGAAAACCTATTCGACACCGTTATTAATTATCATTTGCCATTGTCACTGTTTTGGTAAGCCGAACGTTGCCGAGCCACATTTCACTGGCAGATGAGAGATGAGAAATCTGGAAGAGGATATCAACTAGTTCCATTATATATTATTAAATAGCTAATTAAGGTCATTACGATAGTTGACAACGCAGCATACCGTACCGTATCTTGAACACTGGAAAGATACAAAATCAGTGGCATTTCAATTCGAACAATAATCCGAAATATCGACCCATTCTTTACTTCACCTAAAAATATGTTTTGTGAAAAATGTGATTTACCACAAAGAATTCAATTTGATTTATGTACTAAGTTTTTTTTTATATTTTTTTTTTTCATTCATCACTTGCACGATTTTTCTTAAAACATAATTATGTACTAAAGGTGGAAACTGGTAATTGGCTCTTTATACATATATGTTACAGTATTATTTTAAAATAAGTACCTAATTGCTGTAAGTTTTCCTAATGTAAATAAAATAAAAATAAAAAATAAATTCACAAAGGAAGGGGTAGTGTTCAAGATTGCGGTAGTTATAGGGGCATCAAAATCATGCGCTACACCATGAAGCTCTTACAACGCATCATCGATCTCCGGGTTCGCCGTGAGTGTAGTGTCTCTGTATGTCATTTTTGGTTTCAACCGGGATCAGGCACCATGTATGCCATTTTTTCTCTTAAAACTTTGAGGCATAGGTACAGGGAGAAAAGAAGAGGTCTGCATCTGGATCTGCAGAAGGCCTTTAACTGTGTGCTTCGTCAATGTTTTTGCATTCCGATCCAAAGGCGTCCCTGATGCCTAAATTGGCACTATCAGAAACATGCACTACAATTTATGCACTACAATTTCCCCTCCATGGTTAGGACCGCTTTTGGTGACACCAAATTCTTCACTGTGTGGGTACACTAGGGCTCGGTTCTTAGTCCGTTTTTGTTCAACGTAGTGCTGAACTCGGTATGCCAATGACATAGGGCTAGTTGACGAGAGCCGGCTGGAACCGGAGCAAAAGTGTCGCGGTCTGTGTGGCGAAGACCGAGTACATAGCTTGCGGGAGTTCAGACTCTAGCACTATCCAAATAGGTAAGGTAATGTAGCTAACCTAAACCAACCGTTAAGTCGGAATCGTTTAGATACCTTGGATCTGTTTTGCACGAGTCCGGAAGCATCGACCATGATTTCTAAGCCCGTATACGCGCTGCTTGGGCTAAGTTAGGGCGAGAAGTCACAGGTGTGGTCTGCGACCGCAGAATACCGCCCAAAAATAAATTCGAAGCAGCCTCATGGTCCGTGACATAGCGGATAAGCTCCAAGAGCGGCCCCTGATATAGTATGGCCGTGTCGCAAGCCTGTCGGAAAACTATATCGGAAGGATATGCCTTGATATACTATATGTCCAGGAGCTAGACATCCCGGACGCCCAAGGAAGCGACGGCTGGACGTAGTGAAGGACGAAATGAGAACCAATGGACTGACCCCTGAGGATATTGAAGATCGGGCAAAGTGGAGGAGTTTGAGTAGGAAGACAGACTCTAGCTATAGCCGGGATTCATGCCAGGTAGAAGAAGAAGACACCGAAGCGTGCTTATAATTTTGACGTTTTTTGCGATGGATCTTGTATTATTTCTTGTGAACTAGGGCCTCCGATCGTACACGGGGTTTGTTCTGTAAGTCAAAATTTCCAGAAAGAATAGGTATGAACAGTAGCTTCCCGATGCACATAATTAATCCTTCGAGTTGTTTCCGGCACCAAGCCACGGTGGAACTGGTATTCGTAAGTAACGCGATATTTTGAATTTTCCATATTGTGAACAGATGTAAATAAAAAAAAAATTGGGGTGTAAACAAATGAATCACTAAATTCCAAATAAAAATACACAAGCCTTAAATTGAATTCAGTTTCAATTTGGAATTCCTAGCCAAACGCTAGATATCTGAGAACCAAGTGGCCACTTCGACGGAACGACAATTTTATTTGTAAGGACCTAATTAATATTATATTGTGATGAATAATTTTATGTAATATAAACACTACCCGGCAATCGTTGCGATGCCACGTATGGAAGAAATGTTTTCAATTGTTTTTTTACTTTGGCTTAACTTTAGTTTTTTGAAACGCAAAAAAACTCATCAATGTTTTATCATAATAATATGATGAATAGATAACCGTGATAGCTCAGTGTCCGAGCGCTCCCTTTTAATTCAAAATACACGAGCAACCTCAGTTCAAATCCCGGTGCTGGCACCAAGTGCTCATCAAGTGCTTTGCATTGAAGCAAAAAATAAATATAATTAAAATATAATAATTAAAAAAATATTACTAAGACGTGTGAAGCCGCAGTAGGGCCATGTGGTGGACTATGTTCTAATACCCACTGTATAGCGGACTGCATATGGTGGTATTCCACTCCTTGGTGTGAAAAATCCGCTGATAGGCAAGGTAGGCAAGGCTGTTACTTTATGATATTGTAATAGTAACGCAAAATATTTTTATTTAAGAACTTATTACGGGTTGCTGACTTACATATCATATTACTCATTGGCGAAATCTCTGACATGTACACGAGCATATCACATATTACAAAAAACATCTAGTCGAACATAGAACCTCCCCCTATTTATTAAGGGAATACATTTTATTTGTGATCTAAAATTTGAGTTCAGTTAAAAAGATATACAATGCATTCTCTATCTTTTATTACCCAAAGAAAAGAATGCGAAAGATCAAACATACAAATATTAATGTCCGAGATAGGTTCGATACGTCACCTATTAGTGATTTTATAAAACTTGATCTCAACGTACTTCACTCAGTAGCAGCAGTCGTTCACACGTTCTTTTATAATCCACCCGTATTTATCATCGCAACTTATAGTTACTTGACAAGTATTTTATAATTTAAAACACGCCAACAAACCGTATTATATTTTCATAAGGTGATTTGTTTTTGATTTTAATGAAATTAGTCGCGCATTACATACACATTACAAAGGCTATGTATTCATTTATTTGTATTTTGCTAATATGCCTAAGCGCAACAACCGGACAAAAAATGGATAAAGGTGCGATTGGATTTCCTGAGAACGACGAAAACCCCAAATCCGCAAATAAACAGGTTAGAAGTGTTTAAGTAATAGTAAAATTTATTACATTATGATGTCACGCAAATGATAAACCCAATAATAAGTTCAGATAACAGGAACGTTATTTTAAACTTATTTGGTTGTCGTAAACTTACGTAAATGTATTTACATTTTATTACTGAGTACGTATTTTCATAAAACTTATGATACTAAAGTTAAGTATTATATTGGAACAATCTGTATTTTCGTATTTAAGTATTATTCGACTTTTAAGTATTATTACGAATCTTTTGTATGGGAATATAGAAAATGTTGTTTTTAGACTTTTTCAGGCTATTTTTTTAAATTTTCTCTCCGTAAGAACCAGAAATCGTACTCGTACTGCAAGGAATATAAAAAAAAGAATTAGCGAAATCGATTCAGCTGTTCTCGAGATTTGCGCTTAGCAACACATTCAGCGACTCACTTTTATACATAGAGATTAATTAATTAGTGGGAAAAGAAATAAAGCAGAACTCCAAGGAGTGCAACGAGCAACTGTCACAATGCGCGAATAGCGGTCACCAGACCAGAAATAGAAACCATCTCTCCACTTGCCGTGATAGCGCAGTGTCCGGGCGCTCGCCTTTAATTCAATATACTCGAGCAACCTGAGTTCGATCCCCGGTGCCAGCACCAATGAAGTTTTTAACTTTATGTTCTGACTTATCACGTGCTCCGCGGTGAAGGAAAACATCGTGAGGAAACCTGCATATTTTCGAAATAATAACAAAAAAATATACATATTTCGAAAATATGTGAAGTCCGCCAATCCGCAGTGGGGCCGCGTGGTGGACTATGCCCTGATACCCTCTGTATAGAGGAGGCCATTGCCCAGCAGTGGGACATGTATAGGCTGTTACTTTACTTATATAGAGGTAGTGTCGTTGCAAATATTTAGTAATATTGTTAATATTACAAGCATTTTTTAAAAATATAATAGTCGTTAAGTTATAGGCTTCGTCAATAGGCTCGCGGGTTCGAATACCACACGGGAGGAGTATTTGTGTGACCCATAGATAATAATCTGTTCAAGTCTTTTTTCTCAAGCTGGGTTGCCTTCAGGTCAGCCGATCGTAGAAATAAGGATACGTTGAAAGAAGATTATAATTAATATGTCTGTATGTTTATGTTACTGAATCTCACATAACGAATAAAATAATATTTCGCGTTGAAAGAGTTTCTGTCTCCAGAGAAAAATAAGTACAAGCTTGATTGTGAATTGTATTGTATTGATTGGAAACCGTGGTTGTTTATTATTTGATATCATCTATTATTATAAACTATCTGTTATATATAAAATACATATCTAAATATTATATAAAATTTTAGAAAAACATTTCAGAACGTAGATTAAAAAAATAGTTTAAGAATTGAGTTTGTCAGATATGAACACCGATTAAAGATTTTTTGATTACATTAATTTTAAATTATTCGTTTCTATTTCGGACGTGACCTTGAGAATAACGCCTGAATCGTTAATTTTAGTATTAAGGAAAATATAATAAGTGCCTACCGACAAAACAACAACTAAGAAAAAGAATAAATGTGGTGATTCTTTCGAATTACTACAAGGATGTTTCAAAATTATTATGACTTTGAAAAGAGGATTACGAGTTTGTTTAACCAGATAATGGAAAGACTAGTTAATTGAAGATATACAAAATAATGTTAATCCCACTACGACGAAATAAAATACCACAAATAAAGTATCAGTACAAAAGTTACTTTCCTGAAGCGATTCCGGTTTTGCAAAAAAAAGGAAATTAAAACATTAAAATTGTGCACAATATCTCAGTTGTCTTTAAATATTAAATTTATGTAGAAGAAAAATCATATTTTCTTTTTTTTAAGTGAGGAGGAGTTAGTAGCAGTTTAAGGAAAGGCATTTTACCTGATATTAAGTGATTACCGCTGCCCTGGACGCCTTGGATATCTACTATACCAGGAGAGTTGCGGATACGTTTCCATGTTGCACACAACAAATAATTGTCCTTCATGGTGGTCTTCTGTGAGGCCTTTGTACTATTGAGGCCCAGGACTATTGTGCCCATTGTTGCAACAGCGGAAGCTGTTGCGCGACCCTACCGCATTAACTTAATATGATGGATTTATTATAATAAAATATATTTTTTATATGCCCCAACGGTGGTAGGGCTACGCAGCAGCCTCGGCTGATGCACGAATGGGGAGGCTCGTACGGGTAAGTACCACGACCTCACAGAAGACCGGCGTAAAGTGGAAGTCTAATACTTTTGCGTTTCGTCTGGTGAGTGAGGTAGCGGGAGCCCAATTTCCAAAAATGTCAACGCATCTGCAAACCCTCGGCTGTAGCAGATTTCCATGGACGGCGGTATTCACTTAACATCAGGTGAACCGTCTGCTCGTTTGGCAACTTTTGAAATTAAAAAAAAAACGAAACAAAATATTTATAAAGACCTTTTTTTTTCTTATTTAAGTTTAACTTTTATTTTTAACTTGCCTCATATCATCGGATACTTGCGTTAGATGAGAAAGACATTGGGAAGAATTAGGAATACATGGAAATTAGGAATAAAACAGTTTGAAATTCAATGGTATTAAAGGAAACATTATCGTTAAGGGTTTTTACTGTGGTAGAGCCATGGCCGCGCCGCACCGGAGCGCATCCGTTGGGTGAATAGGTCGCCGACTTAACTGGGGAAATACCTCACACATAACGTATACGTTTGTCCCGTTAGATAGATAACCAGAGGTTCTCTCTCACTCTTTAAGACCTGGAGCGCTTTAGACCTTTTGGTTTTCCCACAAGGTCCGAGGTGGCAATAAAATCTTTGTAAATATGATTTGTAAAAATGGCGACAGGGTTTCTAAATTAATACCAGGACGTCGTTAGTATTAAACGTGTCAACTGTTTTTAACCTAATAGCTTAGATTAATATGCACAAGCAACTTATCTTTTATGTATTATAGATTAATTATTGAAGTGAAACTTCTTTATCGGGGTTGGAAAAAAATTTAGTGTAACATTTTTCCGTTACGCGCCATCTTTTTCTTATCTTAAAATGTTCCTCTAACACCATCTAGTGTTGAATAGGGGGTTTTATGTCGTCTTTATTCTTTAGTGGTTTTAATAGTTGACGCTAGATGGCGTTAGTTCCTCTGCACGTTCATAACAATATATATATATATATATATGTTATATTAAAGTGATCAGCAAAATCAAAGGGTTTATTTTAATTCTAATTCTAAAATGTAAACAATATATTTCGTATTTCAGTTACCATAAGCCATTAATAACACAAATATATAATAACGACATCAATGATAGTAATAATTCTATTACAACAAATCAAATTCAATAATAATATTTGTAGTAATGACAGTGCGCTAGCTCTAATACTTCGGAGCACGACACTGTGTAGACTTCCTCTTCTCCAAAGGCAGGCACCGCCCACCGTGACCTGACTGCGCCTTCCACCGAAGACACAACCTGAAGCTGACCGATGATGCTCTTCGAAGCCTCGATCGGCTCCTGGAACTTGCGGTTGCGACGTCCATTGCGTGCCAACGTCCGCAAGATCGGTTTTCCAAAAAAACTTCACTCACAACACTCGCGCGCGAGTCGAATGTCTGCCTTCTACTCACTGGCTGACTATGCGGCAACGAAGGACCATGTACAAATTCAAAGCGGATGTATTTTGGGTCCGTGAGGTTAATTGACATAAACAAGGTTCACGTTGCAAGTTTTTGAATCAACAATTTTTGCGGACCCTCATACTAATTACAACGGTCAAACCTTAGTGTGTTTTAATTTATTACTAACGCCACCTATGTATTACAAATAAGAAACTAAATATTATACAAAGCTAAAATGATACTTGTGATATGATTTTGATACTTGCTTTGAATTAATATACAGACACTTCAATTTGAGAAAGAGGTTTCAAGTTTACAGCAACAAACCTGATTGTTTCGTTTACAGAATCGTGTGCCGGTTTTCTTGCCAGCGAAGTGCCCCGAAAACGAGTTGTATTATCCTGGAGATCAGGATTCGGATTGGATATGCGACTGCCGACCAGGTATATGGTGGTTTCTTTTCAAAGCACGGCAGGACACATCTTTTCGACAACCGTCGTTATGCGTAATCTAGATAATATGGTAAATAATCGAGAGATTTGTTCCCTGAGACGAAGATCCCTGTCTCCAACAGTAGCCTGCCGCAGCCTAGTGTTAATTGTCGAATAAATCTGTCACATTTAGATTTTAACCTATAATTTTGAGCTATAATATAATAATGTAAGTACCTAATATGTACATAAAAATTCATTTAGTGATCCGCTACGAAGCTCTGACGGTATCGCAATCAAATAATAAAATTATTGAATGAGAACCGGAAAACAAAGGATAACCGCGTAAGTCGGACAGTTCTTATATTTATTTATTTAAACAGGCTTGCCAACTAAATACATAGAAGGAACATTTATTATTCTGATGTGATGCGCTTAAAAATTAACTTTAACATGGTATATATGCATTTAAATTAAATGTAAACACAACATCGAATAAAAGCTTTCATTAAAGGAGAATCGTAAAATACAATACTTTATATTAGAACAAAAAAAAAAAACGTAACTTATTTAATGTACAGATAATAGAAAAAGAGAAGAGAGAAAAGAAAACTTCCAAAATGAATAAAATAATTATTTGGTTGTGAAATGTGAATATTCGTTCTTAAATTCACCGCTCACTGACAGTCAACGAGTTCGTTAGCATTTAGCTTGTCGCATTCAAGAAAGAGATATTCTTGTGTTCTATATGCAATGATTATGTAGCTATAGTTTATACTATAGTAGAAGAATCATGGTAGTCCGTTTTTAAGGTGTTTTTACTTTTCATTTCGATCAGGTCGATACTGATGTTTGGTTTGTAATTCGCCATGCCTACCACCAGATTGCCTTTCCACACGGAGCAATTTTCATAATTTTGAACACATTAAGAGTCTTGCTGGTAGCGTGAGCGGAGGCCATGCATATGATTATTTTTATTAGTCTTACGCTGACGTCATTATATATCTTACGTAGGTTTTGTAGGTACTAAAGTAACGGCCTGTATTTTTTCTTAATATTCGGTCGTGCATATATCCTCCTCAATGAGGATTCATGGAGTCACGGATTTTTACAAACATGAAATGACGGATCGAATTCTGAATTACATAATGTTTGTCCCGTGTGGAAATCGAAAACACAAAACTACGTTTAGTCACAAACATCATTTAAATAATTCCTGACGTGTGCAGTTTAAAAAATCCTTATTCTTTGCTGTCCAGGCTGTAATAGGCGATCTCATACCAGAAACTTTACAATCTATAATATATAAAACGAATATTCATAAATGTATTCAAAATAGTCTGTAACATTAATACAGCGTGTCTTTACAATCGCGACAATAAATGAACACACGTCTAACGCTACTTGCCAATAACCATAAAAAATATTAATGTTAAAAAATCCATGATTAAAAAAACATTTTTCAAACAAACTTTGGAACAAAATTTGGAACATCCTATACAACTAAAACTGACTGATTCATACATTCAGAGACTTTCATTCGTTGCCATAGCGTCGCATTACAAGCATCTCCTTATAACAATATGTTTTGTCTCTTTCAACCCATTCCTAAGCTTTGTGACCTTTACACATGAACTTTATCTTACAGTTTTATACGTAAGGATGTTCTAAAATTGGTTGTTTTAGAAAATTTAATAACTCGGTAAATATTTATGTTTAAAGAATGTAAATTTTTAATACAATTTTAAAAATTTATCCCCTATATGTGTGTTCATTTATTGTCGCGATTATAAAGACACGCTGTATAAAAATGTGATATCCTTATCACTAAGCTTAATGTCTCCTAAGTTTCTAGTATAAGTTCAATATAAGGGGCCAAGTAACAGCTGCTTCTTTAGATTTGCGTTCAATCGTTTGAGTGAGGTACTCCTGCCCCACCCTCCCCGGTCAGTTGTTTAACCCGAGCTAATAACTGATCAATCTGCAGGACATTTGACTGGTGCTACTATGAGTTTTGCATGAAGTCAGTTCAAAACAATTTCACTGTTTTGTTTTATTTTCGAGTAAGATTACCTACTAATAGATGTTATGTAAATGTATAAGATTCTTAGACCTAAAATTTTGAATCCTTCAATTGTTGGGAATTGTTAGTAACAACAAATTTAATAGAATAATTGCTTTTTCACTCTCATATTCTGTACGTTAAGTCTAATGTTGGTATTTAAAAGTATATAGGCTATATTGGAGCGAGTGAAGCTGGGTACATCGAACATGCATTCGGCTAACGAAGTTGCCTTTCGTGCCTGTACAACAAAATTTAGTTGTTGTGTCAATTGAAATCTGATATTATTATAATTATGTAGTTAGCATTATTGCAATAGTTGTTTTGCTTAGTATTAAATATTTGTATTATATTTTAAATATATCTGTACATAAATTATATTATATGTACACTTTAATCACGTTGAGATAATGTCACATTATTATTAAGAAACATAATAGCGTTTTTGTTCTCTACATGGTTTTTAGAATATGTAATGTTTTGTACAGTAACTAGGCATAAATGATACAATTCTATCACAGGTTACTTGTATCATCCCGGTACTGACGCCTGCTGGCTGGCTTACAAGCGAGGCCCTTGCCCCGCGGGCCAGTATCTGGTCCTGCCCAAGACTTCTGTGATACCAATATGCGACAACAACCCCTGCATAGCAGACAACCTAGTTATGTGGCAAGGAAAGTGTGAGGTTCTCGGTGTGATAGCACCATGCGGTAACAAATACCCCCCGAAGGCACTGTGGGTAAACGCAACTTCCTTAGAAATAGAATGTGTGAAAATTTACGTTGAGAACAGGTTTGCCTCATCGGATAATGCGGAAGTGATAAGAACTCTATGCCCGCCAGGTTGTAAAAGGAGTTTAAATTTACAATGTATGCCTGATCCTAGAAAGTAAAACGACTGGGAGTTTTACATTGTGTGTTGACATTAACCGAAACCAAAGGTGTGACTTATATATTAAGTGTGTAGTATAAGTCTGGCGAAGCATCTATTCAAGAAAGTGACCACCTATTTCCCAACGCGCAAATTTGTTTGTTGAATGAAAGAAATAAACTTCTAAATAAATTATTAAAAAATTGCATATTACCTTTATTTCACAACAATTCATAGCAAATTGGAAGCGGCGCTCTTAGCAAATTCAAATTGGAGCGTGTAATCTATGGCAACAGACCGCGTCGTGTTTCGGTAACCATGGCACCCTACCACCTGTATACGCCAGCAAAATGGGCAGTATGTTTATTATGTATTCCTTTTCTTAAAATACTTGTGGACGCTCAAATTTACTGGAGCAACTTATTATGTAGACATAATCCTTTTTATTTAACTGTTTTACGGAAAATCTGTTAGTGCCACTGATTACTTTTTATGTTAAGAAGCAATTAGTTTCTTTTGATGAAAAAATCGTGGTGAAATAAGTGCTCACTTAATATATCTACAAGTTTTTTTCAATGGGGTGAGTATTAAATAGTTTGAAAAAGGAACACACTTCTTACGTTGGCATGTAACAGGTTAAAAAAAAGAATAAACCGCCCTACTCATCGACTCTCTACCTACTGTTTTAGTTTTGATATTTTTACGATAATTCCGGCGATATTGAATTTTCTTCATCAACGTCTTGTAAAAGTCTTAACCGGCGTGCGATTAGAAATAGTGACCTGGTAAGGCAGGCCGATCGTTTAATTTCTATAGAACGGCAAACAGGGGGCGAGCTTGGCACTATCGCGATAAATCTTTGACCCACTTCGACCATCGACTGACCATCGTTGTAGCCTGCTCTGATTAGTTAATGAATCCCAGGCGACCTTCGGGTCTATGGTCGCTTTTTACCGCTTCACTTATTTCTGACGGATGCTTATAGCATGTACATTGCGTGGACTTGATGTTATTAAAACAATTTACAGCAAAATCTCAAGAACATTCGGGTCTTAGCATAATTTTTTTTTTCAAATGATAAAAAAAAAAAGAAATGAGCTGTTGTAACATTTTCGTTGATTCAGTTCTTTCGATTTATCGAATGAGCTCACTAAAGACAACCCGTGCATACAAAATTTCATGAAAATCGTTAGAGCCGTTTCCGAAATTCAGGTCTCTTTAATTTCAGATCTCAGATAATCTTTTTATTAGTAATCAATGTCCTTTTGGTACAGTGGTTATTGTAAAAATATGTGTCAATTATTTTACAATAAACATATGACAAACTTTTGAACCGACTAGGGACCGGCCATTAATCGTTAAAAGTGATGTTTTTTTTTAACATTTTTAACCCCCCTTAGGTGAGGTTTCAGACTAAAAAATCACGTGTATTTTAAGTACTTAAAAGAATTTTAAAAATTTTAGAACATTATCTTTAAGCCGAGCCGGGTGGTCGTCGCGGCGCGCGAAGGTTTCGTACTTTTCGGTTTAGAAATCGCGCGTTTGACGAAAAAATAAATACACCTGATATCCTATTGCACCCCTCCCACGTTGTGATATTTCGTGATTTTTGCCGACCCCACCCCTTTTCGAGCCTCCCGTTATTAATGGAAAGCCCCCTGCGTTTTCTCTATTTATATGGATTTACTTAATGCTTTGATCGCTTTACGACGTAGTATACTTAGTATAGTGACGGATACTTCCACCGACGACGTTTACTAGACGCATCGACATCTTGACAGTTTGCACAGTACGGAAAGTAAATATTGAGAGTTCGAGCCCGCCGGCACTTGGCCTAGTTGGCTTTTAATTTGCTCTTTAATTGATATGTATAATGATAATGATAATGTTTGATAAACTGTAAAGTGTTTTGTATACATGGGTCTTGACCAAACCTTGTGCTATTATTTGAATTAAAATTGGAAGTCTTAAAGCTGACCTAAGTTAAAAGGTAACCTTGAAATGGTGACTCCGATTGAAATTGAATAAATCTTAGATGCGTTATTCAAGGTTGAATCTACAATTTCCCTTCTAATCCTGATATGTGTGTTTAATCTATGATTTTTTAAGATGATACACAACCTAAACGTTAAAAATCACGACGACATAAATCTAATTAAAATAAATAAACAGAAAAAAAATAGGAAAACATAGCTTTTTGCCCTGAATTAAAATATACTTCTGTAAATTTTACTTATACTATATTTTCAAGGGAACTTACTTTTTATACTATCTAATCAAAACTACTAGATACTTTATTTACTTATTATGGTCATAATAAGAAGGTAAATCTATACCTCACGCTGTTAATGTTAGGGAATACCGGTTTGATTTTATCATTAATGTTTTAAGTATCGGTATAATATAAAAGATAACCTATGACTTGAAATATCTCATTTATTGTGTATTATTTATTTATTTATTTATTTATACTTTATGCACACAAAATATGTACAGAGGCGGACTTAATACTATCAGCAATATCTACCAGTCAACCTTTGGGTGGTCCAGAGAAGTGTATTACATGCCTGTAGAGTAATAAATACAACAGTTTTTTCTGAACATATTGTTTGGTTTTATTAGTATTTACTTACATTAATGTCAGATGACACAAAGGTCGTATGAGTCTATTTACAGTGCTGGCTTGTTTTATCTGTTACACTCTTCTCTAGCTTAACGTTTAGTTAAGAAGGTATATTGTAAGGCAATATAATACAATAATAAAGCATAATTAAACTTGCTATATTTAGTAGCTGGTAATATGTTTGTTAGGAATATTTTTACCAGACTAAATAATAAATATAATCTTTAATTACAACAATTAATATGCGACTTAAATATGAAAAAATCCTTTGGTCTGTACGTACAGAATCATATTACCATGAGCAATAAAGAATTATGGTTTCTGTGGCCGTAAGCTGGTGAAATCGGGGGAACTAGGTCAGCTTTGCTTTAGATCTAAAGGGTACTTTGATAATTCTTGCAATTATTTTTTATTAAGTAGGTCAATTGCTATCTAACTCTAAATGAAAAGTGTAGGAAAAGACGATTTTGGAATTAAAATGATGTAAGTATAAACATATTGCACGCCGATATTGGGTAATGGTAAGAAAAATCTTGTTTTGATTGTTTGACTGTCGCAACCATAATTAATTTCTTATTGATAAGTTTCAGTTATTCATACTATTAATGTTGTAAGAAGACAATAGTAGCAACTTTGCTTGCTTTGTCTCTTTATTTTTTTTATGTCAGTGGTGGCAAGCGAGTTTGGAGCTCACCTGATGTTAAGTTATACCCGCCGGCTGTGGACATTTGTAACTTTCGTAAGGTTGCAGATGCGTTAACACCTTTTAATAAAGTGGACCGAAGACACGGCCACAATCACCAGCCGTAACCCATAAATATAATACTTCCACTTCCCGCCGATCTTTTGTCAGTTCATGGTTTTTTCCCGAACGGACCTGCCCGTTCGTGTAACAGCGAAGACTCGCGTAAATGTAAGAAATTATATTACATATTACACAATTACAATATAAAAATGTGGATGTTCTAATCTGGTTTGTATATGGAGATCGCTACTCAAATAAACTTTCAAGGCGACTCATAAAATATCAAAAGCCTGCTGGTACATGTATGCGCTAGTATTGTAACAGTTTTTAAATAAACCTAAGTTTAAAATAGTATATTCCAGTAAATGATATTTACTAAAAAAAATTTTTTCTCTTCATGTGTTATGCAAGTATTGAACTTGTAAACTAGAATTCTATTGCTGCTGTTAATCAAGATCTCTCTTTTTTTTTCATCATCACTCTTTCTGTGGACACGTGAAAAAAATCCCAATGACGCAATAATTTGGACTTTAACGTACCGGTCTTATTATCATTGGAATTGTGTTTTAATATAGAACACATAATATTACGACATACTCGTCATATAATTAAGCGTTATAATAATATAGTAAAGTAATATCACGTCGTTGTCGTGCATTAACACGAAGTTGTGCACAATTAATCATTCACTCTAGCCGGCATTATTTAGCAGATTACCTAAAACTTAGTGATTACTGCTTAAAATATATTGATATAAAATAGATTATGGATCTATGTTGTAATAATTATTACACTCATTTATTCCACAAATTGATTATTTTGGAATTTGAACTTCAATTGCAATAACACTTAGGTATGTAATGAAATAAAAAGAACTTTTCAACGGCTGCATCGCCACTTACCATCAGGTGGGATGGCAGTCTAGCGATTAGCGACAGAATAGCACAATTATATAATAGTCAATGGAAAGTGAGCCCGACTGGACATTGTTCTCTTTTTAATAAATATCATGAAGTAATTATTTATAACATAATTTAAGTTACAATAATAATAAGTATGAATGATATTTCCAAGGAGTTAGTTGTACTCCAAAATATGCATGGTAATTGCAAAGAGTACACCGTCAAAGAATGGGATGAACGCTAAGAAGATCAAGACCTAATCGTGAAATATTGCTTATACTCTAAAGGTTGTGGAATATGGCTACATACGTACAACAGGCTATGAGACCTGTTAAAGTTAAAAAGGATTTACAATCCATCCTTAGTTTTCGGTGGCGGTCTGTAAGGCAACAGAAATTCCCTATAACGGCCGTATGGCTAAAGTTTTCGGTGAAATCATTAGGATTTTACTAAATAAAGATGAAATTAATTCTTTATCTTTATTGAGCAAAATATCAGCCTGAATTTCCCCTGAGCCGCAGCATGAATAAACGTCGTGCGGTTCGGGGGTGATCGGTTCAGGGTGGCGTGCCGCGATTACGTCAGTATTTCAACCGCCGCGACGCGATAACGCGAACTGTGGCACTAGCCCGCTACTTCGCCCGCCTAATAACACTAATAGTCAAGCCCAACTTCCACTCAAACTTGAGCCCCTAACCTTCATTTTGCCCGTAACTCCTTTTATAATGGATCGACTTTACTCGTTGGTGCATAAAATGGTCAACTCTTGGAGAGGTTTCGTTAGTGTTTGACACTTTGATAGCTTTACTACCCTGAGAATAATTATGAAAAAATGAATTGTGCCCATACGGCCGGTTTCAATATTTGTCCACGGATAGATTGGGTTACTAGCTAAAGGTATTTGACATAAGCTCCATAATACTTACATCACAATTCTATCTCCAGTATATATATCTATCTAACTGTAGATTGAATACTGAAACCCGCCGTTAGAGACCGACTGGGCAAACTGTCAGTTAACTTTAACAATAACGATGAAATCAATTATTTAAGAAAGATACAAACTTTGTCAAATCGAGGCGGTTGTGTTTTACAAGCACCAATACTTTACGAAACGAATCCGAATTAGTTCAATGTCGCCGTCACAATGGTGGATAAACAGCGGCACGGGAGGCAAGGTCTTCGCTGTTCGTTCGAACGCAAGACTTTGTGAGACGGTGACCTCATTTAGCATGGAAAGCGAGACGTGTGTGGGCGTAGGGCGGCCCCCCAGCGCCGCGTTTGTCCGGCAGCGGGCAGCGGAGCGAGGCACGGGCCAGTCTGAGGCACGCGCCCTCCGCGCCCGCCCGCCCTAGCGACACTCACGGCCCCCGGCGGACGTATGGCACGCGCACCTTAGCCCGTTGTTATGGAAAAGCGCGGTGCCAGCGGCCGCGGCGAGCCCATCCATAGCATTCTGAAGAAGCCCAAACCGCGCCGCGGCGATCTCCTCGACAAGAGCACGAAAATCAAACGCGAGAGGAATGGCACTAAGAAGGGAGATGTGAACCAGCCGTTGCTCCACGGCTGCACGCCCCTTATGTACGCCTGTCAGCAGGCGGACTATAGGACTGTCGTTGATATACTCAATAAAGACGTGAGTTGCCCGTAACAGAACGTCTAATGTCCTCACGTAACACGAATTATTCTATTATCTTTCTTGTAAAGTATGATATTTTATATCATACTTTTTATATAGCATTTAAAACTACACAAACACTGAAAGCTTTCTTTACTATAAAAAACTTTCACTTTTGTTTTTCACAATCACATAAAAATTTAAAGCGAAAATTACTCCTATCCAAAGCTAATATTTGTTTTAAAATTAAAGTTATGATGTGGTTGTATGAAATGCAAAACAATGTTTTCAGTGCTACGTGCCGAGCGATGAGGCTCATTTGTAAACAACTCATCAAGCTGCTCTCTCAGACTTTTGACAAACCTATCCGTATTGCTTATTACTCATTCGAAGATATACTTCGAAAGTTAGCCAGACAAGTCTCATATGTTCTTTAATAATAATGTTTTTATGCAAGTGTTTATCTAATTACCTATACATTGGGGAACAAACATTGTTTGCGAAATTACTTGTAGCAATATCAAGCTCGCGTGTGTAAGACAACTTCAATCGCTTCCAAGGAAATGCACCAAAACGGCGGTTGTGACTAGGCGCGGTTGCAAATATACAATCAATAGCCCCATTGGTTCCATTGTAGCGAAATCGTTACTGAATGTCTATGAATACGTGAATGCGTCTCGACGACGCCAACAAGTTACCCCCTTATTATGTTATACATTCTCTATGCTTTGTTGGCATATTTAGGTATAACGTTAAAAGATTAATGTAGAGTTTTATTTTCTGTAATTAAATAAATATTATAAGTCCCTGTGGTTTAAATAACTGTGTATCGGTGATTTTCTCACTCAAAAGTTAACGGTGAGGAAATGCAGCTATTATTTTTGGCACTTTGCCGCAAGTTGCAAGTTTGTTAATTTTCTAAACAACTAATATTTCGAAATTTTATAATAATGTCTTGAGTTCAATAAATATTTTATTTACTAAGTAATAAACATATACAAGTAACGATCAAGTTTTATTTCCATAGTTGTAACGTATCAACGCCACTGTCTGATCCTTAGACCTTTTTTGGATCGCACACATCCCCTCTTTATTTCTTAGTGATTTATTAAATTATAGTGAATTATTAAATCATCGCGTTGTCTAGTTCATTATGTTTTTCATTAAACTGAATGAGTTTATAAATACTTGATTCTATTCCTTTTTAGCTAGCTTTATCTGAATATTGCACGAAATTAAGACAATTTCACTAAATGGCCTCCATCATCAGAACGCGATCGTCCGATGTTTTTTTTAATATGAAAAGTTGTCAAGCGATCAGGTGGTCCTTCTGATGTTAAATGAATACCGCCGCCTAACACTCAACATCGACAACACCTGAAATCTTGCCAATGCGCTGACAACGTTAAAAATGTGGGCCACGGTTATCTCACCGACGATACACGAAAGTTCCTAAAGAAAATACTTCCAATTCATGTCAGTCTTCAGTAAGGCCAGGGTACTTCTCCAGACAAGAGTACCTACTTGCCTATTGGTGCAACAGCAGAAGCTGTTGCGTGGCCCTACCATCGGAAAGAATGTTAAATAACCCAAACGTCCGAAAAACGCTTTAACAAGTGCTGAAGATTATTTCATATTCAACCAATTTTACAGCTCAGAGATCATTCCATGTTCGGCCTATTCATCGGGAATGTGGTTTCCACTCGTAGTTCCCCCAACTTCCTTGTATGTATTTTTTCCTGGTACTTGACATTAGGATTCCGTTTCACGTTTTGATTTGCATGGAAAATTTCCTTATGTTCTATATTTACGACACTATCCGCTTATGTAGCAGGGTATTATTAGTGTTTAAGTTCAATCACAATGTTGGGCGGGGCAACTTGTGGTTTTAGGCCACAAGTTTTAATATCGTGTAGTGACGAACGGTTTACTAGTGGCAGCATCGTATCGGTCGTCGTAGTGTAGGGCGCCCCCCACTTAATGGAGTGATGATCAGATTCAGGAAGTCGATGGATGCGTGGTTCAGGATCTGACTTCGTAGGCAGTCTGTAGAGATCTATGTTCGAAGAGGCCGAAAAAATTATGATGAATTAGGAAAATTCCGGAATTACTGAGTTTCCTTAACTGCAAATAATTGCCGTATCAAAATTGTGCCCCTTGTAGATTGTTGGATTAAATAACAACATACGTTGCGTACTTACAACACACTGGAGGCCGTCATCGCGTACACAAGATGCACCCACGTCGATGTCGTGGTCCGCATGCCGGACATAACCGCCCGTAGCCGAAAATACCCTAAATTTGTTAATACATTCATGTTCAATGTTTGAAATGTCGAACTATGGACTAGGATGAAGAAAAATTGCTGTTACTGCTGTTTTTGAATACAACTAATATTACTGTTATTGCATAAACACGAAAAGTTTCTTACAAATGTCCTTCACATTTTTTTTCTCTGAGTGATTACTGGTAATTTCACATTCTTAATTCCACAAAACAGGACGTATTTATTATTTGTTTATAAATTCTTTCACGTTAATATTATCCATTCTAAATGCAAATAAGTAAATGTAAACTCTAAATTAAAATTGCTTTCTATCCGTCGCACTAGGCAACAACGAAATGAGCACAGCACTTGGCATTCGCAACATAGCCGCCCTGTTGTCGTAAGTGTGAGGGACCGTCGCCGCACTGCTGCCGTGCTGAGCGCTTTGTATGAAAACAAAATGACCGTCCGTCATAACGACTACCATACCGCTTCTCCTCTATCAAACTCGTGGAAACATAACCTTCTCCACGGGTTCTGTGCTCAATAACGCTTTGTATAGTCTATTGACCATGAGGTCAAGCATTAATTATTATTAAAATTATGAATCTCTTTTAATGTTGGCTATGCTCAACATCTACTTGTACTCGAATTTATGAGCAGCGGTAACCTATTATTATCGAGTGTATGGGTAATAACAATCACTGTTTATCAACTTCTCTAATCAGTGGTAGATCTGTTGGTCGCCCAAGGCACATAAAAGATTGCCGCGCTCATGAAAAGCCGAAAAATGGTACTTACTCCTTAGGCCCGCTTGATTTATTATAATTATTGTCTACGCAATGAAGCGGGATGCGAAAAGCGTGAATACTAAAAGAAATCCCATTAATTTACAGCCCTAGGTAGCCAAATAGACCCGGGCTATTTGGCCTATAGGGAAATCCGCTGTGTCTAATCAAAATTTTGTGACTACAGCCCGCTTCGGCGCGGGTGCGTGACCGGGCGTTTAGGTGCGCCCTGCATTACTGCGCGTCGAGCGGCGGCCCGGCTAGGGCTGCTTCGCGGGCGGCGTGCGCTGACCGCGTGCTGATGGCGGCGCCTTCCCTGGCGGACGCCCGCGACGCTGACGGCCTGACACCCCTACACCTGGCGGTGGTGCACGGGAACGTGCCGCTGGTGCAGACGCTGCTGGCCGCCGGCGCGGACGTGAACGCGCGCGACAACGAGCACCACACCGTCGTGCATTGGGCAACCGGTAATTTTGGAATGACTTTACGTTACGCGACAACAGTTATCTAAGGCAACCGGTAATCTTGGAATAACTTTAAGTTACGCGATAACTGTTATTTAAGGCAACCGGTAATTTTGGAAAAACGTTACGTTATGCGGTAACTTGTAGCTTGTAGCTTGACACGGCTAGAATTGCAACTTCATTCGGATTGTTCTCGTCGAAAACCTTACATAATACTTAGTTTTTTATCTTGTTAGAGATAATGAAAGCGTTAAAAATAGTTATGGAATGCAGGTTTCGGCGAAATAGACCTTAACAATTACGATTTCGTGGCTATGCTAAGTTAATAATAATTTGAAAACATGTATAGATAAGTTGACATTGTTTCTTCCTTGAATTGACAAAAAAGATTTATATTCCCTTAGTTATTTGTGGTTAGTTATTAGCCTTGAAATTTTATATACAGGGAGATTTTTTGAGAAGTGCCCAAATTTACACAGGAGGTTCAGACTCGGTGGTATAATCGTTTATTGAAATAAAAAACAAAGTTTTTTTTCCAAAAAATGCCATTCTATTCCCTAAAAAACAGAACGTGTTGACAATGCGGTGGTCATTCATAAATACCTAAATTTTACTGTGCACGAACTTGTGTGCGTGTTAGTTATGAATGATCGCGCGTAAAATAAATGAGTTGCGTATAAATCATGCACTTTTTGAGATAAGTTCAAATTAATGTAATTAATTACTTACGAGTGATTTTAAATATTTATAATTTTTTATATAACATTATTTATGTCTAGAATTTAATAAAAAAATGGATATACTTATAAAAGACACCCTATATATGTAAAGAAAATATTGTTTTGTTTTATTTAAATATTTTATTTAATGTAAATATTTTCACGCATCGGCCGTTGATAATAATTATTTTAAAACTATGGTTTACGCCGGATTATAACAGAAAAATAATTAAGCTGTCTGAAATTCAGCAGTATGAAACAATTCATGAAAATAATTTTATTATAAAAATACTTAATAAGTAAAATAGTGATTTAGGAATCGACATTGTGATTAAAAACATTAAATGTCGTTTCTTTACTTACAGAGAAACTCAATTGTGTTTTGATTGCCGTGTCATCCAAATCACTGAAAAATATTATTTTTTATATATTATAGTACATTTTATACATATTACCACATGTCAAAGGTGGAACAGTAGCACAGTTGCTAATCTAATGTCTTCGGCATTGGGGGTCGGGGGTTCGATGCCACAGGGGAAAAGTATTTGTGTGACCCAGCGATAATTATTCTAATTATTCTGGTGGGTCTTTGGTCCCGAACAGGGTTGACGTTAGGAATGCAGTTAGCCTTAAAAAAGCCCAGTACTTTTAACAACATGATTCACTTGTTGTGCCCACCTCACCTATGTCGTAGATCTTTAAACTTATTTTGCTACTTACTTTAAATCAATTTTAAAGTTTTTTATAGTGCTAATCTCTGCACTTAAGATTGAACATTAAAACCATGTAGAAAAAGTGCGAAATGATTGTTGCCGCTGTGGGAATCGAACCCACGTCTTCGGCATTCGCGGCCTGACGCTCTAGCCACTGAGCTAAACGGCTGATAGCCACAGCGCCGAAAATCTAGTTTTCCACGGCATAACTATATTTTATAATTTTAATTTCTTAGTCGTTAAGATTCTGATTTTACCCTTAGAACAACCTCGAACAAGTTCAGTCACTTAAGTTACCAGAGTACGAAAAATTTGTTGTTAGTGTTTCAAATTGATTTCATTGATTAGATCTGATTTAACTTAGTCACGCGAGGTCGTCGTCGGACGTTTGTGGTAGCTAAGATTTGTAATAGCCAAATACCAATTCGGTAAACGTGAAAATGACTTGTCGAGGTAAACTCAGAGCTGTAATACATAGGTAGCTAGAGCACGTTTAAATTAAGACCAAACGCATTGAGTACTAAAGATGGCAATGAAAATATAAACTTTATAAAATTAGAGGAAAGAAATGGAAGTGGAGTTAACTAGCAGATCACCCGTAGTCATGACAAGGTGATGTCAATTGTAGTGAGCTGTTATCACGTGGTGTCACACTGCGGCGCTTTGTGGTGCTACGAAGCTAACCACATTCGAGTCGCTTGCACGCCATCAATTAGTTACCCACGACTCATGACAATCATAGCGTCAGCTTGTATTTGTGATTTATTAGCTGTTTAAATAAATTCATTGATTTAAATTTGTTTTGTCTCCAAATATGCTTGATACATAAATATGAAATGTAAATTATGACTTATTAAGCTGTGTATGTCCCACATTTGAGTATTGAACTCAATGCGGCAAATGACGGAGTTCAGAGGTAACAGTTTTAAAAAATGAATTAAATAATTAAAAAAATCAAATATAGCAACAAATGAATAGGTTTCTGCCTCTACGTGGTCTATTAACATGAATTTTCATATTGGGAATATGTTGTGTATTTGTTATAAAATGTTGTATGTACTAAGCGATAAATAATAAATAAACAATTTAAACCTACCGAGTGGTTACAACAAACCACGTTACAACAAAACACCATCGAGTTATAAATTATATTGTTACACACATTGAGGATGTTTAAATCGTCATAGTTTTTTAATGCCGGTTATTCATAAGGTTATTCTTATAGTGAACTCGAAAAACAAGTTATCACGCGTATTACATAAGCGTAGTAAAAAAGAAAACTAGTTTCGAGCATTATTGATTGCTCAAAAGCAAATCGTATTATAATTGCGGTCCTACTTGTGTGGTCTGTGGGCGTGTGGTGTACTGGTCATGGGGTAAGGGGTCTCCCCTCACTTCACAGTAGGGGTTGTCCGGTTCCATTCGTTATTGAACGGTGGACAGGGTCAGGCCCTTGACCTGCTTAAACCTTTCTGGGACTAAAATTCTAGCAAAATGATTTGAAAAGGTCATGACTTATCAGGCACCGGTAATAAAATATGAGAGTTTTGACAGGCTTAAACTGGGTCCTATGTATTATATGTAATGAATATAAAATGATTATACTTTAGAAGGATGAACGACCCAAAGGTAATAATTAGAACAAGTAAACCGGCTGGTACTTTAGAATGGCGTGGGCGATAAACAAATAACATATTTTTTCTTTAATATGTTATGCTGCTTCGATTTTTTGTGGAAATGAATAAGTTTGTTATTGTTTCTAGGATAACATAAGGCATGATAAGACTTGATTCACTAGCTTTAAACCAATATTATTACCTTTTGCGAAGCATCAGTTTGTGTTGTAGTGCAGGTCTTAAATACTTCTCTAATGATTACGATTGCTTTATACATTCTTAATTGACACACTAGAGATGTTATTATATTGAATCTGATGTAGTATATGTAGTCCGACAATCACCAATCAATGTTGCTGCAAAGTTTAATAAGAATTGTTACTGGATTGATTGATGTGTTCGTTCGCTCTTCACGCCGAAACGACCGAATGGATTCCGAACTGAATGTGGCGTAAGTAGAAAAAGAACTATGCTTGCGGAGATCCTGTAGTTGCCAGTATAGTCGTGTTTTTTTTGTTGTTTGACGTTTGCGCTTTCAGTCCGCATACTATAAAAGGTGAAGGTGAGGTTTATGCATGTGTGTCAGTATGCGGAGAAGTGGGTGCGCTGCGCGCGGTGCTGGCGGCGGGCGCGGATGCTGCGACGCCCGACCAGCACGGAGGCTACCCGTTGCACTACGCCGCTCAGATGTGCGGAGCACCGGCCGCCACCGACCACCAGGTAAGGTGCGAGTGAAACCTGAATGGATCTTTTTTATTGGAGAAGGTCCATTCAGGTTGAACACTACATACTAGACACAAGGAAATATCGAAAATACAAAATTAAAGACGTGTATTCACAATTGGCAAATGCCACTATAGAATTTATTCTCAAAATGGAAATGATTTTCTTTGTGTGATCAAGTGTCAAACGAGCTGGGGGTTATCACTTAACATCGGGTGAACCGGCCACACATGGACATTTGCAGCACACGTAGGTTTGCAGATGCGTTGCCACCTTTTAATAAAGTGGGCGCCGGCTACTCACTCACCAGACGAAACGCAGAAGTGTAACATTTCTATTTCACGCCGGTTTTCTGTGAGGTCGTGGTACTTATCCGGACGGACCTGTCCATTCGTGCAATATCGAATACTGTTGCGTAGCCCAACCACAGTTATGATTACAATTTTTTCAATATTTTCAAGGATTCCGGAAGACGGCAGTTAAGAAAACCCTCTTGAGCTTGCCATAAGACGTTAGGTTATTTATCACACTTTTGAACTTATATTTCTGCTAAAAATGTCACCTATAACAAAATAATTACCGACTGAATAAAGACCTAAGTTTTTTTAATGCAAAATTCGGTTGTAAGCAGTTTACATACGTAATGGGAGACATGTGATAACGAAATAGATTTAAACTAAATAGTAAGAAAGCTGGTCGAATATTATTACGTCAGCAATGGTTTGTCGTACTATGTTTATTAGTATTGAATAATTTTCCTTCGCACAACTCCAGAAAAATAAACGGATGCGCTACAACGCGTTTAAAGTGTTAAATTAAAACATTATTTATACGTTGATAGAGTAGGGGGGCAGCGTTGGAAGTATTGAGGGCTTTGGTGCGAGAGGGACGGGTTAGCGTGGAGGTGCGTGATGCAGACGGACGCACGCCGCTGTTGTGGGCCGCGTCGGCGGGCTCCGCCGCAGCCGTGCTCGCCCTCCACCAAGCCGGCGCCCGGGTGGATGATGCTGACAGGTATTTGTTTCCGAATACTAACGTATATTGTTTCATTGTTTTCATTGTTTCCGAATACTAACGCAGGGTAACTTTGTATACGGGAAAGTCATAAATGCAAAATCTAGCAGAACTAAATCGAAGTAGGCATGTGTGCGCCAATCTGCATGCAATTTTACGAAATTGTAAATAAGTTTAGAAGAAAGTTAAAAATGGAAAAAGATAAGGAATGTTGTAAAATAGAGCGGCGTTAAAGGAAACTGTTATCGACGTGCATGTCAGTCAATGAATGTGAAAGAGGCTAAACAAGTGTGTTAGGATGGAAAAGGAGTGAAGAGTAGAACGCGGCGAAGTTTCTGTTTATCTTTCTGAGTGACAAGCGTGGATTTTATGTGAAGACAATGATTAAAAGAGTAATTCTATACCCATAGAGAAATTGATTAAAAGTGTTTTAAACTGATATCTTTTTCATTAATTTTATTTTAGTGCTAGTCTGCACTCGAGATGAAACTTAGTAGGTGATTTTTTGGTACAAAAAATTCAATAGCAAGCAAAATGTTGGTTAGAATGTGTTTCACGCTGTAAAGTATGCAAAACTAGATGTCGTCAAGCCTTGCTAAATATGCAATAAAAGAAAGCAGATAAATATCAAGATTTAGCGCAATCAAGTTATCGACTTATCATATCATCATCATTGGTAGCGTCTGAGCTCGTAACCATGACGCAAATACGAATCCCGCAGTGTCGAAAATTTTTGATTGAGATATTCGTAGAAAAACTTTCATATTTTGATATATAATTTTTCATTAACTAATATCTTTTAAATTATTAGTGTCGTATTTTAGGGATGGCTTAACGGCTTTACACTGCGCGGCTGCGAGGGGCCACACGGAGGCCTTGGAGACTTTAGTCGGCCTCTGTGGCGCCCGAGTGGACGTGGCAGACTCCCACGGCTGCACCCCCTTGCATTACGCTGCGGCTCTGGGCCACGCCGACGCCACATCAGCGCTTCTGGTGCACGGGGCCGACGCACATCGTCAGGACAAGAGAGGTCGAAGCCCTGCGCATACGGCGGCCGCCAAAGGCCAAATAGAAACTGTCCGAATCCTCGGTACTTATTTTACAATGATGATATTCATCGCTGCGTTAAATTGTTGCTTTGTAGAAAAATGAGTGAATAGTGAATGTGTCACAAGGCTTGAAAAGTTTTAAAGTGTGTTGCAAAATGTTTGAACATTTTCAATTAACAATTGTTCAAAATTTTTTCTAGGAGCGAGAGGAGCAAATTTATGGTTGCGAAATTCGAAGGGCGATCTGCCATTACATGAAGCTATTGCGTCGGGGCGCAGGGAATTGGTGAAATGGCTTTTAGATGGACGACCGTCGCAAGTTAATGCAACAAATCACGAGGGTCGCACGCCTCTGCACATAGCAGCGGCAACCGACAACGCTGACCTCTGTCGATTACTGCTCGACCGCGGCGCCGATGTGAATCTTATTGCGAGATCATCTAAGAACGAGCCATTAACGCCTCTAGACTGTGCAACCAGTCGTGGCCATAGATCAATGGCAAAATATTTGCAAATGCACGGAGCTTTACCCGCATCAAAATTGTCAAATACCCACATAATAATCGATGGAGCCCCGATATCAGCATTGCCACAACGAAAAGTGACCAGTACGAAAATAGATGTACGTGATCGTATCAGAATAGAAAAAAGAGAAGTAGTAGAACTTTCAAGCCCTTCAATAGAAAGGCACCGAACAAAAGACAGAAATTTTGATTATTATACTAATGATTCTTCTTCTGATGACAGGATTACCAGAAAAAAATCGGATATGAAATATTCACAAAAGTATCAAGAACGTAGAAAAAGACTTATAAGACCACAGAGAAGTTTCAGTGATGGTTACGACAGTGAATTTGAAGGAGATGAAAAAAAAGATTACTTTAAGTCAAAGTACAAACGAAGTTCTAAAAATAAAAAAAATCGGTCTAAAAGTGAGCCGTCCAGACGTCACGGTACTAGTGCAAAGCATCATCGGCAGTATAGGTCTACTTCAGAAAGTTCTTCGGACTCAGAAAGTTACACGGAAATGAAAAAGAAACGAAGCCATCGCAAACATAGTAAGAGAAAATCAAATTCTATTTCAGAAAATAGTAGTTCTGAGTCAACTGAGAGAAGAAATACTAAAAGAAAAGGAAAAAAAACATCAATCCATATCGAACAGGACGATGAAAAACAAAAAGTAAATATAGTTAAATATAAAAATATTGATTATGAAGGTAATTTGGAACAAAATGTGAATGCACCTATTAACGTCTCCAAGGATATACCTGATAAAGTAGCAGAAAATCAAAAACAAGACTCAGTAACAAAAACTAAGACCTGCAGTGAAACTGAGACCGATGCAATTTCTGTCAAAACTAATATGGTTGTTACTGAAGCCCAGATACATATGGAACGAGAATCGAATGTTAATGGAAATTCTGAACTAATTGTTACAATGGATTCTTCAAATAATGTAGCAATAGAGACAACAAATTTATCGGTCACTCAAAAAAATCAAAATGAAGACGAAAGAAATGTTTCTGAAAGCCAAAATATTTATATAAAAGAAGAGAGCATACAAACAACTGAAATGGATAATGTTAAAAGTGATGATGTGATGAACGTTGCGACAGATACAACCAAAGAAGTTGCTACAATAGATAAAATTGCAGAAAAAGTATTAGATGTTAATAAAATTCCAGAGGATAATTCACAAGCAGTCAATAACGGTGATGTAGGTCATGAAAATATAAAAGATTTAGAAGTAGGTATAAGTGAGGAAAAAAGTAAAATGCATGGAGAGTTAATCAATATAAGCCAACAGTCTTCAAACGATTTAAATAAGAATTCTAAAATGGGACATACATCTGTTGATAAAAGTTCTTTATCGCGACCGAATTCTTCTTCAGAGCTGACTCGAAGAAAATCATTTCAAATTCTCTCGGGGCCAGATGACATAAACAAAACCGAAGATTCAACGGATACTAAACAAAGTTTAGAAATTGATAATGTTGAAGATGTAGGTTCTCAAGATAAAAGTAGCTCAGCATCAGTATCATTTGCAAAAAAAGATGAAATATTTAAAATAAATGATTCAGATAATTTATCAGAACATTTGATGGGCGAAGAAGTCGTGCACGAGGAAATCAAATCAGAAACAAATCGATCATCAGAAGACAAAATAAACATGGATAGGAAAAATTTCAACCAACAAGATTTGAGAAATCAATATGCATCGACCACTACGAGCAGTAGTGACGCGACACAGAGTAATGATAAAGGAATTCTAATAAATTCACGCAGCGATATATCATCACATGACCGCGCAGTCCAGCAAATTATAATGCAAAGTGGATCTGAAGACTTTGATTTAAATTCATCTGTCGTGCCGGATGAAACACGGAAAAGCACCTATATAAGAGATAGCGTGGGAAGTAGCCGAAAGAGTAGTATTTATGAAACCGAGAGCTACAAAGTTTTGTCAGATGTTACACCTGCTATTGAAGGTATTTTGAAAAAATCCAATGTAGGCGAAGGTTCTGTAGAGCAGGATAAACCAAATAGCGAAGATAAAGTAATGCTCCTCAGAGATAATTTTTTTGGTCGAGTGCCCAGCGTGAGTGATAACGAAATTTACTGCAGCCTCTCAGAGGCAGATGGACGTCGAAAACGATTTCGCAAAAAGGGTCGTACAAAAAGTAGAATAACAGCAAGATCTAAAAGCGAAAACTCGGAGAGAGGTTACGAATCGAGTGGGTTGATGGATTCTGGCTTTGAGCCAAGTCCTAGACCAGTACAACGGTGTATTATGAGTCCACGTCTCAACGCCTATTATCAACAAAGAAACGCAAGTGGCAGGTTTTCCAAAATAACAGACAGTAAAATACCTGTGAGAAAGCCTGGCGATAAAAACGCTGTAGATATGAGGTCGGTCACCCAGAGGATACAGACTAATATGAGAAGGTAAGCTGCTTTTAATATAAATTTTGGTAAAGTAAATATAATATACGTTAATATTATAACTAAAATATTTCAGATATTATTGCGAAAGAAAAATATTTCAGCATTTACTGGAGCTTAAACGCTTACAAATAAGAACTAGCAAGGCAAATGAGGCAGTACTAGTGAAGAGAGCTATTGATGAATATAATAAGTCTAGTTTAGCAAACGTTGGTTTAGGCCAATACAACAATCCAGAATATTCTTTTAGTAGCTTTGAAAAATTTTTGTACGACAGTTTGAGAAAGTTACAAAAAAGTGGCAAGAAACACTTAGATCGACTACCTGAAAAACACATAGATTTTGACTACGGTGAGAGCGAACTTTACAAAATGAGTGCTATTCCGGACAACCCGTGTTTGTGTACTAGCAAGACACATCGATGTTTTCATGCCGTACATGCCTATACTGGTATACCATGTTCTGCATATAGTAAGTATAAACTACTTCATATTCATTTAAATCTTCTTAATTTTTATTAATATATGTTTTTCTAGTTCCTTACAAATGGAATCATCATACAATGCCCAAACCAGCGACAGCCGGTCCAAGTACTAAATCCAGAGGCTTCCTCCCAAAAATCAACTCTAAACCACCAACAGGTGCTAGCAAGGCACATGTAACTTTGGAGGTGTCTCACGGCTCAGAAAAGCAGCTGATCGCACTTCCCGCCGAAAAATTGGATAAAAACAAAAGATATTACGTGACTTTCACTGTTAAAGGCTCCGAACCAACATCGGATAACGATAATGCAATTGGTGCGACTAGTTCAAATAACAAAAGCTTTTAGTTAATTTCAGATGTTCACAGCAAGTAATTGCTGCATTTAAATATTGTAAAATAGCATTTTTTGCCATAATTGTCTTGATGGAGTCATCGTGTCGAATTGTATATATAAATACGGATAAAATAAGATTAAGCTCCTCTTTCTGATAATTGTTAGCTATTAAAATTTCATTAGCATTAACATTTTATTTTGCAACATTCTATAAAACATGGATTTTTATTTAAAAGTAACTGGTCGAGTAAATAGTTCTTATCGCGTTGGAAGCGCAGAATCTTAATTGTTTTGAGCCATCTTCTTGTCATAACAATTATTTTTCTGCTTTTTAGCGGTATTTTATCTATAATCCAGTTCATAATCATACGAAACAGTTAAGCCGGTTAAGCCAATATAACTATGACTGCAAGGCAGGCAAGGTGTGATCGTAGTACAAGTCAAGAATTTGTTTCATATAGTTTTTTTTAATTTTTATATTTTAACAGTGTACATTGACATTCCATAGAATCTGACCTCAGTATTTGTTCAAAAATTACATGTACTCGCAGATGCATCAACTTTCAAAATCAAAATGTTAGGTAGTTATAACTTAAAAAATATTTAACGTAAGCATATTATCCTGTTAATTTTTACTAAAAACTATTTTTTCATTACTATAAACATGTTTTTATAAATATTTAAAAATAACATAAGAATATTCCATAATATATATATTGTTTAAATATCATTGTAAATTATAATTTAATCTGTAGACTGATGAAGTCCGTCCAGAAAATAATTGTTAAATATCTATTTTTTTACTTCGTGAGAAACTGTAATGAAATTTTGAAATATTGATTGTCGTCTTAAACACAATTATGGGGTTACAGATATTTTGTTGTGAGTATAATTGTAAGATATACATAATTAAGACGTGTATGTCTAGATAGTACCGTGTCACCTCATAACAGATGTTATTTTTATTCAATGATTTTGTAATTTTTTACCAACTTTTTATTTTTTCACATTTATAAATATTCAATAATTTCACACAGTACACGACAACGACAGTGCTGAATGTAAAGCATGTATTAAAGGGGCAACATTACCAAAAGACATGACATTTTCAGGAAATACACTCATTTTAACGTATGTGGAATGGGCCACTTTGATACTCTGAAATACGAATCTTGACGTGTATATAATCAAAGCTATAATTACAGAAAAGCATTTAGAAAACATAATTAAATCGTAACTTCATCGAATGACATTTATGTAGACGTGTGTAAGCGTCGTTATTGATGTTGTAGGATTAAATGCTTGTGAAAGAAATATGTCTGGTTTTAATTGGCATGAATCCCTATTTGATTACATAAAATTATTTTACAAGTCCGGTCCTCCAGTCAACGGCCACCGTTAGCAAAAATGTATTGCCGATCCACTACATCTATGGTTAAAATGCATCTATGGTTAAAAAAATTGACAACTTCTAGAATCTAGAAAAATATTAGATCTCTTTATTTATTCGGTTTAATTTGTGTCATTATAATTAAAGGAAACTCATCAGCGGTCACCGCATATTATCACGGCAAAATTAAATCTTAGTTTTCTATATTTACAAATTTGTTTTACAATATTAAGAAATAAAACACAAGTTTATTGTTTAAAAATGTATTTATTCGATATCTAGACTAAGTGAATAAAAATAAAGGTAAAGTAAACTTGTTGTGCAATCTCTTTCCATCTTTTTGTAGAGATAGACTCTATATTAAAAGTATAATAGAGTATACTCAGACTCCGAGTAAGAGCGCAACACCAGCTAGGGTCCAACGTGTCGGCTTGTCTTTGGTCTTCAAATTGAATGTCCACACGAATGTTGGGCCCCGCATTCTGTGGTTGATATGACTCAAGTTACAACTTCTATAGGTTTAATTTAATTGTTACACTATAAAAAATAAACCAGCCAAGTTCGGTACCATTATCTATAAAAATAGCAAAAAAATGATGTTTGTTGTATACGAGCCCCACTTTAATGTTGTTTTATTCCGTTTTCGGTACATCTTTGAAAATTTCAAATGTGTAACTATTACAGTTAATGAGTTACAGCCTGATGACAGACGGCCGGACAGCGGAGTCTTAGTATTAGGGTCCCGTTTTACCCTTTGGGTGCGGAACCCTAAAAACGAACATCACATCTTTAATGATACAAAATATCTTAAGTTACATCTTTACTTCATTAGAGCAACGATGCAGACGAATTAGCTTTTTACCACTGTTTGATACCGGCGTAAGTTAGAAAAGTAGTAATACTTTGGAGTGTATTTGGTGAGTGGGTTACCCATGTTTAGAATACGTGGTAATCGTTATCACTTACCATTATATATAGCGCTTGCTTACTATCTCATAACTTTATTTTTAGCAGCAATCGATAGCAAATTCGCATAACGTGGCGAAACTCGCCAGTGCTTTCAACAGGCACAACTCTTTGCAATTACAAGATTTGAAAGGGCGGGCTTTGTGGCCATACGAGTAAATGGCATACAAAATTTAACTACGCCTTTGAGCCTCGTCCCAGTCATTGCCCACGGACCTGATAACGGAAGGCGGGTAATCGTTTTCCGTTCCACTCCCACTACAAGACGACAGTACAGTTGCGAACAAGGTATTTAAGCGGTTTTGTGATCATGGAATGTTGAGGTTCAATTTAATGAGTAAAACACTGATCTTAGCACGCGACTGTACATTCACAGAACTCGCGGAGCCAAGATTTCTCAGGCTCTTAAGTGCTCTTGAGATTCCTAATTGAACTAGAAGCTGATCTTAGCACGCGACTGTACATTTTACAGAAATCGCGGCGTCGAGTTTTCTCTGTACTCACCGTATCTTGTAGACGGGGCACTCGTAAACGTTGCGCGTGTCCTGCTTGTCCTGGGTGACGGCGCGCACGTAGATGACCGGCATCAGCGGGAACAGCTCCATCATGTGAGACTCCACGATGCCGCCGGTCAGCGTGTCCCAGCGGGCGCCCTCCATGAATAGCCCGTGCACGTTCGCGCCCTCACGCGGTGGCGCGCTACCATTATAACACGTATATAGAACACGAACTAATAATTTATTTGAGTTTATTACGTGCCATTGTAGACACGGACCAAGGAATGTATTTGAGTTTATTACGTAACACGAAATTTATTTATTTAAAAATTTATTGTTTCCACCCCAACATAAGGCTAAACAAAAGGCAAACTTAATGCTTAAAGGTATTGTCTTCCGGTCGTCTGGAGTAGTGAAAATTTGACGTCGGTGCAAAATAAAAAGAAACACATTCTTTAGTTTTATAATATTCCTATTGTTTAATAGTTGCCAAAACCATTCGCCTATTTAAAAATATATAGTAGAAAGACATAGCCAATACCGTCAAACTTATACCGCGCTTATTTATGTTATAGGGCGTTTTGGGATTTCTTAGGTGTAAAAATTACAATAAATAAATAAAAAATGTTTACTTGAAGTCCTGTCGGCTCTTTTTGGTGACGTCACAGTTGAGGCACATCTTGTCCAGAGGCCACTCGTTCTTTCGCGCCGTCTGCTGCATGATAGCCGTCAAAAACGACTGCGGATTGAAGAATCCTCCCAACCACACAGCCGGTGGCAACTGAGAAATCGAAACATCCATTTACCGTTTAAATGAAAGCATAATATATTTTTTATAAAAGGCAACAGTGTCACAATTTTGTAAAAGCGAGAACCAATTGCCTTATTGTAAAAATGAAACTACTATTTGCAAACAGAAAATTGGAGCAAGGATTTTGATTTTGTAACAAAGTAAAGATCTGTACTCGTAAATGGTGTAAAACTAAATACTATTACTACAAGTAACGCCAAATATCGTAATTTATTACGAGACTAGACTCAAAGTTTAACAGCGGTCTAGCATCGATGATAATTGTCGCTATTATTATGATGAACGGACTCACGTTAAAGTCCCCAGACCAGTTCTCCAGCTCGGTCAATCTAAGGCAGAGGTCAGAGAACCAGGCGGCCAGACCCAGAAGGCTCGGGTACGCCAGCTTGGTCCATGATTCTGGCACGTGGTCCATGAACAGCGACTCCATCAGGTTCTCCATGTCACTGCTGATCGTCAGCTCGCCCTGGATAAAAAGTTAATCGTCACAGAAATACGTTGAATCTGATTATGTATTGAAATCAAACTATCGTTGTTAAAATTTCCTTTTAGTATTTACTCGAACAACCAACAGCTAAATAAAAACGTGAGTGTTGGTGTCTGAATAGATTTCTTGGTGTCTGATTTGTTGAAATTTGTTGGTGTCTGATATATAATCAGAATAAATAATGGATTATAATCAAATAAGCTAAAGTAGTATAATACCCATATCAGCCATAATAATTATTTTTCGGTTATAGATTAGGACGTAAAATTAAGCCTGTCCTGAGGCCATAGATAATAGATAGATATTATAATTTTTGATTGTCAACTACATAATTAATTGATTAATTTCAAGACGATAACATTTCAGAATAAAACGTCACCTTTATCGAATCGATGTAATTTGCTTGTAAAGCTCTTATCTGTTAACTTTCTCACGTTGATTTTTAAACTGCCACAAACTCTTAGTACTTGGCGTATAGGACGGTAGTTAAATTGGTAACTAATGCGATATTTAACACAAACTTACTACCGAAAAGAAAATGTGATGAAGTCTCTCGATTCATCTGACTAAGCCGTAATGAAGGACAAGCTCTTTCGACTGATGCTCATATCGTGTCGATCAATCACCTTAAGGCCGAGTTCGCACTCCTTAAGCGAGCGACGAATCTCGCCCATGAGCCGGTTCATCCGCTCGCACTCCTGGAGGGCGACGATAGTGTACGGCGTAAGCTCTTCCACCTTCCCCATCAACTCTTGAAGATTGAACGGCTCCGGCACCCGGTCCAATATGTCGTCCAACATCATGCGGACCTAAATCAAGAATCGAATCGAAGTCCCAATAATAATCGAAACGAATGCTAGACTTTAGCTGATGACGGTAAAGATAAGCTTTTTATCGCTTTAATTGTCATTATTATTACGTTATTTTACTAACCAAGGAGCGTGATTAGTAAAGATTATGTCACTCCCCCAGAAGAAACTCGTACAGATTAGTCTAATCCATCTAGGCAACCTTTATATCATATACAGGAAGGCTTTTCTAAGTGTTCCATTTTTTTAATTAAATTCTCTACGTAAATAATGTTATATGCATTGTCAACAAGTTCTGTTTTTTAGGGAATAGAACGGCAACCGAATCTGAACCTCCTATGTGAATTTGGGCACCTTTAGAAAAGCCACCCTGTATAAAATTCAAAAATAGCTTATATATGAATATAATAAATTAGTGTAAAAATGTAATAAATTAGTGTGAGGACATACTATTTCTTCTTTGGTTGCGCCACCCCCAGCTTGTGCGCCAGCATCTCTGGGTTGCATTTCAAAAACCACCTGTTAATAAAAAAATCATTGTAGTTTATAGAAAAAAGTTAAAGTAAACTTAATTGAATAAAGTGTGATGATGTCATATCATGATCAAGTATGTATATACTTTAGATATTAGTAATGATCTTCACACAAAATCGTAGTATTGAATAAAATATATTGACATTTAATTCTAAGTAATATGTTAATAAAAAATGAGACTCGACAGCATAATAGTTAAAAAACAATTAAAAGACACGCTTTTTTAGATAGCCGAACTAAAAGTAGAAAATAATTTTCATTAAATTCAAATAGAGAATAGTGTTGAACAGTTAAGTTGCAGTCTATAAATGTCCCACTGCTGGGCAAAGGCCTCTTCTGTATACAGGGTATTAGGGCATAGTCCACCACTATGTCACCGCGGAGCCCATACCCATACATACCAAGCTAACAAAAGCGTGTTTACAACATCAAAAGGCGCACATACCTTGAACAGCCTCTCCGAGACAGTGGTCAGGTAACCGATCTCGGCATTGGGGTGAAGTCCGTATAGGTATGGTGTCTCGTCGGGAAGGTAATCGTCGATGTATTGGTGGTAACCAACGTAGTCGCTGTTAGGTGGCGATATGAATCCCGGTGCCAGCTGAGCTTCACCGTCCACCTGCAAACTTCAACATTGTCTCAATTGTCCCTGTTGTAATTTACCTGTGACGAACCGGGTACCAATGAACCATTTAGGTTTGACTTGTAACAAGGCACAAAATGAATTGAAAGAATACCAATAAGTATGCCTTTTATAAAAGGTATACTTACTAATACATAAATACATTACATGAATATGTAACCCTAAATTATATTCTTCTGATATTATATACATAACATAATCTTTTTTTCATCAAACATAACACGAATTGCGTTTCGAATTTGGCAAAAGAAATATCCTTAGCATATTGATCTCTTCCTTCATATGGAACCAAGCAGAAGAGGTAGACAATGCTGATACCGCGGGCCGCCGTTCAATCTCCACTGACCAGCTCGGGTTGCATGTATTCCAGCAGGAAGGTGCGACACAAGCGCCTGTCCCAGTCGTCGGTGATGTGGCCGCCGTACATAATCTCGCCGAAGAGGTAGCGCAGGTCCTCCCACGGCACCCGAGGGTTCGCCTCCAGGTAGTTGTACAACACGTACACGCAGATCGTCAAATCGCCAAAGTTGAACGGATACACCCTGCAATTTTTTATCGGGTCTTAACTTTACACTTAACGCTGCAGACTGAGGCAGCCAACGTACGTACAATCCGATTTCATCAAATAGTTTTAGGACTAAATATAGGGACGGATAAACTTTAGACAGTGAATGAACTTAAGAAATCTGAATCAGTAACAATTCCTTGGAGGCCAGATTTCTGACGTGAAAATCAGTTCAATGGAATTCGTTTTAGTGCTAGTCACCCAGAATTTGAAGTCACACAACCTTTTGAACGAGACATAAAATTTGAACTATTCGCTAGCTTTATAATAAAACAATCACCACCCCCAATAACGGTTAGTACGGCAAAAAAATTGAGGTAGTAAAATTGAGGGGCACGCATTATTCTTTGAGTTTCTGATTACTTCTTATTGTTTAGATTTGAACGACTTGTCGCTAAAAATTGTACGAAACGCTGCGACAAGTCTTCTCTTTCTAATGAAGCAAAATAAACTTCATAATTAAAGTAAACGTAGGTAGTGATAGGAGTTTCATATCAAACTAGATTTACCTATTCCAACCTTGAGGGCCGAATTTCCGCCTTTCTGCGACAACAGCGTGGAAATAGCAAAGAGCGAATAGTACAGATTTAAACTCGGCCTCCTTGCTGCACATCTCGAGAGTTTCCTGGCTGAAGTTATCGAGGGACTGTAAAAGAGGGACATTCGAATATATGACGAGGCGAATTTCATTAAATATAATTAGCATTAAGCATAAATTATGTAGATTAATTATGATCATTTATGTTTCATGTTAAGCGCAGAGATTAACACTATAAATTAAAAATTTAAATTTTAATAGGAAATGCGACATAATTATCTAGTCACATTCATAATATTCATTAATAAAATGTAATTTGAGAAAGTGTGTTTGCCCTAAAAGAATCTCATTAGGTAATTACAAGTATTAGCTACAAACGCATTAGATCGAAAAAAGCTACTAGCCTTATGTAGATTTGCCCACATGCCACTGGGTGGTTCATTGGTTATCTTGATGGCAGACTCCAGGATGCCTTGAGGAATGATATGGTACGCGGGATCTCCTGCCGGCTCCGCACTCAGAAACAGTCTAACAAACAACTAGTTTAGGAGAAAAGGAGACTAAACAATAGTGAACAAGGCCTTCAAAGGGTATAATTTTCTTGTTATACATGGTTATCATCTATTCACTTAAATGAACATGCGATCATAAATCAATCCCATCAAGTCCGTGAACGAACTTCTTTCTCGTTTTTCTGATAAACTATCCATAGACACCCAGTGCAAAACGATAATACAAATATGAGAAAAACAAGTCAATATAAAGTAAATATTGCTTGATTTTGAACGTGCTGTTCTTGAATAATACATATAGTTGGTTACGCAAATGGCCCGTTAAATAATCACAACCTCGTAAATTTTAACGTCATGAAATTGCCTAGGCGGTATTTCCGAAATTAGATAATCTATCAGAGTGAAATTTTATTAAAATCTGTTTAGCAACTGCGGTGTAGTCAAGAAAAAAAAAACTTGCACAGAAAATCTTCAAGTTATAATATTAATTCCATATTTGTACCTGTAGTCTTCCTGAGGATTTTCAAACGTTTCCTCCATTTTTTTCTCTAGTGTAGAAAGCCATTTAGCCACCAGATGAATATTTTGAAGTATCACCCAATGGCCATTATCAGATGCTATAGTCATTGCTTCCTCAGCAACTACTTCTTGACCTTGGCCTAGCGAAACTATGTGGAAAGTTTTCTTCTCTGCGGAGAAACCTTTTTTACGGCCCATCTTTTCTATATCCTAGAAAATTTTAGATTTTTTTTATCATTATTTTCTATCGGGATATATAAAAATCAAAGTGTGTATGTAAATATGTTCCTTAAAGACTAACAACTGACGGCTTGCAGATGCGTTTTCATTGTTTCCTCTGGTGAACTCACTCACCAGAGGAAACGCCAAAAGTATAATACTTCTACTTTACGCTGGTCTTCTGTGAGGCCGTAAAACTTTCCCGAACGAGCCTGCACATTCGTGCAACGGCAAGATGATTCGTGGCCCTACTACAGTTTTTATTGTATGTGAAAATGTTTATTTGCTAATGATATTCAAATAAAATACGTAAGTGCTAGCCGTGTTGGAAACAGGTTAAGTGATTAACATTATTGTCAATACACTTGTTAAGTACGAGTGCTATATCTAAATAACCAATTTAGATAGTATCCGATGTTAAAAATAACTATGTAGTCATGAGAATTACGCATATCTTTTTTTAAACATCATTCCATTATTACTCATGTAAAGGTTTGGGTTATCGTCAATTTAAGATAATTATTGATTCATTGGTTATCCCACCATCCGTAAGTACTTTGGGATTTCTTGAGTTTTTCCTCAAGTATATGGGATTTTTAATCGTTTCCTCGAAACATAACTTGCAATTGGGAATCCCCATCGGAAAGTAATAACAAGTCTACCTTCAAAGGATCCACTCCGGGTGATAAAATGAAGAACATTGGTGTAGTAGAGGTGCTCTCCTCGTATGATTTCTCCAAGGAAGGAGTCCGAGCTTCAACATACTTTGTGCCGAGGTTCTCTTCACAGAATGTTCTGAGTCGATTAAAATATGTTGTCATAATAAATAGTAAACAAATCTTAATCGCAAATAGTTCACATTTATTTGAAGTAGTTACGATTTAGATTACTGATCTAATTAAAATTAGAACGATGAAGATATTTCAAAACATAATTCAAGTAAACGATAATGGAAAAGAGGTAAAGACTATAAGTAATAAAAAGAAGACGCGACGTGTTTCAGTTTCTTATGAGAGAAGATATCAAACTAGGAGGGGGTTTGTTCGATTGTTGGTGGTCGGTCAAAAGAAATTGTGTCTGAGATCCGTAACACTCAAGCGAATGCAGTAACATTAAGCTTTAGCACGGTGGGATCCGGTTTTATTTATTTATTTGCTATTACACAAGGTACAATTTATGATGGTACAATTATAATTATTTTTAGTTCCACTTGTATAGCCCCTTATGAATAGCATGCAAATATAAGTTAGTCAATATTACAAAAATATATGCGATTCAGTCATTTCATTAAAGATTAAATTTATATAATAATGATCACATAATAAATTCTTTTAGTACTAGAAAAATGCTAGGGCATTTCCCCTCTTCCCTGGAAGACACCGCGTCTCTTCCCTGGAAGAGCCTGCCCATCCGTGAGACAGCGAAAGCTGGTACGTGACTTCGTGACTTACCCGCAGGCGTAGGACATGCGATCGGGGCGCAAGGCGCGCATTATGCAGAGCCTCTGTAACGAGGACTTATTCTTCCACTCCCCTGGCAACTTGTCCCGCTCGGGCGCCTCGCCGTCCGTGTACTTTTGCCACCTGGGTCAAATTATAAAATCTTGCTTTGGTCATTCCGATTCAAATGGAATCTTGCAAATGCACTTGGACCTTTTTTGTCAATTTTCAAACATCAATTTTCCTGAAGATAGGAAGGAATATAGAATAGAAGAAATAGAAAAGAATAAATAAATAAAATTATAATATAATAAGAAGGAAAATAGGAAAATAGAAGAATGTGCAGCTAGTGAAATTTTGTTATGTGTTTTGTTACCAGCATTAATCCATTAGGTCGTTTATAAGTTATGAAAAAAGGAAGGTCTGTTCACCAGATTTCATACACGTTATGAGTTTCTATTGTTTATGACCAATTTATTTATTGACACTGGAAGTCAGTAAGAGTTTAGCCATAGAAAGTGAGTCATTGAAGTGAAAAGAATCGAAAAAATAAATGTATATTCATTAAAAGCAACTCAAACTGCCACAGTAGTAATTCTGGTAAAAGTATTGCTTCTAGTAAAACAAACAGCATTAAAATGCATTTAGATTTATTCCTCTTCTTTAATATGAGAACATTAAGGAAAAGAAATAAATCAATATTTCGAAAATGTTTCGAGACTAATAGGATAGATAGGAACGATAACTCAAACAACTGTCGCATAGGTTTTCTTAATTGCCACAACGCGTCACGGAGTTTTTATAAGAGCCATAACAAGAATTCCGCGATACGAACACTGTGGCCTGTTTTTCGCCTAATGAATGTTTTCGTTCTTTTTCCTTTAGATATATCTAAATTTAAAAAAATACTTAAATTTAATTTTCGCCAACAGCCAGATATTCGAATTATTTGAAATTTTGGTCACATCTAAAGTACAGAGTAATTTCATGACCACAAGCTACCCTCACACAAATAAATGTACAGAATAATTTCTGTATACTGAGCCTTTTCCTTTTCCTAAATTATCTGATGGCGAAATTTTTTTTTAGGCATACATAAAAATGGCTGTGCACGGTGCAACGGTGGATATTTCTTATATTTTGAAAAAATACAATGCAGTTTCTTCAAAATAAATATGAAGTTTCGTATTATTTTTAAGTTGTTAATAATTATGTATGTGCTTTATTCTGACTGTATTAAAAATAAGGTCATAGCTCTGCTACTGTCACATTACGTCCCTGCAAAGTTTATTTAGAAATGGTCTGTAAGGTATACTCAGTGAATTATAAGTTGCTTTTATACAAAGTTAACTGAGCGTACCGTTTACTTGCCCCTTCGATGTCTTTGTCGAGATTTTCGAAGGCGTCTGTCTTGGAGAGCGCCACGATCCCACCCCACGAGCTATTGGACAGCCAAGAGTACGGAGACACCTCAGGGGCGACAGCGTACTTCAGCAAGAAGTCCAGCTCTCTCGGGTCCACTTTACCTTCCGCTTGCAGAATCTTTGACATGATTATCATTCGACTTTTTAATTAAGGTGAAATTCAAAAAATATGTCAATAAATGTAAAGATAAAAATAAAAATGTATGAATATAGAAACGTAATGCCTGTAAATGTCCCACTGCTTGGTAAAGGCGAATTTCACATATTTTTGAAACATTTTTTTTCTTATTATTTCTAAATTGTACAGGTTTCCTCATGATTGTGTTTACCTTAACCACTGAGCACGTGATAAGTTAGCACTTAAAATTAACAATTTCATTGGTGCCGGCACCGGGGATAGAACTCAGATTGCTCAAGTAAATTGAATAAAAGGTGAGCACCCGAGCACTGAGCTATTCTTGACAGAAGCAAAAAATTTGTGACAGTTTCATCTAAGATTTTTTTTAGATCAGTCGACTCTGAGAGTAAGACACCGAAAAAGATAATTTTGTTATTATTTTCTACTCAGCCCTTGCATTGGTTATTCATTAATTAATATGGTGGTCATATAGATAGACGGATAATCGAGTGTAATACGATAAAATTAAATATATTATTCAGATAACCTGCATTTTATCAGACACAAGGCTGTCAGTAAAAGTTAAGCCTGTTTAGTTACAGCGGTATGCAAACTTCTATTACAAAGCATTTTTACAAAGATATTTAAATAAAATAGCTTATTCAATTAACACCGATACCGTAAGCTTTAACAAATTCGAAGAGAACTTACTCAGACAAGACAACACAACATTCGCATTTCAGCAACCAATTGTTTCATTGAGCGAAAATAAATATATTTAAATGTTGATTGTCTCACCTGTAGCGTTATAAGGAACAAGAAGATGAGCTTATCCTTTTCAAACAACCCTCGACTCGTGTACACGAAGACGGCGAACGTGATGCTGTCGAGCAAATTGAACACTCGAGCCTGCAACTCTTCGGCAGGTTCGGCCTTCGCCAAGGCGTCTTTAAATACCACACTGTAGGCCTTCAGCGAAAACTGGTACATCGGATTGATCTTGTACAGCTCGTTCAGGATGAAGTAGAGGATGGAGGCGCGGGTGGCCGCTCGTCTATGTAACGAAATGTTATTGTTGTCTTACTTTTTTACTTATCTTGGGCTGTCGCTCGAGGGAATAATGTCGTTATCATCATCATCATCATCATTTCAGCCTGTTTGAGTCCACTACTGAACATAGGCCTCCCCCACAGACTGCCATGAAGTACGATCCTGAGCCACCTGCATCCATCCACTTCCCGCACATTTCGTCACTACATCTAGTGGGGGGACGTCCTGCACTGCGATGGCCAGTACGAGGCCGCCACTCGAGAACCTTTCTTCCCCAACGGTTATCGGTTCTACGAGCTATATGGCCGGCCCATCGCCACTTCAGATTGCTAATCCTCTGAGCTATATCGGTTATCTTAGTTCTACTGCGGATGTCTTCGTTACGAACTCTATCACGCAGAGAAATACCGAGCATGTCGTTATAGCGGAAGACTTTACAAACAATGACTTACAAAACAATTTAATTCGATACATGTACAATTACTTTATACGAGTCTATTTGTATTTTAAATTGATAAAAGAAGACTCTTTTCATTGTTTTCAATTACTTTGACGCCATCAGCGTGGGCACCCAGCACATGATGTTAGAAATGGATCTGCCACGAGTAAGTGAAGATCGTATCACCATAATCAACTTATCACAATTTCATTCGATCGATTCTGTATAGGGAAAGGAATTAAAAGACGTTAACGCCAAAATGGCTTTAATGAGAGAAATAGGGTACAAGAGGGGAAGAATATCGAAGTCTACCCGATTGGCATAGTGGTTCATGAACCTGCCTATTGCGCCAGAGAGTCGGGTTCGATCTTCACTAATGGAAAAATATTGTACATTTTGTGATTTTCCAGTGTCATACATGTATAATATATATATTCATTTATAAAATAAAAGTATATTTAAAGATGTTTACAGTTATATAGTACCCATAGTGCAAGCGTTCCTTAATTTGTGACTGGAGAATGTTGTGTAAAACTGTGACTTAAAATATTATTACAATTATAAGCAAATAAATATGTCACAGCTTGCCTGTATCTCTCCCGTGCTTCGTCAATCTTGACGGCGGTTACTTTACCCTCTTCTACTTTAACCTCAATGTCAGCAGCGGTTTTCTTCGTGGTCTCGAGGTTGATGACCAGCGCCGAGTCGCTCAAGATGTCGGGCCCCGCCGACGACAGCCGCTTCAACAGATCATCTTCGAGGGATTTCAGCGTGATCTTAAAATCGTTTTGCTGCTTCGTGAGACCGGCGCGCAAACTCTCCAAGTCTGGTCTTTCGGCCTTCACCACCTCGCCCAATAGCTGCTCCTCCAAGCTGCAAAGATTAAGACAGTTAGAAAAATGTAATAGACAGAGAATATTGCCTCTCTCAAAAACGGTAAACAATAAAGCTGATGAAAAATAATTACTCCAACTGCATGCCTCAACGCATGTAGTAGGGCCACGCAACACTGTTTAATGTTGGACGAATGTACAGGTCCATCCGGGTACGTACCAAGACCTCACAGAAGACCGGCGTAAAGTCGTAGTGTTTACACTTCTGCGTTTCGTCTGGTGAGTGAGGTTGCCGAGGTCCACTTTATTTACAATGCATTTGCAACCCTACGGGTGTTGCAAATGTTCATGGGCGGTGGTTATCACTTAACATCAGCTGAACCGCCAGCTCGTTTGCCACTTTCTCACATAAAAAAATGAAAAATTTTCGAAAGGGCAATATTATCTTGTTATAACAAAATATAAAATGTTCTTTTATCTCTTAAATATAGTCTCACCCGTCTCTGGTGACCGTGAAATTAATAAGAGTGCACTGGGCCTGCATTTCTGGTTGATAGTGAGGGTTCGCCAACTTCGTCTGAATAATGAGGCGGAATTTCGGATCGTAGTCTATCTCTCTATCGCCAATCTAAAACATCAAATGTTGAAACTTATAAACACCATTTGAACTCCTTACATTAGAAAAAACCTACATTAATATCTCATTGATAACTATGTAATTCTAAATTCAGTATTGCGCAGTGACCGACCAAAATTTAGTGACGCAAACTTTTGCTTGCATTAAGGTGATCTTTACTTTACGCTGGTATAGACAAGCACTTGCAGTACACTTTATTAGACGATAGAAGTACAACCCGCCACCTCCCATGGCCTCAACCTCGCGGTTATATGGCCCGAATTGCGGGTCTGGCTGCAGGGCACCGCATGCACCGTCTTGACTTCCTACAAGTTCTCTATTCTAGTCCCCAAAGTTTCAACTCCAACCAAGGAGGTTTGACAAAACAGTAAAGTGCGCTTCCAGTCTTTTCCACCTTTTCGCGTCTACTCCACTCACTCACTCTCTCTGCACTCCGGTAGAGACAAATTGCGACATTCAGCGTCACACACCTCCATGCCCGAATCATCTCGGTGATCCGGGTATGGATGAATGAATGAATACTTTATTGTCCACCACATATAAAAGGATACACAAAATTAACAGTAGACAAACAAATTAATGGAACGCACAATTTGGCGGCCTTATCGCTTCATAGCGATCTCTTCCAGGTAACCAATGGCGTAAGTAAAGTTTACTACGTAGGTGGTATGGGTGTGTGACTCGGAAGGCGGACGGTAGTTCCCCAGCGACTGTCAACGCTGTATCTGTCATCTATCATAGTCACTTATACAGCGCGTCGTTACCACCGTGACAATAAATGAACATACGTCTGACGCTACTTGTCAATAATCATAAAAAATATTAAGGTAAAAAAAATCCATAATAAAAAAGTTTTTTTTCAAACAAACTAATTATTTTTTTAAACAAACTATTTTTTTTTTTCAAACAAATTAATTTGTAACATCCTATACAACTACAACTGACTGTTTCATACATTCAGAGACTTGTTCATTCGTTGCCACAGCGTCGCATTACAAGCATCTCCTTCTAACATTATGTTTGGTCCCTTTTAAATTCATTCAACCCATTCATATGCTTTGTGACCTTTACAAATGAACTTTACGTTACAGTTTTATACATAAGGGTGTTCTAAAATTCTTTGTTTTGTAAAATTTAATAACTCGGTAAATATTGATGTTTAAAGAATGTAAATGTTTAATACAATTGTAAAAAGTTATCCTCTATATGTGTGTTCATTTATTGTCGCGATTGTAAAGACACGCTGTATATGTCATATAATGTAAAGCGGCACAATTTTTAAGCGCTCGCACAGTACGGGCAGGCGTCATCTGTGTTATTAAACATCATTGCTGCAGATAGCGGGGCGGGGTACCTTGAGCACCCTGCCCTTGCGCACTAGCACCCTGCCGAGAAGCGGGTCGAGCACCGCGTCCACGCTCTCGCCGATGTTCTCGAGCAGCACCACGTCGCCGCCGCTCACCGCGCGCTCGATCCGGTCCAGGTAGTTGCGCTGCGTCAGCCGGATCACGACCAGGGCGTCGCCGTAACGGGACTTTATCCATTTGATGCCCTGCCTGCATAGAGGTCACGTGTACACGGGACGATTATCAAGTGTGGACTTCGTTATTACAAAACCCTCGATAAATTTAGTTTGAGGTCGAATAAAATATTTTTCTTTTAAGTGAGTATGTGACAAGGGACCTTGCGGCTCACTTGATGTACAGTGATAACCACCGCCTATTGACAAAAACAGCCCCGGTAGGGATACAGATGCGTTGCCACCATTCCAATAGCTTATAGTATTCCAATAGTTGACTATTATTATAAACTAGCGACCCGCCCCGGCTTCGCTCGGGTGCAATGTATTATACATAAAAACCTTCCTTATGAATCACTCTATCTAGTAAAAAAACCGCATCAAGATCCGTTGAGTAGTTTTAAATATCTAAGCATACATAGGGACAGACAGACAGCCGGACAACTTTGTTTCATACAATGTACTAGTGATAAGGGACGCATATTAAACAAGTTCTGATTTCCCACTAAGGATTAAAAGGAAAAATATAATCACTTCCTCACATTTAGATATAGTGGATCCCAGGTTTCCATAAATTGTATTTCTACAAATAGTAACTTTAATTATTACCATAACCATAACCAATCTTGATTTCTATAACAGCATGAGCATCAGTACGTACAGCTGAGGATCGATCATGAGCGGCCAGCGCGCAGAGTTGGTGAGTATGGTCGCGTTCTCCGAGCTCATGGAGTCGGTGGGCAAGCCCTCGTTGTTCCAGCAGGCCACCTGCGCGTCGTCCGTCAGCATCGACAGCGGTTCCAGGTTTTCTGTCATCTCGATTTTCGGCTGAAAAGAAAAAGTGTCGATAAAAATTGAAAGAATAGAATCTTCCCAATTTTCTCAATGTTAAAATGCCATAATACATCTTGAGAGATATATTTTATAACAAATATGCATTTTATGAGAATTTTCTCACCTTGAGAGTTTTGTATAAAGATAAATTTTCCACCTGACATTTGACATTAAGGACTTTTTTCATAAGGGCTATCTATCCGTCTTTCCTGTTTTTGTTTTCTCCCATTGCTGTAATATCAATTACTTTAAATGATATCTGTTCATATCAACTTTTTCCCCTTCTTGACATAATTTTCTAACACAGTAGGTATGATAGGTTTACTTATATAGAACCATATTATATTTCACTACTCCTCATTTGGCTCATCCGCACGTCCTTATTTTCTCTATTCATTTGTCGGTTGACTGGTATAGAACACCTGATAGTGTTAAATCCACCATGTTATGCTATTGTGCGAAACGTTTTCAAATAAATAAATAAATGGCTCACTTCAGACTTGGCGAGGGTTGGTACCCAATCGTCGTTGAGCAGCTGCTGACGGTAGATCCTCGTGAAGCAGCCCACGTACGAGATGAACGCCGTCACCAGTAGCACATCGCCGGGGAGCATCACGCCAGACTCCTTCAGATTGACGACAGTTGCCGACCATCTGTGTTAACCGAGGGGCATGTAGAAGCAACCAAAACCTAACATACTCAAACTAGTTGACCCTTGAATGGTGACATAATAATTATTTAACAATAAAAGGTATGTTATTATGAAGTTAAGAATAACGTTGTCTATTGCAATTTCTCACACAACTTAACTCACAGAAGACCAGCGTGAAGTAGGAGTATTACACTTCTGCGTTTTATCTGGCGGATGAGGTAGCCGGGGCCCACCTTATTAAAAGGTGGCAACGCATCTGCAACCCTACGGGTGTTGCAAATGTCTATGGGCTGTGGTTGTCACATTTATCACATTAAAAAGATATCTTTAATTTGAAAAATTTCAATAGATAACATTATCAATATATTTCAGTATAGAACAAGGAAGAAGAAATAACGCTTCTGAAGGTGTTATATTAATATAATTTTAACTAAATTAAATTAGGTTTGTATTCAAATGCGAGTCCGTTACGGTTGGAATTAGTAGTCAGTGCGAATGTACAAATTTGATTGCAATTCGTTAACCACTTATAAGCCAATATATTTAAAATCCAACGGTCGACTTCCAACGCGAGTGTTACAAGTATTAAAAACAGTATGGTTTATACATGAATTTATACATATTAATAAATTTAGTTTTATTTATTATTCATGCTATCTGTAGCGCAGACATTCTTTGATTCAAGAAATTCTTAAAAATTCTATGTAAACTGTAACTTCGAGCAAAATGCTTCGAACAAAATTTATAGAAACATTATGGAATTTCAAATTCAATTATTATGGAAGGACGAATCTATTATTTACGAGCAACATACGTTTATGTTACTAATGTTTTTTAATGAAAAACTTTATGATCGCTATTAGAGAGCGTTCAGAAATTTGCTGGTTTATAAATATTTGCCATTTAAATTTTGAAAAAATTTTGAAAATGGTCCAATGATCTCGAAGAACACAGTGCAAGTTTATATCTATTATCTATTTTTACTAAAAATCTCGTACCTAATTTTCTCGGAGGCCAATCCATTCACTAAACGGTTTGCCAAGTCAATCGTTGCATTCGTGGCGTCGGCTTCAGCTTGACATTTCATTTTCTCGTTCACGGCCTCTTGGAACGCTTTTAACAACTCTTCTAGTTTCTCTTCTAATTCCTAATAATAAAACTTATTTAAAATCCTGATGGGTTTGATAATGACAATTTGATCTGGTGTGAATAAATTTGGTAATCTTGGCTATCCCTTGGAATCCTCTTAATCTGACATTGTATGAATAATATATGTCATCAGTGTTTTGTGCCAGCAATATTAACCGTCTCATAACTGTAAATGAATGTAAATGAATATCGACCATCTTACCGCCTTCCACGATTTGGGAAATGAGAAAAATCTTTTAATACTTTAATTTGATAAGAATTATGTTTTAAGCGGTAACACTGGCTGATTAAAAGTCATCAGCGAATACTAATTCGGTACCTATGAAACTGAGCCGAGAACTTTAGTAATGAAAGACATTGATTGGCCAACTAAATAAACACTGTTTCATGTACAGAAACGTACAAATTTTTTATGTGTAGTTTGCTTTTAGCCCGGTTACTTTAACAGCTACGACGAAAAAGGTGGACGACGAACAACGACCTAGTGCATGACGGCGACGCGTTAGAAAATGAATGATGACGTATCGCTAACGTAAGCACGGTGAGTATATGAGTATGAGTATACCTTAATCTTGTCAGTTAAGAAGGCAAGTTTGTCGCGCGCGGCCTGAAGTTCAGCATTGGCGGCGTTGAGTGCTCGTCTCTTGGGTTCCACCACAACGTACACGTCGTAGAACTTGATGATGTTGATCACCCAAGCGCACAGGCCTGCTGCCGCCGCCGACTTGGACATTATGAACTCCGGATTAAACTCTGGGTTCTTGATGTAAGGTTGCACAGCCTGCAGGAAAACAACATAAGAACTGATATACTCTTAAGTTAGATGAATTTTGATACGATTTGAAATGAAAAGAATTATGAAATTAATAATTAATTAGATAAGAAAGCTTGAATTACTACTAAGTTTGTGTTTGGGCGTACTTTTTTTTAACCCGATGTTGTTTTTAACTCGCTATATAATTGGTAAACATTTTTTTGTGTTGCCAAAGTTTGACCCGGTTAACATACTCACCAGACGAAACACAGAAGTATAATACATTTAGTGCACGTTGGTCTTCTACGAGGTCGTGGTACTTTCCCGGACGACCCTGCCCATTCATATTGTAATAGCAGCAGCTGTGACTTGAAACAACTGCGTTATATATAAGGCGTTAATTTAAAGCTTCGTGTTTCATATCAAAATGTTATTCTGTTCAATTGAACAGAAATTAATGTATTTTCGATAATTTGGTAAAATATGTATGTATGTATGTATTATCGAGAAACATTCTAATTTTAATTTAATTTAGTCATCTCGTTTCCGTAATTTCTTATAATTTTATAGTTACCTAAGTAGTTAAAAAAACCTGCTATTAGATAATCTGTGCGGTACCTTAACAATGTCCGGATGTATGTTCTCCTTGTCGTAATAAACTAAATCGTTTAAGAACTGGTCAACTTTCGCCATCATGAGCTAGAACAAGAACAACCGTATTAGTCTTATTACGGCCACAAGCCACTTTATATTAAGGACACTTCGTCGCAGTCGCTGTAATCTAACTTGAACAGGACTTTGAAGTCTATAATGAAATTTAATTTCTATGAGTTCTACCAAAAAGACACAATAATACGAATCCACTCTTCAAGTTTACCTTGCAAGCCTTCCAGGACCTGTCCTTTGGCAGTTTACCCTTCTTCGAGAACAGAACGAGCACAGCGGCGGTGACATTGATCACGGCGTCTGGCGGCGAGCCGAACGACTTCAGCTCCGTTAGGTTGTTCTTGTTCAGGGTGTTTAGCGCCTCCTGAGCGGCGATCAGAGCCGGCTCGGCTTTGGCCAGATCGTCCGCGCATATCTTAGCCTTGATTGTCACGTCCTCTTCAATCACTTTGACTTTCTTCTCCTCCTCGGCGGCTAAAGAAAACGAGTTCATAACAGTCAATGCCTCGACGATCATTTCCTATAATGGTGGACCCATTTTAAATGTATTTATAAAGTTACGTGACATTCAAAATGCTGTCCTGGTGGCTATATTAGTGTAGGAGAAATAGGCTTGGGTACTACGAAGAAAATCAAAGAAACTCTTAATGTTATTAAGTTTAGACTTTATGAATAAGTGTAAGCTAGAAGAATATTTTGCATTGAAAAATGTATCTTGTAAGAGATGGAAGACAAAGTGATTTATGCTGCAAAAGTGGAAAAGCCTAACATAACTTAAACATAGGACATAACTCAAACATTCTACTGAGGTCCTATCTAGGTTGGCGTTTCATTGAGTGAGAGAAAGTGTAAATATATGTATCCGTAGCCAACGGGTGAACGTATAGCTTGATGTTGCGATGTGATGCAATGCAAAAATTTTTCTGGAAAGTGGAGGAAATCCGTACACTCTGCTAATAGGCTTAAGTTTAGGGTTTCTATTATAAAATTTCATTTTAACAACCATAATAAATTTGATATAAAATGCAAACATATTTATATAAAAGAAAAACATTATTCTATTGACGTAAAATAACGCTGCAGTAATTGCGAGTCACAAAATAAATGAGTGCAAAAAATCTACGTCAACGTTTTTTATTAACTATATTTCCAACTTTTACTACGAAAAAATTATATAAATTTGTAATACTTTTTGTGAAGTTTTTCATTATTACCAAACGCTTTTTCCTTTGAAACTTTTTCGCTCTCGGCGCCGACCACTTCAATCAGCTCTTCGGCGGCTTTATTTTTAACCTTCAATATTTGCTCTTGCTCTGCAAGTGTTACCTAATGCAAATATATTCTTATAAGTTATCAAAATATTTAAAATAGTTCACATCATTCGTCTTCTGAAAATTTGCTGTAGTAACCTAATTTAATTTCTTTGCACATCTTTCAAATAATCGTTTTCTTAGAATATATAAAATTTTAGAGAAGAGGTAAAGATATACATATAAAAACAGTAGAAAAGCGTTTATGCTTCGGTGAATTGTACTATCAATCTTTGCTATTAATTATTTTTATCACCCTAGTGTTCTAAGGACTATCCCGTCTGATAGTAAATGGTGATGCAGTGGTGAATGATGGTAAGCAAAGCAGCTCAGTTGAAAATTATTCTTAAAAAAATATTTAGTTATTTCGTTAATAAGCTGTAACAAAGTTTTGTTTCGGATCATCATAATCATCCTCCTAGTGGGGTCAGCACAAATGATTGACATGTTGTGCCGACCCATGTCTGACGTCAACCCGCCTTGGGAACAAACACCCAGATCTGGAACAATTATTTGTGGATCTCACAAACACTTGTCCCGTGTGGGAATCGAACTCACGACCCCCAATGTCAAAGCTAATAGCATAGCAACGGCGCAACCGTGTCATTCCCTATTTTTCGGATAGTAACTTGATGTTAATTTCGTACATCAAAGTAGTCGGCTCAGCCATTCTTATCGCTACGAAAAATTTTATCGCATTGCAGTGAAACATCGAATCGACTAAACTATTATATTGTCGCTCAGTAAAAAGTAATTTGTTCTTTGTATTTCACCCTCTCACCCAACGGTGACGTTTATGATTCTTATCTCAGTCATAAAGACTTTTTAAAGCTTTCTAGGGCAGAAGGGCCACATTCATAAGCGCACGGAACCGTTCCACGTGTTAACAGTTATACAATAAATTTATTTGGATTTTAAACAACTACACACCTTTAGCACGGCTACGTCAGCGGCGCACGATGCGAGCTTGTCCAAGCCGTTCTCAAGCCTGGAGATCATCATTGTGAGATCGTCGGTCTTCGTGTCGAGCAGTTTCCCGTAGAGCGCGATCTGCTCGAGGAAGGTCTTCGGCGTGGTGTATGTTGTAGCGGCGCTCGTTCTGATAGTACACCGTGGACATCTGGTTCACGCTCTGGTGGACGTGGGACATGAACACGGACACCGGCTCCACTAATTGCGACTGTGGAGGGCAATGAGTCCCTTATTAGTTATCTACAAAACTGTTATGTAACATGTGTTATGGGCAAATTATTACATCGATAATTTAAATCAAAACGATCTGCGGCTGGTATTAAAAATAAGATATAACACAAATATACACGAAGGTCCATAAAAGTAGACTTTTGAAATTTTACTGTAAATGCCACTTACATGTGCTTGACCCACTTGATACATAGTAGCAAGTGATGTTGTCTTACATGGTATACTACATTAGCACTAGCTCAGTTAAAGCACATACTCGCCCTAGGTACACATTATACACGCACAGCGAAATAATGAACCTAGCAAATTGTTTCAATCTTTTGATTTACGTCCGCATTAGGAGGTAAACCTCTATGAGTCTGTTATCCGATTATGGACGTGGAGGGATTCCTCCCTGTAACTGCTTAAATGTGTGGTTCCTGTGCATAGTACAAAAAGGTACCTATAGAATACCGAGGTATTGTAGCTACTCTGTGCCCGGTACTTGGTACGCAACTACTGAGATAATTATACTTAGCGCCCGGAACTTTGAACTTTTTATAACTAATGGAGATGATAAATAAGTAGATCAAGGACCGGTAGAGAGCGAACTTCAGAGATGAACCGCTTGGAAACCGAGCGAAGCGCGTCTTGTGGCCATTCGTGGAACCAGTTGATGGCGGTGCAGTTCACGATGGAGGGGAACTTGCGGGCGCGCACCCGTAGCGTCGCACCCACGGGCGAGAAGCAAAGCACCACCTGAATAGCGTCACGTCAAAATCAAACTTAATTTATTTTAATTCACAGGTCTTTAATCTTAAAATAGGAAAGTTATAACCGCGTCTGAACCATTTAAATGAATAATAAATAAATAAATATTTCGGAGCATATTTTCACACAAGGTAACCTAGTCCCAAACTAAGCAAAGCTTGTGCTATGGGTACTAGTAAACTGCAAAAATTTCCTTTAAAACGAAACTCGAAAAACACTCACGTTTATCACATAATATTGTTGTGAACACACAAAGGAACTAACGCCATCTAGCGTCAACTATTAAAACCACTAAAGAACAAAGACGACATAAAACCCCCTATTCAACATTAGATGGCGTTAGAGGAACTGCTGTGGAACTATAGTCTCGAAAACCGGGTACATTCGCGAACTTTCCGGAATCACGAACATGTTCGTGCGTGTCGGGTACGTTCCAGGAATGATCTTTCTGGATTAGTCCGGAACCGGTCTCGGCCCATATAAAAAGCCGCAGGGAGGCGAGCGATCACAGTTCAGTTTGAGCTACCTTCGAGGCGACTTCGGAGCGAAAACTAGTGATCAAGAGCGATACCAGTGAAACCTATGACTTGGCTACAAAATAGAACAACGTTAGTGCTTAGTGTTTGGACCTAGTGCTTTGTGTTGGACCTAGTGCGCGTAAATAAAGTCTTCAAAAGAGTCAGCAGGTCTTTTTCTCCAAATCCTTCGAACCCCTAACACGTAATAACTGGTGTCAGAAGTGGGATTTGGAGATGCCATTGACTCCGAAAGAGGACTTCAAGAAGGGTGTCAGGACAAGGGCACGAGCTGCGGAGGCCACACCCACTGGGGACCAAGCCCCGCCCACTGGCCCCACCGACCAGGCCACGCCCACTGACCACGCCCCTCAGACTCCGCCCATTCAGGCACAAGCCCCGCCCACTCGGGCACAAGCCCCGCCCACTCGGGCGCAAGACCCGCCCCCTTTGGTGCAAGCACCGCCCACTGACTCCACCTACCGGGCCACGCCCACTGGCCCCGCCCACCTTGCTACGCCCACCAGCGGCACCGTAACTTCTGCAGCCCCTGAAATGGCTCTACAATTAGGAAGTTTAATTGAACTAATTAGCGCTTTGCAAGAGTCACAAGAACGCAAGTTCGGCGCTTTGCAAGAGTCACAAGAACGCAAGTTCGGCGCTTTGCAAGAGTCACAAGGACGCAAGCTCGGCGCTTTGCAAGAGTCACAAGGACGCAAGCTCGGCGCTTTGCAAGAGTTACAAGAACGCAAGCTCGGCGCTTTGCAAGAGTTACAAGAACGCAAGCTGACTACGATTCAAGAGTTTCAAAAGGCTGAAATCAGAGCGATTCGAGAATCACAAGAGCAACAAAAAGACCAAGAAAAGGCGCTTTGGGCTATAAATGATGTTGGTAACACGGTGATTAAACTTCGAAAAGATCGACGTAGTGGAAGAACGAGTTACCGGGTTAGGATTGGATGTTGAAAATGTGAAAACCGGCCTCACCGAACTACAGAAGAAAGTAGTGCGCCTTGAAACCACGGGAATCGAGATGTCTAGTGGCACTACTGGAGTGGCACAAGGACCAAAAGTGAAAGTGCCGCCATACAACGGCACTACTTCTTGGCACGCTTATCGTCGGCAATTCCAGACTGTTGCTACTGCCAACGGATGGACGGAAGAGCAATGCCTGACCGCTCTCACTATTGCGCTCAGAGGGCAAGCTTTGTTGGTCCTGGAAGCACTGCCACGTACAGGAAATGGGTTCCAAGACCTGATGGAGGCACTTGAATCCAGATACGGGGAGCGACACCTGGAGCACGTATTCCGTGCCCAACTGCGTGACCGAGTCCAACGCTCAGGAGAAGGACTACAACAATGGGCGTTGGAAATTGAAAAACTCGTCAGGAAGGCACACCCAGGAGCCGACACCAAGATGGTAGACACGAATATTGTTCAAGCATTTGTGGACGGAATCAAAGACCTGGAGGTCAGAGCTGCAGTGAGGCTTAGTCACCATACCTCGCTAAAGGAACCACTGGCGCATGCTTTAGAGGTCGAGGCTGTTCGCCATGACATACGGCAGACCCATTAGATCCGCGAGGTCTCTGAGGAAGTCAAGGAGGTTAAGGCTCCTACAAAAAAAAGTTTTGGAGCTATGTGTTACAAGTGCGGCGAGAGGGGCCATCTGCAGCTCAACTGCCCGCAGAAGGAGACCCAGATGGCAAGGATGAAATGGATCGAGGAACAAATAACGGAGCTGAAGAAGCGAGAGGCTTCGTCCCCTGCCCGGGATCAGGGAAACTAATAAAAGCCAGTACTACGGGGCGAGTACTGGCTGACGCGGAGGAGGCCCCGATAACTGTTATCTCCCAGGCATGCAGCGGAAATAGCCTTGTGATTCAGGGTACTATTAGTGGGACGGATTGCAAAATGATTCTAGACACAGGAGCCTCTAGAACAATAGTGAACCCTAATCTGGTAAAAGCCGCAAGGGGACTCAAAAGGAGAATTAACTGCCGGCTTCTTACTGCCTTGAACCTTTGTTAGTGGAAGCAGTAACGCTGTGGTCAAGGTTTTGAATCTCTGTGATCGCGAGGTCTGCTTGAACAAAGGTGACGTCATTGGAAAGTGCGAGGAAGTTGTCTGGATGAAAAAGTGTAGTTCGACGACAGACGCAGACCCAGCAAACAGCAACAACTACGGATTAGTGACTGAGCTACTCGATGACTGCAAGAGTAATCTGACTTATTCACAGGGCATGAAAGCTAGGAAGTTTTTACAGCGCTACGCGAATATCTTCTCCAGTCAAGAAGGGGACCTTGGAAGAACTTCGATGGTTCAGCACAGGATAGATACCGGAAGCGAAAGACCAATTCGTCAACGAGCAAGACGGATACCAATTGCAAAGGAAAAAGAAGTTGAAGGCCTTTTGGAGGACATGAGAAGGAATAAGATTATTGAACCGTCTACAAGTCCGTGGTGCTCACCTGTTGTGTTAGTGAAGAAGAAAGATGGTAGCACGAGATTTTGTGTGGACTATAGGCGTCTCAATGATGTCACTAAGAAGGACAGTTACCCGTTACCTCGAATCGACACTTTGGATACCTTAAGTGGCATGAAATGGTTCTCGACCCTAGACCTGAAATCTGGATACTGGCAGGTGGAAATTCATCCAAAAGACAAGGAGAAGACAGCTTTCTCGACCGGTAAAGGTTTATGGCAATTTAACGTCATGCCCTTCGGGTTGTGCAAAGCACCTGCCACATTTGAGCGACTCATGGAGTGTGTACTTGCAGGCTTAGTTGGAGAGGCTTGCTTAGTTTACTTAGATGACATCATCATTGTCGGCCGTGACTTCGAGGGCCATTTGCGAAACTTGGAGCGAGTTTTCGCCAAAATAGAGGGAGCCAAATTAAAGTTGAACCCGAAAAAGTGTCGTTTATTCAGGAGCAAGGTCAACTATCTCGGCCATGTTATCTCCAATGATGGAATCCAGACAGACCCGGAGAAACTGGAAGCAGTTCAAAAATGGCCTACCCCTAAGGACAAAACCGAAGTGCGAGCATTCCTCGGCCTATACTCAGATCTTTCTGGATTAGTCCGGAACCGGTCTCGGCCCATATAAAAAGCCGCAGGGAGGCGGGCGATCACAGTTCAGTTTGAGCTACCTTCGAGGCGACTTCGGAGCGAAAACTAGTGATCAAGAGCGATACCAGTGAAACCTACGACTTGGCTACAAAATAGGACAACGTTAGTGCTTAGTGCTTTGTGTTGGACCTAGTGCGCGTAAATAAAGTCTTCAAAAGAGTCAGCAGGTCTTTCTCTCCAAATCCTTCGAACCCCTAACACGTAACAATATTTTCCAGTAGTGCAAATCGATGGGTTACGATCAAGTACGCCAATAGAGTTGTCAAATAATTCCATAGTAATGTTACAGGTATGTGTTTTATTGCACTGTTTAAGTTGTCGAATACTACTAACAGGTTCTTTTTTTTTATTCTAAATTATTGTTTGTGAAAAAAACTGATAACAAACCAAAAGCCTTTTCATTTCGTTATCTACATTAATTACAGTTTCTACTAACACATTCTCTTTTCTTGCAATCTCCTGATTTCAGCTAACTTTAGGTTACGTACGTACTTACGTTATTTTTTATTTTTTATGAGTTATTCATCTAATTATTTAATTCAAAGTAAGATATCTAAAAGTACCTTCAACATAGTTCGAACACGATTAATGAAGAATTTCCAACAGTTTTCACGTGTATCAGGCACTCCGGTAGCTTTTGTCTGGAAAGATAAATAAAATGATATTTTTTTAAAAACTCTAGACAGAAAAAGTCAAACTATTTAGATAATTTTAAATGAAAAGTTCTGTTCCAAGATACATTTATCAAGTAAAAGTCATATAAAATTAAGTGCTTAAGGATGATCAATATAAGAAAACTCTTAGTTTTGTACAGACATTGACTCTTTCGGTAACTCACCTCACCCCGTACTCCATTGATAACGTTTTCCATTTCATCATCAGCCAATAATTCTGGTATTTCACCGGAGGCAAGCAAGTCATTGATGAGAACGAGAAAACGTTCATCGGCAACCTGCGCGTCGGTCATGAGGAACACATTGCCGATGTTCTTCAAGCCAGCCTTAATATATAATGCAGCTAAAACATTTATGGAAAAATAAATAAAATCTCTCACGTCGTTTGATCTGATGTAAGATAACGATGGAATAATGAATAATTAAAAAATCTCATGTGTTAGTAGATAATATGTTCTTTATATTTAACCTATAAATTTTAACATTTTATTAAAAAAACTGCGAAGCGCGTGTTTATGTTATCAAAATGATCAAATAAAAATCTTACCCAGGTCGACTTTGAGATCATTAATACTGTAGCCTTTACGCAATTGGAGCTGGAACACCTCGAGTGAGGATATGAAGGCGGACAACCTGGACAGCGACTGTTTTCCTGAACCCCCAACGCCGATGAGCAGAGCATTGCCACGCGGTGATTCAAGGATACGGTTTATACTGTAATACAGATCGATTGTTACTTACTATGATCGGCACCAGAGACTAAATATTTACGTAAGTGTACATGCGTAGTTCGCTCTATATTTTTAACAATATTGAAAATAGGTATATTCACATAATCACGTTAATAGTCATTCAGTTAATATATCGTAACATAGCTTTTCAATACATCTCTCAGATGACTATGTGTCATAGCTTATATTGGCTTTAATTTTATATCTCTTACTCCGCGTACTGTATAATTGTGTTGTAGTAGTGTTCATAATAATTTAGGCTAGTTTTAGTGCAACGATGATGGATGAGGGAGTCACCGAAACACAGGTCGTTTAATGACCTACTTAGGAGACCTTTAGGACCTTTACTCAGTCAGAACTGTTCAATTCGTAGTTTATTTCGTATGCAATCTGATATTTACCACAAACGTTCTTATAATTTTGTAATTTGATTTGAAATACACAGATGTTCGCAAATGGAACTAGAAAAGTGCGAATGCTTCTACGTTCTGAGGGTTTTGTATAAAATTTATTACCTATATCCCTTTACTTGTAGTGTAAAACTTGCTGATTGCCAAATTTTAGTTTTTGATGGAAGGTACTTCATAGGTATCACAATGAATAACAAAAATAGAATATATACATTTTTTTACCCTGCTCATTGATGACTACTAAGCTACTGTGGTATCTGGCCTAGATTTTAAATAGCTATCATAACAATTCTTAAGAAAACTGATTCAGAAAGAGACGGACTACATATGTAGTCCTGTAAGTCTATTGGGTAAGATACTCACCGACAAATATGGTACATGGCGTCTTCAAATAGTACAAGGTTCATGGTGGCAACAAGGTCATTGTATGATGAGAGTGATTCGTCTAAAAGGCGCTTAATCTGAGCCCAGTCGCGGATCGGATTATACTTGGGATCGCCCACGCCCTCCGCAAAGTGACAATAAATCAAAGGCTTCTCGAACACTAGGTTTTCGTCGTAATCCTTGAAAATAACGAAAACATTCAATTAGTCCCCAGCTGTTATATGTACTTTATTATAACCTAAAATAATTAATTTTCTATTAAGTAATCGCTATTGTTATTTATGTCCTACTCTTGTTTATGAATATGTTTATTTATTTATATGTATAATGTTGTTTATGTTTTATTCTTTTTTATATACCTGAATGAAATTTGATATTCAAAACCGGTCTGCCGTTGCGGGGTGAATAGGGAAGAAACACGCCTACACTCAAACTTATAATATTAGTGTGATGCGTAAATACAATACTGACACAAAAGACACTTTATACTTTGTCTGCCTAAAGCTTTCACGTGTCGAATCCAAATAACTAAACTTTAAAGGGAACATTAAAGTTAAAGAAACCTCAGTGAAGTTACTTCTCACGTGTCTCTATAAGCATTCAATTAACAGAAACGTTATAACATTAAAAGAATCCATGTTCATAGAACCGAAAACAAATATAAGTGTACATTAACGTGAAGTAAGAGCGGAACAAAAAATGATCTATACTGCGCCAAGAACGAGAGGATAGTAAAGCTCCAATAGCTGTAAGACTTTGCAACAGTCCTTATAACTTCGACTCACCTCGCAGTGCTTCTTGATAACTTCGGCAATGAGCTTGTTGAACGCATCGTTGTCGACGTTGTCGACTAGTTTGTCTGAGTACACTCGAGTAGCTTCGTGCATCCACAGGCGAATCATTTCGGATGTTTGCTTTATCACGTCACCCGTTGTGAACAGAATACCCTAATAGATTAGGTATGTATAAATTAATTGATTTGATTACACTATATACATTTTGTGTTTCCTTTTTGTTTACTTGCCTTGATAATTGCAATAAAACTGCTAAACTGATCGATAGGTTTTATAAAAGCTGTATGACACTCGGGTGCCACAGCTGGGCCACCGTAATGAGTTTCTATTATTAGTATTTTAAGAACAGTGTAAATTCGGAAAGTTTGAATTGAACATTGATCAAAACTCACTTGAAAGATGTTAGACAGATCGCGGAGGTTGAATATGTAATGGAACTTGACGGCGGTGGGGAGGAACGTGGAGGAGAGCTTGTTATGGAGAGCAAGCGCGGTGTTGACCAACGTGTCTGCGTACCGCTGCAATGACACGCCAAACTTGTTGTGCGGACTGGCCAAATGTTGCGACAGGATCTGCTTGTAGATGTGATAGCACGCCTCCAGTGCCGGGAAGCTGGCGTAAATTGGATTAACACAGAATGAACATGGATTATTCGGATTTTAATCTAAGCAAATAGAGAGTAGTAAGTTGCGGACAAATATTGAATTATAAAAGAAGTTTGATGGACAATTTTTTTGTTTACATTAATTATAAGACCAAACCATTACAGCTCGCTGACTGAGTTCAATTCCCGTGCCGACACCAATGAAATTATCAATTTGAAGTCCTTGTTTATCACGTGTTCAGCGGTGAAGGAAAACATCGCGACAAAACATGCATATTTTCGAAAATGTAACAAAAATCATATTTCGATGATATGTACGTTCCGCCAATCCGTAGTGGGATCACGCTATAACGCACGTGGTGGACTATGACCAGAAGTGAGACAAATATATTATAGCCTGCTATTTAACTTCATTTTTTTTACAATATTAAAATGTAATAAAAAATTGCCTTGATTAACTTACCTTACAGCGAACGTGCAAAAATGTCTTTGCAAACGTGAGTCAATAGTGAAAGAGCCAGCAGTAGGGTTCATACACGAAACAAACATGCAGTTTGATATTTCCTTTAAAGACAACTTTTGCCTGTCGTACCTGTGGAATTTTTTTTGTAATATAGAATACATTCTACATTTATTTCATTTTTCTACCATTATTAGTATGCTTTTGTAAAAAAGCAGTTTTAAGATTCGATATTATCAAAAGATGTGCAGTGTATGAGGTATCCGGCCTCTATATGTAACTATAACACTGGAAAAGATATGATGCTGATGTTTGATCAGCAATTTAAAAAGAATAATAACAAGAATATAAATTTCTCACCAATGCCTGTAGTCCATAAATTGTCTGATCAGCGTGTGCGGCTGTACTGTGCCATACGTGTCAACCTCAGGCATGTTCATGTCATCCACAAAGTAGATCATGAACTTGCTTCCGGGTGGGCCAAAATTGCGTCCAGACTTTTTCTCTAGAGGCTTTTCCAGCACTTTTTGTATCATTTCTAAGTGAAAATAATGTACCTTCAAGTGTTTATTCTTTAAGGACCTTTTATTTAGTGTATTAGAAGAACGCAGCATTAATTAATTGGCAATCTTCGCTTTAAAGTGCATAACTACTACATAATCTGTTGTAATTTAAAGTTGTTGTTCTTAACCGAATTCAAAAACTTGGTGACTTTTGAAAATCTCGCTTAAGGCTTAAGGTTTTAAAGTATCTTTTTAATTGTTTAATATACCTTTAACCGTGAATTTTATCATAAACCAACCTGAGGTAGTGTAGAAATTGAGCGGCACGTTGGTAATAGCGTAAGAGTCAGGTAAGGAGTTAAGTTTGGCGGCGACACTGACGGTTTTACCACTGCCCGCTGATCCAACCAACATCAACGGCTTCTGCTTAGCTATGAGCAGATCCATGAAAAATCTGATGCGGGTTGTCTCCGATGTTGACACGAGGCATGACTGAAATTAGACATACATCTGATGCAAAATTTGCGGTGTTGTCTACGCTCTGTGTAATACTCAATGAATCCTAAAACAACATAGTATAACAACATTCTTTAGTAAATAAGTGGAAAAAAATATTTCATACAAGTAAATTGGAATGACTTGTAAATAATATTAAAATTCAGTATCACATTCTGAAATTAATGTAGGTAAAAATCAATATCAATTAGAATACGAAAAAGTTCATTTAAACCTGCAAAGGTAAATCGGGATCTAGTTCAAACGATTCCACCTTCTCGGACCAGGGCAGAAACTTCTTTGTCTCGGGATCAATAAAGAAACTAAATACGTTTCCAGAGGATGGAAACTTGATTTGCTTGAACTCGTTGCAGAACCACTTGCTGAATTCATTGCGCCAATCCACTAGTTGATCTTGAAACAGTGCTGAACCGAAGCCCCATACGACGGCAAAAACGAAATAAGTTTCATACCTAAAAAAGTTAATTATTGCAATTCGAATCATCACTTCATTATGAATAGTAAGTTTATAGATTCACTGAACATATATTTAAAAATACCGGGATACTTGCTAACCAACTAAATTTCACCATCGAAAATTACCACTAGGATAAAAAATGTCTAAAATTCAGACTGCTAATTACTTTAAAGGTTAAAAACTATACCTTTTATAACAAAATACCTATGTGGCGTGCGTCATGCTAAAGTTTTTTCCTTTTAAAGTTACTTCTTAGTCAATGCTAATAAAGAGAATTTCTGACCATTCCTTAGGGCAGTCCGAAGGCAGTAATGTCTTGTTTAAGAAGCACTCGAGAAGGTAGCACGTGAGCTGAATCTGCTGCAAGTCTGTCAATGGCGTGATCCGTTTGTATTTCTTGGACGTCTCCAGCAGGGGTGGAATGTATTTATCGAACATTACAGTCAGCATTGCCTTCTCGGTCTCATCATCGCGACTCGTTTCGATCCACGATGCCACAAACCTATAATATACATACTCTATATAGGAACGCAAGCCAACCAGTAGTAATGAAAAGAGTCGTTTTATTATGCTTTTTATTAACTATTTATTTGTAATCTTTACATATAGTTCTGCACAGGATAGCGACGAAACGTTATCTCGCTTTATTTTCTTTCCGCGCGCCGGTCCAAATTTCGTAATCGATTTACTTAACTTCCTGATGAACTAAAATCTTGAAATTTCATACATATATTATTGGATAGCATTGAAATATTTTCTAGGTTTCGTGTCTCTCTGTCTGTTTGAAAAGTTTACGTAAAGCACTAATAATTCGATAGGTAGATTTTTTTTATTAAAAAGTGCGTGGTAAAGAACCTTCACTAATTTCCATTATTAGTAGTCTACTACAACTAGTATTATATGATTACTAGTAGGTATATATATATTGGAACAGTCCATTTAGAGGCGAAAGCTTTTCTTCTATAATAAAGCAGTTCTCGTGGGTCCTTGCGGATTGGCCTACTTCACAGATGTACAAGATAATTAATAAAAATATATGTGCATATTATTTTTGAAGTTAACGATGAGGTAACAAGGTAGAGACATATGTATCAAGGACTCAATCAAAGGCCTCCTAAAAGATGCGTTACTTACGGATTCCAACCGAGATCTTGAGGGTTAATGTAAAGGATGCCGGCCCGTGACACTGTGGCTGGCGTCGCGGTACGTAGAGTCGCAATCTCGAACAGAAGCCTCATCGACTTGGTCAACGCGATACGTTCGTTACTGGCCAGTGTCAGCACCTTATAGAGATGACATAAAAAATAATAATAAAAATGTTTTAACAAGTGATGGTTATTGATGCACTAAAATCAAATATAATTATGTCAGAATTAGTCTTTCTATCGATTATATTGATTGGTTTTCAAACAATCATCAATTATTTTAATCGATTGCTTCGTGTATTGATCGCTAAAAAGTTGTTCAGCCATCAGTCAGCATACAAACATTAGCAAATTATATAAGGTCATGTCATAACTTATTCACCAAATATTATTTGTGAATAAGTTATGACATGACTATAATTGAATCGAGGAAATAATGATGTTGAATCACCTTACAGTTGTTGTAAACTTTATTTTAACTTACACCGGATCTTGGGTCCGCATGCAAGACATGTTTATGCTGTACATACAGTATAATCACAATAAGTATGCAAGCCAAGAAAAAAAATATTCTATACTTGGCAGGAAGTAAGTATATGGCCGTAGAAAAATGGAAAAAACTAACCCTTGCCTATGTGTATAGTCAGCGGTAATTAATTGTCATCAGCATAGTCGTATGATTTTTTTTTAATTCGAAAAGGTAGCAAGCGAGCATCAGCTGGTGGTTCACCATGATGTTAAGTGATAACCGTCTGTAGGTTGCAGATGATTTGCCACCTTATTAATAAGTCTCGGTTATCTCACTCACCAGGCGAAAGCAATAATTACAATCACACCGGTCTTATTTGAGGTTGCGGTACTTCCCTGGACTCCCCCGCTCATTTTTACAACAGCGTAGATTGTCGCGTGGCCCTACCACAGTTCATAGAAGAGTCACCGTTGAATCTTACCTTGTTATCGTCCATGAGCGTGTTGAGGCTCTCGATCCACATTGGATCGATGTCGCCGTCGAGGACTATCCACTTGGGCCCGTCGCCCGGCATGTTGGCCATGTCGCGCATGATCGTAGAGAACAGGCCGTCGCGCCACTCGCGCGTCGCCGGATTGATCACGCCGAACAGCTCGTCGTTGGTCACCGCCTTCGGGTCCAGGTCGTTGTACATCGGCCTCATCTTCAGCATCTGGTAGGTCCGGTGGAGGCACTGCCACACCATCGACTTGCCGGTGCCCGAGAAGCCCACGATGAACACCGAGTGCCGCACCGCGAACAGCTCCACCAGTTGGACCATCTTTATGGACGAAAAAGTGAATAATGTGGGTTGGCCTTAGTTGCAAAGAAGTAAAAAAAAAATGGTAATGCCGGCTGTTGATCAACATGTTACATGCATACTAATATTTAAATAGTTTCTGAAAATGAAAGGTAAAAATGAAAAAAGGCAAAAGTTAAATGAATTTAAGAATTTTAAGCCTTTTAGAGATTTTATTGATCGTCATTGCCTGACAAACGGTATGATCAGTAAATATTCCAACGTTAACTCCACCTTTAATATGAATCCCGCTTCGGGTTGCAGCTTCATGGACACCGCACCGTCGTGCAAATTTTTTTCGAAATCAAAGTCCCTCTTTCGGGGCACATCAAGTGCCGGAAACAAATCTCCGATAAGTCCCATGAAAACCGGCATGTCCTCCGTTATTATCTTGGGGATGTTGAAATCGCGCAACGCGCGCATTAAAACCTGATCTTCTGGCCTTAGACGGTCTCCTCTCTGGAAATCACAATGTTATTGTTGTTTATTTCATTACGCTTTGAATCTGTCGATTTTGAAAAATATATTTAAAATAATTGAACACTAAATAAATTTAAATAGTGATACATACTAACTGTGGTAGGGCCACGCAACAGTTCGCTGTTGCACGAATGGGCAGGTCCGTCCGTTGAAGTGCCACGACCTCACAGAAGACCGGCGTGAAGTGGAAATGTTATACTACTGCGTTTCGACCGGTAAGTGAGGTAGCCGGGTCCCACTTTAATTATAGGTGGTACGTATACGGAACTACGGAACACCCGCAAATATCCATGGGTGGCGGTCTAACATCAGGTGAACCGCCAGCTCGCTTGCTAACTTCTTACATTAAAAAAAATTCATACTATATAACGCCACTGCATATTTTCTTCCATGTTAACCAGTTTATTGCAGAAATTCTTGTTTGTTTATATGTAGACGTATAATTTAGGACTTTTAAAAGCATTTCATATTTGTAATATAATTTTACCATTTGAATATTTTACCTTAAGAGAACCAGCGACGACGAGCACAGATTTTATGGCCCTAAGGCCCCAATCGTAATGGTCTTGCTTAGAGAGCAACTCGCGACACAGCATGTATAGGGTGATGAACTTGCGAGCCAACAGACGCGCGTCTTGGAAACCTTCCGCCACCAACATAATTTCGCATATAAGTTCGAAGTCGGGCACTACCATCGCGCAAGGCCTGTAAAAAGGACAAAACAAAGACTTATTATTATGTATTACTAAAAATCTGTATAAAAAAGCATACAAACATTATAAACAAATCCGTATAAATAAAAATTATGAGCTTCCATAAGTTTTAAACTTAAATTCTAGACGTTTCGTATGCTTGGCAGCATATTTGTTATGATTATAATTCAACGTTGGAATTTTTTTTTTAATTTGCCATTTAACGACCTAGAAAAAAATTGTAATGCTACTCTGTAATCATACACAAGTTAAAGACAAGATAGGATATCTACCTTAACTTTAACCTAATTATTATACAAATTAAAAAAACATAAATGCACTTACCGGAACAATGCCTTCAAATTTTCCGGCAGCTCTGTCCTGCCCGCGTAACCGGGGTTCATTGTGATAAACATCCCGATAGTAGGTATCAGCGATATATACTCCCCCATGAAGTCGAATTTCTTCTTCTTGGCTTTTATCGCGTCCAGTACGGACTTGACCTGAACCGACACGACGGAAAGCACCTCCACGGAGATCCGATTAAATTCGTCGAAGCATCCCCACGCGCCAGTCTGAGCTAAGCCTGACGTTGTAAGTAGAAACGATTATATTACTTTATAACGTAATAATTATCCCATAATTTTACAAGCTGTATAAAGTGCTGAGATAACATTAAGTTAAGATCTGTCCTATTACTTGGTAAATTATTAGTTCAATCGTAGATGTTAAGTATCACCACGTCTTATCCGCTATTTGTAATTTTGGAAAGATATTTGGTTGATTCTGAATAAAAAAATTCAAATAATTAAAATTCGGTCGGACACTATTAAATATTTAATATTCACCACATTGATAATTTATTAAATGTCCTGTTAAATATATTGACTGATTTTATTGAGGGAAGCGAGTAACGCCTAATAGGCTAAAGGTCTTTATTCATCCTATTAGTGTCTGACTTGTCAATGGCCTGTTATATTTTTGCCTTGGAATGTATAGTTCAACACGCAATATCATCGTACCCTTGTATATGTTCCCACAGGATTTGTAGTCCATTTGCTCGGAGCAGTTGAACACATAGACCATGATCCCGAGCGCCCTACCCAGGTCTTTAGTAGTCTCTGTCTTGCCGGTACCGGCTGGGCCAGCTGGAGCACCTCCCATTATTAAATGAAGGCTCTAGAAATGTTAGTTATCGTTTAGCAACTTATAGAATTTGTATAAATTTGGCAACACTTTTAAAAAGTATTTAATAATGTACAGTAATACTAAATTGTAAATTTTTGTAGATAAATTAACAAAAATTTTCGGCGCTCCGGCATTCTAAACTGCGTCCTCTGCTTTTGCTCCCAGACGCTTTACCAACTAAGCTAAGTGGCCGATAAGCACGTGGCCTTTTGTTCATTTATCTACAAAACAAATTAGTTTCATCTTGCGTACAGAAAGTAGCACAAAAAAAATCTTATCAAAGTAATAATGAAATTAAATATTGGGTATTCGATGGACTCTGTAGGCTCAGGGACCAAGCTTCGTAGCAGACTGTAGAGAAACCTATATTCAGCAGTGGACTGGAACAAACTAAAATGATGATAAGGATTAAAATATGTAGAAAAATGTATGATAAGGATATAATTAATTTCATAAAAAGTAATCTTGCATCTAATATGAATGTGATGTTTTGAAGTGTTGTTCTAATGTTGGAGTCACATGTGGGTTATATAGATATGAAGAAGCTTACCTGAGTCAAAGTGATGTAGCAACGGTCCGTGAGAGGCGTGATGACTAGCCGGGGCGTGTTGCCCAAGTACTCGTAGTCGTAGAGAAATTGGGCGTCACAGATGTTTGCGAAACAGTTGTTAACGTTATTATCCCACCGGTGTCTATCGAAAATAAGAGCAATATAATTGTCCAGAATCGTCAAAATAATAAAAAATAACATACAGTATGACCCTACGGTGGTGGTACGCAGCAGCCTCGGCTGTTGCTCGAATAGGCAGGCCCGTCCGGGTTAGTACCAAGACCTCACAGAGGACCAGCGTAAACTGGAAGTATGACAAATACTTTCGCGTTTCGTCTGGTGAGTGAGGTAGCCGGAGCCCAAGTTTCAAAGTCAACGCCTCTGTAACCCTCGGGTATAGCGGATGTACATGGGCGACGGTATCCACTTACCATCAGGTGAACCGTCTGCTCGTTTGGCAACTTTACACATAAAAAACTATAGTATGACCGCCCATTGGACAGATGGAATTGCGACTTGTGTAATTTTGCGAGAAGTCGATGGATGCAGGTGGCTCAAGATCGTACTACGTGGCAGGCAGTGGGGGAGGCCTATGTTCAGTAGTAGACCCAACGTTAACATAACAACGATAACGTAGAACAGGCTGAAGTGATGATGATGGGTCTCTGTAAAAATCATTTCTTCTCACCGGAGAACCATTGTGTTGATAATTATCATTATACGGAGACGTCTGACACTGTCCTAATTAAAAAATATATATAGGCGTTTTTAACGCAAAATCTGTGAAACCTCTCATCCTTTAATACATAGCTACTAGCTTACAGCAAGAAATTAAGTTTTACTTAAAGATTATAGTTAGTTTTATTTAAAATATCGTACCTCAGCTGACTCTGCCATTGGAAGGCATTGGAGTTTTCTACTTTCGCCGTGATGAGTTTTGCTACAACGTCTCTCGAATGCACATCGATGGTGCAGATGGTCATGATCTTCTGTCGATCGCCGACCGTAAGATCGCCCAGCAAGAGAACAATCAGAGCATTTAACTGCGCTATCTGCTTCTTTTGGTAGTCTTTTAGCGCGTTCTCGTAACCTTTCAAGAGAATTAAAATAAGGATGTAGTATAACAGACATTGTTACTACTTCTCAAGACTAGTTTTTTTACTGTTTTTATAGTAACAGCCTATACATGTCCCACTGCTGGGCAAAGGCCTCCTCTATACAGAGGGTATCAGGGCATAGTTCACCACGCGGCCCCACTGCGGATTGGCGGACTTCACATATCTTCGAAATATATTTTTTTTATTATTATTTCGAAAATATGCAGGTTTCCTCTCGATGTTTTCCTGCACCGTGGAGCACGTGACAAGTTAGCACTTAAAGTTAAAAACTTCATTGGTGCCGGCACCGGGGATCGAACTAAGGTTGCTCGAGTATATTGAATTAAAGGCGCGAGCGCCTGGACACTGAGCTATCACGGCTGTTTACTGTTTTTATATGCCAGCTTTTATTTATCTTGCATCTAAAGATGATACATGAGGTTTTATTTGTCATATAACTATTTTAATGCTCAATGATACTCATAACGATAACATAATGTTGATAATGAATTAATCTTATTTAATATGGTACCGTGAAAAAATGCCTACTGAACACATTATACAATTAAAAAGGGGCGAAGAACCTTCTTCCAATTTCTCGAAAGCCTGGTTGGTCTCGGTGGTCCACCAGATCTGGGTGCCAACTAGAGCCGGCTGAGCGGGCCAGTCGAACACCCACTCGTCCCGCATCTTCTCCTCGTAAGATTTCACGCTGTGCTCGAAAATGTCACGCAGAGTCAGCCGCATGCAGTCCGTTACTCGGTTCAGCCATACTTCGACCTAATATTGAGACGAAATAAATTCAATTTACGATAGCGATATTTTTAACCAGACGGTTCATCATTTTATTTAATCCCAAAAGGCTATGAAGTTGTGTAGCAAACATTTGTAAGCGTCGGATTACCATGCTTACTGGAGTAAACGCAAATGTGTGAATGAGTGAGGCCTGATGCGTTCCTACAGAAAAATCTTTGGGAACCAGTTTACGTCTTAAAAAATAGAGATAAACCTAATCTTCGTGAATATACTAGTATTGGAAATATACTTAAGTAAAATCCCAATTCCTTTGAAAAATTTAATTATTAAATTAGTCAAATATGGATCAAACGCTATGATTACCTTTCCGGAGCAATCGCAGCATGGTGCTTTGAATGGCACGTGCTCTTCATTTTCCTTGGAAATCATTTCGAATGCCATTTTGCTGGTTGGACTGGGGAACACCAGTTTGGCAAGGTTATCGTAAAGCTTAGTGAGATGTCGGCACACGGCAGGTGGATTGTTACCGTTTGATAGGATATCTGCAGAACAGTTCAATTGATGTAAAGATATAGAAATTTTTAGACTTTGTTTTTTTAGAATTGTAAAGACTTCATGTAATTGTAAATATCCTGAGTCGTTTTTGTTTTATAACCTAGTGGCTTCTGTTGAATTTAATTGCTATACTCTCACGCGTACAATGAAAATATTGTGTTTATTTCTTTTTTTAAATATATTATTTTGAACAAAAACTAATATTATTAGTACCATATAAAATAATTTTTCCACATGTTCAATTTCCATAATTGCATAATTTGTAAGATTGACACTATCATCGGTGCTGAACAAAAATTATACTGATTATAGGTACTGAATAAAAATTATGTTAGAACGTAATATATTCACCAAGAAGATCAGCGGAAGAGACGAAGTAAAATCTTGGGTACGCCAGGCGCTTTGTCTCTAGATAGTCATTGAGCGCTTTCTCACATAAGTTGAGGTCGCTCATTAGCGTTTCAAGCTTGTCCAGCAAGCCTGGTTTGTTTGTTGCTTCGACAACGTTCGGTGTTGTGCCAATATCTTTTAGCAGTTCCTTCAATTTAAAACGAAATTATTACCGCTTTTTTGTTTTAAAAGTTATTTTGTCGTAAACAAAGCTAAGCTTGTACTGTATATACTATGTAACTGATCAATATACTTGAAAATCACTATGTTCATCACACAATAGTTTAGAAACATAAGAAAACGTAGAAAGATAATAATAACCACAGATTTATTTCGGTTTCTGGGAATTAAATTCAAAAAAATCGTGGTGGCGGTCGTACAGGCCGCACAGCCAGGTCAACACTCTAATGTCACAGCTCCATTTTGTTTTTGTTGGGGCAACGTAAAACAAGGTCACATCTGGGGTCGCACTGCTAAATATACATTAGCCTACACCGATAGAGTAAAATGATTGTCGTCTTTTTAATGTTGACTACATTCGCCACCTTGAAATTCTTGTCGATGCCGTCGAACCGTTTGGAGTCCTCCGGCAGCTGCGCGCGAATGTCGTCCGAGCCGACGAAGATGCTCTCCAAGTACTGCCACTTGCGCTGCACTTCGAACCAGAGGGCGATCACCGCGTCTGCTGTACCCAAACGCTTCTGCCACAGCGATGCCTCCGTCTCGTAGTACCCGATAAACTTTGACGACATCATCGTTTGCACTTGATTCTGCCACAAAACAATATTTCTTTTATTTTTACAATATATGTTTAACAGCTACTTTTACCTATGCTATTTTGATTGTGGCCAAACTGGTCAGCACGCTTTGAGAACGACTTCAAATCAATGTGTGACGTACACCTACTTTCAAAGTTTATGTAATAATAATAATGCAAGGACTGCTTGAAAAGTGAAGAGCCAAAATTATCAATTTAGTTAAGCGTCGACCGGTATCAATATACACTTTTATTAAGGATATAAGTCCCAATGTTCTACAAAAAAACTATGATCGTCTCGAACCTATGATCGATCGACTTTATACACAAATGGTGTATTCCAGTTTCCTTGTAACTTAATTAATGAAAGTTTTAGGCTGGTCTCTTTACTATTGATACCATCGTAATTTTGGTCCAAAATAGTCCGACAATGACTGCTATTATATCAGACTATTTGACTATTACCATTACATCTACAGTAGATCTCAGCACACTTGTTCTACCTTAAAGGTGTACAATTAAACTTGTTTAACAAAAGCGGGCAACGTGATTGCCCTCTCACATATCTAATAATTAGGTAATAAAAATGTGTCTTGCTTCGCTAGCTTAGCTTCTTACCTGATTATCCTCCAACGTCTCGACAAGCTCTTCGCTTGCCTTTGGCAAACGTATACCAGTACGGTCGTGTACAGTATAGTCGAACTCCATAACGGCCCAAGTCGCCTCCAACTCCCTGCGGGGAGGTAAAAACAGTAAGAGTGAATAAAACCCATAAAATTGTTTGTCATTACTGATTTATTTTTAAGAGGGCAGTGGACGTATCCATTTTAATAATCAAATTACATTGTAATCTCATCTGCCTAAATAACGTAGCATTATATCTTTTAACATTTAATAGCAATACTATCATTATTATTTTTTGTTCAACTGAACAAGTGGTTGATCTGATGCTTAGTGAGGAAAAGGAACCGCCTGAAGACATTCGAAATTCACTGAGAGTATAAGCCGCAATATAACTCACTTACCGATCGAAACACAAAACTATAGAAGTATCCATAGTTTTACTACAGTTAAGTATTTTTTGAGGCTTTATTATTTCTCCGGTCGAGCTGAACGTTTTATGCACGAAAAGAAATACGTAAGCTCTACCACATAACAAAAAATTATATGTTGCCATAATATACATATTTTATCCTTGTAACTATATAATATATATTATATATATATATATATATATATATATATATATATATATAAATATATATATATATATATAGTAACTTGTAACTATATAATATATATTAAATATATATTATATAATCGGAATCTCGGAAACGGCTCCAGCGATTTTCATGAAATTTTGTATGTGCATAGATTCGGGGGCGAAAAATCAATCTGGCTAGGTTTCATTTTTATAAAATGTCCTTTTATCCCTTTTTTCATCGAATGAAAAATATCATTCGAATATGATGGTAAATTTCGCCGTAAAAAAATGTCATAATAGCTCGGTCGGTAACCGGGCGGCCCCAAAACAGGAGGCCGTGGTTCGTATCACGATCATTTACACACTTATTTTTTTACTTTTCTTTCGATTCCAGAACATTTTTTCTTTATTTTTTATTTTTTGTTGATCCAGATGATTTGTTATTTTTTTCCCTTTTTTTAAAAGTTGTTTCCTTTGTGAAAACACCAGTTCATATTTCCTTATTATTACGTCGGTAAGATCGAAAAATATTATGCATATTTCATTACTCAGTAATTTGTATCTATGTAATTTCCAAAATACCTGTTACAAAAAAAAAATACCGAGCACAGCTCGGTCCTCCAGGTACTATATTTTAACTTATTAAATTGAGCATTATTTCTTTAACATTATTTACTTGTTATATTTTGTTTAATTTTACGTTGAATGATAAAAGTAATTGTAAATAATTTCGTTATTGGTAATAAGACATTCGATATTGAGATAATGGTGAAAAAATAAATATACAATATACATACTTCAGAGTTTTTTCCATAGCAGCCTCTTTCACAGATTTATCGACAATTGTTTTTACTTCCTCTTCGAATTTATGCAGATTAAGCGCAAGTAGGTCTGCTAATGTAGTATCATCATCAATATGAAATTTCACCTTAAAAATTTTTTCTGTTATAACTAACAATTCAAAATCCTTTAAAAAGGTGTTATTATAATATTATTTTATTATAAAATAGGTAAATTAAGTATAAAGTATTATCCGTACCTCAAAGTTGATATAATTCACATAGTGCTCTTATATATTAAATGAATTAATCTAAAACAAACAGCTAACGACTATAGTATTTACATATTTACAAAGTGAATTCTGATAATATTAGTGATTGATAAAGCAATGTTTGCTTTGATGTTGCCTTCGGGGTTGATTTCTCCTGACGTTCTCTCAAAGAATGCTTTTCATTCAGCTTACAGAACTTGTAAGCACTCCGACTTTCTTGTACCTTGGGTCTTCGGAAATCTTGTAGCTGCAAATATGTCCCGTACTCTTCTTTGATGTCTGTTTCAACTGCTAAATCTATTCGACTGTTACGTAATTCTATAGTTGTAGCAAGATCTTCTAAAGACTTGAAATCTTTCAAAATGTCTTCGAACGAAACGCGGGTTTTCAAATTATGCTTGGTCGAAAATGGTTTGAGATGATGCTTAATATCGATGGATGTGAGATGAGAATGTGTGGCTTTCTACATGAAATAAAATAATGATGATATCAACATTAATTATATACATAAATTATGTAAACATTAACTATTCAAACAGACAACGAAATTCTAACCTTGGTTGCCATCATTAACTCGATCCAGTGCCTATCCTTAATTGCAGGATTTTGTAAGTCCGTTACGGCTCGCAGGGAAGTCATCAAATTCTTTATTGTCGATTCTACAGCTAGGTAAGGTTCCCTGATTTAAAAATACAAAATTAAAATTAAAAACAGCAAAAGATACATGAGAACAGTCATTAAAATACTTGATCAGAAACTAATAAACAGTATTACGCAAATAATTATACAATTTTATATATAAGTTCACTTGCGTAGATGTTCACAACAAAACTACTACGGACTAAAAAGTATCCCAGTTGATTCCGTGTCGTCCCGATCGCCTTAAACATTCAATGTCATGCGGATAAATTCAGTAACTTGTTGGGAAACAGAACAGATAAACAGAATTTATTGTTACGCATCGCTCACCATGTCCTCATATCTTTGTCTAACTGACGCAAATCCTTCGTAAATCTCTTACACTCCTGGTCCATTCCATCGGCGTCGATCTTCTTCCATGGCGATTTTTTCCAAAACTCGATAGTTCCCATTACAAGATAATAGTAATCCCAGAGTTGCTATAAACATTATTTGGAGTTGAAACCATTATAAACAATAACGTGATATATTATAGTAGTAAACGAAGAAACGTATACTAAAAACGCCTAAATATAACAACGTAAATAGAACCGTGTAAAAAATACCAGAGCTATTACTAAATAATAATTACCGATAAATTTAAAGGTCATAGATAGATACTAAGAGTATCTGAATATGTTTAACAATTATTGTCGAAGCAGTAAACGAACAAGTACATTTTTGTGCATATTAATTGTATCGACAATAGTTAAAAAAATTTATTTAATTTAATAAATAATGGGAAGCTAAATAAATTAAATTTAGCTGATAGATTCGTAATTTTGTGGATTTGACATGTGCAGCGGGTTTTCCATTTATAGAAAGTTGAGCTTGTAAAATCCCTGCTATACGTTGAGTATACCTGTCCCCTTTGGGACTGGTTAAGTTTCGTAATAGAATTTGCTGTCTCATTTCTGAGCTTGTTTTTGGTAAGTCACCTTAATGAGCTTCAATTCCCTGCGGCATTGCTTCAGATTTTTGTCATCGGGAGGCTGGATGTCGAACAAGGCGCAGGAAGTTTTCAGAGTTTTCATCATATCTTCGAAGTTGGACAACTCTTTGTGAACCATATCGATCTCTCTGTATGGCTCCTTGCAAGTCTCTAGGAACATCTAAACGAAATAAATACAAATCATAATGAGAAAATAATCAAAGAATTAAAATCGTTATAAACTTTATCGTTATAAAAACTCGGTAATATACTTATATTATGTAATTTATACATTTTCTGTCACTTTGAATTGGGATCTTATTAGATCGTGACTGATAATAATAGGTAGTTCAATAATAAATAAAACATATTAAAATAATTCTAGGTAGGTAAGTGCCACTTGAAGTTTCTAAGTGCACCCGTAAGTTTCACATTAAAAGCATAAGCAACATTAAACGCTTGTAAAGCTCAACAACTGCCGCAACAGAAAAATCCTCGTTACTAAAATTTACACGTTACCTACCAATCGTTACGGAATATGTTGATGAATAAAATTATTGTCAATATTGGGTCAAATCAGACACGACGTAGCGTTGGAAGGCCTCCCTATAAGTGGACCGACGACATCATTAGAGCAATATAATCATGCAAATGGCAAGATGTCGTTCGTTGTGCCGTTTAAGGGGGAGGCCTATGTTCAACAGTAGACGTCTTGCGGCCGATGATGATGACGAATCAGACACGCGAACTAGAACAACCAATGGCAGACCTCCTTCCCGCTGAACTGTTCGCGGTACATAGTCAGACGCAGGTTGATCAGCGCGACCCGTTTGGCGATCAACGCCGCCTGCGCGGCTTGCAGCGGTGCCACGTTGTTCTTCATCACGGTCGCGAGCTTCACCAGGTTGCGCCACTTCTCCGGCAGGATGTCCAACTGCGAAGAGCATTTAACTTTTTTTACTGACGCTCTTGGCTCGTCAATAATTAAAATTGCCGGCACTGCCACCACATCACTAGACAGTACTTAAAATAATCCGTTTGCCAACTTTTGCAATTCATGCCATTAACTTTACATTTATGTTAATAAAGATATGATTAAAAGAAAATATCAATAACCTTATTTAAAGTTAATCGTAAAACATTGATTTTCTTGTTTAATCTCTTAAAATATTACTTTACAACTTATGGCAGCAAAAATTTTATTATGCACTATGAATCTATACTAATATTATAAATGCGAAAGTAACTCTGTCTGTCTCGCTTTTACGCCAAAACTACTGAATCGATTTAAATGAAATTTGGTACACAGATAGTCTAGAGCCTGAGAAAGGCATAGGCTATTTTATTAATTGGAAAAAAGTGTTGTAAAGGGTTGAAAATATTTTTTTTAAATATGTATACTTTTTAAAGAAAGATATTTATTTAAGGGCTTCAACGCGAGCGGAGCTGTGGGCGAAAAGTTAGTAGTCAATAAAATGTGAAAACGGCTCCTCGTGTTGTTAACATTGTTAAATATTAATCATGTACCTACTTACCAGGGTATATACAGAGTAGTGACGAGGTGATGGATTGTCCTGATTAGATTCGAAAGCATGCAAAACGTACATAATACAGAGTATACAAAAACACAGTTGATTAACGCCTTGTTTTACTTTACCATTTAAAATACGAAAAGGGTCGTTAATATAATTCAGTTTTTATGTATATCTGAAGATTGTTTGTATATTGTTTAATTAAATTTTCTTTCGGAACTGAAACAACTTTACGACATACGATGCTTCCATAATATATGCCGATAACTTTATAAGTCCTCTGCGGACGTCCATAGGCTTCGTTGAGCACTAACTACGTGAGCCATGTGCTCGATTTACTACTATCCTACTTCCATAACCGAGTACCATTTCAACATTTTTTTTTTATTCAATACTTGGTAAGCGAGCAGGCAGTTCACCCGATGTTAAGTGAATACCGCCGCTCATAAATATCTAAAGCACCTGAGAGGTCGTAGATGCGTTACCAATCTTTAAAAAGTAGGCCCCGGTTGCCTCACTAACCAGACGAAGAAACGCGAAAGTATAATACCCCCTCCCCCTCCCCCTCTTCCAACCCGTCTTCTGTGAGGCGATGGTACTTTCCCGGACGAGCCTGTCAAGTCATGCAACAACCGAAGCTCCAGCGAAGCCCTACCACAGAAAAGTAAAGTATCAGCCTATACATGTCCCACTGTTGGGCAAAGGCCTCCTCTGTTCAGAGGGTATCAGGGCATAGTACACCACGCGGCCCCACTGCGGATTAGCGGATTATTATTTCGAAAATATGCAGGTTTCCTCACGATGTTTTCCTTCACCACTGAGCACGTGATAATTCAACACTTAAAATTGACAATTTCTTTGGTGCTGGCACCGGGCGGGCATCAAACTCAGTTCGCTGGAGTATATTAATTAAATAAAATGCGGGCGCCCGGACACTGAGCTATCACGGAAACAAATTGTTATTCCCAACGTCACCTGTTCGTAGGTCTCCTCGGGGAACTCGACCCCGTACTCCTTGAGCAGGTACATGATGTCGCGCAGGGGCTCGAACATCCTCTCGGTGCCCGCGTCCTGCTTGGCCCGCACCTCGTTTAACACCCGCATCACCTGCAGCAGCCCCTCGTAGTCGTCCTCGCCCAGCTCCACCGACAGCTCCTTGCTCGCGTAATCGATGAACTTCTCCAGCTCGTCAAGGCTACAATGCACCGCCGACTTAGTAAAGTCACACTCAACGTCCTTACTATTTATATTATAAATGCGAAAATTTGTATTTGTATCTAGGGATAAATGGATGTTTCGGTATTGTGTGAATTATCCAAAATATAACGTCAAATGTCAAGTAGAAAAAAATAATAAAGAAGTAATTGTTAATTCCCTTTGACCGTGTGACCCAAGCCGCGGTTAAAAGATAGTGTACTTATAATATTTTTAAATACGCAAGTAAATTTAAGGCTGTTACTATGTGCCAACGTCATCCAGGCACGGACGTATAGTATATTTTACCCGGTTTGAGAGGCATAAAACATTTGAAATGTTATTGAAAACTTATCGATATGTTCCTTTTTTTTTAAATATTTATAGTAATAATGAAACAAAATCCGACTCCCTTCATAGATAAAACGTGGACCCACACCGGCCGTAACAATAATAAAAAAATGCATAAGTTTATTAGCATTAAAATTTCACAAAATATACGATCATCGTTAAACGAAACCTTGTCTGAACGTGATCCATCAGATTCTGCTTGAAGAGATTACTCCACTTGCACACGATGTTCATGATAGCCTGGTTGAGACGCTTCAGGTCGAGCTTCAGCCAGCCATTGCACAGATACTCTGAAGGCAGCGCCGCCACTTCGTCGTACATGGCGTTATATTTGTCAATCTAAAATAATATAAAAAAACATAAAATTTCGCAAAACTCGGTGGCGCTCTGCTGTGATATAATAAATTTTAATGAAAGTTAATTGTTTGCATTTTGATATAATAAATTTTAATGAAAGTTAATTGTTTGCATTTTCCCGTTAAAGAGACGGTAGCTTGGGAGCAAGAGTCGATTAAATACTACCGCCATTAACCAAGTGGTGTTGCAGTAATGTCCAACATTATGAAGCTAGTCCTCCGATTAAATAAAGGAAACGCATAGTATAGATATTCATTTTATTTTAAGTAAAGTTTTTATTTGTAAGTTATATTAGTTGATTTTGCGTTATGTTTCTGAACTCATTTTACCAGGCTTTTTGTTTATTGATAATGACTTTTCGCTAATCATTTGGCAAATAACTGAATACTATAATCTCAAAAAGTATAAGAAGACCAAATCCACAAAGTCCTCATATCACCAAGGTACTTTTGGTCCTAAACATATAAATCGTGTTACATAGGTCCTAAAAATAAAAAGTCCGGTGGCCTGTGCCTCGGACTTGTTAATAAGATGTTTTTTTATTCGAAAAGTTGTCAAACGAAGAGACGGTTCACCTGATGTTAAGTGAATACCGCCGCCCATAGACATCTGCCACAACCGAGGGTTACAGATGTGTTAACAACCTTTTGGAAATTGGCCTCCGGCTACCTCACTCACCAGACGAAACGCGAAAGTATTTGTCATACTTCCACTTTAGGCTGGTCTTATAGGTCGTGGTACTTACCCGGACAGGCCTGCCCATTCGTGCAACAGCCGAGGCTGCTGCGTGGCCCTACCACCGTAAAATAAGATATTCATTTGTTTTAAAAACCAAAACCTTTTTATTATAGCACAAAGTTCTTCAACATATTTAGTTTGTACCAGACATACATAAATAAGTAGAACATATATTGTAAAATATACATATATAAATTTATTTCAATTGTCAAATATAGCACTTTATTTATATGCCCACATAAATATAGCACTATGACATACCTCCTTCTGATATTCCTCCAGCGTAGGTTTGGCCTCTGGTGGATCGCAACCGTTTTCAAATCGATATTTGTCAAATTCCTCTGGTGGTATTACGCGACCGTATATCAAGAAGTTCGATAATACTTCCTGTCTATCTTCCATCCATAACGGCGTATACTTCTCGTATTTCTAAACATACAATTTTTACACTTATAAAATTGGATTTTTAACAATATTAGTTAGATGAGAATTATTTAATGATGAGGTAATTTATATAATAGGTTATATTACAATAGCATCATAACTAAATTAAAATTATTACTTTACGCTTTCATACTTAATTGTGCGTCTTTTAATGTCTATTATTATAAAAAAAAACTATTTTTAAGAAAAGTTAACTGACTTTTAAACATTGATTATATTTGTATTATAAAGATTAATGCTAACATAAAAATATTATAATCAAACAATGTAATCGTAAAAACAAGTGCTTTAAAACATCACTTACGGTAGCATATTGTAATACATCAGTGATACTATTTTCAATTCTTTTCAGAATGTCATGATAAAGGTCAATCATGGCGTCTTCATTTGCTATGTCGTCTGTAAATAATAGGAGGTATTATCATCGTCACTTTGTATTGATTTGAAGTATTCTACTTACTTAGGGTAAATTACGTTTAAAGCGTAATAAAAACCGCCATGTTAAGGTACTGAAGTGTTAAAGAGACGTCAGTTTTATCATCATAAAATCTTTGCGCGAATTTCAACAGACGATTTCGCCCGATAAATTCGAAATCATCATTCATCGCACCGAATAATATAATTACATAATTATGAAACAAATATAATTATAGATACTCCTTACAGAATATAATACGTAATAATAGCTCATTACCCGAATATCATTTATGTTACTCAAACTCCTTTAGGCTATTCTTAGATAATAATGTAATCATCATCATCATCATTTCAGCCAGTGCTAAACATAGGCCTCCCTCAAAGAGTGCCACGAAGGACGATCCTGAGCCATCATCTACTTCCCGCACACCTGCACAGATCGTCACTCCACCTAGTGGTCCACCTGCACTGCAATGGCTAGTACGGTAATGGTTAGTAACGTAACGGTTATCGGTTCTACGAGCTATCCGGCCCATCACAACTTCAGCGTACTAATCCTCTGAGCTACGTCGGTTATTTTTGTTCTACTGCGGACGTCTGACGATGCGAACTCAAGCAGAGAAATATCCAGCATAACTCGATCCATAGCTAGCTAAGCGACTTTGAGCTTCCTCATACGGCCAGCAGTGAAAGACCACGATAATAATGTAAGCGGGCACTAAATCATGTCATGGACCATACCTTCGTACGATGCTATAGGAATGATCGGATCTATTCGCGGAAACAGCGTAGCTTGCAGGAACATATCCTTCATCATTTCATTGAGAGTGTCGTAAAGGCCGTAGTCGTCGTCGATTTCCAACGACGGGGAGAAAACTATATCTGCAAATAAATGAATACTATGAATATACTGCCACGAGATAGTCTGAGTCCGTGATGACTTAGTCTGAATTGACCGAATTAAAACAAAAGTTAAACACAAAAAAATCCGTAAATTTCTTTTATTTAACAACGTGTAGTATTCACGCAAGTTTATACAAGAAATTATTATATGAATAAAATATCTAAATCATTAAAATTTGTAGAAAAAGTACGAAAAGATTGTTGCCGCTGGGGGAATCGAACCCAAGTCTTCGACATTCGCGGCCTGACGCTTTAGCCACTAAGCTAAACGGCTCATTGCCATGCTGACGAAAATCTTAACGTCTTTTATCAACATTGTTTTTTAGCATTTGATTTTCGCTCCATCAAATTATACAGCGTGGCTTTTCTAAAGGTGCCCAAATTCACACACATAGGAGGTTCAGACTCGGTAGTAAAATCTTTTTTCAGGAAAATTGCCATTCCATTCCCTAAAAAACAGAACTTGTTGACAATGCGGTAGTCATTCATAAATGCGTCGTATACTTTTGAAACGAACTTGAGTGCGTGTTAGTTATGAATGATCGGGCATAAAATAAATGAGTTGTCCATAAATCACTTTTTGAGATAAGTTCGAATTAATGTATTTAATTAATTACGAGTGATTTTAAATATTTACCTATATAACATTATTTATGTCTACAATTTAATAAAAAAAATGGATACACTTAAAAAAAGCCTCCCTGTGTAATGAATATTCGAATGTGAAGTGGTCGCCTTCGCACTGTTAGGACTCCAGCAGTGATAAAAACTGTGAGAGCCGAATCCAAATAAAACACAAGCGTAAGCAGAGACTGTTGGCCATCAGATTGGGTTAGGCAAAAAGAACCACGGTGAAAATAATGTTGAATGAATTCTTAGGGCAAAACAAACATGTATAAATTTTTCACAATACCTATCACTCACAAGTCACACAACCAACTTCTTTATATTGAAGAAGTAGAAATAGAAGTTTGTTACAATTATCTGTTATCATGTGCAACAGCATCAATTATTTTAAACTCAGTAACAACTAATTAACAAATGTTACGTACTTAATGTTTATAATAATATCGTAATATTTTTACGATATTATTATTTTTATTGTGTTAGTTTTAAAAATAAATTACCTTTACAATAAAAGCTACTCACCAGGATCTTTCAGTTCCGCTATGACTTCCATAAAAGCAACTCGTGGGCCTTTTTCTAAATCTGTCTGCTTTTCGAACAGGTCCAGGCTTGTTTGTATGGCTTTCATTATTTGAGCCGACAGCTGTATTTCGTTACAAAAATCATTAACAATATTTATAAGCTTCACACTTTTCCATTAGGGACACTGGACCGGAATCTAGTATAGGAATATAGTACTGAGAGGGCTCATTGAGCTATCTCTGGACAGATTCGAGAAGAGTACGGAGACAGATTGTGGGTAGTAGAGGTAGAGCCACTCTCCCTGTCCTCTGCAACCGAGATGTGGTGAGCAGCGAAACCATAGACTAGGTCTGCCACTGGCTTGGATGCTTGCTACTTATTCGTAATGGCTCTCTCGGCTCCTATGGCTCCTGAGCAGTGGGCTCGGGGGAGTTGGTTGCCCGTACAAAAGAGACCAAGTAGGAAAGCGGACGACGGATAGAGGACTTACTCCCCATGAAGGTTCTGCTGAGGCGGCTAGCGCTAGCAAGGTCGTGGAAATTTGTGAAAGCGTTCCCGTTATATGCTACCGGGTGTGCGTAGGAATTACCCCCACATCAACAAAAAAACAAAAATAGTTAGCCTAAAATCAATGGAGAGCTACAAACTATACGACATATGTATATAAGACCTCAAGGCGTTCGAAACAATGGACAGGAAATAAAAACGATTAGATTCATACAATTATGTGAACTTCCAATTCGCTTGATATTCACTTACAAGAGAGTCAACGTATTTGACATAAGCAGGCCAGCGCTCACTCCTAAATGCCTCTTCTTCCTTTTCAAGTCTCTCAGCTTCAATGTCCGCTAACTCTTCAGGATCTAGAACCTCTTCTTCTTCCTCCGCAGGAGAATCTACCTCTTCACCTAGTATAAGAACTGTATGAGTCTAAAAGTTTATGATGAATTATTTGTTTTATTTGACACGTATTACCATTTTGTAAAATATTATTAACGAAGATGAAAAGACTGTTTCTGCAGACTGGTTTCGTTATTTACAATATTATATTAACTATTGTTTGCCCTTTGTCATCGAAAATGTTCGGCAGCCGCATGCTCCACGACTACATACTGCATATTTATACATATAGCATATTTGACTATGGCAGGTGTCGAGATAATGAGTCAACCGCCATATAGTCCCGTTCTGGCACCCTGCTACTATTATTTATTCCAAAAAAACAATGATAAATTTCGAGATATTCGCTTCCAGAGCCCTGAAGATGCGGTGAATGCGTTGGAAAAAGTCGTAACAGAGAACTTTTAAGGACCACTGCTTTTCTCAGCGGTTCGATCGAATACAAAGATGGACGGAGATTAATTCAAACAACAATTAAAGTATTGACAAACTCTAAATTGAGCCGTTTTATAATTGAGAACTTAATTATCTAAGAACTCTCAGTGTCACCCACGTAGTAATATACATATATACTAATAAATTATTGAAAAATGGCTATTAGAGGATTAATTACCCGCTTCTCTTCTTTCCTGGCGTTCCCTCTTCGCTTCTTCTTTTTCCTCACGTTTCAATCTTCTAGCTTCTCTCTTTTCAAACTTCAGGCGTTCAGCCTCTTCTTTCTGTAATCTCCTCTCTTCCCTGGCCAAACGCTTTTCTTCACGACGTTGCATAATTTCTTCCAATTTCTGTTGCCGAGCTAATTTTTCTTCTTCATCAAGAACAGATTCGTCAACTTCTTCTAATTCTTCATCTTCTGAATCCGACTACAATAATAAATGATAAAATGTTCTTACACTTATTTACTTTCTTCTAACAGCAAACTTCTATCAGTTAAATGCAGTAATAGCGTAATGTCTAAAACTCGTCTAATTAATGTTAACACTACTGTGTATGTACAAAATGCTGTTTTTCGTACTTTTATTGTAATACTGAATAGAGTAAACACGCAAAATAAACACCTAAATTATAGTTTGCTGTAAGTAGCTCAATACGACATCAACAATGAGATATTTCGATCTACTTTCAATTTCCTAATATTTGAATCAAATTACCTCTTCTTCTTCCTGAATGTTGAAGAACAACTTGTAATTATCAACCAAGATATTCTGGAATTCTTTATGGCTTTCAAGGATTTTGTCTCGCCTGAAATATTAATTATCATCAAAATATAAATAAAAACAACAAATCTTACAGAGCTCGAAAACGCAGACAAGTTTGCACCCAATAAACTCTGTTCCTAAAATCCATGTCCTCTACTTTTGTCAAAACCAAACATCTCTATGCTCCAATAACACATGTTAATGGAGCTTAGAGATGTTGTAAGAAAATGTAAGGTTCGAGGATATGTTCAAGATCACGTTTCCAACCAAAAACCTTGTGCCTTAAATTTTTCTTTATCATTACAAAAACGATCCTCCCGCTAGAATACAATAATCTCTGACTCACCAGTTTGTGAAACCTACAAACACGAAATCACGGATACCCTGATTTGAAACAACCATTGTTGAGCGTACAGATGCTTACACTGTGCGGGCCGTCGAATTCGCAAAACAGCGCGCGATTTCAGCTGGGAATATTGCGCTATCCGCGCTGTCAAGTCCATAACCTCACCGCTTAAGAAGCCTGGGGTGCCGCTCGTTCACCGCGAGCAGTTCCAGCCGGTCGGGGTTCTCCTTGCGCTTGTGCAGAGGCTGGTCACCCCACGCCGCCACGTTCGCCAAGCCGCGCTTCACATTGTTCTGCGCAGTCAGCACACGCTCCTGCAGTGTGTTGATCGCCGCGTACACTTCGGCCATCCACTCTGTAACTGGTTCGTGAAACATCTGTGTGCATTATCCCTAATAGCATTAGTTCAATTAAAGAACCTGAGCATAACAAGTAATTGTACACAAAATCATGTAGTGCATGAATGACTTGCCTATGGCAGCCAGGCATAATATTATGTTGTGGTGCATGTCTTGTTTTCGCATTCGCATTATATCTTTGTGTTATGGTCTAAGAAGCTAGTAGATCACAAACAGAGACGTTGTACACTTCGGTACAGTTATTAAAATTACTACTGTAACTACTATTGGGAATATAATAAATAATGGAATAAAAAAAAGCTTCGAAATATCTGAAATGAAATGAGAGCTATGTATACATCGTGAATTTATATTACACACCGAATATGTAGCACTATGTTATTAATCAGTTTAAAAAGATAAACTAAGTGTTCTAAATCCCTTTCTAGGACAGAAATTCATAAAAAAATATTAGAACTAGTTAAAGTATCTGATATAATTTTAATAACTATAAATTATAATTACAGTCATCATTCCAGGTGAATTCTTCAACGCCCCTGCCAAGTAAGGTGTCTATTGCGGAAATCTCCTTTTCGATTAGCGCAACCTCCGTCTCGTGGCTGCCCTCGCGAATTTCATTGTACCAGGCAATGGCACGATTTAGTCGATTCATGTCGTACTGCCGAGTTGAAATTAATAATAATTTTTGTTTTAGGCCCATATAAAACTTTCATCTTGAAATTTGCCTTCAATCAGCACATTACGATCAGTCAATAAAGCAGAGAAAATAATAAATAATTTATACCTCTGTTTTAAAGAACACATTAACTAAGAGAGGATAAGATGGCTTCGCTTCATTGTTCTAAGTGGTGTTTAGAATCATTCTATAATCTGATGTTACTATGTTCCATATGTTGTCTTTGTCTTTAAACCTTTATCGATATGTCAGTAGTTCTTTTAAAAATAAACAAGGAATTCTTTTGAGGAATTCTTTTGAGTGGGGATCGAACCCACAGCCAGGCAGGTGTTACTATCCACAAGGAGTCAATAACATGTATTGGGTCAAACAAAACTTATCCGTCTATATAAATTGAAGTGCTAATTTTATCCGTGCAACTAATTCATACTGACCTGAAGCTTTTCATTTCGAGCGTACAATTCCAACCCATCAGGTGGAATGCCTTGTTTCTCCAAATATTTCATGTAACGTATCTCACGGAGCAATAGGACGAGCTGTATCGACAACGTCAAATATTTTGTTAACATCTTCGGATTAATGTTCATTACATATTCATATTTTAATATCAAATAATTGATATTAAATATTCACATGTTAGAATTTAAATTTAAATTTGATAATAATAATAATTAAACTTAATTTACAAAATAACCGCATCTCTGTTCAGAACAAAACTTACAATAACTTCCAAGTATCTATTCCATGGCTTGGTAACTTTTTATAATAGATCTATTGACATTTTTACTCATTTTTATGTGGGTAAGTGGCAAATACCAAAATTCTTACCAGGCATCTTATCTAGGGATTTGCCGTTTCTTTCTCGATATTAAAAAAGTGTGCACCTGTTTTCTTAACGATATTCAAAAGCATATAGAAGGTAAAACGACTTTACTAAACTTAAAAAGCTTACCTCCGGACTGAAGTTGTTTCTGACAAAAGGCGGGTCGCGATATATGAGGTTCTTTACCAAGTGCACTTTGCAAATATTGGGGACGGTCGCGCACCATTGCTTGAACTGTCTGTCTTCCAGGACATTCAGATAGCCTAACATCTCGTTGTGTTTTTGTTTCATGTATGACGCGTACTCGCTGCTTGTAATCCTGTTAAAGAAAGCCAAAAATTTAAATTAAATGACCGTATATCATTATTCACGAGAACACCTACAAGTAAAATTGAAAAAAATAGATATAAGCTAAAATACAAAACAATAATGAAATTTAAGGAGTAAATTCAATATTTTTTTTTAAATTAATGAAATGGACACTACCTCGATCTCCCTCTAACCTTACATGCACCAACCATGTTCATGCTCAACATCCTTTTAGTCACTTTCATTCGTTATCATGGCCGTGCCCATACAATGTCAACATACCACCATGTTTTCAGTCGCTGGTGACACTTTAAAATTGTCCCTAAAACACTCATTCCGGATCATATCAATTCTAGTCACACGACGCATCCAGCTCAACATTAGCATTCTTCTTTCATCCATCACTTTGCTATCCAATACTCTAATATACATATATCATGACAGGTCTTATAAATCTTCCCTTTAGGTTTTCTATACCTTGCTTTCAAATTAAATCTATTTGTACTAACGGATCTTCGAACAAAATGAATTCCTCCATTGGCTCTTGGATTCTTCTCCTCAATTTATGTATCCACCAGATCATACCAGCTACCGGAGGGAAAAAGGGATCGACCATCGGCCTCTGCGGCCCTTTTGTTAGTTTCTAAAAACGGCCACAAGTTAATAAAAATTATACGTTAACAATGAAATATATACTACAATGAACTAAATAAACAAATAAATAGATACTTGCTACTGAGCTACAGAGCCCTACGAACAACTAAACGTAACTATTTCATAAAAGTTGCAATGAAATTTGATGTATCCCCGTTAATAATGGTTATTTTTAAAAAATCTAAAAGAAATAAATTGAACATCCGCTGGGTTCTATTTACCATTTTATGTTCAGTTACCATTAGTACGTCAAGTGGAGTTTTATCAATAAGATCAGGCTTAATTTCGTAAAATTTCAATGCTATTTAAGTCCTAATTGGTACCTATAGTATAAATTATACCTATGATTAATTAAATAAAAAGTTATGGTATTTATAAAGATGCGCATTTAACAATCACTTAACTTAAAAAAATAGGCGAAGAGAAAAATCTTTAGGTTTTTTCTTTTAGGTAACACCTATTAGAAAAACCTAAACACGTTTTTCTTAAAAAATCTCAAATTACGCCATAGAATATAAGTGCAACTTATGGAAAATACCCGATTTATGAAATATGTGTATTTTCCACCCATAACGCAACATACCGACATCTCCTCATCGTAGATCTCTTTGACATCGTCTAAATTAGAGTGCATCATATCCAACAGCCGGGGCAGTTTTGGTTTTAGTTCTTCTTTTATAATTGGCCGATGAAAAAGATCACCGATGATTTGGAAAAACTGAAGACATAAATATGAAACAACTTTAACGGTGGTAGGGCCACGCAGCAGCCTCGGCTGTTGCACGAATGGAGAGGATCGTCTGGGTAAGTACCACGACCTCATAGAAGACCGGCGTCAGGTTTCCACCTGCGTATAATACTTTCGCGTTTCGTCTGGCAGGTTAGGTAGCCGAAGCCCACTTTTCAAAAGGTCAACGCATCTGCAACCCTCGAGTGTAGCAGATGTCCATGGATGGCGGTATTCACTTAATATCAGGTGAACCGCCTGCTCGCTTGCCAACTTTTCACATAAAAAAAAAATAAGAATCAAACAAACATTTTTAACTCGTAGAAAATGTTACAGGTTAAACTCGAAAAAATACATGAAAAGATTTTTTTTAAATTATCGTATGATGTTATTCATTATAAGCGAGAATGTGATGATACAAATTATAAAAAAATGGTAAGTATTATTTATAACAAAATAAGTTTAAAAGATCGTACTTTATAGAAGTGCTGCAGATTAAGACATTCGTCCAAACCCTGAGAAAAGAGTGAAGCAAGCCTCTTGTCGACATCTTCGAGGACCAGCATGTGGTTATTGTAATCAACTAAAAAGGATTTATCTTCCGGATCAGCAGGGTCATATGTAATATTTCCTAGGATTTGATACTTGACTGTGTACTCGTCTAGAACCTACAATTTTAAGTTAACTTTTAGCGACGGTAAAATTTAAAATATAAATGTAACCTTAGCTATTTTTTTTAATTTAGCAGCGCCTTAATAGGTAGCAAGCAATCCTACACAGTAAAAATTTATATCTTAATAGTGTGTAATTGATATTGTGTTAAAATGGCAATTATAATATTTAAATAGAGAGTTCGATTTTCTTACGAGCAAGAAGCAAGGTCTCGCTAACCACCAACGAAACTTAAATTTGACTAGCCCTCTCTGTCCAACTCATTTGGTTCGAAGTAGAGACAGCTTGTCCATTACCTTCATGCACTCCTTACTGAGAATCTTTCCGCGCAGACCACAGAACTCGACTTTCTCCAGCTTAAAGATCTCCACGGTGGCCTCTAATAGGGACTCAATCATGCTGAGCCGTTTCATGTACTCGTTGAACCGCATAAACACGCGGTCGAAGTCGAACGCCCAACGCACTGGCATGACGCCCGGCGGGAAGAATGTGTGCACCTTGTCGCGATTCATGGAGTAGGTTTCTCTGAAATATAATAATATATATATAATCGAAGGCAAGTGCATCGGGAACAAGTGACGTTTGACAATACTGTCATATATCTAAAGAAATATCATATATTCAAAAAAGCCAACATTAAACTTTCAGTGTTGCCCCAGCCTTGATAAACTGAGAGAATTGGAATAGCCCAGTGTTCGGGCGCTCGCTTTTAATTCAATATACTCGAGCAACCTGAGTACAAATCCCGTTGGCGGTACAAATTAAATTATTAATTTTAAGTACTGACTTATCGTTATACGTGCTCAGCGGTGAAGGAAAACATCGTGAAAATAATAACAAAAATAATATTTCGAAGATATTTAAAGCCCACCGATCCGCAATGGGGTCGCGTGGTAGACTACGCCTACCTTCAGTACAGAGAAGACCTTTGCCCTGCAATGGGACATCTTTGAACACAACACAATAGGCAATTATGTTTATCATATACGTGTTTGAAACGTTAACTACTCCATGCTGTATGCTTATGTGATGTTTCAGTGTTCTACAGTGTGTAATGTTTTTATGTGCAGTATTTTTAATGTTTTTTGTTATTTGATGATTATAATTATTCATCGATATACTCGTATATATATATATATGAATAATTATAAATATATAAGGTGTTAATTAAGTGACATCACATTTAAAAACTTTTTTCTTGCGGTGAGGCATCAGAGTACTAATATTGAAGATCACAACCTCTTACATACCTTTCATTGAACTACAAGACCGAAAATAGACATTTCAGATGACTGTAAATAAAAACTCACATAAAATGATTCAAAATGTCAATTGCTTTTCTTAATTTTAACAGTTGCTCATCGGGATCACCTTGGAATAAGGACATAGGGTCGAGAGAATTGGTGCACTGCTGAATTATTAAGTTACACACTTCACGTAATAACGCTGCAAGAAATATATAATAAACAATCAAATTATTTGAACTTTACTAACATGCAAAAGTATTTCGATAGATCGTTATTAAGTACGCATAGTATTCAACGTGCAATTGTCCACTCACGTATTAGCTTCTCGACGCTGCAGAAATATCTAGAGTTGCCCCAAAGCATGCCAATACAATGGAACATCGGCCGAATGAGCTGTTTCGAATCTAAAAAGTCCGTGCCCTCAATCCCCTCGAAATGTGGCACCAGAGGCTTCTGATAAACGTATATGTCGCGGCATTCCACAATAGCTGCGAGACAAGTTAGTTAATAAATTTCAACTAGATTAATGAAACCTTAATAGAAATAATTAATACATTTGTTCTCTATGGTAGAACCGCGCAGAAGCTTTGGCGTTAATAGCCGAGAAGTGCCACGACCTCTCAGAAGACCGTTGGTCTTAAGTCAGTCGGATTTCACTGTGGTAATTGGTAAGGCCACGATCTCTGGTTATGACCAGGTACAGCTAATTTACTTGAAGCCTTTTCCTACGAAACACAATTTTCTTTCACAACCTTTGGCGTTGAAGACCGACGATCAACTCGTATATTGAGTATGAAACAACTTGTACTGAATTTCAATGTCTTATAACTACTTCTACCTACTACTAACGTCCGAGATCAAATAACTCACTCACTATACATATAATACATTTTAATAATTAAAGCTAAATTTTGCAGAATTCCCTGATGTGCCCTCGATGATCAAGATCCAACAGCAATTAAGAGAGACTTCATGGAACGCAAACGGAACGCAATTCAAAAAGATTTTTTTTTAAATCGGTTATAATAAATGTCGGAGCTAAGAACATTAACAAACATAAAACGAAGAAAAAATAAAACAGCCGAATTGAGAACCTCCTCCTTTTTTTTAAATCGGGTAAAAAATAATTAGATGTATTTATACGTAGAAACAAAAGGGTTCAACTTTTCAATTGCCAAAAGACTCCTTACCAGCTACGACGTTCGTGAGCATGCTCTTGAAGCAGTTCAAGTAGACGCTCTTGGTCTCCTCGAGATAGTTTGCCATGCGTTTCACTCGAGGGTCGCGTAGCTGCGAGTATATGCCCTCTAGGTTGCGGAGGCGGTGCCCATAGAATTCTATATCGGCGCTTGGCAGCGGAAACTTCGTTTTTTTAAACGCTGCAATTTTAACGAACTAACATTATCATATGATTTGATGACCATTACTAATTATACATGCTATTCGAGTTTCAATATTTGTGTACCCCACAGACAATTGTACCGCGACTGGATGTTGGTACAAGTAACGTTTAGAAAATTGCCAAGGCGCTTGTTAAATCATAACGATTTTTGTAAAGAAGATAAGCTAATGGCCCGATAGACACATGTTTACAATTACGTTTAACACGTGTTTAAAAGTAGAGCCTATCTTATGTTTCCCAGTGTTCAGCAGTCCTGTTCCATAGAGAGAGAGGGCTTTAGGGCTATAATCTTTCACGACCCCCAGGGCTTTTACACACATATTGTATGCACTTACTATTAATTATATTAGATCTACTTATTCTTTCTCAAAATTAATTAGTTTATATCCGTGAGGCGTTGCGAATCATACTTTTGTTCTACCACGGATATCTTCGTTATTAACTCTATCACACAGAGAAATATGACGCGAGACTTACGCAAGTTCAATACAGCTCGTATTGAGGGAGCTATTCAACAGAACTTAGGCTCAATTCTTCGCCAGAGATCTATCGGACAAAGCCAGTAAACTGCTTTAGATTTCGTTACTAGCGACAGGTACTTGACATTAGCTTACGTCTACTTTACGTCTTATACTTACGTCAAAATTATATCTCCAGTAAAAAAATCCACACAGATAGATAGGATATTGAAACCGGTCGTTGAAAACTAACAGCGGGGCTGTCATCTCCAATAGACCAAGGGTTTAGAGTGAAACTGAGAAGTTCAAATAACACATCCTCGTTGGCGCCACACACACGTGAAAATAACGTCCGGAAAAATATCCCAGACGTCAATCTGAGCGAGATTACTCGTAGAATGGTTCTTGACCATCTTAATAAAGACTAGGCACCAGGAGGACGGAATTACAGCCGAGCTTCTAAAAGCGGACGGAAAACCGGTACTTGTGGTTCTTCAGAAGCTCTTTAATTCCTTACTTCGGAATACATAAAAGTCGTGGAACAGAAGTCTGGTAGTGCTGTTCTTCAAAAAAAGGTAATAACGCTCTTTTACAGAACTGTAGACCGATATCCCGAGCCGCGCCTATTTGCTGTTTTTCAGAGTAGTGGAGAATTGAAATTAATATTTTAAAAACTTACATAAATAGGAATCTTCTTGGAGCAGATCGTGAACTTGCTGTGCCCATTTTATTACAGCACCTTCTATATTAGTTTTTAAGGACAAATCCACGTCTTCACCGTCACTGTAACATGAGTTTACAGTTTGATTTTTCACTTAGCTCAACATAGAAAACCTTGTACAACAACTCTTTTAAACATAAAGTTGTAAATGATAAAATATAAAAGCAATGATCATATATCATCCATCTTTATCTACACAATAAAGGATGGTTCTTAATTAAAAAAATTTGGTTGGAAATTAAGTAGTTTTCAAAAACTGTTCTCGTTTTTTGAATTGGTTAAAAATTGGGAAGTGATGAAAGAAACATTGATTAAATAAATATATGTATAGAATACGGACTTCGTATGTTATTATAAAGATATATTCTGGATCTTTCACGACGAACATAGCAGCTCCTTTGCCTTTTTTTATCAATACACCTCGTTACATTGTTTTTTAAAGCATTTAATCTCTTTTTGTTGTTGTTTAGTGTTTATACTGTCAGTTACACATTGAAAAAAAAAAACACATTACTGAACAACAAAAACACATTGAAAAAAAAAACACATTACTACGATTCGTTTACCAGTTCGTTTCTAATTTTTTTTTTTCGTTTCAAATACATTAATATTTATTTAAATGCCAGAATATTAAAATTGACCTTTCTTTGATCCTTGTTTCTGCATAGTAAATGTTGTCCACACCGGCGGGCATCGGCAACATAACTTGACTCGCCATTTCACCTTTCAGCTGCAAAACCAAACTTTAATATAAGCTTCCTTACCCCTAAGAGGACTAAATATATTATAAGTACACGGACGCATAACAAATGTAAGTAAAAATTTATGTATAAAAAACAACAAACGTAATATTATTAAAAACAAATATCTACCTGATGCATCAAATTCCTCAAATCATTTACGTGCCTTCTCATGTCTTGCTGTACAATTTTTGGCCAACCTTTCTGGTTCTCGGGGTTGCAGAGTAAAGGTCCTATCACGTCGTCTGCCATTACACTCAGATCCATAAGCACGTTACCTGACATTTCGCCTATTGTTAAAACCTAAAATAATAATTTGTACATATAAATTATGAATTTCACGGTTAAAGGCTTGATTTTTATTATTTAAGATATAAACAGCTTTGGTTTTGGATATTATATCAGATAATAAGCCTAAATAAGGAGAAAAGTTCCTGACACTCCTAAGAGCTTTGAACAAGCCTTAATTAAATTAAAAAAACTTCTTGACTTCGAATTTGCACTTTGAAGGAAATTTATTTTAATTACTGAGCTGTGTTGTCTTCTCTTTAATTTTTTTTTATGTGAGACACTTCTCACATTAAAAAACGCCACCTGGCAAGCCAGCTGGCTATTCACCCGATGTTAAGTGCTAACCACCGCCCATGGACATTTGTAACACCCGTAGGTTTGCAGATGCGTTGCCACCTTATAATATAATGAGCCCCGGCCACCTCACTCACCAGATGAAATGTATAATACTTCCACTTCACGCCGGTCTTCTGTGAGGTCGTGGTACTTACCGAACAGCTTCGGCTGTTGCACGAATTGGAATGAGTGGCCCCCACCACAGCTATTAAGACTATGACAAAATTAGTGTAAAGCAAAGTAGCCTAAACTCAAATTTTCAACTAACTACATCAGCAAAAATAATGTATACCTGACGTAAATTAGTCTGTGTCACTTTATCACTTGTATTTCTTAGAAAATACACCATTTTTCCTCTGCTTATTGGAGGGAAGTAAGTGGCACATGTGAGCTGACCCGCTGTATTCATTCGGAATACTATTATATCATATTTAGGTAAATCGAAGAATCTGAATAAAATATGCTGAAACACAGAATAACTTTTTACTATTTATAGAAGTACTTTTACACTTCGCGGGGTGAACCATTTATATATTTGCATGGTTTTTACATATCGGATATATTTGCTTTCCACTTCCAATCACTGCTAGCCAACGTATATAGTTTCTCCGTTTAAAGCTGGTGGAGAACCTATACTTGTCCTTTAGGAGCTCTTTAATTCCGTCCTTCAGGATGGTGGTCCTACACAAGAGGCGTGGAGCAAGTGTGGTGGTGCTGTTCTTTAAGAAAGGCGCTCTTCAATTACTGTAGACCGATATCCCGAGCCGTGCCTATGAGCTGTTATCATGATATACTATAAGCGAGGATATACAGAGTTCTTTGATTAGCTGCCGGTTCACCATCTCCACTTAAGAGTGGGCGTCGACTCGACAAGAATTATATAAGAATTTGACGCTATCGTTACGATTGCCTTAAGATCGATGACAAAGAAATTTAAATAACTTTAGTAGCTAGGTAAAGTATACCAACCCTTTCATCCCCTGTTATAAACTTTGTCCATTTTTCGGCTTTTATTTTCAAAGATTTCATTAAATACTCGCTCATAAACTCTAGCCTAATGTCCACATCTTCTTTCTGAAAATAATTATGAAAGTAGTTTCAGGTGTTCTGTTAATATAGCGGTATAATAACTCAATAATGTCACAATAATACAACCAATTCATCCAAGTGGCCCTTATACCACCTAGATAGGGTCGGCACTACATATGAATCATGTAAGTGGTTTTAGTTAGTATTATTAAGAACGGCCTTGGGAACACTTACAAATATTTGCACCGTGTGAGAATAGAACTTACGACGTGCGGCGCCGAAGCTAATAGATTAGGAACTACGCCACCGAGTCAGTGTCTAATCAGTAACATAAGTAGTAAGTAGTATTATATTATATTATTACTCCCCCTGCCCTCTTAAAGCATTATTGATCACAGATCGTGTCACAAAAACTAGCTAACATTTTCATGAGCTAGAAAAAACTTTAACATCGTGCATAAAGTATGGAGAAGCGTGAGAGTTGACTAAATATTATATACAGCATTTGAAATTTAGATAATTTTCTTATTAATGTAAATAAATAATTTTCATCGTTTCAATGAGTGACAACAAACACCTATAATGTTAGTGTATCAAAGAGATTTCTAGTTCTATTTCTATTTTATTATTTACATATTATTTACATATTATTTACATTTGATTTTTATTATTACAAAAAAGCAAATATTTAACGAACATATAACAAACATGTTTGAGATATTCTACAGGGAACATCAAAAAAGTATCCGCAGTCGAAGTGTCGTAAGTGTATGCATAATGTCTATTTGTAGATAAAAAAAAGTTAGTACAGAATTCACATTTTATACTACGGATAAATGTTTTATATTTATGCTCTTTAAAATAAAAATAAAATGCGGCAATTCACAATTGTCCTAATTATGATTACGTTATTAATAATAATTTACAAGTTATATATTTTATAATAAACCGAATCCACGCTACATGGTGCCACGAAAGCTAGCTGCGTTTCTCCGCTGAAATGTTTAACCTTTGAGCAGAAAAGAACCAGCCTTCTTGTCACCAAGCCGGGGCAATAATTTTAAGGTGTAAAAGTTTAAAAACGTAATTTAGTAATGTAATTAAGTTAGATTTTATGTTCAAATATTGGAATAACAATAAATTTACAAGTACATTAATATTAACACGTACATCACCCATTTTGAGATTGTCTTGTAAACGTACTACAGATCTTTCTTGGAGCTGTGACTTCGTATCATTGTGGATATGTAGACAATAAAAGTATTTTAACTTTTTTTAATTCCAATTACTTTAAATTAATAATGGAGAAGTAAAAATAACATTTACTAAATTAAGTTAAAGTTATTTTGTTGTTATAGCAACGAATAAACGCGATAGATCAAAGACAAACCAGTTCTTCGAATTTCGAATAAATACAACATTACGTCTAATATAGGATAGTGAATGGGCGCCTTTATATTCTGACGGCTTTAGGCACCCTGGAGCATTCTTCAAGTGCATCGCCTAACGGAGCACATTCTCTCAAATCGTCACTCTGTTAACTTCCAGAAAGACAGTCGTGTGGAGTTAATAGTGTTCGATGTAACGAAGGTATTCGTCAAGTTCTGTCAATTTAACCCGTTAGATTAATTTATTTAAAAAAATTGTAAGCTACACTCCCTGGAGTTCCAAATAAGCTGGGCAAGATCATGCGAGGCTTCTCGTCGAACTTTTGATTTCAATTCTGAATCCATGATTCCTGTCCTAACCTCCCCCTTTGAGAATATGCGCTAAACAAGGATCAGTACTTTCCAAAGCCCTCTTTTCGTATACAGCGGCGACATCCCCAGGATGTGGTTCAACACTAAAAAAAGTTTTTCATATAATTCCGCCAGCGCGGTCGAAATGAACGAGTAATATCAAAAAAAACGTGCAATTTTGGTGCCGGCTACTACTATACAATGTACTTATTTGACTATCACAATGTACACTATCACAATTTACTAATTTGACTGTTTAAACTACGCCAAGGGACGAGTCAAGTGCCTCGCAGGGCTAAGCGGATGCGTGAGGGGTGCATTTGCAACGAAAAATAGAAAGCGATTCTATATAAATCTAGCTGGCAGGATAGCTAGCTTAAAAGACACGTTGTCTCGCTACTGTGATGGTTTACACATTGATAAAAGAATATAAGATTATATTATTTTATCAATGGGTTTACACAACTGTACTAATCTACTTCAATAAACACTTGACCAGTGTATATATACCTGGCTTTATAGCAAGTTAGTAACATTCAAAGAGTAAAATTATATATAGGAGAAAGAGTGGCAACTCTATGATAAAAATTGCATCTATGGAAAGTGCTGCCGCCTGGAGTTTGGTTGAGTAACTTCATCTATACACACATTGACAGATTTTAGGCCAATGTGTGGTGTGTATACTTATTATGCCTACCTATACATATTATATGCCTCTATACTTGTGATTTCATCACCAAACCAAAATGAAATGCTTATTTCTTTAGTAAAGATGGATACAAAGACTATAACACAAGGTTTTTAAGATATTTTAATAACTGGTACGGATTTTTTTAAATATGCTAAATAATTGAAATTGTCTACTAAAGGTAAAGCAAAGGATATTTTCTTTCCATTTTTGAAAATGGTCCCCCTTAGCTTTATCCTGGAAGTTTTCTCAAATTGGAACACAATACGCATTATAGAAGTACTATTGGGTTCTAGGAAAAAAATTGTTATTTTTTATATTACATTGACTGAAAAATTTTATTTATATAGAAGATGTGTACATTTTTTCTATTACAACCATGACAATAAGTTTATATCTGTTCCTGTAATTGGGGTTTGAACATAATGGAAAAAAATAACTATAGTGCAAAATTAACTAAATAATTTTATTTTATCTTTAGAACAGTAAATTTGAACAGTAATTCTATTGTTATCATGATAAACAAGTTTTCCTTCTAGTATTCTATTTACAGATCTGCACCAACTATAAACAATTATATTAATGAATATATCAATAAAACATTTCTTTAAATTTTCTTTATGATATTCACAATACCATGAAGGCAAAATAAGTAAAAATGAGAGATGAAGGCTTTCTTTTATATATTTTTTATGACAATCATCATTCAAAAATGCAATTGTTATTTATTGTATTTCTTGAAAACAAGTCACTTAGCATTCAGATGAATAGCAGGGCCATTTTTTATTTTGACTATATTCTTTGGCCTTAATATATTTATACAATCCATTGCCAGTATTGCTTAGTAACTTGTCCTTACATTTTTTGCATCCTTTGACTACTTTTTGTAAACATTTCATCAAGGCCCACCCATAGACATAAGTTCTCTGATCAGTCCCGGAATCTAAAACATTTCTTGTTCTTTGCATAATAGTCAGAGGCTGATCAATAACAATATTTTGGGATTTTAAGGGAGCGTTATTAAATTCTTTATTCTTAATATAAAAAGAGAGTGGCTGCAAACAATTGTTTAAATCTCCTTCACAATTTGAATTAATAGAGTGATTGCTACTGAAATTATTTAATAAAAGTGTTTTAAATGCTCCCTCAAATCGCAAACAGTTAGGTGCAATATTCCGAGCACCCAAACTGCGAATACTTCCAAAAAAGTTTTCAAGTGGGTCTTGATTTAAATTGCGTGTTAGTATGGCGTCAAAGGAATATTTTTTAAACAATAATTGCCACAATGTTGTTTGAAGATGTTTGACGATTGTTAATAGTGATTGCTGCACACCTGCAAAATAACATTAAAACATTTTTATTTATTTTATAATATTATTGTTGATATCATAGTCACTAGTTTAAGCAGACTTAGAACACAATACAGTACAATAGTTCATCTCATATAGTACAACCTGCTTAAGACAAACTGACATACAGATTTTATTTAAATTCAGAACTGGCCATCACTTGACTACCATCCAACCTGTTGGTAAGTGGCTATACAGCCATTTATGATAAGTGTTTTCCTAACCTATTCACTTAGTTTATAGATAGGCAGGCCAGTTTGAAAAAGGCTTTGTAGGCCCTGCCTTTAAGGCTGAGTATTGTATTAATTGTGTAAGTTACAATCATTTCACAAAATTTTTTGTGTCTGAGTAAGAGATGTATGTGATTCAGCTAGTGCTGGCTTGGCCACGTAAAAACCTTCCATAGTATGTTGTCCTACCCATATCCAAAATTATCTGGAACTTTTATATTGGATTTTGTTAGGGTTTCGGATACACAATATGGTTGTGGCTAAGATGGCCTATAGCAATCTTGTTATGGGCCAACATCAATGTACTGAGCCAATAGACGTTTGCGATTATTTAAAATTTATAAACTTGTAGACTTTTAATGTCAAAATTTAAAATAAATGTTTTAATGTCACAAACAAATAGAAAGTCAGAATTATTTAATAACATATTGAATCAAATTTCGAATCAAAAATCAACATTACATATTACAATATTTACAAAAATGTTTTAAATATTTCAAACTATTTGTTTCTTTATCATAATTGTCACGATAACATATGAACCGCCAACTGCCTTAGAAGCAGAATGAAATTTCACTTACGATTCAAATTAATGATTGGTAATTTGACTTGACTAGATTGTTGACCAACTAAGACGACCTCCGGTAGTCTTATACATTGAATCAAAATGGTTATCACATAACCTTTTATTCGCATATATTTTTTAGATCAGTTTCTGTAAGTTTGTCTCCAATAGCCGGCAGTGAATAAATCACGACGCTTCTCAGGATTTGGAAATCGGTGTTGAGGTACACCGTGTGCAACTTAAATAGGAATCATTTAATTAATATAAAGAACATATATTAATGTATAAATAGGTATTTTGAAATAATAATAGTTGAAAGCCTCACCTAAAGAATCACAACCAAAAATACAATATTTTTTCGGAGGTTCACTCATCTTAACAATAGAACGAAGTTCAACAAAATTACCAATTATGAACAACGAAATTCAACAAAACAATGTAACGATAAACAAGAATTTTAATAACAAACAGAAAGATGACGGTTTTAACAAGATAACAAAATTTAACTGAGTTAACCAAGAATTAACCTCAAAATGCATCAAACATCAACAACACGAATGCAGCAGATGATTGATTATGAATGAAGTTTGACAAGTTCTAGATAGGACAAAATGGCGCCTAAGCTTTTATTGTTTCCACCAAACTCCAGATGTCGCTGTCGAACATAAAATTTGACATTGTTCTAAGTGAGCCCCCCCTGGTAACATTGGTGGCTTGTGTCAGTGTCAAATTTAACGTTGTGAGCTGTCAAAATACGCGCCAAAATTCGTTAAAACCTGTTCTCGTCTTAAATTATCCTTTTTGTCGAAAGCTTGTAATATTTGCAGCTTACCCAGTTATGGAGGGGTTTGATGATCCTGGAGTATTTTTCTCAGATAATTTTGGCCTCGAAGAAAATGAATCACAAGATCAAATTAATCTACAAGCGGTAAAAAAAAAGTTTAAAGAGTTTATTCGACAATTTCACACAGGAAACTTCAATTTTAAATACAGGTAAATATACAATGTCCAACAGATTATGGCCCCCTTTCTAAAATTTTGCCTATAAATAACTTTTATTAATTATTCATATCAGGGATGCACTCAAAAGAAATTATAACCTTAATCAGTATTGGGTTGAGATAAACATTGAAGACTTGTCAAGTTTTGATGAAATTTTGGCGGAGAAACTGTATAAAAAACCAACAGAACATTTACCTATCCTAGAAGAAGCCGCTAAAGAGGCAAGTAATTTTTTTTTTTTAATGTTAAAAAGGTACTACTTGCCATTGATCTCCATCTAATTGATGGGGGGAGGAGGGGTATTAAAAGGAAAAGTTGCAGAGCCCTCTCCCCCTTTCTGAGCTGTTTTAATTTTTAGTTGTGAGGAATTTTTCCTCATCTTATGGATAAAAATTAATAATAAGTGTAAAAAACAAGCGGAACCCTTTGGAACCTCGCTTCCGTGGTTTAGGCTTGCCAGCCTCAGTCGCTTTGGCTTGTCCAATGCCCATGGTTTCTTACAGCTGACAGAAGCTGCTCTATCTATGCGCCTTGTGCTCTATAAAAACACTCTATGGGTAGGATAGACTTGTAATATCAATTTGCAACAAGGCCTAAGTATATTTTTAAAAGTACAAATCGGAATAATACAACAGTTTACTGTTTGAAATGTTCAAAATTATGTGGTAGAGATTGATATGAATATTGCAAAATGCATAAAAACTATGCATCTTCGCATGTTGAAACTTTGCATGTGTGCTTATACTGATATAACCTTTCCGATTGGAGTTATTTTTATAACTTAGATAATACCTCATTCCTTTAAAAAAATCCTCATTTATAGTAGGACATATAAAGGCCATACTGCATGTTAAAGGAGATTAGTACAATCTTGTTAACTTCAAGTAAGTTGCAACATAATGATTACATTAGTTACTAAAAAATTATATAATGAAAGTTAATAATCATGTCAGAGACATCAATTAAAATCAGCAATGATTGTTTAAGTCCAATTACAAAGTTAGGTGCCAAATGTTTTCTAAATTCATTCAGTGTTGGTTTTATTAAAATTTTATTGAGACTAACAAGTTGGCAGTTACTCCTAATATAAATGATTATCATTGCTTCTGTACCACTATAACACCAGGAACATTAACAACCTTAGTTGTTAGATGTATGTGTGCGCCCAAGTTGCCTTACTCATAAAAAAAATGGAAAAATAAAAAGCATAACATCACTCTGGCCTTCTTAGAGACGGTGGTAGTATCTGGGATGTACCCAATCAAGTAAGAGTATAACCTGCTGTGTAGGCCTACCACAATAACACGACATATGTCCTGAAATATATATTAAGCTATTGTTACTCTATTAATTGTTAATTTATTACTATTATTGTAATTATAATTTCATTTGCTGTTTGTTTTCAGTTAGCTGATGAATTGACTGCTCCTAGACCTGAGGGAGAGGAAAAAGTTGAAGATATACAAGTTTTGCTATCTTCTGATGCAAATCCTGCTAACTTACGAGAACTTAAGGTAGGTTCTTAGGCAAGCCTGGACCATAGAGGCCATACGTCTTGTATGGGTTAGATTAGTACTATAAAGATTTAATCTTGTATAATATTTCAAAAATATCCTATTAGAATGACTAATATTTCATTTTACTATTGAAAATGTCTTATTTATGGTTTTTTGTTATAGTCTGAAACAGTTTCAAGACTGGTTAAGATACCAGGCATTATTATATCAACATCTGCAATAAAAGCAAAAGCTACAAAGATATCAATACAATGCAGGTCCTGCCGCAATGTTATACCTAATTTACCTGTAAAACCTGGTCTCGAGGGTTATGTTATGCCAAGAAAATGTAATACGTAAGTTTACTATAGATAAAACTGCATGATATGAAAATCATAGTTTTCTTATTTATTTACGAAACTAAAACCTTTTTTACAAATATATAAAAATCAAGACAATGTATCAGCATATGTGCACAGTAAAGTGTAATCACTCATAAAATGCAAATTAAAATTTATACTTAATGTTTTCAGTGAACAAGCTGGTCGGCCTAAGTGCCCCTTGGATCCTTACTTTATTATTCCAGACAAATGTAAATGTATTGATTACCAGGTAATTCATTTAATTAAATAAACTTTCTGGCAGTATAAATGCAATACGCAATTGCATTTAATGGAGCTTATATAATAAACTACATGGAGTAACCTTAGTTCATACTGTGTTACAATCTAGTTGACACCATAAATGTAAAGGAGATTGTTATTGTTTGATGAAATATGTGTTAATAGGTTAATAATGTTTTCAGGTATTAAAACTACAAGAAACTCCTGAGAGCATCCCGCAGGGTGAAATGCCCCGCCACTTGACAGTTTACTGTGAAAGAACCCTATGCGAGCGGGTCGCCCCTGGCGCCCGTGTCACTATCCTGGGCATTTACTCTATTAAAAAGGTTGCGAAGATTGGGGTTAGTTTAACTTGCCTTGATCACTTTGATCAGATTGATTTGGTTAGCAATTAAGAATCATGCAAAAATTATAAATATATGTGGATATATTTTTATTACTTTCTTTTTATTGTTGTCATGTTTTTAAGATTCATTTGTATAAGTTATGTTTGATTTTCTTTGTACTATTTTGTTTTTCTGTGATTTTTTGCTGGTTTCTCATGATACAGCCGAAACCTAGTGTGGGAACCCCTACCAATTGTAATTTCAAATAAATGATAACCTTATCTTTTATTTGGGTCCACAGAGAGAGGGGCGCGATAAAGGGTCGGTGGGGGTCCGTTCGTCTTATCTTCGCGCCGTCGGATTGACCGCAGAAGAAGGTGTGACGGGTGGTCTTCGGCCATTCACTTCTGATGAGGAGGAACAGTTCCGTAGGCTGGCTGCCTCGCCGGACATATATGAAAGGATAGCTAAATCTATAGCGCCCAGCGTTTTCGGCGCCGTCGATATGAAAAAAGCCATAGCCTGCTTACTATTTGGAGGTAATCAGTCAAATAATACATAAGCATTACAGAACCAAATGTTCGTCCTTAATGCTCTATTCTGATAGTTACAAACAGAGAAAAATATATTGGTTATGTACTTCTCTATGAGTAAAAAGCAAAGTAACACTCTTTGGTATAGGAGTCATTATTGACTATGTCACAATAATTACCCTTGTATTATTGACTAACACAGCTAGGCTATTTCTGATTAGAATTCCCTTAAATTTTCGAGTAATTAATTTATAAGTTAAAATAATTTTAGCTCCTTTTTGTTATTATTATTTTCTATATAATGGTATGTATTTCACCTAAGTATTGTATTGTAGGTTCGCGTAAGAGACTACCGGACGGTCTGACGCGGCGCGGTGACATCAACATCCTGTTGCTCGGCGACCCCGGCACTGCTAAGTCCCAGCTGCTGAAATTCGTGGAGAAGGCCGCACCCATCGGCGTCTACACTTCCGGCAAGGGCTCGAGCGCGGCCGGCCTTACTGCGTCCGTTATACGAGACCCAGGAAGTGTTAGCATTTTGTTTATGATAATCATCATTGTATTGTTTCTCGTGAGCGTATCACCTCCCTTTATCCCTATCACCTTATCTCCCTTTTTCTATGTAGAAGACGGCGAGTGAGCTGGCGGTTCATGTGACGTTAAGTGATAACCGCCGCACATGGACATTTGCAACACTCTTAGGATTGCAGATGTGTTTCCAAATTTTAAAAAAGTGGGCTCCGGCTTTCCCACTCGCCAGATGAAACGCAGAAGTATAACTTTAAATGGTGACAACGCACCTGAATCCCTACGGGTGTTGCAAATGTCAATGGGCGGCGGTTATCACTTAATATCCGGTGAACCACTTGCTCACTTACCACCTTCTCACATAAAAAGAAGAAAAAAACAAAGGAGGGTTGGTTTTGCCAAGCTCGCACAAGAATTGCTGTCTTGACTTTCATACTATTGAACATAATATTCTCTGGCCACCTCTTAAGATGGATTGCATGGATGGATGGTATACGAAAATGCTATTTTTTTTTAAACTATTTTGTTATAAACTTTTTTATTATTGTATTGCATAGCTGTAACAATATTGTTATAGCGGCATACATAAAGAACAGCAGTAATAATAGAAATTATACTTAGTGAAATTAGTCATTGTTGAAATGTAATGAAATTTCAGCGTAATTTCGTAATGGAGGGGGGCGCGATGGTGCTGGCGGACGGGGGAGTAGTATGTATTGACGAGTTCGACAAGATGCGCGAGGACGACCGAGTCGCCATACACGAGGCCATGGAGCAACAGACCATTTCAATCGCTAAGGTACATCTACATACTACTAAATCAGTGATTCTCAACCACTGTGCCGCGGCACTTTTGTGTGCCGTCAAATTTCAAAAGTGTGCCGCCAAATTTTGAAAAATATATAATAATGTTAATATTATTAAATTATATCATTTAAAAAGAAAAATATTTTTAACATGAATATATATTTAAATCCATAAAAAAATAAATTATTTTATTATTTGCTTTGCAACGCGTTTTTTCTTAGTGCCAAATTATGATGAAGCGGCGTGCATAGCAATAGGAATATGTCTCAAGTCGGCGCACACTTGCCACTTCTGCGTACAAAACGTGTTGTTTTAGTGATAGTTGGGATTCACAAGGTGTTGCATAGTAGTTTGTGCATCTTTTCTTTCGTTAAAATTGGCAAATGTATGTGATTCGGTTTAATATTAATTTATTTGCATGTAGTGTCAATTTATAAATTTGTAAACTTATTAACTTTGCAGTACACCTATCCCCCGATTTACACGGTACTTGTTTTACACGTTTTCGCTTTTAGTTTTTTTTTTTTTTTCTTTTTATCGCACTCTACTAAATGCTACTGTGATTGAACACGTGCGCTGTGTACACATCTCACGGGGAATCCCGAGCTTATGTGCTGACTTGCTATATGCTATATTGCACACGCACACTGTGTCTGTATTTCTTCGCGTATATATTAGTTTATAGCGTATATATTATTCGTAGTATATATTAGTTTATTTCGTATATTTAAAAATTTTGTCATAAACTATTTATGCAGTGTGTTGTAGTAAGTAAATAATTTTTATCTTTTTCTTTGTGTGCCGCCAAATTTTTAAATCGTTAAATATGTGCCGCAACAAAAAAAAAGTTGAGAATCACTGTACTAAATACTTAACAGTGGTAGGGTCATGCGACTTTTCATTGTTCAATGAATGGGCAGATCAGCAGTGGAAGTATTATCCTTTTGAATTTCGTATGGAGAGGGGCCCACATTCTTACAAGGTGGCAACGCATCGGCAACCATACGTTGTTGTTGCCAATGTACATCATTTTACATCACGTGAATCAGCTCGTTTGTCACCTTGTCACATAAAAAAATACGTAAAATGATTAGACATAACCCGCGGCTTCGTCCACGTAGTTGTCGCCTGTGGTATTTTTATAGTCTACGGGCGACCCGCGACGATGATCACTTACCATCAAGTGAATCATTTTCTTTGGATTTAAAATAAAAGCTACCAATTTAAAAAAAAAGCGCTTTTTTTTCTTCTTCCAAATTTCATTTAAAACTTTTGAACGGTTGCGAATTGTCGAAATAAAAAAGGTCGTACACACGCTTTTTAATTACGTACAATTATTATTTAAACATTTCACGTCTGTGCTCAGTGTAGAACTATTAAGTTTATTTCATAGTATGACGTGATATCAGAATAATTTATTAAGTTTTTGTGATTTGATATAATCGTTTTTGTGAATATTATATATACAATTAGGTTATTTTTCAGGCTGGAATAACAACAACTTTGAATTCCCGTTGCTCCGTACTAGCAGCAGCGAATTCAGTGTTCGGCCGATGGGATGACACGAAAGCTGACGACAACATAGATTTCATGCCCACCATTCTTTCAAGATTTGACATGATATTCATTGTAAAAGATGAACATGACCAGAACAGAGATATTGTGAGTGCTTATAACAATATTGCTAAAATATATTTAGAAGAGTGATACTCAGGTTGTGTAAATGATTATTAATATTCCTTAAAAACCCATAAATGGATTTAAATAAATTGAAAAATATATAAGATATATTCACTTTTTACTATCCAGCCAAAATTCATTTTGTATAATGTCTTTCGAATTTTGAACAAATAAATCTACAATTTCAGGCAGGATATTATGATAATATCACCTAATTTAAACCTCATTACGAAACGGTGGCAGATTTAAAAAAATAACAATTCTATCAATTGTTATTTTTTATATATATATATTGAAATTATATTAATTATGAAATATTATTACGAATACGAATATAATATAATTATTATGAAATTAATTTATTAACATTCTTATTTCGATGGACAATGAAATGATTTGATTCCCTGTGATGATGACACATGATGATGTCACGTCCCCATGTGACGTGTCATCATCATCATTTCAGGCTGTTTGAGTCCACTGCTGAACACAGGCCTCCGACGCAGCACATTCCTGAGCCACCTGCATCCATCGACTTCCCGCACATTTGCACAGGTCGTCACTTCCAATGTGACGTGTATTCCACCCGAAACCCGCAGACGCTCGCCAAGCACATAATATCGGTGCACATGGGCGGCGACAGCGCCGAGCGCGAGGCCGCCAGCGGCGAGCTGCCGCTGTCCCTGCTGCGCCGCTACGGCGCGTACTGCCGCGCGCGCTGCGGGCCGCGCCTCTCCGCCGCGGCCGCCGAGCGGCTGCAGGCGCGCTACGTGCTCATGCGCACCGGCGCCTCGCACCACGAGCGGCAGGCGGACAAGCGCCTCTCCATACCCATCACCGTTCGGTTCGTCTGTTGACACTTCTTTGGGCGCCTTATGTTAAGATTATTTTATACATAGGTATGGTATTGTATAGTATTATCTGATATTATTAGTATAGTATTTTTAATAGGTTTAATATGTAATGTATACATTTTATAATTCTTATGATTGGTTTATTTTCTTTAGTAAGGTTTCTTTGGTTTTGTGTTTTTAAATTGGTAATAAATGCACCTACCTTAACTTTTCGTACCGCCCCAAGGTTGACTGGGAGATAATGCTGATGGCATTAAGTCCGCCTTTGTACATTAATGTTTGTGCATAAAGATTAAATAAATAAATAAAAGTAACACCTTTGAAGCTGCCCACTAATTTTCATAGATGCGGGCATATTCTTAATCACATTCACCTGTTACAGTTCTCATTGAAGAATGTAGATGACGCTTTCATACTTTGCTCTACTTTTATATTAATATCTATATAAACTCGATTACAACGTTTTGCCAAGGTCAGTTTTTGAATCGATATTTTGATTGTATTATTCTAGTTGTTTTTCTTTTGTTACGCCTCAGAAGTATAACTTGTAACGTGCGTACATAAGGACACACAAACTTTTAAAAGTGCGCAATCGCAAAAAGCAAAGGTGTTGAGTGGCAACCAATAACAAAATTTTGAAATTTCCCAATAACTCAAGTTATTTAAATACACCGTTTTCAATTGCATTTGTCTTTATGCTTGAAGAAGTATAACTTCTTTCGTGCGTACATAAGTCCATACATACTTTTTTATTAATGTGAGAGAAAGTGAACAGCAAGCCAGTGGTTCAGTTAATGATGTGATAACGGCTGCCCATAGACTAACCTACAGGGGTTACAGATGCTTTACCACCTTTTAAAACAATTGATCCCCAGTTATAATAACGGAAATATAACACTTGTGGTACTTTCACTATTGGCGCGTGTCCATTCGTGCAACATCAAATATGCTGAGCGACCCTACCACAATTAACAGTTCTAGCGAGACTGCCACACAGCAGCTACTGCTGTGGGAAGCCTTGTTCAGGAAGTACCACAATCTCACAGAGGACCAGTGTGTGAAGAAGTACTGTAATTTTGCATTTCGTTCGGTGAAAGTAGCAGTTCATGTAGCAGTCAGTTTTATTAAGAAAGTTGCCAACTCATGTCATTGCCCATGTGGGTGGCAACTATATTCTGATTTGATATAAAACTTTTTTATATCATATGATTATAGTACAATAACTTTTTATCCATTGCTGCTTTACCTATTCCATCAACTGACTACTCTACAAAAAATAATATTATTTTCTTTTCTTTTTACAGACAACTTGAAGCCGTCGTAAGAATATCGGAATCCCTCGCAAAAATGCAACTACAGCCATTTGCCACAGAAGCTCATGTAACGGAGGCTCTACGGCTGTTCCAAGTGTCCACATTGGATGCAGCCATGACTGGCAGTCTTTCAGGTATTTGATAATAATGATATAACTGAGGGGTTTACTTTTGTCATACTTTATTTACTTCGCCTGATACATCAGTAAGAAACATTTACATCTAAGTTTAAATACCAATAAATTAATTGTCTGTATCTGTCACAGCTTAACACTACACAATTAAAGCATGAAATGGCTGATTAGACATATGCATAGATATTTCAACATATATTTCGTTACATCATATAATTGTATTACAATACTTATTCAATATGTTCCCAGGTGCAGAGGGTTTTACAACTGAAGAAGATCATGAAATGCTCTCGCGCATAGAAAAGCAATTAAAGCGCAGGTTCGCAGTTGGCTCACAAGTTTCGGAACAGACCATCATACAAGACTTTATCCGGCAAAAATATCCAGAGAGGGCCATACTTAAAGTTATTCACACCATGATAAGACGCGGCGAACTGCAACATAGACTGCAGAGGAAAATGCTTTACAGACTATCATGAAAGTTAGCGCTAATAACAATATTTTTTTATAAATCTTAGTTGAATAAATAAAGATCATTTTTAACATTAGTCTTTATTTAGTTAGACAAGAATGATGGCAAGAAACATATTATAGCCTAGGTTTATTCTTGTCGATTATAGTATCAAAGAGTACATGCAATGCTCAGAGCATATATGGCTTATTGGTCAGTTGCACTGACATAAATAGTTAAAGCTACTCGGTGGTCATTAAATTAAGCATAAAATACTGCATTCGCCTTTTTTAAGTAGCAAAGGGAGCAAGAAAATGACTATAAAAACAAATATCACTGGGATCCAAAATTTTCAATTTGAAGTTGCCAATATAAATCTTAATAGAAGAAGTACTGTGTGGACCTAATTGATAATATGCATAAATATCACTCGCTGAACATTTACTTATTGGTCCTCTATGCCTAGCGCTAGGACATACAGGCTATTTATTACATGTTCCTTGACTTAACATGGTGAAAACACAATGAAATTAGAGCTTCACTAGAATTTTTTGAAATTGATTGACAATAATATTAAGTGGAGGATTTGTCTTTTAAGTCAGGAACTTTAAATGGATATTCGGGATGATTTTCTACGCCTTTCCAGAATAGAAAATTAAATATACGCCCATCCTCACCCTTATCTAACTTCTTTAGACAATTCAACTCTGCTGGCTTTAATTCAAAGTCATATATATCCGAGTTGTCCTGGAAAGAAATTATACTCTTTAAAATGTTTGTGTAAGCTAAAAGTGTTATAGTTTAACTAAGTATTATGCAATAGCGATCAACGTAGATATGTGTGATATAGAAAAACCCCTAATTTAGATATAGGGTGAATTTTGTCTAATAGGCGTGGGTCGGAAACTGAGGAATAGCGAAAAGTATTTAAAGGAGTATGTGTCCCTTTAATTCAATATACTCGAGCAACCGGAGTTCGATCCTTTTTGCCGGCACCAATGAAATTGTTAACTTTAAGTGCTGACGTATCACGTGCTCCGCGGTAAAGGAAAACATCGTGAGGAAACCTGCATATTTTCGATATAATATTTAAAAGAAATATTTCGAAGGTAAGCTTTTTTTTAATTTATAGGCAAGTCCTTTCAAGGCCGCGTGGTGGACTACGCTCTGATGCCCTCTGTATAGAAGAGAGATTTTCCCAGCAGTGAAATATGTATAGGTTGTGACTTTAAGATTTAAGATAGATTTTTGAAAAATCACTTCCAAACCAGGAATCGAACCCGCTGATTTTGGAAACAAAAGATGCCCAGTATTATTAAACCTTACTATAATATCTCTTATAAAGATCAAATTCTCGGAAGTATTGATATAAGACAAAAATAATGAAAATTTAAATTGTAATAAACTCATATTTTGGAGTGAAAACTTTTTAGGCGCGTTTTCCGATATTTAATAGGGGAAAATTATTGGCCACTTTACAGATAGCCAAAGGGAATAGACGGGTACGTTAAAAAAGGCATGTAAAGTATTTCATTCATAATGAGCTCTTCAGGTTGCCGCATGTTATTACTTCCCTGAATTTGATCCCTATTAGCGACGATTTCGAATGGTGTAATAAAATTGTGCGTGTTTTTTTCCAAAACGATCGGACTTGATTCCTTAATATTCCAAAAATCCACTGATCTAGTTTTACACACTAGTTTTTTTTTCTCTTAAATAGGGCCCGAGACTCCTTTAAGTATGTTTTGCTTCTGCTCTTATTCTAAGATTTTCCCATCCACGCCCCCTTAAAAAATCCACCCTGTACAATAGTCCGTTCATTTACCGGGTCCGTTAACATAAAAGTAAACCGTGACGTGAAGTAATTCATTAATTAATAACCGAGAGAAGAAATTAATTTTAAAATTTTGCTTTCATTTGAGTGTTATCCTATCAAACGGCATTACGCATCAATAAAAGCATTTATATTTGAAGAACGTCGTAACACAGAACACGGAAGCTATAAAAACAGCTCATTTAAAATCGCAACATAATCAAACAGTTATACTACACACCTTCAGTCTCTTCTCACTAGTGCTCTTTGGTATGACGACGATCTTTTGATTGACTAAGAAATTTAACAGAACTTGTGCTGATGTTTTGTTGTGCTTCTCGGCAATCTCTTTCACGTCCGGATGGCCTAACAAATCCGGGAAAGTGTCTGGGCTGAAAAGCGCATATATAGCCGTAAACATACATTTAGATCATTCAAAAAGTACCACGACAGGAGTCCCGTTGTCTCGTGAGAGATGAAAACTTACAAAATAAATCCCGATTTCTAACACTAATACACTAACTTAATATTATTATATATCACACATTGGGTGTTAAAATAAATCTTACTTGTAATTGTACTTGCTAACGAAATGGTCCTTGGCGCCAGGACTACCCAGTGGCGCGTATGCTGTCACCACTATGTTATTCTCGACGCAAAACTTGCGTAGCTCCTGTTGCTGGAAATAAGCGTGTAGCTCCACTTGTAACACTTGAGGCTTGTGCGTAGAGCACATAATTATCTTCGAAATTTGAGCTTGATTGAAATTTGATAATCCAAGGTTGCGTATTAGACCTTCTTTTTGGCACTGCTCCAATACCTGGTTACAAAAATTTTAACCTTTATATATATAATTCTTCGGTACGTGTATGTCACTGAACTCCTCCTAAACGGCTGGACCGATTTTAACAAAAATTTTTTGTCTTCAAGTCGATTCGAGAATGGTTTAGATTAACAATTCGGGACACTACAACTTTTTTTTATTTATAATTTGTCGGATTTAAGTCTTGTACGACAACGTCTGTCGGATCATCTAGTATTATATAAATTACTAGATGACTCGGCGGCGCCGTTGCTAAGCTGTTAGGATTCGACTCCCACTGCTGGTTCGACTTCCACTCGGGGCAAGTATTTGTGTGACCCCCAGACAATTGTTCCGTATCTGGTTGTTTGTACCCAAGGAGGGTTGACTATCGGCAGGCAGCCGGTGGTAAAAAACCTAGCTAAAACCACTTACAGCACGATTCACATTTTATTACCCACCTACGATACAGCTACGATAAGGACAAGAGGATGATGAAATTACCATCACTTTCACATTCACTCGGTACGTATGTATCTTACTTATGTCTCGGTATTAGCATGTATCAAGGAATTGTTTTCTTGATTTTACGCGAATATTATACATATGATTTCGTCCCGTGACCATGAACGCTGGAAAGGGTTCGAAACGTCGGGAGTTCAAATAAAAAAAAACGCGATAAAATCCGTAAACTAGTTCCCCCTTTTAACGACTTTCCCCTGGTAAATATATGCATAAAACTATTTTACTTCATATTATAGCATTAAATTTTTTCTAATTCTCCTACGCTTCAAAACTATCGTAGACACGGGGAAGACATCTGCAGTGTTTGAAATATTAGGAATTTTAATACCAAATAAATACACAATCTTAAAAAAATAAAACAATACTTTTATGCAGTATAAGTGTTAATGTAGTATATTATTACTTTCCAACGTGATATATTATTTTTAAAATACTTAATAGAGAAAAGTCAGGTTTTTATTTATTTTTACCGAACATACTTACTTGCCAAGTGCTAATATGATCGGTCTCCATATCTAGATCATACTCTCCATTCTCTTTAACTAATGGTGTTAAAGTATCAGGATTGCAATGGAACCCGAACGGGACGTGTATTAAATATAAGTCGACATAATCCATTTGCAAACGCTTCAGTTGCAAATTTAAGAATTTCCTAACGTCAGACGCCCTGTTTCCAACGTGAGGAAGCTGGAATTGTTTTAATTAAATATATATTATTTTTGTTCTTAGTAAAAAAACTACATTAAATGTAAACCACACGTTATTTTCCATTCGTAAGATTTTATTTTGTGATATATTAAAGCTAAAAAAAAGCTATGTTAGTTCTATTTATTTAAAAATAAACTTTTTTTTACCTTGGTAGTAATAAATAAATCTTTTCTTGTCCCTTTTCCATGAGTAATCCATTGCTTTACAGCATTTCCTATAGCGTCTTCGTTGTTATAATTAAAAGCGGTATCTATATGCCTGTATCCTAGGTCCAAAGCTTTATATACAATTGATTCTATAACATCTGGAGGCGCCTGAAAATTCAACACACATGTATCAATTATACAATTAAAATTTTCAATGTGTATGAATTATATATTATTGTACAAACCTGCCACGTTCCTAAACCTAAAGTAGGCATTCTATCGCCTGTCTGGGAGAGTGTTGCATATTTCATGGTTTTCGTACTTTTGCGAGACCAGTGAGGCTGAACTGTGAAAGTAATTGTCTTTCGCCTTATAATAAATCTATTTTTCTCAAGAGCAGCCTGACAGACATCTATTTTTGGCAAATAGCCAGAAAGGAATTAGTCTTGTAACAAGGCCTCATGAAAACTAGAAACAGTAATAATATCTTAAACGGGCTCAATGTCACTAAAACAAAAGAACAATTCACTGCAATTCATAGGTGCTATGTATGGGAAATATTGATTTTTATGATGTAACAACGTAGCTTTTTAAACTTCCCGCTTATAATTCGTTCAGAAATTAAAATTATTTTAACAACTGCTTTTAAGTTTAATATACATAAATATTCAACAGATTAAATAGAATGAAAATAGGTAAAAACTTGATATCAATTTTTTTTCAATACTATGGAATTTAGTGATACCTCTACACTAGAAGGGCAATACCCGGTTTCATGTATAAGGTACTCTGTGGTCAATATTCTTAAAATTTTGTTCTTCTATATTATAGACTTGAAATGGCAATTTTTGATTGGCTCTTTTACGGTACAGTTACTATATCAACCAATAGAAATGAAGGATTTGTGTTGAAATTGAGCTGTAAGGACAATTTATGGCATAGAGTGACACATTTATTGTGTTTGTGTTTTTTCGATTATTTCCCGCCGATTCAGTGATATAAATTATAAATTGTGTGGTATATTTATGGGGTAAATTAACTTAAAATAATTATAATTGGAAACTGCATTTTTACAACCACTATAAACCAAAAGTAAAAATGGGGGTAAGTGTTGATTAAGAAAGTAGTACCAAGTAAAAAATGGAGCATTTTATATATTTAATCCAACGTACTGCTATAGCATTACTAAGATACACACAATTTTGTATTAATTACCATCATAAAATCTGTTGTCATCCTTAGAAAAAAACAATAGCATCTGCTGCCAAAAGTAAAGAGAAGAGACAGGCAAGAAAATTGGAACAACGGCGAATAGCAGATGGAATGAATAATGTGACTTCAGCAAACAAATTAACAGATTTGACAGCACTTTGTAAAGAGTTATTGGTGTTTCGCAATAATGAGATGGAAGTGGAGATGTATATACAAAGAGTAACTGAACTTGACAAAAATGTGTTGGACTGGGCTATCAATTTAACAGAAAAGAATATGAAGAAACTGTAAGAATTCATTTTAGATTTATGTTTAAATTACCAACTTTACGGCATTAGAAATGTATGAATTCTATGAACTTTTAATCTAAGTTACATCACCCTTTTCCCCATCATAGCGTTTAAATACTAACCAGTTTCTCATTAAATAAAATTGTATATTAACAAAATTTGAATTTTACCATCATTCTTAAGTAACTAAAAAAACTGAGAGCTAATATAGTGAAAAAAGAGTAACTTTACTAACCCTTTTAAGTTCTAAAGTAAAACAGAGAAGCCAACCCGAAGCTTTTTAGCTTCGAAGACCTCATAATGAAGGCTTATTTTTACCTATACTTGTTATAATTATATATCAGTGTTATTTGCAAGGTATTTAATGAATTTTTCTGTGGTAGGTTTATATTAAAGCTTAGTGTGGGAACTTTAACTCATCTAAAGCAATGTTTGAATAAACACATCAAATAACCAGTTTATTGTTATTTGCAGATATGAAACATGTGCATGGGGCTGGAACCGTGATCGTAAAGTAGAGGAAATGACAGATGATGCAGCTTGGTACCTTATCGCGAGGGAAAAAAAGGACAAACTATTAGCATTTGCACATTTCAGATTCGATATGGACTTTGGTGAACCAGTTTTATATTGGTAAGTCTTGTTTAATTTTAACCAGGTTGCACAATATGTGACTCATCAGTAAGTGGTTAATTACTCCCGCCTGCCTGACGTCAAACCACTTTTAGAACCGGGACAATTATCTATAGGTTACACAGATATTTATTTTCATGTGGGAATGAACCCACAATCCCAGCGCCAAAGCTAATATCTTAGGAATTATGTCTTTGAGTGCAATAAAAATATTAACTCGAAAATAATTATATGAACTTATGTATTACTATTTATTAGTATTATTTATTACTGTAATATAATTTAAATGTAAAATTATTTAAACTAGTGGTCGCCCAGTGGTCGAAATCCGACCACAATTAATTAAACATGGTAAACTATAAGTGTGCAAAATTTTATTACTTCCCATCAGTGCACTTTTCATAAAAAGTGGTGTAAAGCTTTTGCTTCATATATTAATATAAAGATATTCTATTATCATTAAAAGCAAACTTTCTAGTCTTAAGTGGGTGTTTATGGAAGGTGTTTTGGTTATTTGTATGCACTTTATATTATCTCACCCAATGATAACATTATATTTTGCCATGAAAATTAGCCATTTTGCCTTTGTTTCTTTCATATTTACTTTACAATCCATTGTAAATAAAGCCTATGTGAAATCATACAGGTCTTGGAAACATAGGTAATAACTAAACAGTATACTGCAAAATCACCTAATAATTTTTCTTAACATCAAAGTCAAAGTATCTTCATTTAACTTAAGCTCTTATTGAACGTCAACAAAAAATCTACCATTGGTTCAGTAAACTAGACCTAAACAGAGCAGAACCGGCAAGAAATTCTGCGGTCTTGTTCTGTTTATTTTTTCTTTTTTTGCGATCAAGAGATTGGTTCCATCTCCATCCTACAGTATAACCGTAATGAAATGTCTAGAGTCAGTTTTTGTATAAATATAATGAAGGTTAAAATTTTTACAAAAAAAATTTTCACCAGAGGACACCCCGACCCTCCTTATAAAAAAAATGAAAACCAATATCATACTTATCTTAAACATTTATTATTTACACATATTTAAATACACAGCATCATAGCTACACTCAACAATCGCGTTAATTACCCTTAAACTTGTATATCCATATGAAGCAATGGAATAGACCACGGCTCCTTCTGAACAATCTTTTCTCGAATACGAGTTTCTCTTTGGGCCACCACCGAACGCATCTCGTGCAGAGATACCTGAACAGTTTGTGTAGTATGAAAACTGTCAGGAGTGTTGCTGCTACGCTAATTGCTATTATATCTAATAATATGTATTGCGTGTACGACAAGTCGTGGGCCGGCGAGCGCAAGTGTTTAGCACCGTCATGCCTCAGGACATATTCGATCCAGTACACTCCGGTCTCCAAAGGTGGGAGCGGTCGATCCAGAAACTTCTCTTTCAATCTCAGAGCGTTCCTTTTGTACCTGTAAACAAAGATAAGTACAATAAAGATACAAATACGGGCTAGATATGACACTAGCGCACCGAAACTGAGAGCGCTCAAATTACGCCAATTGGTGTACTTAGATTGCATTTCTATAGACTGCTATCTCTTTCCGTATCATACGTTCTATAATCATCTGTCACATTCACTTATATCATATAATGTAAAGCGGAACAATGTTTAAACGCCGAGCAGTAGGACATGTATCATCTTTATTAAAACATCATTGCCTGTAAAATAATTGATGACGTTTAGTTTTTTCTTTTATATGACATCTCCGTCTTCCACTTTTAATAAGAGATTAATTTTAAATAGGAGAATACAAACAAGTCAGTCAGCCAGCGAAGATCAGAGTGGCCCTTTGCTGGTACTTTCGTGAAATAAAAAAAATAAACGGGGAAGACAAACTAGTCCGTCAACCAGGATCGGAGTAGTCTTATACGCTTTCGGGCAATAATTAAATCATTTCGACTAATATCGGTATTTTTTTTTTTAATATCCGAACGTGACCATGGGTTAGATGTTTTCAATCTAACACTGGCTGCTATTTTTCGCGTATCAAATTTTTATACGGTTATCTCTATTAGTGGGTAATTGCCCGTCCTGGCGTTATATAGAAGTGTCGAGACTCAAGCGTTGGTAGGTATGCGAGATTATTTTGCACGTCCAGACATAACCATGACTTTTAAGTACAAGACGAAATATAACATTTATAAACGATTACTATTAATTGCATGATGGCACCAATACTCAACTAAATACTGTCGTAGGTATCCAAAATACATGTCCTTTGTTTTACCGTTGTAGGGCCACGATGCAAATTTTACTATGGCACGAATGGGCAGGCTCATCCGAGACAATACCGCGACCTAACAAAAGACCGGCGTGAAGTGAAAGCATTATACTTTCGCGTTTCGTCTGGTTAGTGAGGTAGCCAGGGCTCACGCTAACTTTTTAAGGTTTGGCAACGCGTCTGCAACCTCTCAGGTTTTGTAGATGTCAATGAGATTCAGTAATCAGTTAAGATCAGGTAAAACCGGCCGGCTCGCTTGCAAACTTTTTACATAAAGAATCTCCATGAAAGATCAATACGTTTCAATGTTACCACACTGTGACATATGTTTTAGTATGCCGATCGTATACAACTTTCAAAATCAATTAGCTGATCCATTAATGGTCACGTAATAGTTCTATACGGTGTCTCTTAAACGGATACTACCCTTTAAGACTATTCTAGTTTTAAATATAATTAATGGCGATCCATACAGCAGAACATAGCTTTTGCCATTTTATCAATGCGCATTAGGTTTTTCGATGCGATGTATTTTGAATTTATTTTTAATCCGACAGAGATTTAGTATAATCACTTATCATCTATTTAAGAAAAAAATGCACACTTGCATTCTTTCGATGAATGTCGTGTGAGGTTATCGCGACGTGGTGGTTACGACATTTGTCGCCGCACAGATAAATGCTGTATCAAAAACTAATTTATTTACAAGTAAATGACATCGGACATGCGCCGGGACGGTGATTTGAAACGAAATACAAGTCGAATAGCCGAGGACTAAAGGTGTGGATTTACAAGCCATTTCTATTGTGGTTGGCCCAAGCAGCAGCTACTGCTGTTGCATGAATAATTGGGTTCGTCTGGGAAAGTACCACGGCCTCACGGAGATCGCCGTGAAGTGGAAGTGTTATACTTTCGCGTTTCGTCTGGTGAGGGAGATAATAGGAGCCTTAAGTTTTTGCTTGTTTGGCAACGCATCTGCAACCCGTCAGATGTTTTATGGGCGGCGGTAATCACTTAACATCGAGTAAACCGCCTGCTCGCTTGACAACTTAAAAAAAAACAATCGCATATAGATGTTTAGGTTTGGTACACTTTTAAATAATCGTCGCACGCGGGATTCAAACCTGTGATACAAAGCGTTGGCATCTACTTAGTGTTCAATTATGTACGTCTCGCAACTTTTTGCTCCAAAAGTTTCTGACTAAAATTTTTAAGTTATTGTGAAACGATGAAAGATTTATTTCGTTTAATTATGGTTTTAAACCTTGCGAATAAGTCCATAGTCTAGGAACAGACCTAGTTTTACTTCTATGAGCGTGGACTATAAATATAATGTTCAAAACGTCGCCAATTGAAACTATAATAGGTTAATTAATTTTTAAATTAAAAGTTTTTTATAGTGCTAATCTCTGCACTTAAGATTGAACATTAAAACATGTAGAAAAAGTACGAAAAGATTGTCGCCACTGTGGGAATCGAACCCACGTCTTCCGGCATTCTCGGCCTGACGCTCTAGCCACTGAGCTAAACGGCTGATAGCCACAGCGACGAAAATCTTAATGCCTTCTTTCTACATTGTTATTTAGCATTTGAAGCAATGCTTGGCGTATCTATTGTTATATCCTTTCCAGCATACAAATAGGTTAGTTTAGTAACTACAAGAAATCAAAAGCTATACATTATCGAAAAAAATTCTAGATTAGTTCAAGTTAAAAGGTTACCCATTACAAACAAACAAACTTCACCTTCATTAAAATTGTTAACACTCGTGAGACATTATTGGGAAAAATAAAACTGCTAAACTCACGTACGATCAGTGTATGTAGCGACGAGTTTCGGACCTATCGGAGGTCCTTCAACAGATAAGTGGGATGGATAGGTCCGAAACTAATCGTTAAATATACCAATTGTACGTAAGTTTAGCCATTTTACAATTCCGTTAACCCCACCTTCGTATTATATCAGTTATGTTAAGTACACAACAAAATAATATTACCCATTGTTGGGCAAAGGCCTCCTTTGTACTAAGCGTATTAAACATAGTCCACCACTGTGAGCTGAGATATTGCAGTTTGGCGGACTTCAGATATCTTCGGAAATAATTTATTTTGTTATTATTCCGAAAGTGTACATGATAGGTCAGCACTTAAAATTAAGAAATTTTTGCCGGCACGTGGATTTAACTTTCAGGTTGCTCGAGTATATCAAATTAAAAGCGATATATGTATATATATACTTACTCAGGATTGTATATTAAGTCATGTAGTGCCTCTTTCCAAGTATCTTTGCTAGTTTCCTTGAGGCTGAGGATGCGGGCGACGCCGCGGTCGCTCATCGCCCTGCCGTTCAGGGCCTGGTCGGCGTACAGGGGCACAGTGAGCATGGGCACCCCGCACGCAACCGCCTCCTGGGTCCCCAACAGGCCCCCGTGAGATATGAACACTTTGGTGTTTGGATGGCCTGATGACAAACAAAACAATCGTAAATAGATTGCATAAATCGTATATAGATTTGTGCGATGTGTTACGTTGCTTTAAGAAGTCAAGTTTAGTTATGTTCAGGCATATTAAATGTAATAAATAGGTTTAGGTTTACGTCCCGATTAAAGATGAGCAAATTTTATCGATTAGAAAAAAAATTGCTACGTACAGATTTCGTGTATTTCTTCCTTATCAATTGTAATATATATAAATACTAATAATAAACCTATTATTTTACTTAAACCGTGATAGCTCAATGTCCAAGCGCTCGCTTTTAGTTCAATATACTCGAAGAACCTAAGTTCAGTTCCCGATGCCCACACCAATGATATTATTAATTTTAAGTGCTGACTTGTTATTTGCTCATTTTACACTGAACATTCTGAGGCTTTGTTAACACAAATGTGTTTAAAAAGCGTCCGTGAAACACATTATAATGTTATCTCAAAATTGATATACTATTTTTAAAAAGACCGAAGAATTTGTTCGATTTCTTACATAGAGTCTTGTACTGTGGAATCCAGTCCATTGTGTACACGTTTTCGGGGATGCTTATGTTTCCCACCAGCATTGCCTTATTCATCTTCACCAGTATCGTCTGCGGCAGCTCGGAGATGGCCTCGAATATCTGCTTCAGTTTCTCGCCGGGAATAGTTTCTATCCGCGACATCGATCCAAAACTCCAATATACAACACCGTTATACGATTTGTCCAGCAGTGATTTCAACTCCTAACAAATCAAATGGTACAATATATTATAGTGTACTCTGACGCGAATTCTACACATTAATTTGAGTTTTAGCATACATAGCCGTGATAGCTCATTGTCCGGACGATTTCTTTTATTTCTATATACTCTAGCAACCTAAGTTCGATCCCTGGCGCCAGATTAGGTCACCGACGCAATCAGGCAATTTAAATATAACTATAGTGTTGCTGGATTGAAGTTTTGTGAACTATATTTCTACTTTGTCAGCGTTACCTAACCGCTTCGTATTGCGGCAAGGTATAAGAATATCAATTATTCAGCGGGGAAATGTAGTTTTGGCGTTATTTGCCCCGTGCCACGTGGGTAAAGCATGTCACATTTGGGCCGTGGAACATATAATATAACATCGTTTATAATTTAATAGGCTCATTTTTAATGACTTTTTTAAAGAGTTGGTTAAACGGGCCCTTTATATTTCCGGGAGTAACGTCAATGTGGCTTTATCATTTCGCGACAGCTATTAAATAAAAAAAACATGTTTGTCTTATTAATTTACCAATATTGTTTTGCGTATTTATGCCCATTACGGACACGATGAATGGCTTTGAATGAATCTAAGTAGGTCGGGCATACAGATGCAAAACCTTCCGCGTAAACAGACAATGCAGTCAATTTGGCTGTAACGATATAATTCATTTGACATTATCGGCTCGGCGATGGGTCCGAGGTCGTGGGTCGACGCGATAGTCGGATTCCCTTTGCTTTATGTTCAATGTGGGTTAATAGTTGTTTAGTATAACAGACTGCGTGTTGCTTATGAAAGTGTTATGTGTTGTTCAGTTCACAATGCCCACAATATTATGCCATGTGTTTGAATTACCTCCTTCTCTTTCGACTTTGGAATTGGGAACTAGAGCATTAATAATCGTCATCATCATCATCCTCCTGCCCTCATCCCACCTGAGTGTAGCATCAATAATAACAAGTGATTGTTATAAAATAATATCAATTTAAATATTATTTCAAACACACATATTTACAGGTATTCGTCTTAGATGTATGGTTCTGTAAATGGTGTTATTTACAATTATGTGTCTAACTTTTCCGGGGGTTACTTGAGCAGATTACATACTTAAAAAGTTAGTTATAACATGCACCCTTCGACATATTTATTTTCTTTTACTTTTACTATACGAGTTTCAAAATGTTGCTTACCCTTGGCAGTGTTTGCGAGTTATCCAAATGCAGACCCCCCACCTCGACTAGAGCGGGCACGAATGGTCTGACTTCGTTTATACTGAAATGGCTGTTCGATAGCACCAGGCTGTAGTTCTGCGCTAAGGCTTCCAATTTGGGTCCTGGACCAAACAGTCTGTCTGCTATGACCTGCGGACAAAACATAATGGTTGAAATAGTCTGCGACCGTGGAGGTCATTCTCGTACTGATGAAAGTCCTCAGCCACTAATCGCCTTTACTAATGCATGCATAAGTAAAGGCGATTAGTGGCTAATGATAATGGCGATTACTAATGCATCCAGATGCATTAGCAATCGCCGAATCGCCTTTACTACTGCATATCCAGATATGCAGTAGTAAAGGCGATTAGTCACGATTAGACATGATAGACCCAGTGATAGACTGGGGTCTATTAAACTCGAGAAAAACTCTTAGACAACACTCTCTTCTTCCACGAGCCGTTGAAGAGGAAAATGTTTTTATGTACTTATTACTCCAAAGAGAATTCTAAATAAACAAAAAAAAAGCCACAGCGAAAGCGTGGCCGGGTTGAGCTAGTAGTTGTAGTAGTAGTTGAGCTATTGAGATAAAATAGGACAACGACTGTCGCGGGCTCTTTTTGTAATATGTACTTAATTTATCTATTTAATAATATATAATATAAATAAAAATTGATAAAAATGCATAATAGTAACAAATGCTCATATAAAATGTTTTATATACACAAAAACAATACGTAAAATATTCATATAAGTTATATCATATTAAAAACAAAGACACGTACTGAGCGTAACAAACAAGAATGTTAATGACATTACGATAACATCTACCATATTAATTAATAACAGACTTCTTTGGGAAATAAGTCTGTTATAATAATTGCAGTAGCTCATTGTACAGTATACAAGAGCAACCCGAGTTCAAATCCCGACACCAATAAAATTGTGTATTGTGATTTTAAATTCTGATTTACCACGTGCTCGGTCATGATGAAAACAAGGAAGGAACCCTTGGATGTACATATTACATTAAATAAAAAAAATATTTTAATTTGTGTAGCGGACGCATGAGGCAATTGTCGATCAATTGGACTTGGTCTATGATAAATATATAGGTACTTAATAAATACGTATATAGTTTCTTCACATAGGAAGTAGACGTTGGCTTAATGCGTAGTGGTCATTGGGATTTACGACCCAACCTCTTCTTCCACACAAAACACATACAATTCAATCGTCAAAAACTAAGCGGAACAAAGAACCTAAACGAAAACTTTAGTCTATAACTACCTGAGACGGTATTTGCGAAGTGTGCCTGTACAAGATTTTCGCCCACAACACGGCGAGCGTGTTCACGAGCCTCTCCCACGTGTTCATCCTCTGGCCGAAACCCATCATGTAGGCGGGCACGTACGCGGTCGCCTCCGGGTTGGCCAGCTGGCCGTTGAGCCAGGGCAGGGGCACGCTGGACAGCAGACCCACCACGGGCGCCCGGAACCGCCCGCCGAATGGCAGGAAGCAATCGCTCCCGAACACCTCCACGATAACCAGGTCAAAGCTGACCGTCGAGTTGAGCAGCGCCCTCACGGCCGGCAACTGCGACACGGTTTCGCAGGCGTGGACGCACTCCTTGATTATCTGCTCCAGATTGATTATGAACTCCGGCTTCAGCGAGGTGTGTTGCCGCGTCAAGTTGTTCGTTATTTCTGGTATCGTGCCCGCCAGGTTTATCTCCTCTATGTTGGGCGGTGGGTTTTTCTGTGAAGAATAGCGTGTTCTTTTTAAACTACTTCTCGTGTGCACATTACTATCAAATTAGGACGTAGAATACCTCCTGTCTGTCCCGTGACCATAGACCTAGTAAATAGCGGTAAAATTCGTAAAATTATTTGAAATAGATATTTTTCTTATGTTTTTCAATTATCGACTTATAATTAATAATTAAAATAGAATATGAAGAATCAATTTCTTACACTAAGCTTCTGACGTAGAAAACGTATAAGATATATTACAGACGAACCGTTTCGTGACTTAGCGCAAATTAAGTCTTACATTAACACACAAATCATTCTATTGTTACGTCTCATCGAAGGAGTGAGTACGTATCATCACACCAAAAGCCGTACATCAGAGTATGACTTGCGATTTCCTTTATTAATTAAACTGGTCAAAACAGTGGTGAGCAGAGACAGCGTAGAGCGGGGCAGCGCGTGCCGCGCGATAAGCGACAAACTCTTCGGGTTAAGGGGCGCCCGTATCATGTAAGCCACACATGCCGCACCGTGTCGCTCGACGATTACTATCGTTAAATCACTCTTATCGCGTCTAGATTGCTTAATGCATTGTTTTATTGAACGCGCGACGTAATGGCGATAATGTAACAGTAGAAGTTCTCGGGACTTCATACCCTGACGAGGGAGACGGAGCTAGTTATGATCCTATCGCATCCAACAAATCACGTATAAGTAGTGCAATATTAATACGCATATTCATTAAGCATCGTCCGATGGCTCATTGTTTTTTTAAATTGTACTATAGTCGTGTTCATAGTACATACGTCAACTCTAACTCGTCAATAATTAAATGTAGAATATTCCGGGTTAAACTTCTACGATGAACAGTGTTTCAGAAACCGGACGTAAAACGATGGTTTCCTTACTTTAAGTACTTTATTAAAAAGCTTACGTCTGAAATTGCGGACAAATAACGGATTGGCCATCGAAAGTACATTTTATTTAATAACATCACAATCATATCTCCGATTTTTTAGAAACTACTGCCCAGGGAAATAATTCCTCTCTTGCGAAATGTTTCGCCAACGTGAAAATCTGAAACATAAAATACACCTAGAAATTGAATACTCGGAACAGCTATTATCGCGTTTATTTACATAAATTTTCGTGTTGTGTTAGAATCAAACCCATAGGCGCACAATGGCAAGGTACACCCACAAAAGCAAATCAGCTATGCGGGGACATTTTTTTTTATATAGTTTCTATGAAAGGTAATCGTCAAAATATTTTAATCTACAAGCGCATTTTATATCAGCCCCCATAATTAGAATTTCTCGATTTCTACGCTGTCGGGATTTGATGACTTAGGGCATGAATTTTTTTGGACATCTAATAGATGCCACCATAATTATCTTAGTAGTTCGTTTAGATATTATTTACCGAACTTAGGCATAGACAATACGACTTATAGATTTAAATGAAAGGCGTTTTCTCGCAAACATTTGTGTTGACAACTTAATTACCAATAACTCCATCGCATAATCGCTACATATCTAAGAGTTCTATAATCGGTATCATTATAGAATGTTATGTAATAACCTTTTATCTTAAAGAAGGTTCATTATTATCTAGCTTTTAATTACGTGTGTATATATATATATATATAAAGAAGCATATGTCGATTAGTAATGTTGGAACACGGTCGGTAATGAATCTTGAATGACGACATTTATTTATTTAGCGCCTACGTCGTCATACCTTCATTAGGAAGCCCATCAACCTAATACAAACATATTATCATAAAATTTAAATGACCCGGCCGGCGTTGTTATTGAACGATAGACTTCGCCACAGCGGACCGTGGATGCGATCTGATATTTGTATAACCTACAAATAGTTGTATCTGGATCTTAATCTTGTTGGTGTTTGTAAAATGACTACAACACAATTTTATCTTATCCGGAAATTCGGGATTATATTAAGTTTTCAAATGACTGTCGATTTAACTTGTTGTAAACAAGAACTATTTATATCGTATTTACGCGAATACTGCAAAACACTACTTTTTCAAAAAATAAATAAATTATTCAACAGACTTTATTCCGCTAAACTTTCTTTTAAATTACTATGGTAATTACTAAGGTCGTAAAGAGTTCGAAGCCTAAGAAGTTTAAAACATAACAACTCAATGAGGTATTGGATATTGAATAATGTTATTAATAATGAGCAGGGGAGGCGATGCAGTTAAACTATAATTTTAACAAAAAAAACTGGCTTCGAACCGGAACCTAAAAATCATTGTTATTACCTATAACTCTCATCTGTATAAATTTCGAGATAATTAAGTGATTGTACAAATAAGAGTAAACATTCCGATTTCGTATTCCGACACTGAATCATTGATAAAACCACATTCATTTGAGGATCGCCCTCGATTTCTCTGGGATGCCATAATCAGATCCGGGTTCCATCATGGTACATCCTTGAGATATCTCCTTTCCAACAGAAAAAGAATGAAGCAAGTGCAATGGTCTGCATTATTTATCCACGGTCAGGGACAATATGCAACAGGGAAATAAAAAATATAATTGCTTTTTGCCCTAATAAGATAACAGACCACGTGAAACAATGTGACACTTCGTTTTATAGCGTATTTTATTTTAGTACAGTTAAAATGTCTTGTAACGTTTTTTTAAATATAATTTGCGCGACACAGTTACTCGCTTGTTTTCTTTTTGCTTTTGATAGATTGATTTCTTATTAGTTTACTATTAATTAAAAATTACAGGTTTTTGTATTTGATGAGTCTCAGCAGTACATCGGTATTTTCTTTATTTTCATCATTTAGTCCGACCGTTAAAAATTGCCGGTTGTGTTATCACTGTAATAAATAATAAATATTTTTAGGACACATTTTTACACAACGTTCTCTACTCCTAAGCAATGCTTGTACTATGGGTACTAGTTATATGATAAACATACTTTTCTTCTGTAAATAAATACATATTATACATATATAAACATCCAGACACTAGAAAAACACTATGTTCATCATCACACAATATTTTTCCAGTAGTGGGGATCGAACCCACACCCTCTGACGCAGGTGGCTACACACTACCCACTATGCCATTCGGAATTTTTAAGCATTTAGCAATTTTATGTGCCGGAGAGCTCGCGTAATCTCAGTTCAAATCTAATTTAAACTGTTGATCTACCGCGCTCAGCGGTGCAGGAAAGCATCGTGAGGAAACTTGCATACTTTTAAAATTATTAAAAGAAATAGTTTTAAGATATGTTATATTCGCCAATCCGTGTCCTAAAACCCTCTAATTTGACTTTAATTTACTTTAAAGGCACTATAGTGATATGTACTAAAAATTGCCATTTTCGATAAAGAGGAATATCTTCAATATAATACTATAATTGTCAGGTTTTTTTCTCCCTCTATTAACGTATTAAGTAATATTGATAAAAACGTTAAACAACTTACCTAGACAAGTTTGTATATCGAATTTAATTTTGATACATATATTAGCAACGTTTGTACAGTCATTAAGCGGAAGCCGCATGTATATTTCGACTTTAGTAAGTGATTGTACAAATAGGAGTAAACATTCCCATTTCGTATTCCGACACTGAATCATTGATAAAACGACCTTCATTCGACCGTTAAATAAATTTAATTGTTGTTGATAGTTCAAAAATACCTACACCGCTTATGTACATCTAATGATGGTATGTTATATTTTTTACGCCGCTCACTGTACCGCTTTTATAATGTTATCTTTAAGACAGGCGATAAGCCTGCAACTGAAAATTAATTAAAATTATAATATTATAAAGAGATATCTGAAAGGCGGAACTGTTTTGTCCATGGCACTGGTCTTCGAACCCGTAACCATATTGTTACCAACCACTTTACCATCGCTTTTTCAATATCGCGGCGATTGCAGCACAATGCAGCCATACACGTGACAAAAAACTGTATGGGCGGACGGAGTGGTTGTTTTTACATCGAATGCCTTCCCTTTTATTTCCTCATTCGTCTCATTTAAAAATATTGTTTAGTCTAAACAGTGGAAGTAAGTAGAAACGTTCGATTGTTGACTACACTAGTTCGTAGTTCATTGACCCTTGTTATTGAAAGTTCGCGGACTCCGGCAACGTGTTGGCCGGCGTCTTATATCTTTGTCCTTAAGCTGACCGGCGGTCGAGCGCGATGCACAGTCGAATATAAAATAACCTCGCATCCGTCTGATAAGAACATTAATTGTTCAATTTAATACTTTACGTAACTCGTACGTAATCGAAATTAGGCACTCTCGGCTGTATCAATATTCTAGCGGGGTATAGTTTGAAACTTAATAACTCTATGCAGGCTGTGAGAAAAAGCAAAAGTGAGACAAATCTCGCCGCATGGAACACGGATGCTGTGCAATCTCCGTAACTTTCGGGAGTTTAAAACAAAATTAAACGAGATAAATTCTTCAAAATATGTACCACAAACAGCCAAAATATTTTTTTTTAGGAATTCGTTAATACACATAATTAACGAATTCCTAAAAAAAAATATTTTAACACGAAATAAGTATATGGTTGATATGAGTGTCTTGTACAAATGCTGTCTATTCGATGCCGCGTGGGAATGATTTCAAGATTTACTATGACGATCACGAACATAATGTACAACACACAAAAACTTGAGTGAAATATGTCTGCCTTGATTCTGCTTTGGTTCCGAATACAACGTCTTTTTTAAATCTAAGTGGAAAATATCGACCATGCAATAATATTCATGTATGAGGAACTATTTGGGCATACTTCAAGGCACCTGGTTGTTCCTATGTTTGTGCCTCAATAAATTTAATAGCAAGGTTATAATAACATAGTAAGTAATACTATAGTAGAGTAAAAATAAGAATATGACCCACTACTTATCCCATTTGTCGGAAATTTTAAGATGGTCGCGAGCCGCACGTCGATTCGTTGCATCAAAATTAATAAGACCTTGAGCGTGTTCTGTTGCTTGCTAAATAATTAAAAATAATAATAACACTATTTAGAAAGACTCGAAATCAAACTTATGAGTATATTCGCTTTGACGAAAGTTTATTACGAATACACAAAAGCATAGGTGACGACAGCGTTAAAGTAATAGAAAATACACTTGTTTGTTCATAACCAATTCAATCCTTGCTGATGTTCTAGCGACGTCATTCAAGCATTTCGACGTATCATCCCCGTTAGATGGGAATATTTCTTAATCCTTCTCATCCGGCTTTTCCCCCACACTTTGTCCGTATAAACAACCGTCGCGATATTTATTCTAGAAAGACGAACCATACGGAAACTTGATTAACGATTTGTAAATTACTTGCTTTATTCGATAACCTTCTATCGTATACTTATTGCGAGCTTTTCAAACTTTTATCGTTATAAGTGAATGAGAAAGCCTTATGGACTGTTGAGCGAAAGACAAGTGGGACTCACCATGGTGAAATGTGTCATGACAGTGATGTGATGTTGCCTCTTGGCGAGCGCCTCGATGAGGCGGCCGTACATGGCGTAGTGGCTCCTGGTGTTGGTTGGCAACACGGCGAGGATCCTGGCGGCGTGGGCCGCCGTCACGCAGACCGCGACCAGCCAGAGCAGCCGCGCCTGCATCTCACTGCCGTCTGTCGCAGATTGCACGGCCCGCAGCAGCCGCGAATGCCGTTTGCACCGATAACGGGTGACATCACACCCGAGACCTCTGGCTCCCCGACGCGCACTCGTAGTAACCCCTCGCCGCCTCCCCCCAAGGCTATCGGGGCGTGCAGTTCATCTACCACTCCGCCCCTGTGGTCGTAGTAAGTTTGTCGTGGTGAATACCTCGCCCTGCCGCCGGCTCGTGTTGAAAACTTGAACACCTTAAAGGTTAACGTCACGCGATCGACGAAAATTAACGGTGACCTCCGATTATTTGCTGGAGCGATAAATTTCGTGTTACTATACGCTATTCAGAAAATTGGGCCGCTATTGAATTTGAGACTTAATCATTGCATAATATATTTTGAGATAAAAACACTCATTCATACAGTGCATGAAATGGAAGATTTTATGAGTTTTTTTGATCGGGTTTGTGACAACGCGTGTTATAGTTCGGCATGCGATTCGTGTAACACCGTATTCACACCTGGATATGTAATTGAGGTGCAACTGATTTGAAGTTGTGCTTCTGGTAACAAATAAAGTAATGGATAACACCGATGATTATTATTAATACTGAATTCTATTTACGGGACTGATTCTATGGGATAGTGGCCAAAACACTATGAGAAACAACTTAGCATAATATAATTTGAATTGAATATTAGGTAATAACTGAATTATGAGTTATACATTTTGACGATTTTTTGACACACCCACCCCTCACTTTCTATTGTTGAAATGTTGTGCGATTTTGCTCGACAGCGTCTGGCTCCCCCAAAATCATGTGAGATTTGCGCACGCTGCGTTTTGGCTCGTACGCCGTAGCATTTGTAGAGTGGCGCGCAAGTCTAGCCGGCTAAGCAATCAAGGGACAACTGCGCTGCTTTGTTGTATTCTTATAACCGCTCTAAATATTATTTTATAAGATTTAGCGGCGAAACATTTGTTCTTAATTTAAGTTGTTTTACACCATTTCGTGCCATAAATTGCGTGATATTTGCCGAGGAACCCCTACACATGTGATTGGGTGAAGTTCGGCTCTCCTTTTGTGGAAACAAAAGAAATAGCAATTAAAGACAATAGGGATATGTATGGCTGACTCGATGGCGTAGTTTCCGTTGTCGTGGGTTCGATTCCCACATGGCATAAATATTTGTATGAGTCAAAAGTAATTGTTCCGGATCTGGTGTTTATTCCCAATATCCACCGTAGAGATCACGCAGGCGGTTGGTCATAATAAACCAAGCCAACATTATTCACATGTTGTGTCGACCCCACCTCCGTTGTATAAGAGCAGGAGAAAGCATTATAATGAGTGTTTTCGCTAACATACAAACAATAACAAACATTTAGACGACGTTCACGTATCATCACTACTTTTGAAATTGAGAAGAAAAAGAAATTAAGAATTCATTCAAGAAATTCTCAACTCTGAAGAGAATCTACAACGATTCAGAGAATTTTCCTCTTTACGGTCGTTACATTAACGACGCTATCCTATAAAAGAAAATTTTCCCTTTAAAATAAAATAATAATTACTTAAAAATACACTAACCATTAACCTAGGAAGCCATGGGTGATGAAAACACAGAGTCATTACTGGATTTTATATATCCCTAACCCCTATGTACTATCAAATGCCGCACGTATGCTTAATATGCGCATACATAATAAACAACATCCAAACTGTTAGACGGTGTTTGATTGTCAAAGTTTATCAGCGCAATTATTAAGTAGGTAAAGCGTTAGCACTATCAGCGATTTTCGTAAGTCCGCACTTTGCCGTTTGCACGATACGCGGTTGGTTTCATTTAATATACTCCGTCAAAAAATCATTACATCTGGTGGAGCAACGTCTTACATAGCTCCTGCTTCAAGAACAGCTCAATGGAGGGGGATCGACGTAAAGTAACCCTTTATTACATTAGTAAAACATTGTTACCAACTCCTAACTCACACCAGCATCATCTCGTGGTGTTAAGGGTAACTATGAAACGCTCGATTACCAATCCCCTATAAAATAAAGAACCTATATTTTTCCTATTGATTATTTGACCAGAAGTTCTTTTGCATTTCAAAGAATCTCTTTGAGTTACTAGTTGCTTATGAATCATGCCAGTACAAACAAGTTTCTGTCTCAAATCACTGCTTTAACCAAGTAAACATTGTATTTTTAAGCGTTAATTTGTGCACGTTGATATTTTTGATTTGTAAAATGCTAACTACAACGACATCAATTTTTTATTTACGCGTATACAAAATATTTTTTTTTGTTTTTTTTTTTTTTTTTTAAAGAACATTGCCCTTGCTTTAGAATTACATTGTCCTGTGTTATAAGGACGTTTTACAAACATAAATTTCACGCGGACAAACACCCAGATGCGAAACAGCTATCTGTGGGTCAAACAAATAGTTGCCCGAGTGGGAATCGAACCCACGACCCCCGACGCTGAAGCCAATACCTTGGCAACTCCGCCGCGGGGTTATCTGTTGTCAAATATTGTTAATTACTGTTGTATTTGAGACCTGATATAACAGAAGTCGTAGACGAGTCCCTCTCCTTTCACATCTTTTTCTTCTTCTCACAGAAGCTTTTATTCATTAAAGTTCGGCTCGAACAGTATATGAACAAACAATTACATTCGCATTCGTAATATCTTTTAATATACAATTATCCTCACTCGTTTATACAAACCAATAGGTACAAAGTACAAAGGAATCGCAAATAATACTTACAATATAATAAACTACTTTTCAATCTTCATTCACGAGTTATTTCTATGTCAATACTGAAATGAAATCGATTAAATATATAACGTAAATTGTAAAATTTTTGTAGATACTGTTGCCAATAACATACTTTTTAATGAAGTATTTTTTTAATTAAAAGCCTCACTATATACGAATAGTATCCAAGCCAATTTCATTGGTAATATTTTTAAAAAATTAGACCAAAAAATTGCTATGCTAACAAATACCTGACAAAAAAATTGTCATTATATTCTGATCGCTTTGAATAACGATGATAAAAAGAGCTGTTTAAAATTTCTACAAATAATTTAATGTCAATATCTCTTGCGCAATATTTTTCGTGCATCTGCTTTACGCACTTTATAAGTAATTAATATAATTAATACCGGTTAACTATAAGATAACAGGCTTAACTCATACCTTATCGTTAGCTGTGATTAATGTATTTCTCGTAAAATGATCATAAAATTACATTGACAAGCTGCCTACGGATAAGTGTTGTTGATTGAATAAATATCTTAAGGAAAAACAGTATAACCGAGTGGGCTAGCCGCGTCTTAGCAAAAAATATTTCTCCTGTATGGAAATCATTTTCTATAAAGAAGCAAATTAGCATACAAGCTCATACGTGATCATTACCCTAAATCTGTTCACGATATACATATGTCTAACTGTACTTTGTATCCCTATTTAACTAACACTTTTACATTCATACTGACATAATTAGTCATCTCTACTATCATTAAAGGTCGCCATGAATTTTATGCCATATATTTTATTTTCTATCTATATGTAATATTGTTACTGGATGTTAATGTTAGTTACGGATATAATCTCAAATATCTCTCGCTAGTTATCAAATCTACAGAGAGAGAATATTGATACTGGCCGTTAATGAATGAGCTTCGAGCTGGAAAGCAGATTCAATAGTATTCAGTTATCGATTTATTTTTATATCTTTATCGATGATGTTCCCTTCAGTCCTACTAAGAAAGTAATGCTTCCTCGGCCACAGGGCCCACGAAAATTTTCCGTATGCTTAAATTCTACAATTGTGCACGCGCTACATGCATGTTTTGACAATCGGACGTACCGTCGAAGCGGGGTAATCAATCTGAACTCTAACGGTCATCGACTGACTAAGCGATCACTTTGAGCGGAGACCACCCTGAAACGCGATTGTACCTAGTGTACGTTATTTGTGGCACCGCAAGCAACTGTGGCTTGACGGTATGGAGATGTGGAAACATGCCGCTTTAGGATATATTTTGTATTCTTTAATAATTCTTACAACAGCTGTTAGATGTTGACCGGCAAGCCTGTTCGTGTTCGATATATTGGCAACACCTAAAATTTATTCCCACCTTGTGTTGTATTTTTCTATTTTTTATGTCCAATGTTTAAAAGGACTCGTAAGATAAGTACGCTAAGACGGGAAAATTTTTCTTCTTCAATTTTAGTTAGCTTGGTTGAAACAGAGTGATGGTACTTACTCTTGTATTCCACGCAAAACATAAATGCCTCTTTGAAGTTCCTCTAGTCATCGCATGGTTACACGTTTATATGTATAATATGTAGTATTATATATAATACTATTATAGGTCCCTTCTAATTTTCAGTTACGAGGTGCAAGTGGAAGCTGAGGGACGTCGACGCGGGCTGGGTCAGAGAGTGCTCAGAGTGCTCGAGAAACTCGCGCACTCAACACGCATGCGTTACGTGAGGCTGACAGCTCTGACGCACAACCCGTCCGCTACGGCCTTCTTTAAAGCTTGCGGGTATGTAACCGTAAAAAACAACACGATCGAAGTGTTTCTTAACTTTGGCTGCCCGACTGGTTTAAGTGAATTCGCCAAAGCCTTTGCGCAAGGATTTCTGGATCGATCCTCACTCTGTGGGTCAAGTTTGTTTTGTTTTTTTTTTACCCTGTTTTGTTTTCGATGATGATGTATTTCTTAATGGACAATAAGTTTTTTAAAAACCACAAAACAAAGTATTCAACTTTCACTAGCGGCTCGTCCCAGCGTCGCATGGGTGGACATTTATTTTTACACCTTAAGTTGAAGTTTAACGATGATTCCTAATTTTTATAGGGATTATATAGCCAATGTTACTTAGGGATATTGTAGCTTAAAACGGTGAAAGAATTTTTGAAATCGGTCCAGTAATATTTGAGTTTATTAGTTACAAACATACAAATAATACAAATCTTTCTCCTTTATAATATTATTCAAAAATAATATTATGATGAATAGTATAGATATAGATTACAAATAAAATTAGCATAATTTTTATAAAAATAATCATAGAAATTAATATGATCCGCGTCTATTCCTTCAGGTATAGCTTGGATGAAACAAGTCCGTCAAAAGAAGAAGCTACTCACTACGAGATCCTCAGTAAAGCGACCCTGAGTGATTCAGAGACCGACCAGCGTCAAGGCGATGAAGACACTGCAGAAAAAATGGCTGTTTCCTAGTACTTGGGGTTATGAGTGTGATTGTAACTGCTAAGGCCGAAAGCACAGTTAGACCCAACTTTAATACGTATCTCAAAAAAAAACTTGAATGTAAGATAAAAAGTTCGTTGACATTGAAATTCGCTATATTTGGTTAACACTAAAGTGATATAGCAGGTGAAATTCTTGAAAACTATCATAAGTATCGACTTTAAAATAGTAATTATTAATAAAAAGTTATTTGCAGGCAAGTAACTAACAAAATGCTCTACAACATTGAAATGGAAATCCATCCAATATAGTGTGAAATAAAATAGCTTTGATGGTGATTGATGCTATGCCTATTAAATACCATATTTGAAAAATTATTCCACTATTCAGAAAATTATAAGAATCGCCCAAAGCGGTATTATGTTTCAAAATGCATAATAACAGTAGAAATTGTATGGAGTTTATGACACGATTTAAAAAAAAACAAATATTACCCAATATGATCCGCCTTGAAAATGATTTATTATAAACAAATGCAACAAATACTTTCTTCTAAAATCTTTGGTTAATTGTTACGAGCTAGGGGTTCGGGATAGAAGTGAAACGTCAGGTTGTTTAAATTTGCGAAAAAAGGACGAAAAGTCTTTCCCCGCTGTGGGAATCAAACCCTCATCTTCGGGATTCGCGCCCTGACGCTTTAGCCACTAAACTAAACGGCTGATTTCCATATCAACGAAAATGTCAACTTCTTTTATCTACATTGTTTCTTAGCATTTGAAGCAATGCTTAGTGCATCCGTTATTATATTCCAGCATAGAAACAATATCGAATATCGTTTTATAACGATAATTCGAACGAGAGATGTCGCCATTGCTTTTTAAATTAAAAAATTTATAGTACTAATCTCTGCAATTAAGATTAAACATTAAAATTTGTGACAATCACCCACTAAGCTTATAACGTCATCTCGTTGCCGCAATAATCCTTCGCATAATACGCCCTTACACCACTTGTCACTTGGACTTCACTACACTGTTCACTTCAATTTTCCTTTTCTTCTTCCTCTTCGAGTTCTTGCATTAAACTGCTATTGCACTGCTCTTCTAACGAGTACTGGCCCGTTTTATACTCCGAATTTTGATTATATTTGCGTCTAAAACGTTCTAAAAACGATTTGTATTCCGTCCGTCTTTATGATAGCATTTTCTGTATTCAGTGCAGAAATTAGTTCTTTAAATTAAAGTTCCGGAAAAAGAACCTTCTTTCAATATTCACTACTAATTTAAAATTAAATCAAATAAGTCATTCGAAACTGTCTTCGCAGGTCGTTGGGATTTAAGACGTCAATCCCCTGATCGTATATAAAAATGATGTTTAATAACATAGATGAGGCATGTACATACTGCTCGGCGTTTAAAAATTTTTTCGCTCTACAGACGGCTGATGATATAGAATGTACGATACGATAAGAGATCGCAGTCTATAGAATTGCAATATAATTACACTAATTGGCGTAATTTAAGTGCCTCAGTTTCCATGCGCTAGTGTCATATCTACCTCGTATTTTTATATAATGTCATTGGTATATAACTATATATAAGAAAATAGCATTGATTATTGAATTATTGCCTATAAGCAGTTATCGCTAGATGAAAGGGTCCTAACTTATTTATTAATACTTTAATTGTATGAACGTTAGGTTCCTAATCACGTTAACCTATTTAATGTTTACCTGTGTCAGTTACAAATGAGATTACTAACTTCTAATTTACTATTAACTTCTACAATGTTTTATTAAATGAAAGACATGCATCAGCTTCGTTGCAAGATTGGGTAGGCTCCGCTTAAAAACATCTAAGTTTTAGGAAACGTTTATGTTTTTAGACTGTGTACATATATACAGGGAGGATTTTATAAGTGTATACATTTTTTTTATTAAATTCTAGACATAAATAATGTTATATAAAAATGATAAATATTTAAATCATTCGTAAGTAATGAAATTATTTTGAAAAAAAAAAAGTAGTTTGTTTTATATTTCAATAAACAATTATACTACCGAGTCTGAACCTCTTGTGTGAATTTGAACACCTTTAAAAAAGCCTCTCTGTATGAATATGAGTACACCATTAAAATGTGTATTATTAATGATCTAATTGAAATTTATTGGTGTAATATAAAATCGAGATAGCCCGAACACTGATGACTGCGATAGCTCAGTGTCCGGGTGATCACTTTTAATTCATTACACTCGAGCAATCTGAGATCAAATCCCAATGCCAGCACCAATCAAATTGTTAATTTTTACTGCCGATTTTGTGACGTGTTCAGCATTTTCTGTATTCAGGGCAGAAATTAGTATAGTCTCTTTATCGCAGCAAATCTTGAGAAAATCATCATGTATTACAAAAATATATATAAACTAAAGAATTATAAATCAGCAAACAATACTATCTAATGATTTTTATAAACGAGATAAGGCAGCATTTATGTAGTTGAGGAAAAGAAGACCCGAGAATAGATCCCTGCGGGACTTATATTTACCAGGGTCCCGGGCGATCTCTTGCCCTTTGCGTCAACTATCTGAATTCGATATAGACAATGGATATAATGACAGCTTGATATCTGTCGTCCTTATCCTTACTAATATTATAAAGGCGAAAGTTAGTATGGATGGATGTTTGTTACTCTTTCTATTCAGTAGTTTTTGTTTAAGTAAAACTACTGAATAGATTTTAATGAAACTTTACAATAATATAGCTTATACATCAAAATAACACATAGGCTATAATTTATAAATATATTGTGTGAAATGTCCAAAATACAGGTCTGCGAGAGGAACAATTCAGCCATCTGCGAGATATTCAGGTGTATAAAAAAAACTCATTGTTAATTCCTTTTGGCCACGCGGGCGAAGCCGCGGTTAACACCTAGCATTAGAATATTCCAGTATCATGTTTTCGGCCTTAGCGGCGTTAGTATAATTTAAATGAATTTTGTCGCTAGCTTAATGTGTTTTAATGTTTGAATGATGTGCCTAAGCCAATGAGATTAATGTTTGTTGAACATTTATTCTTAAAAAAAACTTTTCTACGTGCTGATTTTTTTAATTCCTCATACTTATCTCGGACAAAGATTAATATAACGTTGACACCAGTAGTTACAATCCAATGTGTCCTGTGCGCTCAGATAGTCTGACTACACATGACATTTTATGTCCATTTTTTTTTTTTCAGTTTAGACGGGGATTAAACGTCTGCATATACATCGGAAGAAAACGCTGAATCATAGGCATAAGTATTTCAGTTTTGTAAGCAAACCTAAAGGAAAATAATAACTTTTCAAAAGTGATAGTAAGTAATATGTTGATAAATAAAATGTGGAAAAAATGGATATCCTTAGATCAACACTTACGCCCGGTTTCTGAAACACATCATCGTAGAAGTTAAGTAATCACCTGTCAAATGTTTTCAAATGCCATTAGAGTTGCCAAAAGGATGGTTAAACTAATTGAATTGATCATTCTGATGATTAAGAAGATAATTCTGTGTTAGTCTTTGGTCTAAAATTTAATTGTAGAGCTTATTACAAATCAATAAATAAATATAAGTGTATAAATATTCAAAAGTTATCAATAATCACAGGTTTCTAGATATAGCTATAATCACTGTCACGTTTCAACATCTACAGGACTGTCACATCGATCTTCCAGACGGTCTTCTAGATTCAAGGTAGTATGGGAACCTAGTATGGATATTTCAGTGGGCCTCATTGTATACTTCTGTGCCTCTCGTACGCAGTGATCTGCTTCTATCAAATTTTGTGTTCTATTTAACTGAGTGTGTTGAAGTGTAGTCCAAGGAGTATTTATTGGCACTAGTAACTTGGCTGGGTCCGATGGCGAAGTAGGTGGAAGTATTACGGCTTGGGGCGGAGTGATGGTCCCAGATTTTTCTCTTCTTTCACGGGCTCGACGATTTTGGAACCAGATTTTAATCTGAAACGACATTAAAACTTGTAGAAAAAGTACTAAAATATTGTCGCCGCTGTGGGTCGAACCACAAACCCACGTTTTCGGCATTCGCGGCCTGACGCTTTAGCCGCTAAGCTAAACGGCTGTTCACCACACCGACGAAAATCTTAACGTCTTTTATCTACATTGTTATTTAGCATTTGAAGCAATGCTTGGCGCATCTATTGTTATATTCCTTTCCAGCATACAAACAATTTCGAATATCGTTTTACAACGATAACTTCGAACGAGAGATGTCGCCATTGCTTTTTAGAAATTAATTTTTTTTTACGAATTGCTTCAAATGCTAAATAACAATGTATATGTAGATTTTAATGCAGTTTTCAACAGATAGTAGATAGAGTGATTCAAAAGGAAGGTTTATACGCACTCAAATCGTCAGTAAAAACTGTATCTTACTTCTTATTTATATTTGAAACTGAAGGCTGTCATGCCTTGGGCGTTTTAATAAACAAAAAAATTACTCTGTCGTCGCGGAGTTGGAGCGCAGCGGCGAGGGCGCGCAGGGCCGGCGGGGCCAAGTACGGCGCTCGCTTGTACGCGGCCTCGAGTGCGGCCGCCTGGGCAGCGGTGAACGGAACTCTGGCGTGCCGGCCGGAGCGGCGCGCGCGACTTGCGTTGCTCGCTGTTCCTGAATTCAAACAATGTCGATGCGTTATTGGCATCTATAATAACCATTCTCCCAAACCCGTGGGTTCTGGCTAGCCCACCGGTTCTGCGTCAGGTGAAGCGCTAATAGTCTCGGGAATGAAAGCAAAAACATCAGTTAATACAAGAATAACCATTTTTTTACTAACGAAAAACAAAACCGACTTCAAATAGCTCGCTCTGCATTCATTTTATAATTGATTTTCAAGAGTTCCCTAAGTATCTCCGGAGCCCAAGATCCAATAGTAATGAAATTAATATATAACCTCATGGGAAGCACCAGCTTTGAAATAAAAAAAATAATCATCAAAATCGGTTCACTCAGTCAAAAGTTCTAAGGTAACAAACATTAAAAAAATACAGTCTAATTGAGAACCTCCTGCTTTTGAAGTCGGTTACAAAAACTTGTGACTGTACCTGTGCGACCTCGAATCCCAGTCGCGTACACCGCGTTGGTTTAGAAACAAGATCACCTATTATAAATCATTGGAATTATAAGCTTTGTATGAGTTTATTCTAATAGCTTCTCCGGTTATCTCGTTGGTGTTTAAAACAGCACTGCGTGTGGGAGAAGTGGGATAAGCTAGTCGCGTATCGCGGATATCAGCTAGTGAATAGGTATATATTTATACCATTTCATTGTGCCACCACAAATAAAACTGCGAGTCTAGCGTGACTGGTGAAAATAAACACAACTATGACACAATTTACTTTTAGTTCTATTTAAGTTTTGCTTTTATGCATACCTTTACATATTTATTACACTAGTTTACAAAATTGAACTTTTTTTATACCTAGAAATAAATATATATAAATATTTTAATCTATCTATCTTAAACCAAAAAGTGTTAGTAAAAATATTTTATCTCGTCACAAATTCTTCCTGTAGTCAAATGGTTTTTTAACTATCTAACGTGGTGACGACAGTTTATTGTTTATTCGTTCGCTTCAAACCACAATTATCTTGTTTCGGATTGATTTAAAATGTGCAAGTATAAACAAAGTTCTGATCGTTTTTGTTATGTTTGTGGACGGTTTATATTTTCAAAAAAGAGAAGACCGATTGTAGATTCGTTAAAAAGTGCATATCTCCATTATTTTGGATTTCCTGTTGCAATTACAAAGAAATTGTTACCGATTTATTGGAAAATTTTCAAAAGATGGGAGTAAACATGTCATTAAAGATTCATTTCCTGCACTCGCATCTAAATTTTCCCCCTGAAAACTTAGGAAGTATGATTGACGAACGAGAGGATTCACCAAGATTTAAAGGTTTTTGAAGAAAGACATCAAGGATTTTGGGATGAAAACATGTTAGAGGACAACTTACTAGGAAATGAAAACATGTTAGGTTACTGTAATCCATTATAAGAGAAACTGATTCAAATAGCTACAAAAAGAATGCAAAAATTTGTCATTTTTAAATGTATTTTAGTATTAATACCAAAATTATGTATTTTCAGTTAAGTTAATAAATATTTCTTAAACCAGACGTGACAGGATTTTTTTATTATTTTTTCCGAATAATTCTACCTAAATGAATAACAAAATAACAACTTTTAGCTATGGTATGAAAACCGTGTAAACTAGTGTTATTAGAGAAAATGTGCCCTACCTTCACATAAAATTGATTAATTATATGTTAATGACCAATTTATTTTACTAAAAATCTATATTATTTTTATTATTAATCAGGTTAATAATTTAGTTACCATATTATGCATAAAATTAAAATGCTGTTATGTGTTCAAGCTTCAAGGCTAAAGTCGGAGTACAGATTTACTTACCTTTATTTGTTGTTATTGTTATTCGACATATATGGCCAATTTTAGATTTGGGCCTATGATTAACTAATATGATTAACTCACTGGATAAGCTTTATTTATTAACTGCACTTAAGCGTAATTTTCCGTAATAATTACGCAAAATCTAATATATATAACGAGTAATGACATCAATGATGTTTAATAATATAGATGACGCATATCCATACTGGCGTTTAAAAATTATCCACTTTACATTCTATGACATATTATATAAGCGAATGTTACAGATGATATAGAACGTATGATACGGAAAGAGATAGAAGTCTATAAAATTACACCAATTGGCGTAATTTGAGCGGCTCAGTTTCGGTGCGCTAGTGTCATTTATATATACTGTCTGTAATATCATTGAATGACATCATATAAGTACATAATATGACAAAAGCTGGCGTTGGTTGCCATTAAGCATTAAGTCCGCCCATTGTAACCCTTAGCTTCAATAAAGTTTAAATAATAAATACAGTTTTAAGAGTTAAAGCTAACCAACACATTTAAGTTTAGGTTAATTTAAATATACCAGTAATGACTACTTTCGTTATGTAAGAAATGCTCAATTGTATTATACATAAATTAGATATTTGAATTACTTAATTCTGTATCGATATAATTTATGTTACTTACTAGCTAAACGTGGTGGTCTGTACCGCGTACAACATAACCAGCTTGGTGACGCCTCGTCCTGTTGTACCCTATCTGCGTCTTGACTCAATATCCTTTCAATACTAAAATCTGACTTGAACTGTGTCTCGGAACGCAATGACGAATCCATCACTCTATTTGACCGTTCAACATTCATCTAACCACAAATCTTTATTTGGCTACCTTTAAAAGTACGCTTCACAATGGGGGGTGGGATTTGGGCGGGCTCCGCCCTCATCAGACCCCAAAGTAAACAGGGATGCGACCCTTTTATCTAGCGTAGATGTTATCATATACCACAATCCATGGGGTACACGCACCAATGAGCTTTTAAATATTGTGACGCCGGATCATTCATACGTAATTCAGTCAGAATTAATGTTTTATAAAAAGAAATTGATACTGTTCGAACAACAAAAGAACGTTATTACTTTAAGGGCATGTGGGAAAATTAATTTGTTACAAGTATTATGTTACCATTGTTCGATACATTATTGAATTAATAGTTAAAGGTTTTGGAGATAAATTGGAATTTGATTGGTAGTAAACCTCTCACTTACGACAACGGATGTGGAAAAAAAGAATAGTATAAGAAATAAGGCAACATGAGCCCAATGCACAGGTCAGTTTCTTTTATATAATTAAGACAAAATATTGCATAGCATTATAATATACCTGAATATACGAAATAGAAATCTGGTAACATATAGCAAAGCCTAGATTCGTACATATGAAATTGGCATTTTGCCAAGCTGGTCACTTTGATCTCATATATCTTCGCTTACTATCGTTTGTCTAGGATCTCCAAATTTAAATAAGTAATTCATATCTTTTTAGGCCACTTAATTTTTCTTTGACATCGCTCTGTTCAGAATAAAGTAATCCCACTATCACAAAACCCAAACTCACAAAAAATTTAAAATATCGCGATATTTACGAATACAATTTCCACCGTGGCTTTAACGCTGCAGAAACAGCTTGAAGGATGAATGATTTGTATAGGGAAGCTACTGTAAGACTAAAGACAAGGTATGTATTTGCTTCCAACGTTTTTGTCCGGGAAACTTTGACCTACAGAACAAACACCGTGGATGACCGGAAACCCTTGCTGATAAAGCTGATCCATCGCAAACGACGTCATAATAACAAACAGGAAAAGTGAAAAAACTTGAGAAATGGATACCGCATAAATTAAATGAAGCATGACAATAAACAGGCTATGAGTGCTGCGTTACATTACTCAACCGTCACAATAATGAGGGAATTTAAAATAATATTGTTAGTTCTAATGAAAAATCATTCCTACGCGACAAACAGAATGGTTCATCACATTGGCCCAGGTGAACCGGCTGAATTCAGCCCCAAGCGAAAGTATACTCGGAAAAAGGTACTGGTGAATGTTTGGTGGACCAGTGGTGTCACACACTACAGCTTCTTAAGATCTAGCCAGAAGATAACGGCAGATCTATATTTACAAACCATGATGGAAAAGCTCGTGTTCAACAACCGAACCTAGCCCACTGCTGCTTCAGGACAACGCTATCCCTCATACTTCACGACAGACGGTCGCTAAATAACAGGAACGAATGGAATGTCTCTGCCTATATTGCCCAGACCTTGCTCTAACAGGTTTTTGGCAAATTGGACAATTTCTTGAAAGAAAAACACAATTACGATGGGGTTACACCACCTTCAAAGATTTTATTGATTTTACTCTCACGATTTTTTCCCTAATGGAATCAATGAACTACCCATAAATGGTAAAAAGTGCGTAAAAAAATAATGCTACAAACTTTGGTTGATAAAATATATAATTTAAAATTTTCTTTTCGTTTTATTTTTTCCATATAAAACGCCAATTTCATATGTAAGACCTTACATTATTGTAATTCAAAGTCAAAGTCAAAATTTCTTTATTCAATTAAGGCTTAATTTAAGATCTAATAAAATAATTATGCATTCCTATCTTTTCAAATAAAAAAAAATATATATAATTATTTGTATTAATTTATTTGTTAATCTGGTAAACAATGTTTATACATTGTGGAGAATGTAGGCCATTTTAGCAACGCATGTTTAACCACTTATCGTCCAAGGAAGATGTCACTGGCTGATAAATGCAACCATATTGTGCGCAATTTTCAAGTGCCACATTATTTTATTGTAGACTCAACACAATAGAAGGGAATTGACAATGGCTTTGCAGTTGTTCCACATTGTGCTATGCTTAATTATTCAGAAGCTCTTTAAATACTAATAATTTAACCGCAGCTGCAGTAAACAAGTTATAAGTTCTAATCGATTTTAATGATATCTATTTTTTTAATTTTATAATTCTCTTTATGTGTTACAGTTCGCGTGAATTAGTCTAGTTCTTGTTGTTGTTGGTAATTAATTAATATTGCAACTTTCAAGTAAAAAACGTATAATAAATAAATAAACTAGTTTTCTTTGTAATAGGATATTATTATGTAGTATTTTACATTATTCTTCTAATAATTTATCCTTTTGTTCCCTTTGTAAAAGTTGGCAGGAATGACTGGGAATGACAGCCACAGGATCGGCGACGATAATCATTCAAAAAGAAGTTTAAAGAGGTTTCTTCACTATCCTCTTTATTAATTATAGTTAGACTTATATATAGCTCAGACAGTTACCATAACATTTAAACGTTTACGTTTAATGCAATGAAAATCGTATTATTTCACGGATTTATTAAGTTTATTGATAAAAAGAAATAAAGTAATTTTTATCTCTTAAAAGTTAGCTAGAAATACCATAGAAGTTGCTTGTTCATGACATAAAATTGAAAGTAAGAAGTACTTTCAAATTCACAGTTATTACAAATTTAAATGGTTTTTTTCCTACTGAAAGTCTTACTATATTTTACAACCATTGTAAGATACAGCCTAAAAAATAAAATAAAAACATGTTCTGCAAATTGGGATTGTTTCCAGTCAGGGTATTGTATATACCCATCTATATCTCTATGCATACCTCGAAATTAATACTTTCGGCACAGTTTGTGAGAACAATTATTACATAATTAAATATTTTACACAATAAATTAATCATTATTAACGAATTTCTGTATTTAGTAAAAAAAACTCAAGTGCATAGCGGTACCAGATGATTACGTCAAATACTGTTACTACGTTTATATTTATTTTAAAAAGGACAATAACAGCTTTCAAGGCTACACAATGTTAATGAATAAAACATTTTTTTATCACTAACATTTTAAATGTGAGTTTTATAGATAAATTGTATTGTGATTGGTGCCAAAGCATTGTTAAAAATGCAAAGTAGATTAGTAGATGTTGAGTTTTGCACCGTAAGAATAATTATCGGCTGCTTAGTTCCATTGGCTATAGCGTCCGAACGCATTACGCAAAAGACGCAGATTCGAACTCTTACATTATCGACCACTTATCGATTAAACTGCCATCATTTAAGATAAAAGCATTAAAAATAAAAATGAATTAACAATAAACATATTTTCTTATTTTTTTTTTATTTATCAACAATCTTTTTACAAAGGTTTAGTGTTTATTCTCATAAAAAGTATAACAGTAAATATTATTACAAGTAATATTGAAGTATCATATAAGTTGTAAAATGTAACAAGCCTTTTCAGGAACAGATTTACATTATAAATATTTACAATAAAATAGTATAGTTATGTAAGTTGATTATATTTGTCAAGATAATGAAATATGACATATTGAAATTATTAGAAATTATAAAAAAAGTTATAAACTTTTAATTTATATCAAAAAGTATTTTGGAATGTATTATGGGACAGTCTATTTTTTACCGCTCGCGTGGTGCCTTCAGCATCAATTCGAGTTTGCTTCAAGGCCTTTGTGGCGCAGCTTCGCGGACGCGGCAAGTCAGCCGCGCTCATTGTGTACTCAAACGCAGTTCATTAAACACAAATTGTACAGTAAAAACTAGTAATTGTTCCCCTTTGAAGATATCTTTGTTAATTGTGAACGTGTCGTTACTTTGAACATGCCAATTCCGGAATATTTTGCACTGCAGGATAATCGAATGCCGCGAATTGGTTTCGGCACTTGGCAGGTTAGTCTTGGATGTTTAATAAAATGAAAATAAGATATAAATTTTATATACTTTACTAAACTTCCTTAATGCTATTGAACGATCTAAATCATAAAAGAAACAAGATTTTTTGTTATATCTTGCTCATTTAGAATACAAAACAATCAGGAATTAATGAGACCGCTTTTTAGTACCTGTTATAGATGTGCGGTTTTAGATACCTACTGTGTAGGATTAGCAATAGTTTGTTTTGATATTCGTTTGTTTTTGTTTAACACTAGGTTTCTATATCAATTTAATAAATAAGAAATTATTTTTAACTTTGCCAAGTCTGACAAACATACAATCAGCTATAAACTTGTTATTTGAAAAATAAATGTATATATTGGCTCAGACATGGTTACATTGGTACAAAAATTCATTACGTCTATACCTGAACTTAATAGCAATTTAAACCCAAATTATGTGACATCATTTGAGTTAATTGAAACAATCATGTATCGTTCGATAAAATCGAAACAAACAATATTGTTCTATTTTTCTGCAACCGTTCTAGATCGCATTGGTCATCGGTCACCCAACATTACGGCAAAATTAACAAGAATAGTAATATATATCAGCGAACTATTTTTTTACTTTTAAAACGGGCTTCATTTTTGACTCGGAATGGACGCAGAGGTTTTGTTCGTTGTTATTGCAACAGACACCATCGCGGCTTTTCAAATTTAACTTGGCGCTTTCGCTCCTTCTGGTTTTTATATAACGTTTGAAGGCGTTTTTTATCGCGTCCCATTTCGACTTTTGGAGTCTAGCCGACGAGTCTGCTATGTAGAATGGCCGGTCGCACGTGTCGATGCGAGAATAACTTTCGGAGCAACGAGAACATGTTGGACTGCCACATGAATCAGAGAAAGAAGCACAGTTCCTACAATCATCCCGCTTATTGGATAAGCCCCTCGAAGTAGTAGCGCGGTCGCAACAACTCTCACACGAACGTCCCTCTTTTATTTCATTCTTAAAAAACACAGGCGAAGACATAAGGTCATCGACTTCAGCGAGCGAGATGCAAATAACACGCGTTGAATTTAAATGTATTTTTAATGGGGGAAGAATACATTAAGCGTGATATCTTGTAGGACTGACATGACAAGTTACATAGTTTTCTAAATTAATTGTCATTATGTATGATTATTGCCGCAATGACGTGTTAAGAAAATAAACACGTTATTCTGGTTTCGTTCTAAAATTCATCAAATTAGCAAAAACTAAAGTAAGCTCTTTTTTGATTTCTTTAAATTCTTTATATCTAGATAATTTGATTAATTTCAAGTAATAGATATTCTAATTTATTATGATATTTAGTAGGTACTGCCATTAATGCAGGAATTACCATAAGTACGGTAGTTCATTATGTCACCGTACAATAACGTCCTAATGATCAAAGTAGCATTACAATCGCTCTAGAGTAACGGAACAACATCCAGTAGGTAGTTACCAGTAGTATTAAAACCTTAAAAACATTAAGTCAGTAGCTCATGGAGATATTTAGCAGCATCCATACTCTTGACCTGTAATATTAATTTGAATAAGTAATTCAAAAGTAAAATAAAAATGTATAAAAGAGTAATCACAGCTATGGAGTTTTTCAACACCAAAATTTATTATCACCCTTCGGTATTATAGCTTGCAGCTGACAAAGAATATTATATTATGATCAAGATATGTTCTTTTTTTTTCGTCATACTATGTTCTACTATTAGTAAGTACGCGTTAATCTTCTTAGGCGGCTGATGACGTTTTGGAAAAAGCGGTGGAATCTGCCCTGGTGGCCGGGTACCGCCACTTTGATTCAGCCCGCGCCTACGAGAACGAAGCCGCTCTTGGGCGCGCTTTGCGACGCTGGATTGACGGCGACCCTGCAAAAAGGAAGGAGCTGTTTGTCGTCACAAAATTACCTCCTAGCGGTACGGAGCCAATTCATGTTTAAGCTACAGTAAATAAAATTAATCGAACTGTTTATGTGAAAAGTTTGCCAGGGATTATGGCCACCCATGGACAATTGGACATGTACAAGACCTGACGGGTTGTAGGTGCGTTGCCAACCATTAAAATTGCGCGGTTATATATAGACAAATCCACAGCACGCCTGTCTTTTATGGGGTCGTGTACTCCCCGGAAGAGGAGTCGTGTACTTCCACTAGTGCGATAGTAGAAAGTCCTGCGTGGCCCTACCACAGTGTTCTTAACACATATGCTCCCATTAATATCTATTATATTTCTTTGGAAAAAGTGACAAGGCTAAGTGATAATACCGCATTTACGCGAGTAATTACCGCTGCTCATGGTACGTACATATTTACGCACCACCCCTCAAAAGGTAAAATAGAAAATTAAACGCTTTTACGGATACGGGATTCTGTGAGACAGTCAAGGTAATTTATTATTAAAAAAGGATTTCCTAAAGTCGAGCGAGGATTTTTAACTCTCTTTTCATGGTTAAAATAAACAACTTTGCAGATTTTATCGCATTTTCTTTCACACTTAGGAAATCGTCCGGATTTGGTTCCGGAATACTTTGAGGGCTCGTTTAATGATCTCGGCCTGGATTATCTCGACCTCTACTTGATGCATACACCGTTCGCCTTCGAGCACGTCCCCGGTGACCTGCACCCTAAGAATCCCGACGGCACCATGAAAGTTGACCACACTACGGACATGATCGGCGTTTGGAAGGTGAGACGGTATACGTTAATATTTTACATTAAATATCGCAGCTTCTCTATTAAATCTTTTCTCGGTTCAAGGTGATACTAGTTTTTTTTTTATGTTAATTAATTTAAGTTATGGTTTGAAAGATTTGTAAATACGTAAACATTAAAATCTAGTACCGCAATTTATACAAATGAGGCCAGTGCATGTTTATTTTAAGTTATTACTCATTTTCTTTAAAAACATAAAGGCGGTATAGAATAATTTGAAAATGTTTATATTGTTATTTTTTTTTAAAAACAGGGATTATTTTTTTGCTCAGTTGTTTTTACAAAACTGTTAATTTGCCACGGAAGTCTCTATTTTACGAGAAAAAAACTACATTCATGGAAGAAAAATATCAAAAAACTTGAATATTTTTTTAAAATTGTACGTACTTTGATCGTCATCCCTTATTGTCTATTCCTACTTCCGTCCCATGTCATAATTTTTAATCCTAGTACATTACATTCTCTTTGGGTAGATTGATCAATCTAATGTCTGAATGACGTTTCAATTTTTTTCATTTATAGCCATTACAAAATCTTTAGTATCCCATTAATGTTGTAAATGAAATTGAAATAAATGATGGGGGTGTCTTTCCCTCACTACGGCGCTGGTGAAATGACAAAGGGTTACATGTTAAATGAATTTAAAAACAATACAGTTTATGAAGAATGCACGTACCCGATAAAATCACAAAAGCCTAAAACCAATAAAGGAAAACAAATACCAGACGTGAGCAGTAAGATTGATATCGGTAGAAACAAAAAATACAATAAACAATTGCCTTCGACGAAAGTGAACAAATCGCCAACACGTAGAATGCAAGCGGAAGATATCGAAAACATGTTAGAAAATGAACTCAAAACGAATAGTTCAAATCTTATTTCTAAAACTTCTAACGAAATATACCACGATGGCTTGGAGTCAACACAAACTCATGTAACATCTCATGCTTCGTACTCGTCTAACACAAAAACTCTTAGGAACCAATCAATGTCAAGTAAGAAGAAGTTATATAAAGGATTCACACCGAAGCGTCTCTGTCCATGTTGCACTGGAGGCGAGGAAGCAATCGATAACAATCAAACGTTTTACGTTAACAAGAATGACACTTACTCCTACGAAAGTATCGACTTGAGGAAATCAAGTCACTGTGAGGAACATCCTTCAATTAAAGCAGATACATCACGAATCAAGAATGATGTCCTAATGTCGCATATGTTTAAAACTAAGAAAACTTTCGGATCTTATAAAAATGTTTTCAGAGCTATCGTTAGTAACACGATTAAAAATATTAGTAACTTATTCAATTCTAAATAAAGCAATCAAAAATATAAACAGAATTACATAAATCAATCTTCTTACTGCACTTTTATGCATGTAAAAAGTTACGATTCAATATGAATTTTATTTGAATGCCATATAAGCCAGTTTTGGAAATAGATTTCATTCACATCTGCATATGCTTTATTTCTTTTACATTAATTTCCGTAATAATTTTTATAGTCTTCGCGTATAAGTTTCATTGCGTAGAAGAACACGGAGTTTGGGAAAATATAATGAATCAATGAATCAATCAGTCAATGAATGAAAACTTTAATGTCCACCACACATAAAAGGATACACAAAATTAACAATAGAAAAACAAATTAATAGAATGGACAATTTGGCGGCCTTATCGCTTCATAGCGATCTCTTCCAGGCAACCAATGGCGTAAAGGAACGTTTACTACGTAGGTGGTGCAATATTAACATACATAATATATAACTAAATCAAATACATATATGTATACACATACACACTCATAAATACATAGTTATATACATCCATACATACATACTTATACATATCATATCATAACAATATAGACATTAATAATGTATCTTGTATCTTGCATTAACTGATGTTTGTGCTTTCTGTCCAGAGACTATTAAAGCTTCATCTGACGCAGAACCGGTGGGCTAGCCAGAACCCACGGGTTTGGGCCCTCCGCTGTGGGTAGGGCCGCGCATGTGCTCATGCGCGCGTTTAACTACGGCATGTCATCTAAGGGTCATCGAAGTAGCGGTGCGGACCGAGACCCCGATGGCCGTCGACTGTGTTTTTAGCTAATCGGTGGCTGGGGGCGGTGAGAACCGCCCTGGAACGCGGGTGTACCTTGTGTACGCGTTGTGTTGGTCTCGCCGTGCTCGGAGGCGAGGGCGAACTAATGTGTTTGTTGCTACACTAACTGTGTGTGTAGTGTTATCCGGCGGGACCCCCGACGGTGGGTCCGACGTACCTAAGTCCCCTTCCTCGACCGGGTCGATGAGGACGTTTCGCGGGCGACGCTTGTTGACGCTCGCGTTTAGATCGGGTTGGTAATTTGCTGCGCTTACCACCAGAGGGTTGGGATGATGTTCGGCTTTATCGAAGAACCGTTCGGTCAGGTCTTTGAAAAATTCGCGAATCATCGGGAGTCTGCAATCACTGTGCAGGTCGACGTTGCGTTGATACCACTGCGCACCGGTTGCGCGGCTGATGAACTTATTTTGCACTACTTGCAACTTGTGCAAGCGAGTAGGGTGCGTGTGGGCGAAAATCATGCATGCGTAGGACATGATTGGCCGTACGCAAGCTTTGTATAAAAGTAATTTGTGTCTTAAGGACATTTTACTTGACTGGTTAGTTAAAGTGCTTAGCCGGCCGGAGACGAACGCGGCTCTGTTACGGACGTTATTAATATGCGCTGTGAATGACATACGCGAGTCGAAAGTGACTCCTAAATATTTTACCTTTTTCTCCCAGGGGAGCGGTTGGCCATAAAGAGATATTTGCCCTAGCTTTCTGCATTGGCGACGACCTTTATAAAGATGTGACGGGTAAGTACTTCGTGTGAAGTGAATCGCCACACTCTTTTCGGGATTTACTTCAATTCTCCATTTGCGGAACCAATCGCCGAGGCGGTTGGCGGCGCTTTGGAGTCGAGTGGTTAGTTGACTAAGGTTGCGGTCTGAATAAAAGAGCGCCGTGTCATCCGCGAAAAGTGCGAGATTGACGTGGGGTTCTTTTGGTATATCGCTCGTGTAGAGCGTAAAAAGTAAGGGTGAGAGGCAGGAGCCTTGTGGAACGCCAGCCGTGAGGCGGCGGCTTGTGGAGAGGGCACCTTCAACTCGATATCGAAAGGAACGGTTCGACAAGAAGGCCTGAATGGTGTGTACAAGCCTGTCTGGCACTTTGAGTGAGAACAGCTTGTAAATCAAGCCGTTGTGCCAGACTTTGTCGAATGCCTTTGCGACATCGAAGAAAAGAGCCCCCGTGCTAATATGTTTAGGGTGATTTAGGCCTTTTAGGATATGTTCCGTTAGGCGGTATAATTGATCGGGACAGCAATGTCTTGCTCGAAAGCCGAATTGTTCCGCCGGCAGAAGGCCGTTGGAAAACACGTGGTCTTTGAGCCTGTTTAATAGAAGCCGCTCGTAAAGCTTCCCCAGGCAACTGAGGAGGCTGATGGGACGATAACTAGAGGGCTGATTGGCTGGTTTATTTGGCTTGCGAATGCCGATAACCGTGGCTTCTTTCCAGTCATCCGGAAAGGAACAACTGGAGAGTAAAGTGTTGTAAATGGTCGCCAGTAAACAGATAAGTGGGCCAGGGAGAGCTTTAAGGATTTTATTACTAATATTGTCTGGGCCCGGGGCGGATTTGGGTTTTAAATTTTTGATAAAATCTTGGACCTCTTCGGGGGTCACTGAGTTTAATGGATCGCCTTCCGGTGAAAGCGCAGCCCTAGTTTCGATAACGCGGTCCACCTCCGTTAGGTGGGCTGTGTCGATGTGTTCGCGCGATGGCGTACATTGCTGCTCTAGGTTGTCCGCAAGGCATTCGGCTTTTTCGGAGTCATCTAGGGCTAATGAAGTGCTATTAGGCATTGCTAACGGCGGTAGGGATTCGCGGGGCTCTGCTTTCAGACTGCGGGCCAACCGCCAGTAGGCGGTGTGCGATGGCTCGATATCCTCTAGTAGAGTGTCCCACTCGGTATGTCGGTGTTCCGATACGCGATCTTTAACTTCTAGCTGAAGGCGTCGAAGTAGGGTTCGGTTCGATTCTGATCGGTATGGGTCGAAAGCTCGTTTGGCTGCATTTTTTTGTCTAATTAGCAGTCTTAGGTCGGGTGGAAAGTTAAACCGTCGGTTGCCCGACAGTTTCACTGTTCGTTCCGAATCTGCAACTGCGGAAGTGATAGATGCGCGAAGAATTGCTATCGCTCGATTTGCGTCATCGAACGTAGCTATCGTCTCGGGTAGGTTGGCGATGTGCTGGGGGTCCAAGTCCTTGAGTTTGACCTCAAGGCGATGCCAGTCCACTACGGTTTTGGTCGGAGGTACCGCGCCGGCGTTCTGGCCCAGTTTACACAGGACCGGCCTGTGGTCTGATTCTAATTCTTGGATTGTCTCTATCGACGCGATGTCGAGGGAGACCTCCTTGAACAACATGATATCAAGAATACTCGGTGTCGAATGCTGGTAATCGCCCACCGTAGGATATCTTGTGGGAGTCACAGGAGCGATTATGCTGTAAATTAAATCGTCAGATAAGTTAAAGAGCTGCCTACCGTTGTTGTTAGCGTAAGTTTGGGGGTCCCATGAGCCGTGTTTGCAGTTTAAATCTCCTGCAATTATCACGGAAGGGCCTAAGTTAAGTAGCGTTTCTAAATCGCTTTGTAGAAGAGTTTTATTCCCCGAGAGGTAGGCTGAAACTAGTACAAGCGGCCTGTGGCCGGTGAGCGCTAACCTACACGCGGATGCCTCTATATGTCTTAGCTCTGGGATATCGAGCGGGCTACAGTGCAAGGACCGTTTATAATATATTAAGGTACCTCCCAGACGGTTTGCTAACCGGTCGTGGCGGACTATATCATAATTTGCGATTTTTGGATCGCGTCTGCTAGGTTTCAAGAAGGTCTCTTGCACTAGAAATATATCGACGTTATAATCGCGAAGGAATTTTGCGATTTTGTCCCTTTGGCCCCTAATGCCGTTTGCGTTAAAATACGAAACAACCAGAACCCGAGGTTTTAATCTACCTGCGGTTGTACTTTCCATTTTAGTTTTAGTAGCGGTTCTAGGTAACGACGCGGCGAAGCGCGGTTTTATTGCCCGGACTATAAACCTTTATGGTTGATTTGTAAACACCCAAAGGGCGTCTACAAGTGTTTTGTGCTCGTTGAGCGCATTAAGTCGATCGGTGCCACATGTGGCGGCCGATAACTTTGTAGATAGGACGGCGAGCTCTTCCCGGTTTATGCGTTCCAGGAAGCTGCAGATGTTTGCCATTTGGGCAAAAGGGTCGTCTTGGTTCGCGGAAACGACCGGTGTAATAAAATGCACCTGCGGCCTCGGTGCTTGTTGTTTGATAGGCTGCGGTTGGAATGTCGTCGGTCGTGAGGCGACCGGAGGCGCGGCTACCTGCGCGACTGCCCGAGGTTTCGCCCAGGCGTTTACGACGGGTGCGGGCGCGGGAATGTACTTCGCCGGCGCGGATTTCGGGACCGCGAATTTCGCGAGCGTAATTTTTGCGGGTGCTTTCCTCGCGGGGGTTTTTGGAGCTTTAGCGCAGCCCCTGTAGCTAGCCGGGTGGCCGGTAGTCAAACAATTTACGCAGTCCGGTGGATCTGCGCAATCTTTAGGACGCGTGCAATCTGTCGTGCCGTGGTCACCGGTGCATTTGACGCACCTAGGGTGAGCAAAACAGTTGCGGGCTGTGTGGCCATAGTGTTGGCAGTTATGACACTGCGCAACAACGCCTGACTTCCGTGGAGGCTCAACGACGAGTTCGCTAAGCCCACAGAGCCTCTTCAAATTAAAAATTGCCTTACCTTTCGGGGTAGGGTCCAACTCCACCATTACAATGTCCATCGGGACACGGGTTCTGGGGTGACGTAGGCGACGAACGGCGTGCACCGGGTATCCCTGAGTGCGGATGTCGATTTTTACATTGTCGACATCCGACTCTTTCGGGATTCCCTTTATGACTACCCGAAGTTTGCGTTCTTCAGGCAGCGAGTAGGTATGGAAACCTACTTTGTTTTCGCGTAAATATTTAGTGACGCGGCGGAAGTCATCGATGCTATCGAGGTATACACGGATACCTTGATGGGTGTTCCTCGACCGGGGGTCTCGAATATTGTGGCGTTCGAACCACACGCAAATTTGATGCCATTTAGCTTTCTCCTGGATGATGATAGGCGGAGGAGGCTTGGCTTTTCTTTCGGCGGCGTATTCGTGTACCGGTTGGACTGCCGCGGCCGCCTTTTTGGCGGGCGTCGCAGTGGATCTTTTAATTGAGGTGGCGGCCTCGCTTTCGGGGTCGCTATCTACGGCGGGGCGTTTCTTGCCCTTCTTTTTTCGTCCAGTGACGACGGTGAAGCCGTCGTCATTGGGTTTACCTGCGGGAGTAAAATCTACCTCCATATCCGATCCGCCGTCCGAGTATGAGTCGAGTACGACGGTGCACAAGGAGGCCGGGGTAGCTTGCGAGGAATGCGCGACGGGCGTGTTCGCAGCGGCGGATGTCGACGCGACGGGCGCTTTTTGCGTCGCGGAAGGCAACGGGGTTACGGGCGCAGAGGGCGCCGGAGATGGCGGCGATGCGATTGCCGGTGAAGGCGGGCTGTCGTTGGCGTATTCAACGACTAATCGTTGTTAGGATTCGAACGCTAGGTAGCTTTCCCAAATGTCGGGACAGCGTTGTCGGACGAACTCCTCGAAAAGGGAGCCCATCGTAACGTATGTGCCTTTGGGGCTTAGGCCCCGCCGGCATGTGTAAGCTTAATAAGCCTCCCCACCTTGCGGCAGGGAGGAGTGTGCCTAAAAATAACACTTAATTCGCCTGCGCTTTAGGTGCGCTAGGGTGAGTACCTACCTGTCGCCCAATGCAACAAGCACACAGTTAAAAATTAGGCAATGCCGCCTCTGAGGCGAGAAATGTGTGTAGAATTCTACTTACGGACAGGAACCTGCCTACGAGCACAACACTACACTAACACTAAACTATTGCACTACTTGCACAAATATTTAAAATGCAACCAAAGTTGCGAGTAGCGTCTAATTCGGGTGGCATGTGCCCTCCGTCTTAGAGAGACGTCCGTTCCGTACGAGAGCACGAAGCGGAATGGTTAATAATGTAGTATTTAATCCTAACGATACTCGAGTGACTGAGACAGATAATGTTCTTTAACTAATTTCTTAAAGGTTCCAATAGATTGCGCCTCACGAATAACTCACGGTAGGGAATTCCAGAGTTTAACGGTAAAAGATTTTTCAAAAAATGACGTTTTGTGATTTAGCACCTTTAAAATAAGCTTCCTCGAAGAACGTAGATCTTCCCCTGGAAGCCCTACAAATTCAACTTTCTCCTTTAAATAAAGTGGAGTAGAGACATGAAATAGAACACAGTACTAAATCGAAAGAATATGCAAATTCCGGCGAAGTCGGATGGGCAACCACTTGAGACGTGTACGAAATTGAGAAACGTGGTCATATTTACTCAACCCAAAATGAACCTTCATATATAGTAATTCTTTCCCAACTATCTTTTTAAATTGAAAGAGACTTCAATATATGACGATTTCTTCTAGATTGCGTAAAGTAATTAAATCTTTTACGAGACGCTTTTATAGCAAAATCCCAGAAAACGTACGTAATGAATCAGTTGCTAAATTCAAAAAACTTGTAAAAAACGTTTATTTGTGTGTTAAAGGCTATTATAGCATTAGTGAAATGTTAAATGGTGATACACTCTGGTAATGAATTGATCTCTCCAGGCTCTTTCAATTAGAAAATTATATATATTGTACAAGTAAATGTTTGTGTTTTTTCTCAAATTATGTTAAAAAAAATATCCCACTGAGTTTCTTTCGCCGGCTCTGCTCAAGTCAATCTCCGGTAGTAGTTTTTTTTTTGACAATAAGTAAGTTTAAAGCTTCTAGGTATATTGAATAATAATATTTGAATTTGAATAGACGCTTAGGAGCTATGATCGAAGTCTCATTGCATGATACAATCCGGAACGAGAACATTGGTCAAAAAACAGTCACCAAGCCAACTCTTCGGATTTGTCCGAGTCGGTATTAATAATGATGTACAACTACAATCTTTTAAATATATAATTTAAATAAATTAATTTAGATAATATGTAATTTAGATACATTTTATGGTGTAAATGTTAGATAAATAAATCGTATAATCTTTGAATATAGGTACTATTCAACTAAACAACGAATTATCTAAAAAAATCAGCCCACGGGGCACCTGTATGTATATTTATTTATATCCGGACCAGACAAGGGTTAAATATTTATAAAAAAAAATTATTCATTAGCTTTCTACTGCATATTCTATAAGGAAAGCGTCAAGTAACTATGACAGATTACTGTCATAGAAATAGGAATCCAAAATTATATCTATCGATAAAATAAAATGTAAGGCCGTTTTAATCAAAATAATACCAGTTCCAAAATCCTAAAATGTATCATAGTTTTCATTCATCATGTTAAAAGCATAAACATCGACTCTCAATTCAACGAGGCAGGAGCAAGAACGCACATTCAAAGGTTTTCTGAATAACCTAAGGAAATTATTTATCCTGCAAGTGGGTGGCAAAATCTCGCAAGGGATGTTCATAGATGCTTTAGTGAAACCATTTTATTAAGTTATAACATGAAGTTTACACAAATTATATGCGATAAGCAAAATAACAAACATTATAATAAAAGAAACGTAACAATACACGAAAATGCAAACAAGGATAGCTTGGCTTAGGATGTCTTAGGAAAAAAAATTTAAAAATAACAGGGTATTTACAATTATGCATTCCCGAGATTATATGAAAACAGAATCTAGCACAATAAAAAGTAAATCTTATCGTAATGAAAATGTAATAGCTCCGATTCGCCGCAGACGTTCCAAAAACTTTGTAAATAAGAATATTAGTGTTCAAAAATCGCTTATATTATCCAAAGCAAAGATCAAACTTCAAAACGCTAAGAAGTTTATTATAAACTGCCTCTCTAGAATAAAGAAGAAAGAGAGTTCATTAAACACACGAGAAGACAAAATTTACTCTGAAATAAAGTGGAAATGCAAAACTAATTCAAATGAAACAAACCTAATAGACTTCGGATGCCAATCCAGCCTAAATTCCAATTGCAGTATGGAGATTATTTCGCACATGCTGACGAAGTCTATTTCAGAATTGTCTTCGATAGACGGCTCTTTTAATTTCGAGTTGTGGCGTCGCAATCAGCCCAAAACACCCAACGCCATTCAAGTGTTCGCGTATTATCTAATGCGTAAATTCAAACATTCCAACTCGAGAATTTCGCGCAGAAACAAATTCAACACTTCCGTGTCGCAAGTCGCAACCCGAGTCGCAAGAACTTCAAGTGAAATTTCTACTAATGCAATTTGCGCTCACAATAAATTTAAGACACACAAAGAACGTCCTATAAAGATCAATGATAAACCACGGAACACAGAGACAATCCGTCCAGTTACTCAACCTGGGGAAAAAATTTGTGGACCCGGCGAAATACTTGTCAAAAAAAAGAAATCTACATCTCAAGCACAATAGGTAATAAAGTTTAAATGTGGGAATTTCATTAGCCGAGAGAGCTTTCGAGAGAGTTAGATTGTTTATAAATAGCTTAGTTATCTTTAGATTTAGATTTTTTATTTTCCTTATATCTATCGTAGAATTCTGCCATAATATTCTTATTTTTATATAGAACTACATGGAATGAAACTAATATCACACAGATAAAATGTTTTTTTTTTTCACATTTTAAATGGGTATATCACATTTTGCCTAAACTATATAATAAAGTAAAAATGCAAGCAGCAGAAATTGTACCCTAATGTTTTTTTGGATTTCTTTTATAAGTTTTTCATTCATTAATTAATTACAGGCACTGCTCAAACTAAAAGAGACGGGGCGCGTTCGACACGTGGGTGTTTCAAACGTGAACGAGGAACAATTGAGGCGTCTGTGCGCTGTGGAAAAGCCGGAGTGCCTGCAAATCGAGATGCATCTTTTGTGCCAGCAAAAGGCAATGATTTCTGTAGCCAAAGAGCTTGGCATACCGGTTGTGGCCTATTCGCCCCTTGGCTCTAAGGCCTTAACAGATGCTCTGGCAGCCAAAAATGGGTATGTGTATAACTTATATTACTTAACCAATATATGTATATAAAATAAGCGAGAAAGCTATAGGTTTCTGCACCGCCGGCCGTGGGCATGGCACACAGGGCTAGTATTGTATGGGCGATTACCCACAAGTAATTGTTCCGTATCTGGGTCATTTGATATTTGTGCGAAACATTTATACAATACGAAGAAATAAGATGATCTATCCTACAGTGTAACGCTTTAGAAAACAAAGGTTATTAACTTATTATTATCTATCTTGTAGTATTAAGAGTCGTAAAATTCAATTAAATTTATAAGAATTAGTTCTTGATATATCATCTAGAAAATAATAAATGTGTGCACTTTGTTACTCGCTACGTATACTAATAATACCTTGATAAATTGTATCAAAATGTCATCGTTTTCACATCGATTCTTCCGTAATTCCGTAACGTTGGGGACTTAAATATAAAAAACCTTATGCATTTTTTTCTCATTAAATTTATTTAATAATATTTATTCAAAACTGAGAGGTAGACACGCGGTTGGAACGAAGATCCTTTCGGCGTTTAATATGTATTTAATAGCAGACAAAACCTGGGCAACTAAATAAAAATTATTAATAATGTTAAGTTAGCTAGTGCGTGTTAGAAACCGACGGAAAGATTTAGACACTATGAATCAAACGGAAGGATTGTAACGTTTTTTTCTTTACGTGACAATCTTATATCTGTATTATACAGCGTGTCGTTACAACCGCGACAATAAATGAACACACGTCTAACGCTACTTGCCAATAATCATAAAAAATATAAAACCTTAAAAACTCCATAATTAAAAAATATATATTTTTCAAGCAAACTAATGAAATAAAAAAAAAACAAACTAATTAAATTTGTAACACCTATACAACTACAACAGACTGATTCATACATTCAGAGACTTTTTCATTCGTTCCCACGTCGCAATACAAGTCTCTCCTTCTAACAGTGTTTTATCTCTTTAAAATTCATTCAACCCATTCATATGCTTTGTGACTTTAACAAAATATGAACTACAGTTGTATAGGTAAGGATGTTCTAAAAATGATTGTTTTGTAAAATTTAATAACTCCATAAATATTGATGTTTAAAGAATGTAAATGCCTGATACAATTTTAAAAAGCTATCCTATAGAGGATAGCTAAATATATAAATAATAGCGACAATAAATAAACACACATATAGATGTGTGTTCATTTATTGACGCGGTTGTAACGAAACTCTGTATATTTTTACACAGTCGCGTGTATCCCGACCTGTTGAAACTGCCCGTCGTGGTGAAGATAGCGGAAGCACACAAACGTACTCCAGCCCAGGTGTTGCTGCGGCATCTACTACAGAGCGGCGCCGCTGCCATACCCAAGAGCACCAATCCGACGAGAATAAAACAGGTAATCGTTGCGATACTTGAATATAATTTACATAGGATACCTTACATAAAAATGATGATGGGTAAAAACAGAAAGTGGGTATTGTAGCAATATAAGTAATAAATCAATTTAAATGTAAGTAACAATAAATCGAATAGGCGACTTAAAATAAAAAACGGAAATTTAACAGAAGTAGTATTGTTAAATGTGGTTGTAATAATAAGTCTAAAATGAATAATGTAGGTATATATTTATTTATTAGAAAATATGTAAAAGAAATATAAGTATATATTCTAGATAGACGAATGAGCGAGTTAATAAAATGATACGTAACCGATCTGCCGTTCTGTACGCTTCACTTATTTCTTAATAATTCTTCCATGTTTTATTTCTTTGACAGGGGCCAACGTAGGTAAAGGTCATCAACCTTACCAAAAAAATATATAAAAAAATATAATATTTTCGTTTCATCGTCATGTAAATGAATTAAAGACTTAAGGCGCTTTATGCAGTAATTTTTAACTATTTGGGTGGTGAAGCTTGGGAAGCGGAAGACGGGTACGCCCGCAGCGCACCGCGCGAGTTTCGTCAACGCACCACCGTGTGACCTTCATTCATTACCTATTAGTGGTGGACCGTAGGATACTATCGATAGTATAGTGGGATGTTTGCGAAAATGTACACAGATGATCCCTATATCTCTCATAGACCATGATTGTATTTTACTTTTGATTATACAGCGTGTCGTTACACCAATAATATAAAAAAATACAAAACTAAAAAAATCCATACTTAAATAAATTTTTCGAAGAAAATAATTAAATAAAAAAGAAAAAAGAATTTTGAACACCTATACAGCTACAACTTACTGTTTCATACATTTAGATAGTTTTTCATTCGTTGGCACAGCGTCGCGTTAGAATTCTCTCCTTCTAACAGTATGTTTTATCTCTTTTAAATTCATTCAACCCATTCATATGCTTTATGACCTTTACAAATCAAACAATCAATCAAATATCTTTATTCAAATAGACGCTTGCGCGTTCTTATGAATCGTCAAATTTTACATAAAAAATTATACATATCGGTTCGTAAGGTACCACGAATGAAATTTACGTTACAGCTTATACATTATACATTATACGCAAGGTTGTTCTAAAATTGTTTGTTTTGGAAAATTTAATAACTCGGTCAATATTGATGTTTAAAAAATGTAAATGTTTAATACAATTTTAAAAAGTTATCCTCTATATGTCTGTTCCTTTATTGTCGCGGTTGTAAAGACACATTGTATAAAAAGTATGTAATCAAATAGCTTGCTTCTGTATTAAAAAGACCAAGCTATGACTTGTTTATGGACTTATACTTTTTATGTTGGGCTGCTCGGATAGCTGGGCTTAGGTGGTCATCTTGCAAACTGCCGTTGCGCGTATTGTTATGGGTTCGATTCCCAAACGGAGAATGTGATCCGTAATTACTGTTCAGAATGTGTGTACATTTTGTATACGTGACTCTCCTGTTTGTGAAACTTTGGCCGATTGATGTATGCATTTCTAACGTCGTAGCGTCTAGGACACGAATGTTAAATATGTATGTACGTGTGGAAGTCATTTTTTCTATAATTGTTCGCGGCCATTAGGTGTTAGGCTTTTATTATATTGTTCTGTAATTAGAACTTGTGTGTGTTTATGTACAGTTATTGTTATAAGTGACATACATTATAAATTTTATTGCTGAAAAAAACTTTTCTTTTAACAGAATATCTCAATATGGGATTTCGAGTTGACTGACGAAGAAATGAACGCGCTTTGCGCACTCGATAAAGGGGAGGACGGGAGAATTTGCGATTTCTCCTTTTTCCCGGGAATGGAAAAGCATCCAGAGTTTCCATTTAAAAAACAATAAAAACATCAAGTAATATTCGTCAATAAGGGAACATTCCATGAAAATTTTAAAAATACTCCAGATTTAAATTATTGTAAAAGGTAACGATAAATAAAAAACGTCATATTTTTTATGTTTTTTTATTTTTAAAATTGCTTAAGTATTAACAAAATTTAAAAATCTTTATCCTTTCAATTCACTTTTTTATTTAATTATCTACTTACGTAAATTGCAGTTGCTATAGTCTAGAGTCTAGAGATTATTTGAACCGACTTCAAAACAGGACTTTCTCAATTCGACTGTTTTTTTTATGTTTGTTACCTCATAACTTTCGACTGGGTATACCGATTTTGATGATTCTTTATTTATTTGCTGGGGCTCCCCATGTAGTCCCAATTAATTTTATTGATATTGGATCTTGGGCTCCGGAGATACTTAGGAAACTCCTGAAAATCAATTATAAAGTGAATACAAAGCGAGATATTTGAAGTCAGTTTTGTTTTTCGTTAATAAATGGACTTGTTAAAATAGGGTATGGTAAAAAAGAATCAAACAATTGTTAATATACAAGCCTTTGTTTTGTGTACATTAGCTCTTTGTTACAGACTTATTTCATTCGGTTGTCAAATTTTGTGAAAACGACATAAAATCATTGTATTATTTTATTGCCTTATTTTATGTAATAACGGTGTTGATACCAAAAAATTAAAATAAGTGCTGTTTTGGCTATAAAAGAAACATCCTTAAAAATAAGAGTAATAAGACATGTAAAAGATAAAATACTTAATTAAAATACAAATAACATCTTTTGAATATTTTGATGGTGAAATATAAATATTCCTAATATATGTAAAAACTGCCATTATAGAATGTGCACTGGGGTCACGTGACCATACCCCAACAGTGAGACATTAAATAAGGTTGTTATTTTCCTTTAAGGCGCTGTATGCAGTGAATTTTTAACTATTTGGGTGGTGAAGTATGAGGAAGCGGAGGAAGGGTAACGCCGCTTAGCGGCGCGCAGCGCGCGAGTTTCGTCGACGCGCCGCTAGACCATTTATTACCTCGTGTGTAGTGATGGGCCGTAGGACACTATCGATAGTATCATGGAAGACTGTTGAAAATGTACACAGATGGTCCCTATAATATCTTTTATAGACCATGATTATATTTTACTCTTAATTATTATAGGAATAGTAATAAACAAACAAATATACCTATTAATTATTTTAAATTATCAGGAAACGGATTAAAATTGACTAAAAATACATGTTAAGGTCAAATAAATTAATAAAGGCAAATGACATTTCTTACAACAAAACAATAAATAAACGAATAATTATTTATTTTGATTTAAAGTAAAATTTTCTCATAAAAAATTTTAAGCAATTTCATAGTCTCCTCGGCAGAAATTACGAATACTTTTTTGTTACATATTTTCTTAAACTTTATATCTTTAATTTATCCTTTAAATGTGAAAGACTTACTACGTTATATTAATTCTTCAATGAAATTATATTTAAAAAATTATCGATAAAATTCCTTATATCGATAAACGACAACAATTATAACTAGAATCGAAATATTGTTCTCTTCCGCAGACATCGTGTAGCCTATTGGTCCGAGCGTCATGGTTGATACATCTTTTTCCAATTTTAATTTGTTAATCAATTAATTATTTTGTTGTTATTTGATAAAATGTGGAAAATACAAAAATTATAAAACAATTATTTTTTCGTGTTCGTAAAAGAATAGGTTTCGTTTTAGGGTGAAAAATTAAATATTTTAATAAAACAAATTAAAAACAACATACAATATAAGACTTGTTAAAAATTTTAAATAATGAAAACTTGGTTTATTATCTGATAGATTGTTCTCCAACTGTTGCGTTCTACGGTCAACAAATACAATAATATTTCGTTGTAATTATTTATAAAAATAAAAAAATCAAAAATTAAATGGTAAATTAAAAAAAATACCTACAAAAAGAAAATCACCAAAAATATAACAAAGAAAAATGTAGGAATTTGAACCCAATCCCTGTAGAATGATGGTCCTTTACACAGTGTTACCAACTGTTCAAAAATTATACTCCTAAAACAATTCGAAAACCGACTAAAATTTATTAAATTCAAACAAAAATTTTTAAATTTAAGGAAAAGGACAAGAACATCAAATATAACATAATTCATTTGAAATGAATATGTTAAGAATAAAATCAAAACAATATTAAAAAAAATTATTAGAATACATAAAATATTCATACCAGACACATAGGCCTTGGCCTGACGTCATCCAAAGCAGCACTTAATTTTTTTTAAATAAGTTGTTTTGTGTAGTTTTTTTCGAAAATGTGAATAAAATTTAACTCCTAAAAATATTCCCATAAAAATTTACCTCCCAATAAACTTCCATTCCACATTTTATATTCCTACATTTCGGAAGAAAATTGATAAGTTGGCATCCCTGCCTTTACACTGTTCGTATAGACTGATAAACTTATCAATGACAAGATAAGATATTGAAAAAATTACGCTTTAGTTGTTAATTCATACAAATAATTAAAAATACGAATAAATATTTTTCGAAAGATCTAATAAAAATATAACCCTCAATAATAAATAAATACGGAACATATTTCGTAACGGTGAGCGGAAGACGAGCGGCATAGATCCATCTAGCAAGGCGCCTCAGCGCTCTCTGTTCAATGTGTGGAGTTGGAAGAGAGCCGAAACAACGCCGCGGTGGCGCGGTGTTTTGCCCATCGCGTTCGAATTAATTTTAATGAATTAAATTAATATTTAGAAATATCTTACATCAATCAAAAAATTAAAACAACAATCCTTTTTATTAATATATTCTACACCATTGATATTAATTTCATTAAGATTTGTTGATGTATTACGTTCATTTTTGGTTTTGAATTTCTCTTTTAGAGGTAGTTTCATGATTTTTTTCTATCGAGAAAATATATCGAGAATATGTTTTGGAAACAATGTTCCCTTAGAATGTACGATCAAGATTAACATATATTTTTTTGCTGCTATAAAATGTGTAGATTTTGCTAAAAAATCTTTTGAAAAATCTATTTTTACTGCATACAGCGCCTTAATTAATAATACAGTGCACTTTTGGATCATTGTACCTTTGATTAAAAGTGATAAAATGACCCTAATTTGCTTAAAACTACAACTTTTGAATGAGTTCTCAAAAACAGTGAGAGATTTCTCATATAATATCTCTTTCACAGCTTTTTACCATATTGGAGAATGGGTCTGCGTTTCTCAAGGCATAATGTATTCGATGTACTTAATTCAGGGTTAGTCCGAAGAACCGTCAGGTTTAAAGTTATTGACTTAGTTACCGATGCCAACATGGTACTAAGCACTTCGTTCTCATTCAGCTCTGTTACGTAATAACGTACGTAATAAACGTACTCAGAACATAACCCAAACGCTTCACCTCAAGTCGTAGGGATCCAAAGAGCCGTTAATTTTGCTAAAACAGACAAATTGGAAAGAGCATACCAATTACGTACCGCATATTTTACTTTAAAAAAGGCCACAAACTTAAAAACCAGGAGGAGACCGTATCCCGTATCTTAGATACTAAGGACACAGAAAAGATTGACCATGGTCAGATATTGTGGTATAATAAATATTTAGTTTATGAAATACAATCTTTATTTTATTTTATTGTATTCTTCCCGTATAAATAAAGGGTATCAAAAATCTGCAGGTAGCCGACTAAACTTCATCTATTTGGATTTGAATAGCAGTAAACAGTTACATACATTACAAGATACCTTAATTATAATATTAAATATATAATAATATAATTATATTAATTATAATAATAAATTTGCCTTAATTACAATTATAGAAATATATCGGTAATATGATGATAAGAAGTATTATCACAAGCGGAAAATAGCGGCCTTATCCTTTTAAACATCATAGTCGGGTGTTTTTTTTTTACCAACGTACATTTTCCTCTATTTTTTCATGGTGCCATTTGATTTGATAAATGCATTTCGTACTGAATTAAGAAACATTTTCGATCGCCGTCTTACGTCTTTCACCTTTAAGGTAATGAAAGTGTAGGTATTTAAGTGATCAAATTGAATTATAAAAGCATAAATAAACGAAATATTTGAATTCAATATACTCGAACCTCAATTCAAATCCCGGTGCCAGCACCAAGTAAATGGTTAATTTTAAGTGCTAACTTATCACGTGCTCAGCTGTGAAGGAAAACATCTTGAAGAAATCTGCGTATTTTCGAAATAGTAATAAAAAATGTATTTTCGAATACCGCCTATCCACAGTGGGGTCATGAAGTAGACTATGCCCTAATACCCTCTGTATAGTGGAGGCCTATGCCCAGCCGTGGGACGTATATCGGCTGTTAGTTTAATTACTTTAAAAGCTTGACCTCATAGAGATATGAAAAGAAAACGTAAAAGAACAAGTATATATTTTTCTTTAGGAAAGTTGTGCTTTTTATCAAACGGACGTTGATTCTAAATTGCATACATTAACATTCTTGGATTTGAAATTCAAATCGACAAACTACACCTTTGACCAATGATGTCGAATAACGTTTAAAAGTTTACTCAAAATGTTCATTAAAATATTAATAAACTAAATTATTTATGGATATTTTAAATATTTAGGCTGTATATAAAAAAGAAAGTTTTATAAAATTTGCGATTAAAAGGAAGTTTTCCATTAAAAATGTTTCGTTTCCATTACCTAGCGCTAAATTTAGTACCTAGGCTTCTTTCTCGTTCATAAAACAACAAATAGGTACCATAATGCACGCGATAGAAATAGGTTTCCAAATAAAAAGGGCGGTAAAAATATATATTTTAATTTATTTTTGGGGCTATATAATATATACATTAATAAATTCCTTTGAAAATTTATTGAAAGAATCAAATTCAAGATCTAAATTCAATTTGCGTTTGGTACTATAATTCTATATATATATTACCTATTCGAAAATTTAACCGTCATGACATCAGTAGGTATGTGTGACGTGTAAAGTTAAATAAAATTGTATTTTAAATAAGCAAATACGCTTAACCTTTTTTAGTTACTGTTTTCAACCCGCTGAGTGACCATCGATTTCAGCAGTATTGGGGTGTTAATTATTTTTTTAATTTATATGTTGAATAGAACGTTTAGAAACCATGGCTCTAATTTTAAAGGGCGCTGTTAAATTGTATTATTACCTGAATGAAGAAATTGCCGGTAAGTATATTTAAGTACCTATATAATTTTATATAGGTATATATATATATATATATATATATATATACCTATATAATTTTATATAGGTATATATATATATATATATTTTATATATCAATATAATTTGTCATACAATCAAATTTATTATTTAGTTATTTATTAGCACTTGCATAGCATTGTAGACTGGGTCATGAAATATTATGCTTATTTATTTCATAGGTTCAATAATATTTTAATATTATTTGTATGTTGATATTTCAGGCTTTTTTGTCCTTAAAATTTTATTAACTTCTTAATTCTTTCAATCACCTTAGCCTTTGCTATTCATTGCTTTTGTTGTAGATCATTTTCGAAAAACTACTGTATAATTTATTTCAATCACATATTATATAATTGTTTACTATAATTTGACGGATGGTTACTATCCCTACTTATATTATAAATATGAATGGAAGATTATTTGTTAGGCTTTCTCATCAAAACTACTCAACCGATTATCACTGTGAAACTTTGTACACATATTCATATCAGAGAGATGTATTAGAAAAGACATAGGATCTTTTTATTAAAAAAAAGTCAAAAAAGATATTTATTTAAGGACTTCAACGCGAGCGAAAAGCTAGTTAAAAATAAATTTCATAATAGTCGTTAAGTCTGATAATTGACCCGTGCAAAATTTTCACACATTACCTAATGTGTTTTTTTTTAATTTCTTAACTTAATAATTACTTTTTTTATTTCGTAACTTAATAATTTTTAAATTAGTATTAATCAATGAAAAGTGTTTTATTTGATATTTTATATAAACAAATTGTTAAGTGATTGCATTATAGGTACATTAAAAAAATTAAACGAGATGAAAACAATAACTGCAATGCAATATATCCGTGTGCTAATCATATAGTTTTTAGCTTTCTTATCTTTCAGAATCCATGACACAAGACTGGCCTCTCATGAGAACACCGTGGCCAGGTTTGGCCATCCTTGCGATTTATTTGCTAGCGGTATTTCGCTGGCTCCCCGATTATATGAAAAATCGGCCTGCGTACGATTTACGTAAAACAATAGCCATCTACAACGTTATTCAAATACTCTACTGTTTTTACGTCGCTTACCAAGTGAGTTATTGTAATTTATGAACCTTATTTTTAGTAACAGTTAATCTGCAACACCGGTAGGGTTGCAGATGCGTTGCCACTTTTTATTGAATTCTCATAACTTTAATATATTAATGAGGCCATGTATCCGAACCCAATGACATATAGATATTTGTTGATTTAAGAACATCCCCTTGAAATTATGGGAATTGAATATCAACACGTTGCATGAGTGTAACTTTTAGAATTTTTTTTAAGTGATAAGTTGCAAAGCGAGCAGACGGTTCACCTGATGTTAAGTGATTACCGCCGCCCATGGACATGTGCTACACCCGAGGGTTCCAGATGCGTTGACAACCTTTTGAAAATTGGGATCCGGCCACCTCACTCACCAGACGAAACGCGAAAGTATTTGACATACTTCCAATTTGCGACGATTTTCTGTAGTACTTATCGGGACGAGCCAGCCCATTCGTGCAACAGCCGAGACTGCTGCGTGGCCCTACCACCGCAAAAAAGATAAAATAAGAAAAGATAATTCGACTCCAATAACCTGGAACTGTCCAGGTTATTGGAGTCGTATTATATCGCTACGAATAAGATTAACTCTATTTTAATTTTATCGTACACAATAAGTTAAAAAACCAGAAATAATATTTCAGAGTCTCAAATTAGGCTGGCTCAAACGCTACAAAATTGTCTGCGAGCCCGTCGGAGATGGACCTGAAAGCGTTGAATATGCTTGGAAAGTTTGTTATACATACTTCCTAATAAAAATAATTGATCTTCTCGACACGGTACGTCTTTTTTTTTCTTCAAAAAATTATTCATTCATAACCTTTCCATACAGCTTTTATGAATTGTTTTTATATATACCTACTTAAATAACCATTAAATATTTCTGGTAAAATGCTTTAATTCGTTTACTTTTTTATAACTTAATGTTATTTTAGAATTACTCTTTTAGGTATTTTTTGTGTTAAGGAAAAAACAGAACCAAGTAACTTTCCTCCATGTATATCACCACTTCGGAATGGTAGCAGTTGCCTGGGGAATGGTCAAGTGGGTTCCAGGTAATAAATGTTACAGAAATATACATATACAGATTTATGTCTATATTAATTTTATAATTAAATAAAGTAATAGACATACGTACGCCCAAAAACGTGAAATCGTTTAAAAAGAGTACACGATGATTTGGCAAATCATTTTTGTTAAAAGTCGATAAAGAATTCCTACGCCCAAACAGCGCATAAATGACGTAAATGCAAATTACCTTTACCAAGCTTACACGATCAAATAGTGGAATAAAATTACTTTTACGTCTATTATTTCATTAACCGTTGCGAGCGATAACCTTCAATTCATTCATTATCAATTGCTCCAAACTGAAATACTTTTTGAGTTATTGTGATTTTTATGAACATTAATAAAAAGTAAATTATTTGAGACGCATAAATACTCCTTAAAAGAGGTGAAGTCAAATACGCTGCCGAAAAGTGTATGTAGTTCATTACTTGCGAAAAATCTAGGATCCAAAATAATATTAGTAAAATTGTTTTTTTTTAAACTGTTATGGAATAATACAATACGACGGATATTGTAAGATATGTATTGGTTGGCTAAATGCAAACAAAAAGAAATAATACTTGTACTACGGAAATAACGTGAGAATTACAATTAAAACAAGTACATTTTTATAAACAAACTTCGAATAACTTTTCATGTTATATTTGATTTTGAGGAGTTACGTAGAAGTCCAAGACCAACGAAATTATGGGACCACCATAATATGGGACCATTTGAGATGAACCGGATCCATTGCAAAAATAATTTCTAAAACCTGTTGATACATAAGGAAGTTGCGACGGAACAAACCAAAAAAATCAACCGAATTCAGTACCACCTCTTTTTTAAGTCGGTTAAAAAACTACATATTAGCTAAAGAACTCTGCTTGCGGATATTTATCTATCGATTAAAAAATTGGTGCACGTATATTTGTCAAAATGTTATTTTATCATACAACTAATACAACTTTAGCCGGGGCCCACTATGGCTGCCAATATCTCCAAGACCTAGGGTGTCGTAAGTATCCACACCGTCCATCGGTACCTTTTCCCATATAAAAATGTTCTATATTTTAAACAGGGGGACACATGACGCTATTGGTCCCAGTTAATTCGGTTGTTCACATCGTCATGTACACGTACTACTTGCTAACCACATGGGACGAATCCTATAAGAAGTCACTTTGGTGGAAGAAGCATGTTACACAAATTCAAATCGTGAGTACGGTCTTTTAGCTCTTTGAACATTACAAAAGCGTAGTTTGTACATTTGAAAATTTCTTCAATATCGGTTCAGCCGTTTTGAAGTCCATAGGAACGTCGACTTTTATAAGTATACTAGCGGACCCAACAGACGTTGTCCTGTAAACACGACTGAAATCCGAAAACAACTTATAAATAAAAAAATGTGGACCGACTTGATAGCTTCTCGAATCGACCTGATGACATTAATTTCATTAAAATCGGTCCAGCCGTGTCAGAGTTTAGTGATATACACACGTACAGAAGAATTATATATGTATATAAAGATACAGGTAGAGATACGTTGACTAATTGGATATAAAATTAAATCTTCAGGTGCAATTCACCATCCTGCTTATACATTTCTTTGTTCTTGTCGTCGCAAACGACTGCTCGATCCCGAGGCAGCCTGCGTACATACTTATCCCCCAGAATCTGTTTATGGTTATTTTGTTCGGTGACTTTTATTACCGAACTTACGTTAAGCCGAAGAAGAATATTTCCAAAAAAAAGTGAATAATTACTGTGTAAGTACCTACAGCTGTAAGTAATATTTATATGTCAATGTCACTGTAGTAATAAATAATAGATAAAAAATTTTGTTTCATTACTAACGGTTCAAATAAAGACTTCGATTATTGGCTTGAAAACTCACAACCACCAAATTTTGCTTGAATAAATTATAAAAAAGATTATGCAACTGTTAAGGCTGCCTTAACAGTCCCTTACAGTGAAGATGCAGAGAGCCGTGATAGCTTAGTGTACGGGCGCTCGCTTTTTCTATGCTTGGGAACCAGAGTTCAAATTCCGGTGTGGGCACCAATCAAATTGTAAATTGCAATCTTATCAAGGGTTAAGGGAATCATCGAAAGCAAAATGCATATTGTCGAAATAATAACAGAAGACAAAAATAGCAGATATGTGACATCCGCCAATACGCGGTGTGGTCGCGTGGATGTCATAATACCCTCTGTAGAGTGGAGTTATTTTACTTTTTTACTATTATTCCATACATCTTCAGATGACCAAGCCGGATGTTGCAACAAACGAAACCAGATGTCCCGAAACTTACTCAACGACGTTTAAGTTTACAAAAAATCATGGAATTGAAACACAGTTTTTAATAGAAAACTATATATTAAATATTACTATAATTATTTTAACACTCGTCATCATAATCTAATATCACTGTCGTAATAAATTCCAAGAAAACCCTTCGTGGTATTTCACATTGCCAAACGGATTAATATTAGTATAAAAATCACCATTTCGCAACTGTCTTATTTGTGTCAAAGTAAAAAATATTTGTGTTAGTCACGTTTAACTTAAACTTAGTTAAAACGTTCAAATAAGTTCTGTTTAACAACATCTATAACGTTGCTCTGACAGAACGCGTTTATAACAGACTTTGTCAAACAAAGTTTGTCAATTGTGCCTTCTACTTCATCCTCCTCTGTTGTTCTCCCATCGTGGGCAAATTCTTTTAAATTTGCCTTTATTAAATTTATTAACTCGTTAGAACCGATATTAACAGGTAGTTCTAAATTGTTTTCCTTGTTTTCTAGTAATGCTTTCAAATCAAAGTCATCGTACGCGGAGGCAGCCGCATCGGTGTCTCCTTCGGTTTTTTGTCTTTTCAAACGGCGCACCTTTCTTTTGTTTTCCAAATATGTCTTTGCAACTGTTTCCAGTTGCAAAAACAGAACCGCCAGTGGCGTTTCTGATATATCATCCTGAAATGTCAATTTATGATTTTAATAATTTCTCCAAGTCTGCAGCTTCTGTTGTTGCTTGAATAGGCTGGCTCATCCGGGGTACCAGCAGTGGCGGATTTGTAATCTTGGCCGCCCAAAGCCCCAGCCCATGTAGTAAGTACCAGCCGCCCCTTTCTCAGCGCCCGTCATATTATATCTTGTTACCATCAGTGAAATTTTTGTCACGATTAGCGGCGGCACCTAATATGTGGCCACCCTAGGCCTGGGTACCTGATATCACATCATCATCATCATCATCATTTCAGCCTGTTTGAGTCCACTGCTGAACATAGGCCTCCCCCATAGACTGCCATGAAGTACGATCCTGAGCCACCTACATCCATCGACTTCCCGCACATTTGCACAGGTCGTCACTCCATCTAGCGGGGGGTCGTCCTACACTGCGATGGCCAGTACGAGGCTGTCACTCGAGAACCTTTCTTCCCCAAAGATATCACATAAAAAAATATAATTCTGTTCTAGAACCACGCAACATTTTTCCCAGTTGCACGAATGCGCAGGTCCGTCCGGTTCAGTATTTAGAGAGCTTTCAAGTTGAACACTTGAAAGTTCTCCAAATACTGAACTTAAAGCGTAAACATAACCAAGAATTTTTCTTATGATATCAGGATAATCCTTGGTTATGTGAAGGCATTATGCTCACTGTAAGCAATGACCAAGCCACAAATTAGCCGGTTTGAGTTGAGTTTTTAAGTTCGCTTACTACAAGTGGACTTTCTGCATAAAAAATCTCGCACAATGTCGGTGTAAAATTCTGCAATGGCGGATTCCATTTTCAACTTCATACAAATGTAACTTCTCTACAAAGGCACATAATTCGTCACTGGATGTTGCTCAGACAAAATTTTGTTTATTTCGCGAATAAAACTCGCATGATCACTGACCATAGCGCAGTTGTCAAGGCATCGCCTTCGGCTTGGGTTCGATTCTCACACGGGACAATTATTTGTGTGACCCATAGTAATTGTTTCTCAAAGGGCAAAACTATGAATATGGTATTTAAAGTGATATTTTATTATACACTAGTTTTTCGCCCGCGGTTCGGCCCGGATGTACCACATTTTATAAGGTGCTTAAAAAGTAGCCTTCCTCAATAAATTGGCTATATAACAATTCAAGAATTTTTCTAATCTATATCTAGTTTGATACATGTATCTCATAAACTGTGAACGTGAAACATAATATTTAGTTGAAATTTTCACAGATGCTGTATTTCTGTTGACGCTATAACAACAAATAAAGGAAATAAGAATATTTTTTCAAGTGGGGCTCTCATACAACAGACATAATTTTATTGCCTTTTTTATAGATTATGGTATGGAACACTTCGTGCACGATTGCGACTCACACTTGGCTGGTTTTTAAATTTATATAATCTAACACTCATCATCACTTTACAGACCATAATATAAGTATAGTTAACTATAGTTTCATCCAATTCAGCTGTAGCAATTACTTTTTTTTTATGTTGATATAACTTTTTTATTTATGAACCGATTTGAATAAAACCAACACTAAATGTTAAGTGAAGTACTACAATGCATCAGTGAAAGTTGCACCCAAATCGGTTAAGCCGTTTATGAGATTAATGCGCACAAACGCAACAATTTTAACAACCTTTGTTTTGGGTTCTATTGCGTTGATAAAGGGGATCTTTAATAATAGATTTTCTCAAATGTCTTCTGTGTACAGACAAAGACAAGTTACATTTTTATTATTTGTATAGATATCTGTCCCTTCCCCCTATTCCACCCGGACGTAGTCGCGGGGAACAGCTAGTCTGGTATAAATTTCAACTTGCTAGGTCAACCCGTTCCTGAGAAAATCGGTGGTAAAATCACGGACAGACAGACAGACAATCTTATAACATTATTCCTTTCTTATACTGTTCCTTTTTTTATCTTTTAAGGTACGGAAGCGTAATTAATAAATCTTTCATAAGGATTATTAACGAAATAATAAGACATGCCAGATGGGTCGCGACCGCGAACTCATCCCACTCACCCTGATGAAGGATCTCCTATAGGTCCGAAACTACATATTACCGATTAAATGTAAGTTCAGTCATCTTGTTATTTCCTTTTATACTATTCATAAGTTCCCAAATGACAACACTCGCATTTGTATAAAATCGTGCACTATCATGAGTTTGACTTTCACCTTCTGTTACAAGAATAGAACTGTCACTATTTCATAGCAATTTTTCTTAACATATTGCAATTAATAAGAGAAAAATTATGTTTATAAAATATATTCCAAATAAATAAGTGTAAGGATGCCTAAAGATTAACATACAGTTACAGTACTTCACATGAGAAGTAATTTACAAAGAAGCAGATTCCAGATCCCAAAATAAGGAAATAATTATTTGGTAAGCTCTAGATAAAAATTAGTACACAATTTATTATCCAAATACAGAAACTAGAGTAATAATGTTTATTCACCGAAATACCAAAATGTGGCCAACAAAACTCCCACAGCCAACCAAAATATGAATAGTAAAGTACAAGTGTCTTGGTAATTCTTTTCATATCTCATAACTTCTCAATATCATGAACAATAGAAAGAAATAAATTTAAATATTTTTACATCCACTGAACTACTAAAAGTAACTTGTGTTATAAAAAAATTTCATACAAACCTCATTTGGATTCACTAGAAGCTTTGCAGTTTCCTGTGGTAAATCTTTGCATACTTGGGCAACTAAAATTTTTATTAAAGCCTCCGAGACCTGAGCCGAGGTGTCTTTTTCCTAAAAAAAATATTGAGAGGTAAATATAAAGCAACAACATTAATACTTAAACCCAAACTTTAGTTTACATTTTTATTTACTTAGAAAGGTACTAACATGAGGTAGCCAAATATTAAGAGAAATATTCACATCATCAAGATTTTGAACATAATGCCACCATCCTCTAGGAACTACCAGTGCATCCCCAGCTGAAAGTTCCACTACTTTACCACCAGTCAATGCTGCAAATATTTTAAATATTTATAACCAATTATTTAAAGGACACATTGTAATTAAAGAAGATGAATTTATTTACCATTAAAAGGATCTAAATTATTGGGGCAGAAAAAATTGAGTTCACTGTAAACACTTGATTCTTCATAAGGTACTCTTGTAGGTTTCAAGTTACCAGTTTCAGGGGGAAACAATATCCAACGCTTTCTGTGAATATGGTTAAATATAGTAACATGTAACACATTTTCACAACATATTGAAAGTTTTATGTGAATACTTACTTTCCATGCAGTTGTGCAATAATATTAAACCCATAAGTATCCTGATGAGCAGGTGTGTGAGCTCCTCTACTTCCTATCCATAATGTACTGTCTAATGAACTTTTACTTGCATATCCAAACTTTTTCCAAGATACTTCCTGGATAAAAAAGATGAAATTCACAACTATGTTTCGCAATATTTTAACAACATATTAAAATTTGAAATTCATTTACCTTACATATATCATGATCGCTATTGAACCACTGTTGCAAATATTTATAGTCAAAATACATCCATTCCTGATTGTTTTTCGCACCCTCAACAAAATCTTTAAATGTCATAGACTTTTCATTGCACATCCTTTCCCAACAAGGGCCGTCCGAAACAAATTTCTTTCTCATGCATCTGAAGGGTACTACCTTTTCACCAAATGCTAAAGACCACTTGTTTAAATTCCATTGACATAAGGACCAATCGTTTATAAAGCGCCGAAATAATAAGGGAACGTTACTTTTAGAAACTAAATTTCGAACTAAATCTTCGTTAAGAGAAACCATAACGTTTAAATTATTGTTCCTGCCAATAATTCATAACAATTTCACTTAGGCTTAAGTGATGTGATCTTACGAGACAATAAAAATATTAGATGTAAGATGACAATGACATATTTAAAAAGGTCCCCTCATCCTTAAACCGCAATATAACGGTTTAGGGATGTGTGATACTCATGCAATGTTTTGTTCTTTGTTGTGTAAATACAAACCAAATTCAAGGTGTAATTAGGTGGTTTTGACAGCTTCGACGCAAAAAGCTCGTGGGTAAACAACTCGCGCACTCAGGAGAAACCATGTTTCTGAATCCTGATAAACTGTGACGACGCGGATGCTCCATTGCATCTCCACGAAAGGTAACGGAAAAGGGAGGGCACGTCATAATCCCAAGGCCAAGCGATCGAAAGGAGGTCGAACCTCGGCTTGGACCAGCGTCGATAATGGAATCTCTCTATAGGTACTAATAAGGTTGAAGTCGCAATGTAATTAGGCGAACTTGCAGACCAGCAGCGAGCTGATTGGGCTAAAGATCAACAAGGTGAAGACCAAAATCATAATCTTGGATAGAACACTCACTTCACACACGCACACACACACGCACGCACGCACGCACGCACGCACGCACGCACGCACGCACGCACGCACGCACGCACGCACGCACGCACGCACGCACGCACGCACGCACGCACGCACGCACGCACGCACGCACGCACGCACGCACGCACGCACGCACGCACGCACGCACGCACACGCACGCACGCACGCACGCACGCACGCACGCACGCACACACACACACACACACACACACACGAGGTCATCTACACTGCCCTAGGAATCGGGCAGGTGCAGGTACGAGCATCGGGGAGTCGGGTATTGTCTCAGGGGACGCACCGTCCCCCTGGTAAATAGCGCTTAATGTCGGGCACGGATAACCCGTGACTCTAATCTTAATCTCACTAGTTGAAACCCTAAAAACGCGCGCTAATAGCCTGCATGATTATTTTAACCGCGGTAATAAGTGTTAAGCGGATTTTAAGTGAATACCGCCGCCCATGGACATCTGCTACACTCGAGGGTTCCAGATGCGTTGACAACCTTTTGAAAATTGGGCTCCGTTAAAGTTTTTAATTGCCCATCACTAAAAACCTTTTCAATTTTCAATCTATCTTTTTAATACCCGTGCAAGAGACACGTCTCAAACCTACCATGCGCAACCGGCGATTTCACATATTATTATTCGCATATTACAAAATCGGAACGCTCATTTATGATAGGTCGTTTATAATGTAGTCTAGAGTAACTGCATTAAAATCAACCCACCTAAACTTGTAAATATCGAAACTTCCGTATTAGAAATCTCTATGATGGGCTATCATAGAGATTTCGAATACGGCTTCCACCAAATCAAAAGGGCTTAAGGGCGACATCGAAGCACTGCATAAATTAAGCGACTTTGTGATATTAGCAGGTGATTTAAACTGCATACTGCTTGGGAATCTTGGAATAGTGACTCCTTAAGGGAACAGGATGACTAAGTTAGATGTTTTAGGTCCTCTGGAAACAACCAGAATACATACAATTCATAACCCAAATATATTACATATATTACATCTCTATAACGATACATTTTTTAGAAGTATTTTGAGAATTTAACCCTGACAATTGCCCGGTCAAGCTTATACTTGGTCGCAAGACTCGATAAAAATGAGTCACCCTGCGGTCAGTGATATTAATAGAGAATGCCACCCTATTGGTTTATGCTTATTATGCCATGTAATGTCTAAGTTTTTATGTAAGCAATTTAGGATGCAGTGAAATTGTATGTAATAATTTTGCTACTAATGACTAACGCAATTGGTTTTATTATACAGACCAAAAAGTTAGGGAACGAATCCTGTGTATGTAATTTGAAAGGTATTTTTTTGTGTTATGAACATAGAAAACGTGAAAAATATGTGAAGCTATATCGCGTTGAATGGAAAAAATGTACATCTCCCACAACCCAAGCAAAGCAGCACAGCAGCTACCACTGATGTGAATAAATAATTGATTTTCATATTAAGCGATTATTTTTTTCTTATAATTGATTTTGAAAAACGATATTTATTTTCAATAATAAGAATCGATTTTTAATAAATCTTCATATAATATAAATTTCACTTTTGAATCGATTTTTGTAAACAGTCATCTGTATGTATATATGTTAACCAGGTTTATTACTTTTCATACTTGATTTTAATAAAATGTTAAATGGCATTGAATGTTTAGGGAAAAATTAGTTTAGTATTTAGATTGTTTTAAGTTTAAAATATAAGCAAAACAGTTGTTTTGAATTTTAGTAACAAAAAACAAAAGGTTGTCGTTTATGTTATATTTTATACAACTCATTTTTTATTTTGATTTGACCGATATATCGATACTTATTTTTCGACATATCGACGCCAATATTGATATTTTTATAAATATCGATATATGAATTCACTTTCGACATCCCTGAATCAGGCCCTACACTGGAGTGTGCAGTGGCACGTAAGCGTTGACACCATAGAGTAAAGTAATACTACAGAAACTGGTTGACACTGTTCACAAGTGTCAACGCTAGGTTTTTTCCTTTTTTAATCATCTCGTCTCCATCCGTGTACCATTTCCTACTTCTATTAAATCTCTTCTTTCATGTTCTAATTCTGATATATATACCTATTTTTAGCTTTATCTATTTTCCTGTTAAATAATATGTTTGAAATTATAAATCCTTGTACCTATCCTGTTATAGTACTCATTAATGATTCTTTTCCAATTCCGTGAGTAATGTCCTTTTAAATCGTAATAAACGTTTCCCTGCTTATGTCTGAGGCCTATGCGCAAACCGCGCGATGCCAAATTAAATAAAAGTATCTATGTATCCCTATTTCAAATCAAATAAAAATATATCGATATTTATCGTATCGACAATTTTAAAAAGAATAGATAATTATCGAGTGAAAAATATCAATGTCGTCAATTCTCGCATGATTCTTACGTATTTTCAAATCATTCAAAATTCTTAAATAATAAATAGACATGAAGAAAATACTTTTTTTTAAGTTTACGATGAGGAGCATGCAAAAAGTTTTGTAACATTAAATACGAAACCAGAGGTGCTTTAAAAATATATCGAAATTGACACGATTCCGATAGCATAAAATAAATATCGATATATCGCGATAAAAAATATCGACGACATATCGATAACTTTATGGAAAACATGGATACTTATAACTATCGAATAAGAGATTTTTTGCCCAGTGTCAACCAAGGAGAATATAACCCATTGATAAAAGAATCTAATATATTCATAAATCAATGATATAATCACTAAGCATGTGTCAAACTGTCAACTAGTGTTGCACAACCATCGATAGTTTTACTATCGATAGTTGACCTCGAAAACTATTCAGGATATCGATTGTACTATCGATAATATCGTCTAAGTCAATACTGTCGATACTACCGATAGTATCGATGGCTCTCCAAATGCCATACTATTGATAACAGCAATACTATCGATAGTATCGATAGTAATGTATGCATGTATATGCAACACTACCGTCAACCAGCGTGACCAAATTTAGTAGATTTCTACTTTTTTGGTAGATTTTGAGGTACTGCCAACAGAATTTAGTATGTAAAAATTATTTTATTACAATTCACGCTTTTCAGTAATTCTAGTACTTTTTTGGATATTGGATAAATGCGAGATATTCCTCCTTTGAAATGGATTGTAACTATTAAATTTTCATTCTTTTCGTTACCATTCGTGCCGTGACAATAGTGTGATAGACTAGTGGGAATTCCTATATTAAGAACTAGCTTTGCGTCCCGGCTTCGCTCGCGTTTAAGCCCTTAAATAAATATCTTTCTTTAAAATATACGTATATTTTAAAGTTTTTTAATTAAAAAATTCTCATACTCTAGACTATCTGTGTACCAGAATTCATTTAAATCGGTTCAGTAGTTTTGGCGTGAAAGCAAGACAGACAGACATAGTTACTTTCGCATTTATAATATTATAGTATGGATTTTTGTAATCGAATTTAAAATAAAACGTAAATATTCACAAGGATATCGCGATGAATGGGAGCAAGATCCCTCATTTAAAAGTTGGTTATATAAATCTAAGGTAAACACTACGAGTGGTCATTGTAAAGCATGCAACTGTCAAAGCATATAAAAAATATGAAAGAATATTCCGGCATTTCTCAGGTATGCAAGTTACTAACGTTAATATGTGGAATGTAACTCTTAGTTAATTATTCTTGTTAAGACTTTTTTTTAATACTTTCAACTTACGCAGTAGTGTGAACCTGTGTTATGTTAAAGAACATTCACTGTCAACTGCTAGTTAGATGTCTGAAGTTTTTGGTGGATACATTTTGGAGTGATGTCAGCCAAATCTGTGATGCTAATAGCAAACCAAAGTATGGCAATTTGTCCCGATTTGTGGAGCAAATGACGATACTACCTTTGGCAAACGCCAAAGTAGAAAGCATATTTTCCGATATTAATAGGATTAAAAATTAAGATCGAAATCGATGTAATAATAAAAATGTTGCATGCAATAATGCATGGAAAAGGGTTACGACGGGTCAGTTGGAAGGAGGATGTAGGAGATTTGATCGTGACAGAAGTATGATCATATGGACTCAAAACAGCTTTATGACAATGTTACCCAACATAAAGGCGAAAAATCTTAACTTTAAGTTTAATTTTATTTTTTTAATAATATTTTTATTTAGAATTTAACTTAAAAAAAACATTGGTTTCTTTGTTATTTTTATTACTTTATCGTTTATTCAATAAAAATCATGTTTATAGGTTACAGGACAGCAAAAAATATACTAGATTTATGATTTTAGTATTCTTTCGTTCTCTTTTGGTAGAATTCAGTAGTTTTTAACCTCGACAAGCAGTAGATTCGTCAAATAAAATCTGGTCACGCTGATCTGGTCACACTGCCGTCAACTTACCTGACTTGCCAGCGACAGCAACGAAATGAACAAATAAAGTTGTTCTAGCGATACATATTTTCTATACATCTTATCTTAAATATATCAGTAATGCAATATAAATTTCGTAACTTATTCTGAAGAAAATATTTTAACAGTTCAAATCTGCCAGCACAGAAACTTCAACAGGTTAGATTGTTGAAATTTGACATGGGTTTAGACTAAAAACTAAAATTATCTTATCTGCGAAAATATAGAAATGTGAAAAATTTATCACAATAAAATATTATACTATAGTAGGTATAATTTTTTTCAACATTTTAATAGAAGCTTGATAAAACAAAAATATTTGAAATTAATTGTTAGATGACTGGTAAACATTGCACTACCAATCTCAATTTTACTATATTGAGCAATGTAGAACCTCGTTATGTTTATATTTTTCTCATTAATCAATTATAATATGTGTTGGTGAGACACACATTTTAATTAATATAATTTAGATTAAAAAAATAAAACATTCCTATCAATGTTGTTTCAGGTTTATTATTGTAACTTCTTGAATAAAGTAAAATAAATAGATAAAGGTTTTAAATATGGTAGATTTTATGAGAAGAGCACTTGAATTAGCAACTGAAGCACAAGTTGCTCAAGAGGTGCCAGTAGGTTGTGTGTTCACTATCAATGACACTATTGTTGCAGAGTCAAGAAATTGTGTTAATGTTACTCATAATCCTACAAGGCACGCGGAAATTAACTGTATTGACTTCATTATAGAATATTGTAAAGCAAACAACATTGATTACAAAAGTTATTTTAAAAATATAAGTGTTTATGTAACTGTGGAGCCATGTATAATGTGTGCGGCAGCCTTACAAGATTTAAAGGTGAAACAAGTTGTATATGGATGTGCCAATGACAGATTTGGTGGTAAAACTGTGCTTGATGTAAGCAACTTTTATGCTCAAAATTATGAACTTACAGGAAATCTACTAGCAACAGAGGCAATGTCACTATTAAAGCAATTTTATAAAGGGACAAATCCAAATGCACCTGAATCAAAAGTGAAAAAGAAAAAAGAATGTGAATTAGATTAATGAATTTGTGAACAGTGACTATAAACTTTTTTTTTTATTGTTCCAACTTATTTAGAATAATTAATACTTAATAGTTTTCATTATGTCTTGAATTAAGCATGTGGACATGTAAATAAAATGTTATTAAATCCTTTTCTATTAAAAACTACTGTTGAAGAAAAATTAAATTATGTTACTAATTAGAATAAAAGCATGTTTAAAATGTTAGGAGTAATATTTATTCTTAAATCTTACAGAGAGACAACTTAAAACTTAGCAAGGAAATCATTTATCAAAAGATATGTTCAGCAATAAACCCCAAATTAATTCAGAAATAGTTTCTTTCGTAACTTATTACTACTACAGTATTTTATTCTTTGTAATTAGATTAAAGTCTATTATTATCAAGAAATAAACTGTCAGGTACTTACGTATTAACGTCACCGCAGTAGAATAAGTTGCGCCTATATGCCAATAGAGTGCAATCTTGTTGTTCACTCAGACTCTGATAGATTAGGTTAGAAGGTTAACCTGAACCTTCATGGTTAGGTTATTTTTTTATGACCAAGAAATACGAGCAGAATTGACATATTGACAACAAAAAAATGGGGTATTTCTATATTAAAAAATCACACAATTTCATTATTTATTTTTTCGAAAACTATAAGCGACCACCAAATTCTGCTTGTTGATAAATTTACGAGTAATTTTTCTCTATTGTTTAAAATAACTGCATGCACGTGAGAAGAACAAGATTGTACTCTATTGGCATATAGGCGCAACTTATTCTACTGCGGTGCCATTAATACGTAAGTAACAACTGTCAAATTACATACAAATAAATTGATGATAAATATATTTTTTTATTAAAATTAAGGAATGTGTTAATTCAAAAATCAACATAATCATATCCAGATCCATCAGAAAATATTAAAATATAACAATGGGAAAATACTTACTGTTATCATATATTTTAAGTTACATTGCAGTTATTTAAAAAGAAATGTTTAAATAAAAATATATTTTTACCACGCTATTCTTATTGCATACTTCATATACTACTTATGAAATTACTTGACACATTTAATTTGGTTTCATATTAAAAATTAAAATAGTTTAACAACAAACAATAACTATAAACTATCATTTAATGACAACATACCTTGTCTTATATCTTAAGTTAACAATATACTGTACAAATATAAATGTGAGATCTATGTTTGGAATATATATACATTTTAGCATAATTTATTACAAGTACTCACAAAATGTTAGTAGCCATCACAGAAAATCAACTAATTCTAATAGAGTGAGATCTCACAATTACATTATTACAGCAATTAAAACTATCCCAAAATTTGTACAAAAACAAGTCACTAAATTTCAGGCAAGCAACTTAATTCATATGTTATGCCAACTGTCTCAATCATTAAGAATTTTATATTTAAATACTGCATGCTCTTAAAGGTCATAATTAAGCACCACTTATTCACAATAAATTATTCTGTTGAAGTGTGGAAACCATTGACAAGAGGGTAAGCTGTATGCACATCTGCTGTATCATGTTCACCATTTGTTTCAACTTCAATTCCATTCGGTAAATGTTCACAATTTGCTGGTGCTTCATCGTGAGAGCTATTGCACCTACTAGAACTACTGGCACTATCTGAACTGGAAGAACTGTCACTCTCTGAATCTTCACTAGAACTCTGTGTTTGACGGCGCAAGTGTTCATTTTCTGCCCTCAACTTCTCATTAGCTATCTGAAGCTCACGAATCTGATCTGCTTGCTCTTTAAGTTGTTGCAGTAATTCCGCCACGGAAGACTCATCCATTGATCCAGTAACAGAAGTCTCAGAGGTATCTCGATCAGTGACCATACTGTCTTTGTCCGTTACAGATGTATCTCTATCTGTCAATGTAGAATTTTCGAACTCACTTTCCTTAACTTTCGACCGTTCTGTTCTTTTAACAACATTATCATATTTAGCTTCTAGTAAAATATATTCTTCAATTAGCTCGTTTTTCGACATATTGGACAAACGTTCACTCTGAGCATCTTCATACACGCTGGAAAATTCTTTTGTCAGATACTCCTCTTCGTCTTCTGGCAGTGAAAAAAAATAATTGTCTTCGGAATCTACGCTAAAGCTGGAATCTCGAGTGCGAGCTGATGGTGTTCTTAAATTATGAAAATTGTTCTCAGGTTCCGGTTTATGAATTTCCATAAGAAATTGATTGTTGTTAAAAGGTGCTTGAGTTTTAGCCAAAACGATCTTACGAAATCTGTTAATTCTTTTAGATTGATCATTCTTTCTTCGGTCCTGCCAAGGAATTTTAGAAAAAGGTTTCATAATTTTACGTTTAGATTTCCCGCGTCTCCTTTTCTTTTTGAAATTTCCATCAAGCTTTTGTTTTGACACTTCAAGTATAGGTGGCGCTTCCACGGCTACAAGGGGTCGAACAGGTTCGCCATCTTTTATTTCTCCCGTATTATTTATATCCATTTTGACTATTTAACGAACTTTACTTTATAAGCCAATATTTTTTTAACCTCAAGGTTTCACTAAAATTACAATTTACAGCAACAGCAATAGTCTAACACAGTACTAGTCAGTATTTCGTGTAAGGAGTTCCACACGAAACAAGAGCGATTTCGCCATCTTCAATTTATATCAAACATGTTGACAATGTATGCAGAGTGTTGCCCTAAGCCCTAAATAAACTTTTTAAAAACAAAATATTATCTTTACTACAAAGGAAAACCACATTTCGCTACATTATTATATAAAATATACTTTTCATATGCAGAATTAAATATACGTTTTAAAATGTGTAGAAAAATGTACGAAAAGTTTTTTGCCGCTGTGGAAATCGAATCGACGTTTTATGGATTCGCGCCCAGACGCTGTAACCTGTTACCGTTTTCATTAGAATTATATATATATTCCCTTTTTTCCAAACTTTTAACGTTTCATCTTAAGTGCAGAGATTAAAACGATAACAATTTTAATTTCCAAATGTATGTTTGATTGGGAAACTTCCATTCCATAATTTTCTTAAATTCAATTTCTTCACATCTGCTTTCTAATTTGATGACTGAATAGTTCTTGAATAATCAATATAAATAAAAATGTCACATGTTACTAAAAATATAAATTACCACTTTTAGAGGAGATGCAGTCGAGCGGACAGCGTCTCATCGTCATACATCAGCTACGTTATTTCTCCTGAGTTTACGGGTCGTTTACCATCGAACCTAAATTTAATCCGATTATTCATGGACAAACGCAAGCAAGCATCAAACAGAAAACGTAGTGATTAAATTTTTTTTGGCAAGCATATGAACTTGGAGGGTAAGAGGTGGGGGTTGAAAAAATATAAAAAGTGGAAATTGTATTATTTGTCTCCCTCTCTATGTAACATTCGAGATTTTTAATATAGTATAGGATTATTAAATGTTGATGTTTATATTATGAAGGTGGTAGAGCCACGCAGCAGCCTCGGCTAATGCATGACAAATACTTTCGCGTTTCGTCTGGTGAGTGAGGTAGCTAGAGCCCAATTTCCAAAAAGTTTGTCAATGCATCTGCAAACCCTCGGGTGTAGAAGATGTCTATGGGCGGCGGTATTCACTTAACATCAGGTGAACCGTCTGCTCGTTTGGCAAGTTTTCGCATAAAAAAATGACGGAAGGACTGTCGGATGAAAGATGGACGTATTAGACTACAATTTGGGCAGGTCCAAGTGGCAAGAGAGCTAGAATCGCCCGAATGAACACTGGGTAATATAAAATGGCGAAATAAAAAAAATATGCTGGAAACGACTGGACAAACAAAGCGAATGCAAAAAAAAACCTGGAAGATGTTAGTGGAGGGGAGGCCTATACCCGCCAGAATTATATATGTATATTAAATGACTTACGCCCGGTTTCTGAAACACTGATCATCGTAGATGTTGAACCAGAATGATCTTCTTTATGATCAGAATGATCAATTCAAAGAGTTTAAACATCCTTTTGGCAACTAAAATGAAATTTGAAATTCATTTGACAGCTGATTAGTTGACATCTACGTTGATCAGTGTTTCAGAAACCGGGCGTTAGTACCATAAATATTTCATATATTTAATCTAAGCCTCTGTATTCACGATATTTATTTTGTGATATTTAAAAAAAATATATTTAACTAGACAATTCGATAAAATAAAACTTTCAATGTATTAAATACCTTTTTTCTATTGTTAGTGTCGTTTTTTCTACAAACCCAGAATAAGGCGAAAGGTAAAAATTTTAAAAGATTTTTATCTTGTTACGCCAAAGAAGTATAACTACTAACGCGTGCACATAAGTACACACACACACATTTTTTAGTTCGAAGGGGTGACAAACGTGTAGGCATTATCAGATTGTAAGTAATAATTTCCACTCTTTGGACACTCGCAACTCCAGACATTATTATGCGGATATGTTTGCAAATTTTAAGGGTAGATTACCTCATTCACCGAATGAAACGTAACAGTTATTAAAGACTGTAGGTTGGTCGGCCAAAATAAAATAGTGAGGAAAGCGTAAACAACTTTTACATTAATTAGACTACTTCCTACTTATTAGGACAGAGTAACGTCCTATGCAAAGGATAAGAGTGTTTTTAACCTAACACTGTTTTTTTTTTGGGCTGCATGAGCCACTGTTGGCCTTAGGGGCCTTTACAGATCCGACGGACTTGAGGTGGCCTGGCGCTCGAGGCGCCTAGCCTGAACCTCGGCGTACTATTATTACGCGTTATGGTGACTAAGCTCGAGGGCTCCCGGGGGAGCCTCGGCTCGGGCCGTCACGCTATTATTATTACCGGTTTGGGAGGCCGCCAAGCTCTTAGGGCGCTTTGGCGGGCGCTCCATGAAGTGATCAGGCTCAACGGTCCCCGAGAGGGGACCTCGGCTTGGGCTGTCACTCAGCACGCGTTTAGCATTCCGATTCGAGGGTGCCCGAGGGGGCCGGACCTCGGCTCGATCGGTAGCTATTATCTGACTGGGGGAATTACTAGAGCTAACATTACTACCACTTCGGAGAGCGTTGGCGCTGGGAGAAGAAGTGGCGGAAGAAACTCCAGCAACGCTTCTATCATTAATCGGGGAAAACCTGCCAGGTACGTGGCGGAACCTAGTATATGTTTGCGGTGTGTGTTGGTGTGTTTCTTGAGTTTTTTGATCCTTTCGATGGCGATAGTCGTCTCATCGTCAGGGAAGTCGGGAACGTGACGCGGTCTTCGGTAATCGCGGCGGAAAATATTTAGCGGCAAGGGCCTGTAGGTGACGGCACCTACGATAAGTGGGTTGGGATGCGCGGCGGCGGAATCGAAATACCGGCGCGACGCCGACTTCAGGAATTGCGCGATGGTGGGCAATTCTAGATCGACATGTAGTTCGATATTGCGCATGAACCAGGGTGCTCCCGTGGCTCTGCGCAAGAATCGATTTTGAATCACCTGAAGCCGGTGTATTTGCTTCGGAGCAATGTGAGCGAAGACGGGGCTCGCGTACGTCATGATAGGGCAACCCTAACACTGAAACATTATGAACTTATATACAAAAATATAATGAGTCATCACAACTACATTACAAATCAATGCACTTATTAAATTACTAATGCAGTTAATAAGATTGACCTATTAAATTATAAATTATTATTAATCATGGATTATTACATAATATTATACCAGATATGGTTCAATGTTTATTAAGTATAATTGTTATTGCTCGTATATTAAGCAGTGTTGCTAGTGGATTGTAACACAGTATAAATAATTATTTATTTACTTTAATAAGAAACTTCACAGCATTCAAGAAATGTTTAGCATAAATACAACTAACAAAGATATTTAACCGTTAAGGAAGTTGAAACTATATAATTTTTTTTTAGGGGGACATCAAATAAATTTGTACCCCGTGGAAGACGCAATTTTTCTAGCAAGGTAGGACAGTCTACGTGGCCTTGTAATCCTAACTTCTTTACTAATATTATGAAGGCGAAAGTTTGTATGTATGTATGGATGTATACTCTTTCACGCAAATACTAGTAAATGGATTTTAATGAAAATTTATAATAATATAGCTTTTACATCAGAATAACACATAGGCTATATACAGCGTGTCTTTACAATTGCGGCAATAAATGAACACACATATAGGAGATAACTTTTTAAAATTGTATTAAACACTTACATTTTTTAAACATCAATATTTACAGTTATTAAATTTTTCAAAACAAAGAATTTTAGAACACCCTTACCTATAAAACTGTAACGTAAAGTTCATTTGTAAAGGTAAGCATATGAATGGGTTGAATGAATTTAAAAGAGACGAAACATGTGCTGTGGCGCGAGTTGTATAGGATGTACAATTACAATTTACTTAATTAGTTTGTTTATTGTATTATTTTTGTATTTTTTTATGATTATTGGCATTGTAGCGTTAGACGTGTGTTCATTTATTGTTATACATATTTTATGTATGTCTGTCTTTCTGTCTAAATATTACGCCTTCAGCCTATTCTACGCAGACGTAGTCGCGGGCAGCCCTAGTACATTATATAAAAGCCGCATATTGGAAATAATTCTCCGATTAGATAAAGATAGAAGTTTATATTCCCCGAGCCAGATTATCTTTTGAACCTAATTTGACTGGTACAACTTTACTGTAATTTCCCAAAGTTAATGAAAATTACTATCGCCTAAAGATGTATTAAAAATTCGGGCTAATTTGCAGCCATAGATTATGGCTTATCAATATGGGAAATTGATCTTCAATTGCCCATATTGATATGCCTCATAGGTCTTCTGTTTTTTCTCACTACTCAAAATATTTTATATACGTACTTCGTTCAAATTTATTAAACCTTAAACTAAATAAGGTACTATAAGCTTAAACCTTACAAGACGTAGCTATAGGTATAGCTACAGTTACGTCTACGAAGTATATTTTTGTCGTCGTGCCCCAGGTTTTAAGGTAATGCTTTTGTCCTGCCCAAGTACAAACTTGGAGCTACCCCGGAAAATTGTTGTTTTTAGAAAAAAAATTTAATCGATAAAGGAATGTTAATAATTAAATATTATATACGTGAAAACCAATGAAAACACTTACTTTTAATTAAAAAAAAAGTTAAAGCTTATGAGTTACTTTCATTAATAAAGTCTGCCATTTTATTAATTTGACTTTGACATCCAAAATATGAATACACGCAGTGCTGCCACCTGACATACATATGACAATACTGCCAACATCATATATGATACAAATTTCCATCAGTTTCCGGGTGTTTTCGACCAAATAAAAATTTTATTCGGTTAAGAAAAATCACTAATAAAATAATCAGCACAAGCAGAATTTGGCGGTCGCTTATAGTTTTGGAGAAAAAAAAATATTTAAAACTTGTCATTTTCACTAAATACATCCGCCATTTTGTGTTTGACAACATTATAAATTTACGAATTCACACACTTTTCCAAATTATAACCTTCGCATTATTAAAACGAGTCTTTAAAAATACTAAAAGTACTGTTACACTAAAGTTTTCTGGGTGGTTATAAAAATAACAATCACGAAGGCTAAGGCGGGGAACACAGCTCCCGCCTTAACCTTCTAGCCTAACCTACCCAAGTCAAACCATCACCTAATCCATAATAATCAAGGTCGGAAAAGAATCCGTGATATATAAAAATGTGCAATCACAAACCTATTCAATCACCTAATTTTTATACCTAAATAAGTTTGTAAAGTTAATTGCATCACAAAAAGAGAACAAGACCGCAGAGTATCTTCCCGGTTCTTCTCAGTTCAGGTCTAGTTTAGTGAACCGGTGGTATTTTTTTGACGTGCAATAAAAGTTAAGTTAAGCTTTCATTGAATTATGTCCCACAGTTAGGCAAAGGTCTCCTCTGTACAATGGGTATAGTAATAATAACATTCATGCAATTTTAGTTTCAGAGTCATGGTTAAAACCATTATTATTATTGGGGGGATATTCATTTGTTTTCTCGTCTGGTTGGGTTTATAAATAAAAATAAAGATATAGATATATATTGCATATATAAAATAAATATTATGGATAAAAATAAACATACATATATATATATATAAACATTTTATATAATACATATATAAATAGGACCCAACCAGACGGAAGCCCTCGGCAGGGGAGACCAAACGGCCGAGGGTTAGGGCGAAAGGGAGAGAAACCGGCGGACGATGCGGGCGGTATCGAGGAGCACCGCCTTCTGCATTTGAGCCTGGAGCGATCCGTCCCGGAGTCCCAGTCGCCTCAGATGATTAGAGAGGCTCACTGGGATCAACCCATTCGCAGACACGACTATCGGGATAATTTCGGTCGGCACACCACCCCACATGTCGGTCACCTCGTGAGCCAGGTCCAGATACTTCGTCTTCTTATCTGTTTCGGCTTTCACGAGGTTCTTGTCATATGGAATGGTAATGTCGACCAAAAATACCCGCGACTGTGCCCGGTCCATCAACACGATATCAGGTTTGTTCGCGACAATCGTCCTGTCCGTGATGATGGACCGGTCCCAATAGAGCCTGGCGCGGTCATTTTCGAGCACGGCCTCCGGAGAGTACTTATAATACGGCAGTTTCCGTTCCACGAGGCCGTATTTCAGAGAGAGCTCCTGGTGTAGGATTCTGGCTACTAGGTTGTGTCTATGCAGATACTCAGAGTTAGAAAGCATGGAACAACCGAAGATAACATGCCGAAGCGACTCCCCGGGATGGCGACAAGCTCGACAGATGTCGACGGTGCCATCCTTTAGGATGTATCTCCGATAGTTGTTCGTCTTAATAACCTGATCCTGTATCGCACAGACAAAACCTTCGGTTTCCCCAAAGAGGTCACCGAAACGTAGCCAGTTAAGGGAGGCAACAGTATATACGAAAGGCTCGTGTAGAGCCTTGTAGAACCTCCCGTGGAGCTCTTTCTCCTTCCCTACGGCCTCTCGGTCGGAAACGCTCAGTACTCCCGGGTCCTACCATTGCTCGTTGGCTAAGGATAGAGGGGTAAGTCCTTTATCACAACTAATGACGTCCGTGTAGATTGACTCATCCGATCTCGCCAGGAAGTAGTTGCGGAGGCTGCACACCTCGCGATTGTGCATGGTAAGGGCGCTCAAAAAGCCCCTCCCGCCATGCTTCCGCGGCAGGTACAGCCTCATCACTGACGATCTCGGATGATGCATTCTGTGGGACGTCATAGTTTTGCGGACTTTTCGGTCCAGGGCATTAAGCTCAGTTTGAGTCCACCTGAGTATGCCAAAGGTATACATGAGGACTGGCATGACCCAGCCGTTAAATGCGCGTGCCTTGTTCACGCCTGACGATTGGCTGTTAAACACCTTTGTCAGGCGTGCAAAAACAACACACACACACTTATTATTATTATTATTATCAGAGCATAGTCCACCACGCGGCCCCACTACGGATTGGCGGACTTCACATATCTTCGAAATATTTTTTCTGTTATTATTTCGTAAATGTGCAGGTTTTCTCATGATGTTTTCCTTCATCGCTGGGCACATGATAATTCGGATCTTAAAATTATCAATTTCATTGGTGCTGGCACCGGGGATCGAACTCGAGTTGCTCTAGTATATTGAATTAAAGGCGAGCGCCCGGACAATGAGCTATCACGGCTTGTTGAGTTGAATGCTACTACTTCTTTTGATCTACTCTAACTGTAATAATGTACCGTTACTCAAAAGCCATAAGGGATGCTACTTGTGTAACCGACAATGGCTGCCTCTCATCTAAGGGGTACTTCGGTCAGGGCGGGGACGGCGTCGGAGGCAGCCGACGTAAGTTGTGCAAATATGAGTCTCTATGCTTAGATTATGTATTTGTGCCATTTGCTGTTGAAAGTTTGGGTTCGTAGGGTCCCCATATATCGAAACTTTTGAAAGGTTTACGTAAGCTTAACGCCACGGCTGGTGACCAGAGAGCTGGTTCTTTTCTCGTTCAAAGGTTAAGCATAACTATTCAGCGAGGAAATGATGATGGTGGTACGTTCTTGGCACAATGCCGCGTGAACTAGGTTTATTAGATAACACGTAATTTGAGACAGTTTTGTAAAGTGGATTAAAAAAAATTACCAAAAAACAGAACCGACTTCAAAATACTCTATTAGCACCAAAAAGTTTGGAGCCGGTGCCATTGTTCAGGTGGTAATGACACCATAACACCTTACTAAAAATAGAAAAAAGCTAAGTAACAAAGAATGCTACGAGTACGGCTTGGCTATTGGGACCACTCGGGAAGCACCAGCTTTCAAATAAAAAAAGATCATCAAAATCAGCTCATCAGTCGAAAATTCTGAGGTAACAAACGAAAGAAAAAAAAACAGTCGAATTGAGAACTTGTAGGTTCTCTTTTTTGAAGTCGGTTAAAAATTAAATCAAGTTTGTGATGACTGAAGCTGAAATGAAATCTGTCTGAATGGATTTGATTAATGGCCATGTCATTTATTTATTATCAGTTGACAGTATTGTCAAAGTCAAATGTTGTTTCTTGTTGTACACTTAAATAAATTTTTAAGTATCCACTATTAAAATACCTTATACCTTAATTATTGTACGATTTATTTAAATATGTATCTTAAATGGTTTCTATGAAGATTAAATGATAAAATAAATAATAACCGCGGAAGTTCAGGAAGATACGTTTACGAAAGATATATTTAAAACAAAACATTTGATGCGTTATGATCAATATTTTTAACACATAATGGCTGACGATATTGTGTTTGAATTATTACATTCGGAGATTATTAACTATGCGCTAGAAAACTCTAGAAGTACCAACGGAAATAAAGTAAGTATTCTAAATGTGTTGATATTAGCGTATGGCTCAGTTTTCCATTGATGTTCGTCGAGTTGAGGGTTGATATTTTTTTTTACAAAAAGGTTACATTATTATAAGCCAACACTCAAAGTTCCAACATGTGGAGACGCGTAGTTTTTTAGAAAAATATATTGAATAACCACAGAATTTCGCCATATTTTTATGGTCAACTGGTATATTATTCCGATTTTTATTTTTTTTTACACCACATCTCGTAATACTACATTTAGGCATTGTTACAACATGATTTTATTTAGTGTCAAAAACAATAAACTATAACACTGAAAACATTTTTTACTGGCATATCTTGTTTTTATAAGGCGGAATACGACCGATTATGTAATCAGGACATATTTGCAGGCGATACATAGTCTATTTATTAATACCCTGTAAAAAAATTGATAAAGATCTTCTATTTACACTTATGTAAAAACATAAAAGATTAAACATATTCCTTAAGTGGGTTTAACACTAATTAATATGTAATTGTATTTTTATAATTGTTGTACCTTACTTACCTTACAAATAATGAGCCGTAAAAGCTCAGCTGGGCGCTCGCTTTTAATTCAATATACTATAACCCCTTTTAAAAAGTTTGATAAAATCATGAAGATGAAACATGAGAATCACCTCCTCCACATAGACCTAGATCATCTTCTAATAAAATAAAGCAAATGTTTTCGTTTTAAAGTTGATATTTTTATTGTTTGTACCTTATCTTTTACAGGAGGTAGATTTGTCTTTTGTAGAGTATATTGGCTTTGCAGCTGGTTATAAAATCATGGAGAGACTCACTAGAGAGTGGCCAAGATTTAAAGATGAATTGGATACAATGAAATTCATTTGCACAGATTTTTGGACATGTATTTATAAAAAGCAGATTGATAATTTACGTACAAATCATCAAGGAGTTTATGTACTACAAGATAATGCTTTTCGTTTCCTGACAACTTTTTCAAATAGCCATCAATATTTAGAATTTGCACCCAGAGTATGTATTTAACGTCATTTTTACAAAATTCAATTTCTTAAAATAAATTATTACATTGTTTTATTTATTAATGCCACATTACATAATTATTAGTTTTTTGTGATAGTGAGGGTGTCCTACACTGCTACGGCCAATGCTAGGCTGCTACTTGAGGATCTTTCTTCTTGTATCTATTTTATGCTTTTCTAGCAGTGTTATTCTTTTTAAATGTAATATATTTTGTTTTTCAGTATGTTGCCTATACATGTGGACTAATAAGAGGAGGCCTAGCAAACTTATGTATCAACAGTGTAGTAACAGCAGAAGTTCAAACAATGCCTTCTTGTAAATTCCATATACATGTACAAAGAACCTAAACATGTAATTCGTAAAATTAAAATATATCAATTACTTGCGTATTTTTAATATCTTTTTAAATAATCTCTTACTACGCTTTAGGAACTGTTTAGCCATTGGGGTTTTCGTTTCCATATAATAGCAAATATATTACAAATGCTCTTTGGAACATTTCACTAGCTGTACCTCAAAAACTTCCACCCAAATCAATTACAAAAACTGTTCACGCACTGACCATAATGACTAATCTTTGCCTCAATTCACCTTTTGTGAGAATGTGCAATGACCTTACACTTTTTACTAGTTTTTTTTACATTGAAATTTTCAATGATTGCCTTTATGTTTACAAAAAGAAAGTACTGAAGTCATTTCTCTTGTATATTCTGTTTAAAATAAGTTTTATTTTTATTTTAATTGATAGATTAGGTTTTTTAGGTTTTTCTTTGTATGTAATTTTTTATGTATTAGTTGGTGTTTTTTTTTTGTCTTAAATGCTCTAAAAACTTTGTCACTATATTGTAAATGTTATACACACCTGTTAAAGGTATACATATCAGATTAAAATCAACTATTTGCCCCCTTTTTACAATAATTTCACAGAATAATGGAAAACTAAAACTCCAAGCCATTTTATTCATGAAATTATACAGTTGCGATTCACATCAACAAACTGGATCCTTCCAAGAAGGAGGCTTAGCTTGATTAAAAATGAAAGCCAGGTCCATGCCAAGACCAATTGCACACATAACAATTGTGGTGCTATAAAGAATTCTGTCATAGAATCCACCTTTAAGCCAGACCGGCTTACCATCATCACACTGCAAATTTAAATTTATTAGGTAATAACATTGGATAACCACATTATACAATACCTAATTTCGTAGGCACAAAAAACCCACGTCAGGTTATAAAAATATTCTGTGACCTAGTGGCGGACTAAGCTCTTCAGAGCCCCGGGGCGGCAAAGCTGAATAAGGCCCCTAGTTTCGAAAGTTTTTTGGTATTGGGAGGGAAATCTTCAAAAGATATCCTGTCATGACAGACCGCCGTGCGCCCCTCGGTGGCCACCTTCTGTACGTTTGGAGGGACTCCTACGAACAGAAGGTGGCCACCGAGGTGGAACGGGAAACCAACCGGCGTCCCTCAGTACTGCGCGTGGGCACGCCTCGGAGGAGGATAAACCTTCCCAGATTCCCTCGCCGTCTTGGAGCACGTGACCACTTCGTGCAATCCGTGTCCCCTTTTTGTCGCCTTTTACGACAGGCAGTAGATAGCTTAGCTCTATTCTATGAGCCCGAGACTACATGGCTGTTAGGAAGCTGACCTGATTATACATAATATTTACAAGATTAAATCTATCTAAAATTACATATTATCTAATAAACCTAATCAACGCGGCATGTTTCCAAGAACGCTAAATGCATTTTCTCGCTGAATACTTATGCTAATTAAATATTTTACATTGATTTTAATTCACTTCACATTGCTACGCACGTACATATTGTACAATGTAAGTTCATTTAGTTAAAATCTTAAAAGTGAAGTTTAAATTAGACTCTAATAAAAATACACATAATATCCATATTTTATGAAAAAAATAATTAGTAAAAATAAATTGATATGTTATTGTTATATAAGTAAAAATAATGGATATGTTGACTCGGCCGCGCAGTTGTCTAGGTATTGGCTTCGGCGTCGAGTGTCGTGGGTTCGATTCCCACACGGGACAACTATTTGTGTAAACCACTGATAGTTGTTTCGCATCTGGGTCTTTGTCCATGTGAAATTATGTTTGTAATACGTCCTTACAACACATGATAATCCTAAAGTTTCCTAAAGTTAGGGCAATGTTTTAAAAAAGAAATTAATACGTTATTTTTATTTACAGGAAGTTTACTTGTTTAAAAAGAAATTGATTTCACTGAAGTTATTGAGTCAAGTTACATCTGAAACATGTCCTGGTCCAATGTATTTGCGGTATCAAAGCATGAAAGAATAAGCAGAAAATCTTGAATAAAATTAAATTGTTATTGAAGTCCCCAGCACTTCATTAAACTTACTTGAGCAGTAATTTCAATATTATTTCTTCCTTTTTCTTCCTTTGCCTTCAAGTCTTCACGGTCAGAAAAATGCTTACCTCGAAAATCTTTCCTAAGGTTGGCATACCGAAAGTAATCACTAAGGGCTAGGTAACGTGGATGATTGATTTCTTCAAATTCGCAATCCTGCACTGCAGCCTTGGCAAAGCACCCTTTGTGAACCTGCGCGTTGTAGTATAGAAGCAAAACACTTCAGTCAATTTTTCACGTCCATTTTCTCTTATTGCTTTTAATTACGGTGTTTGCGTAAGATGCGGCAGTAATAATGCTTTGACTTTTTTTGTGCTAAATCAGTAAGATTCACTTAGAATTCCAAAACACTGTCGCAAAGAATTTTCCTTCGGATGGGGTGCCTTTAAACTTCTTTGGTGGGTCTGTCCCTTTCGTATGCAACCATGGACTCTTGTTTGCTCATAGGATCGTAGTGATGAACCCACGTTTCATCACCGGTAACGATTTGGTCTAAAATACTATGTAGATTTTCACTACAGAGCTCCACAAACACAACACGCACTTGTTTTTGAAGCACCGTGAGCATTCGCGGCACCCATCTTAAACATATTAGCACGGAAGCTCTTTTCTTCGATGTCGCAAAGGCATTCGACAAGGTCTGGGGCACAACGGCTTGCTGTACACACTCAAAGTGCCAGATAGGCTCGTACAGCCAGCCGGGCCTTCTTGTCGAACCGATCTTTTCGATATCGAGTTAAGGGCACCCTCGCCACAAACCGCCGCCTCACGGCTAGCGTTCCACAAGGCTCCTGCCTCTCACCTTTACTCGTTACGCTCTACACGAGCGACATACCCAAAGATCCCCACGTCAATCTCGCACTTTTCGCGGATGACACGGCGCTCTTTTACATAGATTAAAATCCCAATCAACTCACTACTTCTCTCCAAAGCGCCGCCGACCGCCTCGGCGATTGGTTTCGCAAATGGAGAATAGAAGTTTTCAATTACAGTGGCTTCCCATACGTAGACGTCGAGACTTACATGTACTATCCTTCCTTTATTTCTTACTATCTAATCCTTTAGCTCCTTCTTATCTCCGTCAGCGGTTCGAATATCTGGTTCCTAGTGGAACTAAATGCCGGACTACGAAATCCCTACTTCTCAAAACACCTACTCACTTCACCAAAAGGTATGATGCGTCATTTACTGTAAAGGCGGTCAAGTTATGGAATTCACTACCACATGACATACGTGCCAGCTCTTCCCTTGACATTTTTCGTAATAGAATCAAGAGACACTACTTATCTACTTAGGATTGACAACAACTGTTTCCCAACTTTCTGCATTGGCGTGGGTCTTTATAAAGAATCGTGTAAAGTGAATCGCCACACTCTTATCGGGATTTACTTTTTTTCTTTTTTTTTTACTTTATTGTACACAATTATAATACAGACAATCGGAACAAATGACAAAAACATGTACAAAAGCGAGCTTAACCCTAAAAAGAGATCTCTTCCAGCAGACCCTTGAGAACAGGAAGCCATAATACTATATAATTAGGTGAAGGTGTGTACATTATTAAAGAATTTACCAGAGTAATTGTAAAAATATACAAGAACTATATACTAATTAAGTAAAAAAGAAACAAAATTTGTAACATCCTATACAACTCGCGTCACAGCGTCGTATTACAAGCCTCTCCTTCTAACAGTATGTTTTGTCTCTTTTAAATTCATTCAACCCATTCATATGCTTTGTGACCTTTACAAATGAACTTTACGTTACGCTTTTATAGGTAAGGATATTCTAAAATTCTTTGTTTTGGAAAATTTAATAACTCTGTAAATATTGGTGTTTAAAAAATTTAAATGTTTAATACAACTTTAAAAAGTTATCCCCTATATGTGTTTATTTATTGTCGCGATGGTAACGACACGCTGTATAGGTACCCTCAAAGAGTGTTTTTAACTAATGAGATACATTTAATTACTCTCATCATTAGTATATCAACCCGATATCGCGTATAAAAAAAAACATTGAACGCCCATTGTCATATGAAATAACTACTGAATATAGCAAGGTATCTTTTTTAATTAATTGCCTATTTTATTATTATGTGTATTATCTCATGTGTCATTAAAGATAGGACTATTGAATTATTTAGCGATAGTATAAAAACTTTTATATATACTCTATATTAAATCCGAAAATGTTATTTTTACACTTTTTAAATTTTTATATTTTTCTTATTGCGTTATTTTTTTTTTATATTAGTATCTAACTCGTACTAGTACCTAAAAATTATTAAGTTATCCTACACGTATTGTCTTTTTAAACATGCTATAACTACCTTTAACTTTAACTGGAATCATGTAAATCTTAGAACCTAAGACTATGGTCAGATTTAATTACAAAACAACATGTTATTCTGCCGGTGGTTCTCAGCAATAAATAAATAAATCGATAATGAAAAAAGGCCGGGGAAAGTAAAAAAAACTAGCAATACATAAGTGAACCGAGAATTAAAACTGTAAAGACATTACAAAGATTAACAGTAGTCGTAATTTTATTCATAAATTGTAAATTTACAATCCAATAATTACTGGTACAGGGCTCTTAGACATCTACAGAAGTGTTTTTTAAGGCCTTGTTTAGGATTTGTTCTAGAGAAGTTACTTGGGGCCAACCTGACCTGAGGCTAGAGGCGGGCCGCCCCTGCTAGTCCGCCACTGTTGTGGCCTACACTAAATTTAGGGTTCTAAGTAAATATACATATGTAAGACGGATTACTTAGGTTCAGGCTAGGCGCCCCGTGCGCCAGGCCACTACAAGTCCTTCGGATCTGTGTAGTCCCCTAAGGCCAACAGTGGCTCATCAATAAAAAAAAACGGATTACATCACACCGCTTCTACTATGACGTAATTAAACTGGAAATCGCTCATGTTTACGAGAAGTCTCTGTTCGTCGTTGTTTTAATAATTCTTATTCCGTAGTTTATCGTGTGTTAGTCGGACATGTCGGTTAGATATATTGTTATGATAGCCCGACAGTACATATGTTTCTTACATGGGTAACAAAATCATTTTAAAAAAAATTATTGTTGCTGTAGATAATAAAAAATAAAAAAAGCACTGGTAATAAAAAGCTTATTCACTCTGTATTGTGTTGAGTCACATTTTTACTCTAATTATTGGGTAGAGAGCTTAGCTCAAGCAAAAATTTCATGATATTTCCAATCGTGACTGATAAGTCTTGTTGTAAACACACTGATTTGGTCATAAGACCCTTTAGTATCACTTACAACCCATACATTAATACATACCTGGAATTTAGCTTGCAATCTTTTCTTTTTTACTAGACTTTGACTGTCATTAACTTTGCTTGTATAAATATACCTTACTGCATGATTAATGTTCTGTGAAAAATATATAAGAAAAGATACTAGAAAAAAATAATCTTAACGATAATAATTTACTTAATACCCCTATGAAACTTGTTTTTCTCCTTTAATACATAATCAAGATTTAGTTTTACGTAAGTTCAAAAAAATAACACCATAAGACTTTTATGCCCTAACCCATAAATAGCACATTTTTTGTAGCTAGAGATTTAATTATTATATACATTGTGACAATGTATATATGCCATCCTCATATCAAAATAAACCCATAAGACAATGATAATAGAATATCATACAAGTTGTAACAAAAGTGCGGATTGTTTGAAACACGGCTAATTTGTTTTAAAAATTGACCAATTTATGTGTCTTATCTTACCCTTGTAAACCTTAACATTTTATTGTTTTAAAATAATTATTTAGCGTTTCTTCTATTATAATTTCGTATGAAAATTTCCTGCTTCCTATGTTTTTTCTAAGACAATAGGAAATGTCAGTACCTGCTGTAATCTGTATTTTAAATATTATTTATTGATAACATGTTTGGCCAGCATTTAATTTTATGTATTAATTTTATTATTGAATTCAAATCAATTTTTTGGCGGGTTTATTATCTCTTCTTTATATAAGAGTTGAAAAGTGAAAAAATAAATATTTAGAAATCACACTAACAATACCAGGCATAAACAAACCATTGTGAATTCAACATATCAAATATTTTAAGTCGGTTTTATCGTTAAAAACTCTTTATTTTGCATTGGTTCGCAGTCATATGGATTATTGTTCTGTCGTATAGTACCCATCTTATCAAAATAATATTCAGCGCAGAGAAAGAATTCAAAAACTATTTTTAAATAAAATATCCTACGTAAGTGGCGTTCATTATACAATTCGTAGATACTCTGAAAGATTAGTTAGTATTGGAGCAGCGTAGAATCTGCTGTCTATAACTTTCTCACATATTTTTTTTATACATTTTTAGTAATAAAGTGGATTGTCCATTCGTCCTAACACGCACTAACTTGAAAGTAGATAAAGTTTCAGCAAGGTTCCATTAGCATGTTTTCCATGTGACGCTTGGTTGCCTACATATCCATGGCCGGTAACCAATTTCACACCCCCAGACCCGAAAAGGTCAGGGCGTCGGTTGCTACGCGGATCCTCATACAAACTTGATCTGTATCTCTTTGTGTTCATCATACAGTTCTCATGGGATAATAATGTAGTAGTTTTCCCTGGCTTTCTACAACCTCAGTGCTTATAGTAATCCACCATGAACCAGGTTCCAGATAGCTCCTTGTAGCTCGCCTCCTCCGCTGGTCTGGCCATTCCGACACCAGCTGTTGAAGACTTCACCCGCTATACCCCATAGAGCTGAGTCCCGATAATGATGATATAGAAAAACTTAACCAACTTGAAACACCATAAAAATATATTTACCTCTGTTATATTTTCTATTTGTCTCTTTTTTTAAAGGCAAAGATTAAATGTAAATAGCCAAAAATAATATTTCGGTCTGGAATAACACGTGTAAAAAGATATTATAACCATTAACTTGTCTCTTTCTAATGCTTCAGAATTTAATTATGTAAATCTTTTGACCTAAAATACGAATCAATACTGTTCGAAACCATTCTAGTTAATCTATAATACTTAGAAAATAATTTCTCGAAAACTATTTTCCGCAGAAAAACCTTCTAGTATTTACTTCAATGATTTATTACCTTTCTATTAAAAATAAAACTATAACGTAAATCCTGCTACCCTAAACAGAAGCAAAGCCAAATATGGTAATTCATTTTTAACGTAAAATTTGAATTACACCTATTTAATTATAATTCAAAGTTGCGGGTTATAATCTATATGTAGTATCAAGCACGAAATTTAATATTAATAATAACAAATCTAATAATTTCTTATCGAAATTATTAGACAATTTAAAAATATCATATATAAATAATTCCAAATGTGAACTTTTCTTTTCCGAAAAGATTTCTTTTTCCGACAAAATTATTTTGACCCAAAATTTTAGCTCTATCATACCAGTAATTAACGTAGTCCGTTCAGATTCACTTAACCTCTTAGATACTCCTTTGTTGATACCAAGTATGGAACCTCATTTAAAATTAAAGTTAAATCAATTTTTATGTCATTTTTATATTTTAACATTTTTATATCATGTTAACAAATTATTTTTACTAAATTCGCATATTGCGCTTACTATTTTCCGACATTGATTCTTGTACCTAAATTTACGTACCTCCTTCGATCGAGTCCAGTTTGGAAATGCGGTGACTTTTTGAACGAAATTGATTTCCATCTTAAATACATCAAAAATTCTAAATTTATCTCTTAATGACGCTACGCTACGCTGCCAATTCGTTTTGGTGGCATCGCTGTAAGGCAAATTTCTAGTGTCGCTCTACCTGCCTTTACATACCTCATACATACAAACTTTCGCCTTTATAATATTTGTAAGAATGTGTAATTTTAGATAGATCTAATCTTGTAAATATTAGATCAATAAGCTATATTAACTTATACATTTATTATCAGCGTTTTCATTGAAAAAAAAAAAAAAGAAAATAGTAATATCATGACGGTTATATTTATGAACTTATTTGTCTATGGCCAAACCTTGAGAAGCGTACTTTTTGATTGGCGGTATTACTTCCTTCGTGCTATTGCTTCCTTTCCGTCATTCGCTCCGCTCTTTCAATTTTACAGAAAATGGCTACCGAAGAGTTGGTGACTGAGCAATTTCAATTTTTGGGCATAGATGTACAAAAAGAAGTATTAACAAAATGTAAGTAATTAACTTATAAACTTTATATGGCCAACATGTAGATATTACTTATGTTTACTTCTAAACTTTAAATAAAAGTTTGTTGTTTGTAAAACTTCATCGCTAAAAAATTAATGTTCAAGGTTGTGTCTTTATTCATGTTTAACAAGGTGTAAGTTTATGTGAAGAGTATAACGTAGACCCGGAAACTTTTATTGAACAATGGATGGCGTTCAGCCTGACTCACTTAAACGGTTCTCCGCCTACTTTAGAAAACTTGGATTTACTTGAGAAAAAGGAATTTTCCAAACTGACTGCTACTAGGCTCAACGCTCTTCTCACTAACGAAGCGGCAAACACCGGCGCAAGTTTGACGGTTTACGGAGCACAGGTTCCTGTTCAGTATCCTTTTTTTTTTACTTTTTCGGTCCACGTGTTTTATTTGTTTTAACAAACTTTTGGAAAGTTTTACTTGTTTTGTTTGTAAGTTTTTAACGGACATTCTTATGCAAATGTATTACTTAAATTTAAATTTAATTTAATTTAATTACTTATAAAATTTAATAAGGTTATGTTGTTATCTATATTTTAATATAATTTGTATCAATAACTTTTGAATTAGTAACTTTTGACTATTTTCCTTAATGATTAGGTCAGACAGTGATGTTCTTTCGGGCTATATGACTACATCACCTAAGGTAACTTCATAATTTTTAACCTTTTTTTTTGTTTCGGAATTCCGTGTATTCTTTTTTCATAACTATTAAAGTGTTCGAGATATTTGAAAAGCCATCATTAGTTTTTATAATATCTCACGATCATTTTACTTTTAAAATTTACCTTTGAAAAAAAATATTCATTAGCTTATTTATTATTACTTTGTGCTTATACCCTCATTTATATGTTAAAAAAAATTAAATACTGTGCATTCATCAATGATGACACTATTGTTATCTTAGTTTTTACATAATTTCAAGAAGAAATCAACAGGATCGAAGAAATATTCTACTTGTGCTAAATGGGTATAAATCTAGTAGCACAGTACACAGTCTGTGACTAGATCTACACTCATTGAGTACTTGCAGAACAAACTCACACGCTATTCATGAACTTCTCAGCATCACCATGAAGACAATAAAAAAAAATTGTGTATGAAATAAAATAAGGCCAGGTTTAGTTAATTTAAATTAAAATACTTGTTTTTTTTTCTGATGGATATTTTAAAACATCACTTGACTTGATGATATTTGTGGGCGAGTTTGCTTCTGGTTCATGTGTCTTACTCAAATCATGACTAGATCCATACTCGTCTGCAGCCATCAACTCATTCAACCGACAGATTATATTAAATCCAATGCAATAAAATATTGTGTATATAACAAGTACATAGATTAGATTGTCCTTAATGATAAAGAAAGAACTACTTTAATATAATGTGTTTTTTTATAGTCAATGATGTGAAATATTTAATATTAATAAGGGTTATTTAGTCATATTGCAATAACATTATTTATAAATAATTTTCTACATCTATGCAAACGTAATATCTATTAAAAGGTGTCCAATATTTTGGAATAGCAACATTCACATAACAACTATTTAATTGACAGAATTTTCATTTAATACTATTAGTAATGTTTTCAAGTAACCAATTAGCAGTCTCAGGGGTTTAAATTGTTTGAGATTATTTTAACTATGGAATAATTGTGTGGTGTGTAATAAACTGCCTTTATTTAAATTTTATGTTATAAGTCCACTTAAGTGCTAAGTGGCTGATTTGAGTACTCATGCCAGTAAATAAAATATAATTACTATGTTATTAAAAATTAATGAAAAGTTAACAGTATACTTTTAAGCTGATAAGTTCCTGTTATACATTATTTATCTAAAAGATTTATGTTCAAATGATGGTACTGTCAATTTGTAATGTGATTTTTGTGTAATTTTTATTCGTTGTTGTGATTGTTAATACAGGGAGGCTTTTTTAAGTGTATCCATTTTTTTAATTTAATTCTAGACATATTATGTTATATAAAAATAATGAAAATTATATTCATTTGAACTTATCTCAAAAAGTGCGTTATTTATAGGCAACTCATTTATTTTACGCGCGATTATTCATAACTAACATGCACACAAGTTCATTTCAAAAGTATACGAAGCATTTATGAATGACCACCACATTTTCAATGAGTTCTGTTTTCTAAGGAATGGAATAGCAATTTAAAAAAGTTTGTTTTCATTTCAATAAACAATGATACTACCACATCTGAACCTCATTTGTGAATTTGGACTCCGAAAGCCTGTTTAGATAAAAGTATTCTCAAAATATTATCATATCAATTGCTTTAATATTTCAGAGAATTAAGTTAGAAAATGAAACTATAACTGCACAAAGTGAATTACATCCTGCAACATACTCTGCTATTGTGTAAGTTACTCATTTTTTTATTGTTTTCCTTGGTTAAAAGAAATTAAAATATGTATAAATTTTAAAAATTCAATTAAGTTTATTACTAATATTTTGCTTTTGTCTACATTCTAAATTTTAAACATCTGTCTTATAATAAATTTAGATTCAAATAGTTTTTATGAAACCTCACTTTTTAAAGTGACATCACATTTTTAGCCACAGAACGAATCTTATTAAGAATTTTTTACCTAATAGTTTTTAACTTTAAGTCTGACTTATCACGTGCTCCGCGGTGAAGGAAAACATCGTGAGGAAACCTGCATATTTTCGAAATAATAACAAAAAAAATATATATTTCGACAATATGTGAAATCCGCCAATCCGCAGTGGGGCCGCGTGGTGGACTATGCCCTGATACCCTCTGTATAGAGGAGGCCTTTGCCCAGCAGTGGGACACGTGCTTGAATAATATTAGTGACTAAAAAAAGGCGCAATATGATATTTTGTCTGATAAGAACTTTAATAGTTAATCATACATATCACACAACAAAGTGATCAGTTGACTCTATGAGAACATTTAATGGATATTGTAGATAATGTTATTATGGGAACTACTTGTAGAATAAATTAAAATTAGTCCTCAATTGTTATTTTTTTTATGTATCATATTAGTTTAACTTTAGAATAATAATAATAATGCATTTTATTTCTACCTAAAATACATGATACAATGTAATGGTTGGTACAGCTAAAGTAAACACTTAAGTCAAGTGATTGAGCAGAGCCTTTGTCTATTACAGGTGTAAACCTATATTACAAATCACCAGGTCCTCACCCCACAGAATCAAGTTAAAGCATAGTTTACAAACCTAAAATACTGGGGCTAAATAATGTACATACAAATAAATAGTCCGAAGTAGAATATGTGATAATGTATTCAGCCAAATTCTTAGTCATCAAAATTTATTAACTATTGATAATTTGCTCAATGTCTATTGCTATTCCTGATAAAGGTCAAACAATCGATAATGTTTCTCTTAAATATATATATACAAATGCAAGCTAATTCTTTTAATTCATTTTTGATATCTTAAATTTGTATTTAAAAAAACTAGTGGTCTCCCATTAGTCGAAATTCGACAGTAATTGATTATAATGGTAGATGTGTAATGTTTTTTCTTTAGGCATGTAGTATTTTTTTATGCACAATAAAAAAATATTTGCATTCTGCACTGAGGAATTTTATACTCTGTCTGCATAATTTTCGTAAAAAGGTGTACCAAGATTTTGCTTCATGTATAATAATATAAGTAAATTCTTTTATCTTAATATTTTTGTTAAAGGCAAATAATCTTATTAATTTTAATAAATAGATTTTGTCATATTTTAGTGCTAAATCTGCCAAATATGCTGCGCGAAATAACCCAGGCACAATCGTCCATTCATATGGGACTGATAAGCTGTTACAGTCTTTTACTGATGCGACTGGCCTCAATAATTTATTGGAGTTATGTATCACTCAAATACCGAACGACGACGGAGATGTTTATTCGAGAGCCATGTAAGTACTATATATACTTTCATAGTCATCAATGAAAAGGCTATAAAATGCTATATCGCGAAAACTCAATGAAGAACTTGAAAAGTTATTCACTTGCTCATAATAAATAAATACGGTTAAATATGGTTGTTAACTGGTTTCTTTTGGGTATTAAATTCATTGTATTCTTGATTATTGATATACACAGACAGCTATTGTCAATTAGGACTCTTTATTAGAAACTCATTCGTTTTATATCTTCATCGCCACAGTATTATAATTTATCAACTAGCATGAGTATTGCCAATTTCCAAAAGAACGGAAATTCGCTGATCTGCGGCTAATGATTTTTTTTTAATTTTGGTCATAATCATCCAACAATACTTTTTTTTATTTACAATATTTTTGCACGATTTTTTATTGTGATAATATATTTTTGATCTTACTGGCAATTGCCGTTATCAAAAATGCGAAAGTGGAAAAATGCAATTTTTTTTTGGAATGGTCAATCAAAGTTTGTTTTAGGTTTGGTTTTGAGCTCTTACATGAAAAGGCTAGCAACTTTGACAACCATATACACTATTTATCTCAATGTATAATGAAAAAGGCTGGCTTCTCGGAACTGTCTTCGGTGAGACATAAATCACAGGCATGTTGTCTTCATTGATTAGTTAATTCTGTCGGAAATAATAATATAGAAAACTTATTTCGAAAATAATTTTTAGACAGAAATCACAGTGAGCGGGCGAATAGAGTGCGATGCAGACGCTAGGTTGAATTCTAAAAGTGTCGTCCTACAGGGCACCTGGGAAACATCGCTCAGTCAAGCTGTAACAGTTGACACGAACAGGTAAGAAGTGTTATTTTTGTAATACTTGTTGTATGTATCTTTATTATCTAAATCGCCACATTTCCAACTGTATATCTTTTTCACATAGTCTGAACTCCATGAACGAACACTATACTATAAAACCAAACCCAACGTTCAGCCTCGTAAGTTATCGAGAAAAACCATCTATTTGTAAATTGTAGAAATACAATAATGCCATGTCTTTACATAAGGAAACGGGATAAATATTGGCATATTTATCCCGTTTCCGTATGTATTCCATAAAGGCACAGATTTTGCATCACGGTTGGTACCAAATTCGTTGTTTAAAAAAATGTTTCACTTGGAAATCTAAATCCACTGAACACTGACTGATTGATTGGTAAATTATATTTTTCATATATTTACGGCTAAATACTGAATATTTAGTCATTATTCGAACGCCGAATACCTAGACTTTGTAAGATTGTACGTAATAAAATTGAAAGTGACACCAGTAGGTTCTCTTATCAGACTACTACTACAGACTAATCGATTCATCGGATCTGGCCAATTAGAAGATGAGATTGTAGTTTTTGAATTTGACGTGACAATTTAAAAGGTGTTTTAAAGGTGTACATACGGTTTGATCAGACCGCATATCTGTCAGGACAGAATATTCAGCCAGTATTAATATCTTGGTGAGCTTTTACAGCATGTTTTTAGGGATTCGTACGTAATACATAAAACGGGATTATTATTACTAACACTCCGCTGTCTTTCTGTCATCTGTCACCAAGCTGTATCTCATGAACCTGATAGTTATACAGTTTGTTGTCATAAAAAATATTTAAGTGTACCCAAACAACAGACATGATTTTTTTGCCGTTTTTAAAGATAATGATATGCAACGCTTCGTGCGCGAGTCTGACTCGCACTTTGCCATTTTTTTATTTCACAGTACAATTGAACATGTTAATTTATACCTATAATATTTTCATAGTTTGAAGCAGTATTCACTATTTCCCGGACAAGTCGTCGTAATGAGAGGATTAAATCCTCGTGGTGACCGATTTATACCGCACGAGGTATTCTGTGATGCTTCACAACCTATACCGGATTCAAAAGCCGACATGATGAACTCTTTGAAAGGTAAATTTACGTGACGTCATATTTGTTTCAGAGAATAAGCGTTGTAAAAATTTAAAATAAATTTTTTATTGATGTTACAATATGATGATGTTCTGTTAAGCATGTGGTAGTTATATGCTTAATTACTTTACATTTAAATACTGTAATATCCACTAAACCAAAATATTCCATTTAACGCTTAGTTTTCATTTGTTATATTCGAAAAAATCAATTGACATACGTATTTATAAAATTGGAAATAGCTTGGCGCCAGTACAGAATAGGAATCAGTTGTTTTTTTCTAGTTAACCGTTATTTTTTTCAAAGATATACTTTTGGCGCGGTTGGAAAAATTGTACAAATTGTAAAAATTGCATTGCATGAATGTAATAAATCATTATATTCGATATTGTTTCTATTATTGTAGGAACTCTGGCGATGGTTACAGTAGCAGGCCCTTATACAACATCTGATAACTTAGCATATGAACCATTGAAGGATTTTATTAATTACGTCGGCACACATAAACCACATGTTGTGATTATGACCGGACCCTTTATGGAATGTGATCACATTAAAGTCAATGATCATACAATGGCGGAGACATACAAAAGTTTTTTTGATAAATTGGTTGATAGCCTAGGTGAATTAAATTTGACAAGGTAAGAATTCCACTGTTTAATATTAAGTATGTGTTTTGACAGATAATATGTAAAATTATGTATCTTATGCCACAACATGTGTTATTAAAAAATATAAAGTTATAAAAAGATTGTATTTTATATCTTTTATAAAAACAAGATTTATTGATTTCAGTCCCTTCACTAAAATTTATATCGCATCAAACTATAAGGACATATTTCACATCAACATTTATCCTACGCCGCCTTACTCGAGCCGGCGGAAACATCCCAACATACATTTTGTGCCCGATCCCTGTACACTCAATATTAGCGGCATTGTAGTAGGTGTCACGGGCGCTGATGTTCTCATGCATATTAGTCAAGAGGAAATTTCGCAGTAAGTGTTATAGCAATTTCTGTATAAATTGTGATTGTCAATATAAATTGATAATAAAATTGACTTGTATAATTTATTATTTTTAATTTTGATACTGCTCCTGCTTGTACATATAAGCAGGCTTGATTTAGAAAATAAAGTGGAAATAAACCGCATGTAGTCCCGCCGATACATTTTAAAAGTCTACCTACTACACAAACTTGGACGAACTGTGAGGCCACGGTGCAGCTTCCGCTGTTGCACGAATGGACAGCCTCGTCGTCGAAGTGCCATGGCCTCACTGAAAACCGGGGTGAAGTGGAAGTATCATACTTTCGCTTCCCTCTGTTGAATGAGGTAACTGGGCCCACTATTTAACGGCTGGCAAGGCATATGCAGCTCAATGTTGTAGATTTCCACGCGGCACTAATCACTAAACATCAGGTGAACCGCCTGCTCGTTTGCCCCCTATTAACATAAAAAAGAGAGTATGCAAACATAACTTCAATTTACAGATAAGTTGTAACAAAAGTTATTTCTTCAACAGTGGTATGGGCGGCGATAAGCTCGCCCGTTTAGCAAGTCACATAGTGATGCAGCAAACATATTATCCCCTGTGGCCGCCGCCCGCCGGCCTGTGCCTGGACGCCGCGTTGTGGACCGCTCACGCACAGTTGCCGTGCACGCCACATATTCTAATTCTACCATCTAATTTCAGATACTTTGTTAAGGTAATTGTCCGATACGATGCTCGAAAACTGGTTTTGAAAAGTTTCATTTAAAAATGTCAATGAACATTAAAAAATTATGGTACAAAAGCAAGTAGGTATTTGCTTTCCTTGTGCGTGTGTTTACTCCAATCAACCAGTACCGAAGTTAGTTTTTTGGTTCGAAAATACGTGCAATGTAGCACTTACACGCATATTATCAGGCTCTAAAAAATGTTTGCAATTTTGTTTCGCCTATGAAAAATATAAAAATAGTTAATGATTTATTTTCAAATTTGTCGTCTTTTAAATGATTCATGATTTTGAAATTTGTTACGGATATTGATAATTCAAGTCTTGCAATTCATCCGTAGGAAGTGAATGGTTGCGTGGTTGTAAATCCAGAGCACCTGACGAAAGGTCCCGGCGGAGGCACATTTGCCAGGATTCTAGTTTCCAACAATGATGAGCTGCCGAAAAGCGTTGCTGCACAAATCGTTCGCATTTGATTTTAGAAATAAACTGGAAATAAACTGTTAGACACAGACCTTATTTTTATTGTCACATACATGATTTCTAATTCATATAAACTCGTATCCCGTTTCTATCGAGGTGCCATTCTTTGATTTTAAAAGCCGTTTGGTGATTTGTGTTCCCTTTGAATAAATATCTCGCAAACATGTTTTGTTGCTCATCACCTATGTGGTAAATCCCGTGTATTGTCTGCCTCGGTTTCTTTTCTCCGTATTAGTAGACAGTGTAATTATTTACCTTACATACGCATTGTAAGGCTGTTTGTTTTCTCCACCTGTTCCATCGTTTCATTGTACTATAATAGACCCTAGAGCTATAGTTACCATATTTTTATTATCATTGAATGAATAAATAAAACACTTAGAAAAAAAAATAATATAATAAAAGTAAGAGCTAATACAATTTTAATCCCCTTGTCTAAATAAGCAAAATTTACATCGAAATATAAAAAAATTGAAACAAAATTTTATACTAACAAACGATTCAGTTATCTTACACCGTTTACAAAGAAATTATGAAATGCTAAACTATTGAAAATCCAGTAACTTTACACACAACACCTATATTATCTTAATTCCTGATAAAAATACTAAATAATAACAACTTCACAAAAAAGTTTTGGGAAATAGAAATAAAATATATTTCATTAATGCGCGAACATACTTTGGAAATCAATATTATTTAAAGGATGACAGCTATATTATAAATTACCAAATATATAAAAGAATCAAATTTTTTAAACAGTAACCTAAATAAAATGTTAGATTCACATTCTCATTTTGGAACATAAATTGGATCGTTCAAAGAAATTACGCCAGGTTCTGATCGCAACGCCATTTGTATTCCCATGCGTGGAGCGTTGCCTGCTGTCTTTCGTTCCACGGGACTGGTATATTGCCGGTAACTGACATTACAAAAGTTATTATTAAAAACGGTCAAGTTTTGAACGCTAGGTACAGTCGAGGTACTGTGGATTGTGATAGTGTATATGGTTGTTGCGACAATACAATCGACTGTGCAGATGTGAATTGTTAATAATCTTTGTATTGTTGACAGGCCTCTTATATCTGATTAAAAGTAATCACTTATTAAAAACATCTTTTGGCACCTCAAATGACATTTGAGAAGCCATTTGAAAGCTGATTAGTTAATTTTTGCGATGATCAGTGTTTCAGAAACCAAGCGTAAGTGTAGTTAACTGCGTAGGGTTACACAGCAGCTTTACTGCACGACTGTGCAGGCGTAGAGTACCACGGTCTCACAGTAGATCAGCGTGAAGTGGAAGTACTATATTAGTATGGTAGCCGGAACCCACTTTTTTAAATGTTCAATTCCAAGTGCTACATATCCGCCGACGGTGGTAATCACTTACAAGATATCAACCGCCTCTTAGCTTGACAACTTTTTACACAAAAAAAGTGAAAATTTTTACTCTTTTGCAACAATCTGGCTATTTAAAAAGATCCTTAATACACGAGATTATAAATTTTCCACACTTTAGGCAACAGGAATAGAAAATATACTATTTATCACAGTTCACAGGACAGTAAAAGATTTTTCAGTTTACTACACCTATTTAGTATTCTAAAGTCCGCCCAACTGATTAAAATAGTTCTTCACGGTTCCAACAGTATCACGGTTAAGAAATTATGGCATATATTTTATTATAACGGATGCTATGATGCACATCTCTTCATGGATTATAATCTTGAAAGTCATGGACAAAGACGTTGAGTTTTTTGCCAAGTGATGAAGCATATCCATAACACAGAACTGTACCGTCCTCGGCAGATAAAATGGTGCATTTTCAAAGAATTGAAAATAATTTTTTTAACGAAAATTAATTTGAAAGTATATCTATTAATATCGTTCATTATTATGAAATAAGTTTTCTACTCGGTAAAAAATCTTTCTTATATTACCTCTTTAGAGTCTCTAATGGCTCTGTTTTTGAGTTTCGGACTCCGGTCTCAGGATCAATGGTAGTCAATATGCATCTGAAATAGAAATAGTTCTATTAAAATAATAATCTAAATAAGAACTTAAAAAAAAACAGATATTTAGAATAAATTAATAATAAGATTGTCTTACCAACACAGTATCAACCATTAAAACTCGCCGAATTCACGGGCACATTCAATTAATTAATATCACATCTGTGAATTGTCAATTAATTTGTTATATTTTTATTAATTAAAAACCCCTGCTTACCTCCCACACGGCTTTATTATTTCGAAGACGTTTTCACCAATTTTAACATATTTCCAATTGTCTTCATCATAAGGGTTGGCCCCGATCAGGACAAAGTTGGGTCTAAAATTACGCGGTGTAACCTTACAGTCCTTAAGACGAGTGTTTAGTTCATTCACCGACGCTTCATTTATTAAATTAAACGGCACCTCATCTGGCAACGCACCCTATATAAGGAAGATTTCAATAAACATTATTACGAAAAACATATTCTATTGTCTAAGACACATTACTAGTGTTAAATCTAAATTGATAATATGAAGTTACAGACTATGATGAGAAAGGCAGTCATTAAGTCGAAAAAAAAATAAAAAATGAATATTACGGTTTTTTGCTATATGTCAATGAATAAACTGTTTTAGAAGAGTTTTTGTGGAGAAAGAGAGGAGAGTAAGGTTGCATTAAGTCTCATTAAACCTTAAAAATTTATTGATACAATGACTTCATAATTAATGTAATTAGTTAAATAAACCATTAATGAAATATATTATGTTTTCTATGGTAGCGCCACGCAACAGTCTTCGCTGTAGCACGAATGAGCAGGTTCGTCCTGGCAAGTACCACGATCTCACAGAAGATCGGCGTGAAGTAGAAGTTTTATACTTATGCGTTTCGTCTGATGCGGGAGATAGCCATGGCCCACATTAAAAGTTGGCAATCATCTGGGCGGTTATCACTTAACATCAGGTGAACCGCAGCTCGCTTGCCACCTTCTCACATAAAAAAATGTTTTATTTAGAAAAAAAGTACACATTTCGTATGAAGAATTTCTAAAAGTTAGCAAGGAGAGATCTTGCGTCTGCCATCTCAAATACTTTTACTAATTTTATCTTGTTACATGTGTTATCTCCGAATCCATTGCAAATTCAAAATGTCTTGATATAATAACAAGGTTTAAAGTGAAATTATCTTATAACTAAAATAAAACGATATTGTGCCACCAAAGCCCCCAGAGAAATCTTATCTAGGCTTATATCAATAGTTTGCTAAACTTAATATTGTTTTACTCACTGTATCGTTTTTGGTGAATTTATAGAAACTGTTTGTCGAGCTTCGCAGATCCCTACTTTTTTGAGAAGCGTAATATACTAGTCTGAAATTGATTGCCGAGCGGTTTAGCAATCTGAAAGCAATGGAGGCGAATTTTTATTTTATTGTTTTGCCAATTCTATCAATAAATACCTCCAGCTATAATTATAGTATGATGTCATCGACAATCTATGAATATTTACTACTCTCAAAATTAGCAATTTCCGGTTAAAATCCATTGAATTGATAAAATATTTAAGTTATACAAAGAACGCAAATTATTACAGAAAATCAATATCTGAGGACTAATTTAATGTGAAGTAGATTAATTACTTTGGAAGAGTTTAAAGGTCGTTATTGTTTCTCTCAAACGTAGTAAGTGGTCATATAAGGTCATTAAAATTTATTTTATCAAAAAAATAAAGTACATTAATAAATAATATATGCCTTCCCAAGTTTATTAAAAACATTTACCTTGAAAACCACTCGCTAGCCTCCCACCCACAATCATACACAGGTACTGTAACACCCCATACCGTTGCATTTTTAACATTTTGCAGTTCAATCACCTAGAAATTAAAATTATAATTCTTTGATGACAATGTCAATGCAAAAATTAGCTACTGTACTGTGTTTTAATTGGCAACAGCTTAAAAGTACCTCATATTTTATAATTCATTTGTTTATACATGTCCCACTGCTGGGCAGAGGGTATTAGGGTATAGTCTACCACTCATTGTGCGAATTTGAATTCGGGGTTTTAATACAAATATTTTAATAGCCACTGAATAAGAATAGTTTTTAATAGGGCAATAGACAGGAAACGCAATGATAGCCAAAAATAACGCAATGGTAGTGAAGAAACAGCTGAGATAAAACAAAAAGACCGACCAAATTTGCAGTTTGCGATCGCACTAAATCGCTAAATCATTACATAAAACACAATTTTTTGTAAAACTATATCTTTTATTTTATTTTATTGGGGATAACAAACATCTATAATATATGATATGAACCGATCTGTTGCGTTGATGTAGTAATAATATTGCAGCCCAGTACATTATCCACGTATTAAACGTACGATATAATTTTAATGGAAGCCACTAGATACGTTACAATAAAATAATAATAAATAGCACAAAGATAAAAAAAGAAACACTTGAAGAATACAAAAATACATAATTATTAAAAAGTATAGCTTAACTTATTTAATTTGATAACTATTTGGTTCTTATGTTTAGATTTAGAGCATGTAAATATATCAATATCAACAAAATGGGAGTTATATGATTTAAGCATACGTTGTATAGGACATCGTAGTCCGAGTTTATGGGTAGTACGAGGAACTACATAGCAAATCTTATTTGTTAAATCAAATCAATCAAAATTGTTGTGCACAATACTATATAACACATTAGCTTCTAAATATGTACGTCTTGCCTCAAGTGATAGCGATTTATAGTCCTCGATTCCTAACATGAAATATTCGCGAAAAATAAATAGACAATATTCAGTGATCGTATATGTTGCAAAGGATTCGAAACCTCTTGAAAGTAAATTTAAAAGATGGAAAAAATTTAGAAAAACATTCAACAGGAATAAATACAAAAGAAGAAAATGTAGAACAACGGCCTTACAGTAAAGAATTTTAGAATTTACTTTAGACTTAGATTAATCAAGCTAATATATACATAAAATTAAATTATATTTAGTCATAAACTCGTACTTAATAATATTTACCTCTGCTAAGTTGACGTTGAGAGGTTCCATGTCAATATGTTTTAAATTGAGAATTGAACTTTTTACCGTCGGTTGAACTAACAGTAATTCAGGATACGCGCGTGCTGTTACAAAGTTATTTTTTTCGTCAACCACCATTAGTACTCTGCAAAATAATCATAGCAGTATGCCGTATATAATTATGATTTTATACTTTGTCATTTTCATTATCATGTTTCCTTAAATATGTTCTGATCTTTAACAATATCAAAAAATATCGTTGTAGAAAACGAACAGAGATGTTGAAATGAGAGACTTTTAGAGATATAAGCTGACACGGAAAACGTTGTTTTGCCATATAAATGATTTCTAGGGACTTTGTAGGGTAGAAAAAATTGTTTGGTGTGGAACACCCTTATCACTTAGGGAGTATGAAATATAGATTACTTAGATAAGAGACTCGAGATAATAAAATCGATCAAGCCTTTTCGATCGATCTTTTCGGATGAGTATGCCAACTAACATTGTGACACGAGAATTTCATACATATATACAGTACCTGTCTCTTAGCCAACCGTCTTTTAGACCCAAAATAGTGCATTCCGCCTTGTTCAGCAGTATCGGTCCACATGACTTTATTGGATATACGTAAAGGTCCTTAAGCGTTCCAACTTTCTGCCACTCCGTAGGCAGTTTAGGTTTCTTTGCCTCCTGGTAGACATTGTAGGCACAGTACGTCGCTCCTATAGCGCCGATTGTTACTGCCGTCGCAGCCGCAATTGGAACTAAAAGATGAAGATTTTTACAAGAGTTATATACGATTATATTTTTACATACGAAACAAAGAGGTAAATTATCAAAGTAGAACAAATAATGAGGTGAAGCGCGAAATTTATTGTCTATCGCATAATTATGTCGTTAGTGACTTTATATTATTCCATTATGTACTTTAAGCTATTTTTATTATTTCAATGGATGGATAAGAATCAAAGTAATAGACAAAAATCGTAAAATTTTTGGTAGGTTTAGCTGAACCAAATCGATTGGTAATGAAGTAAAGTTTAAGTCTTATTTAAGAGAGGTTCTCGGGTTAACGTATTAATAAGAACTCCTTTTTATAGACAATTTAAAATTATCAGTAATTTTATAATTTTGATTTCATATATAGATTCATACTTATTTTTAGCGATAAATGATTAATCCGTATTTCGTTTAGGCATACTCTGAACTATAAATATAATAATACCTAATTAAATATTATTACTAGAAAAATACACAAAAGGTGCCGTTGACTGTATTTTTTAAACCTGGTAGTACGATTAAAATAGTAAATGTTTAATAAGAAGCACCATTAGGGAAAACTTTGTTTCTTTTGTATATTATGATGACACCAATGATATTGTATATAGTTAAGCTATACGCATACAAAATCTCCCGTCAAAAGTGTTCTTATTTCCAGACAGAATTATAAAACAAATTCACACGTTTTGTTCGAATGTTATAGGCCAGTTTGTCAGATAATCTTAATTAAATCTCGAAGTGCATTAGTCTGTGTCCTCCCCGTATTAAACTTCTTTGTTGCAAAAAAAATGCGAAAATGTCCCAATTCGGATGTTTTTCTGGCTTCATTCCGGGCGCGTTAACAACATACAATGTATCTGTAGTATGCAATATCATTGGATGACACTTTTATTATAATATGACGTATAATTTCGAGGACATGAAAAATAAACAATTTTTATTTATGCATAACAAAATTTAATTAAAATCATAAAATTCAATATTTCAGTTAAGCTAATTAAAATAAACTGCGTAGTATTATTAAAGGCATTAACTTATTAGGTACGGTTTATACTTACATTTATCAGACATGATAAGAGGTTTGAGTCGACAACAGGCGGATGGTGCTTATAAACACAAACTACAGAAACATGTTAACACCCAACTAACCTAACAAGAATCTGTGCTGCTGCTAATAAAAATTACAACAGATTTTAGTTAACGTTGTTATAGAAATAAACGTTTCCTTGTTTATAATTATTGATATGAACTTGTTGAATTAGTAAGTTTATTAATTATAATTGAAGGTAGAAAGATAATATTTACCATAGTTTAACTCTACAAAGATGATTCAAGATTATAATTATATTATAATACCTATAAGTTATTGTAGATGTTTTAAAATTTATTGCAAATAAATCCTTTTCATTTAATTATTATCATTTCTATTTAAGAATTTGTTGCTAAATGTTAAAGCTATCGTTGTACTAATCGAAAAATCGTCAAAATTTGTTATACGTCCAGTGCAATAATTTGTAAGTACTTCAAGTTCGCGCGCAATTTATCCTATCTATTGATAATATAACAGATTTTTTTTTACCAGAAACTATAACTGCAATTTATTCCACGGCTTCACCAACGGTAGGTCCGTACTTTGAGCACACGCCGGTGGACGAGGAGTTAGGTGCATAATTATAAACCTAGAAAAAACCGAACCCGCTACTGATACTATTGATGTGGATTTTTGGCCCGTCAGTCACGCCATCCTATTAGCAATCCTCTCTTTTTAATGATTTCCGATGAAGCGTACGAATGGTTTTCGACATATCTGCGAGCAGGCAGTTACTGGTGATGAATTGTCATCAAGCTGGCTTAATCTTGCAAGTTGTGCGTATCATCTTTTTGCTGATATTCTGCTCAGACGACCACTGATAGGCTTCCAGATGTAATTGATTATATAAACCAGGACTTAGTTGCCATGAACAAGTGGTCTGACAGGTTTGGCTTAACCGTCAATCCAATGAAGTATCAAGCTACAGTAGTCGGAACCTCCCGTACCATAGTTAAAGTGGACTTGAGTAATCTCCCGCATATAGTTTTCAACAGTTCTCGAATTCTTATCAGCCGTAATATTAAAAACTTCGGTTTGTACATTGACATGACGCTCAGCTGGAATGCTCAATTAGGATGATGTCGGTGTCCATATTCCTTTAAACATTTTTTACCCAAGGAATTGCTCAAGCAATTATCAAATATTATTCAAGCGAGCAGTTCGGCTTTAGAGCCAAACTTTTGAATGCATTACCTCATGGCGCAATTACTGCCCTATCGTCCCTCTGAAGACTTCCAGAAAGACAGTCGCGTTGCGTATATAACGTTCGACGGCAGAACGGCTTACACTATAAGGTTAACAAATTCGCTAGTACTACCAGATAGTCTCGTATAATCATAATAGATTACTTCTCGCTCCGTTAATTTTGATTTCACGTTACCCGATTCCACCTCCACCACTTATGAGCAGACGTTCCTCAAGGATCTTTCCCCGACTTTCTATTCCCTGTACACCAGTGACAAACTTAAGAACGACACAGACCATTTGGCCAATCACAACAAAACCTGGAATTTTAACCCGTTACGATGACAAAGTAAGTAATGTCTCTTCTGGTCCCTCTCATACGAGCGTTAAGTAATATGACACTAAGACGTAAATATCCTCCATAGGTCTAATAATGACATATAAGCGTGATTTTTTAATGGAATAGGAGGCAAAATAGCAGACGGGCCACCTGATGGTAAGTGTTCATCGTCGACATATACACCAGAGGAGTCATAAATGCGTTTGCCGGCCTTTAAGGAAATAATAGACTCTCTTCTTGAAGGTCCCTAAGTTGTTTCTGTCTGGAAACACAGCATCAGCAATATAGCAGATTCCGAAATTGGTTGTCCGTCGCAGAAAGTTACGTGAAAAATGCACATGTCTTCTATCAACGCGTCACCGCAAAGACAGGGAGGGTAATAGAGGCCCGAACGGCAATTATTTTGTTTACGTAAAATAGTTTTTTTCTAATTTAATTTTCGTAAGCAATCGTTCGACGCAGTCATGTCTCGGAATTCAATCACAATGATGAGTTTATTTTCCCCGTGGCTAAGTTATCCCTCCATCTGAGACCGTTGGATCGTATCGTTACTGTTTTATGTTTCATTAACAGGGGTCGCGTAGATGCAGGGGAGCTGAAGGCGTCATCGTGCACAAGCTACGATGTAGTCCGGGGATCGTCTGCCTACCAAGTCCGACGTAGCTCTCAAAGCCGGCGAACTAATAGAGCACACTACCCTATAAATATAAGGTCAGAAGTTAGTGTTTGAACTTCTGAAGTTCTGATATCTGTACGGTACGCGTATGACAGTTGACACTTGACAAGATAATGTCAACAAGGGATGCCGAAAGTTGTTGCCGAAGTTGAAAACCTATCGATATATCGATATTTATAAAAATCAACCTCGACCTCGATACATCGTTTTTATATATTATATGTATTTATTTCAGTCTGATTCAATAATAAGTAATAGTAATTTTTAGACTTTTTTAGTAATTTTATTTAATTGAATGGGAAATTTTAATAAAACGTTAATTATTTATTAATTTTAATCAAATTCGTTTTATTAATCTAAATTTCTCAGTATGTTATTTATCAAGACCTTTATTGGAAAAAAACAAACAGCTTATTTAGTAAGATAAATCAGATAATTTCTTTAGCCTTGAATAGAATCAAAAAATAACTAATTAAAAATAAACATGTAACGTTGTAAAAAAAAGTAAAGAATTGTTTAAAACGAAGTTAATAATGGGTCAAAAAGAAACCCGCAGCGGCTTATCCTAAAAGACAGGCATAAGTCAACAGAATTTAGTAATAGTTGCTTGATTGACATGAAAATGCTGAACGATAATTTAAACAAGTTACTTATGTGGTTAAATGACAATAATATAATTTAATAAATAATTTTTTTTGTTTTCGAAGTTACAATCTTTACGTTAGATCAATAATTTTTTTGTGAAAACTCGATATTATATTATGTGCCTTCTAATTATTGAGAATTTCATTGTATTTAAATTTTGTTTACTTTATTTACATATTAAATTAAAGTAACTTTAGTTGATGCCATTAATATTTTGCATGCTATTTATAAATTAACATAATATGTAGTTCAATATTTATAATTTGTAACACCTCTATACCATGTTGTACCTAAGATATGGATAGTATAAAGTACGAAGCATCAAATTGTAGTATAATACCATAATTATAGTACAAAATGCATTTCTGCATCCGCGACATTACTAATAATAGACCAGTTTTTTTCCGTTTTTATCTTTTACGGCTAATCAGTTTGAATAAAACTATCGTTTTTGATACAATTTCGATATTCAATTTTTATATCGATATATCGGATCAAAATCGATATATTAAAAAATTCGATATTTTTTCGGCATCCCTAATGTCAACGTCATTTGGGTAAAGTCAACGTGTATTACAACTGTCTACGATTTTTCGAAGCAAAGAAATTGAGATATATTATACATTAGCCACAAAAATGTGCAATTAGAATAGTGTTATTGTAATACTAAATAATTTCTTGTGTTTCAATTTATCGGACAGAAACAATCATGGTTTTACTAACAAATGATGAGGTAAAATATGTTTTTGCCTATTTCACATAATGTTGCAGATTTATGTATAAAAATGTATTTAAATTTCAGTTCCTCGCAGAGCTTACAAAGTTATTTCAAAAAGTTCGCACATCAGGATCAGTATCAATGACTATGAAAAGATGTAAGTTTTTTTTAGTTAGAAATGATTACTAAATTGACATGTCATGTCCATCACGTTACCATTTTACTAATATTTAACACAATTCCTAAATGTCTTCAAAAACTGTTTATGCAGCCAATTATTTTATCGTTCTCAGATGATGGTCGTACAAAGCCACAACCAAGGGATGGTACTCCGGCAGTACCAAATCCACAATATAAATGTCTGATAAGAGCACAATCTAGGAGCAAAAAAATCTCTACAGTTGTGGATCAGCAAGATGTTGAAAAATTTAGTACAGCTTATTCAAATCTATTAAAGATAAGTGTAAATGGGCTCAAAAGGTTAAAGAAACCTAAGAAGAAAGCAATTGCAGCTCAGTAACAGGTATCATAGATTGGCAAAGTGAAATCAGACTGAAGTTATGTTATTTGTGGTAATAAACTGTTGTGTATGGTGATGTGTACCTAATATTATGCTAAATGATGTGATGAAAACCATTGAACTGTGCTCTCATTTTCTTTTGGATTTGAAGAGTTGGTATAAGTCCATCATTGCTGAAGACTATGGCACAGTCTATACTTTATCTTCTGTCCAATGCTTCTTAATTTTTATAAAACAATAGGTATAACTTATACTTCAAATAAAATAATGCAGATAACTCTGTTAAATTTGTAAGCACTGATGCATTTCTTTTAACAACCCATTTATTATTACAAGATTAATTAATAAAATTACTTCATTGTAATTTTTTGTTATGTGATATGATTGTTTATAGTGCAAAAAAAGCCAAAGCCATATTGGTTATTAGTATGCTGAATAATGATTTAAGAAAAACATTTTAATATTACAATTTTTAGTGTTAAAAAGAATAAGCAATGATAAAATGTGTGGAGTAAGGTTTTTTTGCTATATCATTTTAACTAATCAGCGTAAAGATTAATAAACCAAACAGTAACAATGTTTTTAACTGCTCTAGATAATTTAGGTGTATAGGCTAAGGTATTCATGCTGAGGGTTGTGGGTTTGTTTCATGTTGGGAGGATTATTTGTGTCACCCAGAGATAGTTGTACTGGATCTTGGTGTTCATTCCCAAAGAGGGTTAACATCAGGAAGGTGACCAGTAAAAAAAAATGAGTGTGACCTTTACATCTGGTTGAAATAAAACTGATTTAATTTGAATAATTGCATTTATTATTCATGTATTAATGAATAATAACTTATTAATATTTTATTTTTGAAAATAATTTAATTTATAATTAATGTATTAACTAATAATAAATTATTAATATTTTTATAATTTATATGTATAGTTCAGGTACAGCCTAAATCTTAAAAAATTGGACACTATATAAATGCATTCTATATGGTGAAATAGCCCGTTTCTGTTGCATTGTCATCCAAAGCACTCCATTACCCCTTAGTCATGCTTAATGAAGTTTTACTGCAAAACCCAAACCAATATTATTAACTAGATGATGACATGTTTTGTTAACATGTGAGAATGAAGAATGAGATTGTATTAAAACTCAAAGTCCATAAACTCCATACAACTACTGAAATTCTGGTAAATTTAGTTAACTTGTCAATACAACAATATGTGCAGTAACACCTTTTAATCCTAAAAGTTACACTCATGATTCAAAACAGTTGACAGTGTTATGGGTCTGTTAGACTATCACATCTTACTGTGGGTATTAAATTCGAAAAACAGTTGGGCTCCCTCAGTAAATCAATTCACCCAGACGATATAATGAATATATGAAATAATAAATAGAAACATGAAAAAACAATCGGTGATTTCTGCACATATAAATCTGGAAAATGAACATGACTTAGGTCCCAAGATGACATATATAATTTGCTACCATAACAATTAAAAAGAATGTGCCATTTTGTGTTTTCTATCTTTTATAGTTTATTATCTAAAGTGAGATTTAATGTTTAATAAAATATTAAGTGTCACTTAATTTTCTAACAAGTCTTAAATCATGCTTAAACCACAATTTAATTAGTATAAATAACATCATCTGTATCAATAGCATACATAAAATGTTTATCCATTATATGGACCATTGCTGGGCTAAGGCATCCTCTAGAGTTCGTCTAGACAGAGGATGTTAAAGCAAAGTGGATAGACAAAACTTCACACAGGTTTAAAATTATCTTTTTTATTAGTACTATTTTAAGATAGAAGATATATAAGTTTCCTCACATTGATATCATTCACTCCAGGTGGTAATTCAGTACTGAAATTGAACACAATTTTATTGGTGGAAATTAGGTTGTTTGAGAACACTAAAAAAAAGAGCACCCACCTACTGAAATACTAAAGCATGGACAACATACTCAAGCAGCTTTTAGAATATTTTAATTTTCATGGCTTATTCTCTTGGTAATAGTTACTAAAATGTGCGGCAATCTTGGCACGAATACATACATTTTTTTAGATGTTTATTTTATTTTTTGTTAAATCATTGGCCTTACACTTGTGGCTAGAGCGTCTGGGAGCGAATCCCGAAGGGGTGTTACGTAATTTAAAAATTTTCAATGAAATTAATCTAATCTAATACTCATAACTGTTTTGCTTTTATTTATCCATATTAGGTAAATCGTGTGTTTTTATCAGCATAAATACAAAATATGATTTTTTTATACATCCAGCAGCCACATTCTGACAGACTATTTAAATCTTGCAACATGCAATAAAAATCATCTTAAATTTTTTTGGTAACAACCATAGTTTAATCACTAAAACATTGTTCAAATGAAGAGCCACTAATTTAATCAATTTATTATATTAAACTATACAAACAAACAATAGTAAAATTTTTATTAAAAAAAATAGCACTGATGTAAGTAAAACTAATACCTTGGTACATAATATATTTAATATTAGTCATTCTTACAATTTCATAAGTATCACAATATGAGACCAAATACATAACTTTAGATAAAAACTCTATCACTAATATAGTTCATTGTTACCTTAAAGATTATACAAACATTGCTTTTGATTTGCAAGCAAGCCATCTATGTATTTGCTTATAATATATTATTTTGGATCTTATGACAAAATTGTATAATAAAGACATTTCTTGTTTTTTTACCATCAAACTATAATTGTATTTGCCTCTTTGTAATACTGATTAACCAATACATATACAAATGTGAATAATTTCATCTAAAAAGTTCAAAATTATTCAATAATAAAATCAAAAGGGCTGCTATTAATGAAATGTATGTGTAAAAATTGTAATAATACGAAAGAATTATACTTGATATAAAATACGCTTCTAATAAAATGTAATAGTTTAGTTAAACCAAACAAATGAAGAATAGTTCTTTTGTCTGAAATATTGCCCTTATCCAAAAAAAAAAAATCAAGCAGTCTCAAAAACATTTTTCAAGGTTGATTTTTTTTATCTTATGATCTTAATTATTCAAAATAACTTTATAATTATGTAATATGTCATAACTATTTAATTTTATAATTAAGTTGGAAGCACTTCTAGTATTTACATGATAACTTTCAAGTGAGTTTCCTTCAATTTTTTTCCTAATTTCTGACAATTTGGTACTCAATGGATAAAAAAACAATACCATAGTAATGTTAACAAATTTTACAATCACGAGAAACTACATCTAAATTACAGTATTATAGGCTCTGCTCTAGTTTTTATTTATATTGGATTGATATCTACAAAGTTAAAATATTAAATTACAATAGTAGATATAAAAAATAATATAATTGCAAACAATAGAACTATCCAGTGAACTTGAATAGCTTTTCCGTGACAAAATGAAATATAAACACATTGGAACACGTTTAATGATTGTCTACTTCGTGTTGAAAGGCCACTAATGTTTATACCATACAAATTCATAAGTCAAATGGAGTACAACCACTTTTACTATACGAAACTTCTCCATTTCAGCAATGTTATAAAAAACCCGCGTTGGACAAACTCCGCTATTAATTGGGGCTACGAGAGAACGCTCTTGGAGGTGAGTCGTTTGAGGCAAGCGTTCCTCACTTGGTCGTTGCCGAGGCGTTCGGCCTCTTGCAATACTCGGCGCAAGTCGTTGGTGCGTTCGTGACGGGCGGCCAGTATGTACGCGCTGCTCACGTTCCGACAAACTAGGTAGCACGATATCTGCCGAAGTCAATATCACTACATACTATAAAATAAAGTCGTCCTCTTTCTGTCTGTCCCTATGTATGCTTAGGTCTTTAAAACTACGCAACGGATCTTGATGCGGCTTTTTTACTAGATAGAGTGATTCAAGAAGAATATTGATATGTATAATAATGCTAATTTATATGTATTGCACCCGTGCGAAGCCAGGGTGGGTCGCTAGTTATTTATTTATCTATTTATAAATATAAATTATTTAGTTATAAGTATAATACGACGACCCGATTGGCGTAGTGGGTAGGGTCCAGTACATGTCCTGCCTCCTGTTCATTATTTTGATCTCCACTACTGGAAAAATATTGTGTGATGAACATAGTGTGATGAACATATAATATGTATCTATTACAAAAAAGGTTTTGTATGTGTAAAAGTACACACAGTACAAGCGCTGCTTAGTTTGGGATTAGAGAACGTTGTGTTTAAAAAAAAATCAATCGAATACAAACTGCTTGTAAATTAATCTTTAAGGTGTCGCGTTTATTTTTAATTTTTGTTCCCGTATAAGTCTATATGTATAATAACATTACTATGTGTAATCGCGTAAATACAAGAAATTAAAAACTGCTAGTTAGATGAGTAGGTACTGAAGCGCCAACAATCGCCATACTAATTCATTACTTCTATGTATAAGGTATTTACAATTTGCATCGTCGTTTTACGTTACAAAAAATATTGGCAGCATCGAACTAATAACATGTTCATATAGAATATGACTAAATTATGGATTTAGTAGGAAAAACGCATCGCCATCCAATTGCATTGATCTGTGTTTTGTGTTGACGTCAAATTTTCTTTTTCCAAGTGTACTTTGATCGTGTCAGCGCCAGAGCCCAAAAAACTCGTTAATAACTCATTTGATTAAGCCTTTGGAATGGATGAAACCGTTCGAGTGTTAACCGTTTGTTTCGCTTAGCCAGTATAGTGTTTTAATTTGGTTAACACTTACTAATCGAAATTGTTTTTGGATAAGGTTCAAATCATAATCGCTTGCGGTCTGTATAGAAACACCTATCGTTGAAAACTCTCGAAATGGTTTTGACTCGAATTAAGTCAAACTATGGTAGAGTGCATTAAGAATGTAATATGTTTACGACTAATTTAATTTGCACTCGGTGCGAAATCGATTACCGACAACATCTCATAAGAGCGTTTTGACTAAACTCGAATTAATTAAAACAACG